GAAATGCTTCCCAATCCAATTCCTGAAATCCAGCGAACAAATTTGGCATCCACCATTTTGACGTTGAAGGCCATGGGTATCAATGACCTCATCAACTTTGACTTCATGGACCCACCACCGGCGGCTACCATGTTGACAGCCCTTGAGCAACTGTACGCGCTTGGAGCACTTGATGATGAGGGCCTCTTGACTAGAATTGGTCGAAAGATGGCTGACTTCCCGTTGGATCCGCCGTTGTCAAAGATGCTGATCATGTCGGTGGATTATGGGTGTTCAGAAGAGGCTTTGACGATTGTTGCTATGCTTCAAGCAGGAGGTCAGGTATATTATCGACCCAAGGACAAGCAATCGCAAGCAGATGCAAAAAAGGCTAAATTCCATCAACCTGAAGGAGACTTGTTGACCTTATTGGTATGTATGAGCCATTGTCGGAATCATCAGTAACTGATATCGCGCACAGGCTGTCTACAATGGCTGGAGGGATTCAAAATTCAGTAACCCATGGTGTTTTGAAAACTTTATCCAGACGCGTGCCATGAAGACTGCTCAAGATGTCCGGAAACGTGAGTAGTCCTTTAGTATCTTTGGTGATTCACGTAGTTGACTTGTTTGCAGAGCTCATTGGTATCATGGACCGTTACAAACATGATCTTGTATCTTGCCGAAGTAATTTCAACCAGGTGCGAATGGCTATCTGTTCTGGCTTTTTCCGTAATGCTGCAAAAAAAGGTTAGTGGTTTCACTGAAGCATGTACACTGCTGACGAACATTTGCAGACCCAACAGAAGGGTATAAAACGTTAGTTGAAGGGACACCAGTCAGCATCCACCCTTCCAGTGCTCTGTTCCAACGACCGCCGGAGTGGTGTGTGTATTATGAGCTTGTGTTGACAGCCAGTAAGTATTTTCAGGCTTGCATTCCTCTTCTCTGCTGCAAGGAAAACTTACTGATGTCATGACAGAGGAATACATGCACCAGGTCACTGTGATTGAACCGAAGTGGCTTTCGGAGGTGGCGCCAACTTTCTTCCGCATTGCCGATCAAAACAAGATCAGCAAACGCAAGGCATCTGAGAAGATTGAGCCCTTATTCGATCGGTTCGCAGCGGACAAGGATGATTGGGTACGTCTTTTGACAGATATTGTGGTTCTTGGGGCTGATTTTGTCCCAGCGTCTAAGCAAGCAGAAGAAGCTCGGCCGGTCCTCACAAACGTTTGGTTGATTTGTCCTACTGCCAGTACCTTGCTGCATAGCATGCATCAAGCCACAATTCAAATGATCATGCAATAGTGGATGGATTCAATGTATCGCTTCCACCAACATTCTGGAATGTGTTTATCTTAAGGTACTTGACTGGATTTGTACGTTGGCGGCATACGAGATTGATATCATATCATATCATATCTAAGAAATGATTAAATTGGACCACTTACTTTTCCTTCAAAGGCCGCCTAGCACCCATATACCAATCCTCCCATCCTCCCTCTGTTCGTAGCGTCACCATATGCCCTCTTTTGTATGTAGCCTCTGTGTCTCATCAGTCTCATCCCCACCTTGCGTGCGCGGCGCGCGGCACACTCTGAGAAATTGCCGCGTGGCAGGCTCCAGCCACAATCCTGCCAGAAAAGCCCCCGTTGTCTGGCAGGGACCTGGCGGAAAAATCCTGTCACGCGGTCTGAAAGGCGGCTTTCAGGAGACTGCCAGCTGGGCACACTCGGGTCTGCCAGGGGACCTACCATGCCCCCTGGCAGCCGCGGCGCGCACGAGACGGCCACGTCGTCTGGCCTCGTCTGTCACCCCTTTCTCGCCGTCAGACCGTCTGGCCTCGCCTGGCAGCAAACGCCGCCAGCTACGTACTTAGAGATATTTCGACAAGATGCAGTGCGCACGTTGCGTCCGTCTCTGCTGTCCTACCGCTCCCATAGAGCTATGCATAAGACAGAGCTATGCATAGGACAAAGCTATGCATAGAACAAAAGCTATGCATAGGACAGAGCTACGAAGCATAGACTGTCATTGCGCTATTTCAGCCTGCAATGTACTGCTCAATGAGCCGCAATGGTGGGTCAACTCCATGTCGTTTCCATAAACAAACTTGATTCATCTCTTTGCTTCCTCTTCCCTACACTATCTTTCTCCAGCTTTCTCTTCTGCGCCTGCCTCGCCTCGATCTTCTCGGAAAGGGCTGGGTAACGCTTCTCAACCGGCTCTTTGTCATCCGCCCCCCAAATCTGCTCGTCGCAATTTGAATGCCAAGCTGTCTGGCAAAGGAGTCGTTCCCAGCTGCTGGACATGAGCCACTATGCTGATCAGCTTCGTCATATTCTAGCTCACAGTCTCGTACGGCCTGCTGATACCATCTCCCAAAGATTGAGAGGAGCCGGTGGGCAACGACTGGGCAAGCTCCTCTTCGATTTCATTGTCTTCTGGCGCGGGCGCCGCCCCGAGAGTCTCCAGCGTTCGAGATCAGTTACCGCAGATACAAGCAACTACAGGCACCTACAAACAGAGTCTCGGACGCCTTGATCACGCTCCCCTCAGTATGTGCTGGGGCATGGCCAGAAGAGGACTGATATCAGAGAATTAGTTCAGCGTGACCACCAGGATAAGGTACGGATTCACCAAAGAGTTTTTGACCTCTATACAACCCCCCATCCCTTTTGCCATCCACGCTTCTTCTTGCATCTTCCCTCCATCGATCATCCCAGAAGGCTTGATCACCCCCAGCACTCCCTCCTGTGTTACTAAGGCGAGGCGACACGGTCGACTGTCGTTCTCGCGCATAGAAACTGTGCATCTTCTAAAGATTCAAGTGCGAAAAGATTCCGGATTGATTCAAGGGAAGGAAGATCACGAAAGCCATTGGGGAAACGGCGCAAGATGACAGAATGAAGCTGATTGTTTACATCGGCATTATTCTGTATTTTTTGAGCGACCTCTGAATGTATAGCGGCGAGCGTGTCCTTCACAAGCTTGTTCAATAACTTCCTCTTGAGCCTGTCAAGGGTCTTTCGGTCATTGTCATCAAGAAGGTTTTGTGCAATGGCGTTAATGGCGGCGGGGGCGTTGGAGATCTGTACCTCCCCTTCCCCGCTGAAAGACCACCTCCAGTCCTCAGAAAGTTTGCGTACAGATGCAGATGAATATGAGCTTTCTACGATACGCTTGGGGTTAGTGCAGATCCTGGCTCTGTGTGGGGGACTAAGGACCAGCTCACCTGGCTTGACCCTAACGTTCTTTTCCACGTTTTGACGTAGACAGCAATATCAGGCTCAGAGAGTAATATGATGCAGTATGCGGTCTAATAAGAGTCGAGTGGTGTGATAATGAGAAGACACAGTCGGTGTAAGGGATTGGTACAGACTGCTGGTCAGTAGGAGGAGATGTGGTGACGTGGACTGCCAACTGGGCCGTAGCGGACGGGGATCGCCCCCATCATGCATACGTGGAAAACGCTGTTGAAACGATGTCAACAGCTTGTCAACAGCTCTACTCGTCGCTCCCATTAGACATATATTGACGCTGGACTCGGCAATCTTATCCAGCCAATCCTATTCTCGCTATACGCCACAGCAATCGCCATCAGGCGGCTACTCCGGCCAACCAATCAACAACACCAGGACGATAGGGCTATCTTTCCTTCCTCTCCTGCTCCTTAGAGCAGTGCAGCTTTCAGATGGCAAGGCGTTCAGGCTCGAAGTGTGCGTACATTCTGTTGCTTACCACCTCACTGCTGACTCATGTCTCAAAGTCACAAAGCAGAATTGTTAGGAAAGTTTGTCCAGAAGAACAACGGAAATGACTGCCTCAAGAACTCACAGGTGCGTCGAAGAGTCCATGTATATGTCAACTTGTGCTGACGGTCTGTGCCACCAGAAAAGGACATCCCGACAAGGATGTGCTGGAAGGGGAGAGTATCAGGTATGATGGTCCGCACATTGTGAGTCATAGCATGATATGTACAAGTAGACTCAACAGCTGATTTATTTGCCAGTCACAACGGACCATGATACGGTGCAGATGCCCACAATGCCCCCCTCATGGCAGCATCATTCAATTCAGAGCTTGGCAACTCCATTGAGGCTCAGAGCTCTTCTGGGAACAGCAGCAACAAGTCTCGGAGGCAGCACGCACATCTTCTATAGACTGCCAGGCAAGCAGCCCCTCCAACGGCTATACACCATCCCCTTTATCTGTTCCCACCACCACCGATGACTACCCCTCCGTTGGCTCTCCAAGTAATGTGCAGTCTCTCCCTTTGGACCCAGGACCTGGTCCTTCTACCGATCTCGCTATGGGTGAAGACGTGGATATGGAGGGCCTGGATGATGATATGGGTCTCCCTGCTCTTCCCCCCGATGATTTTTGGGACGGATCACCTCTCAATGTCAACCTGCCTTCCGAAAGAGACCTATTCGCGGATTGCGTCGCCAGATTCCCTTTCAACATACCCACGTCCCTTGTCCCTTCGGTCTCCGAGCGGCAGCGCAACCCTTTTCGGGAGGGTTCAATGCAGGGGGCGTGGCGGCCTGAGTCAGAGGATGGGAGATATGGCGCTGTGTATCATTGCCGTCTTCATTGACATCGCGGTTCAGGAAGCCCTCAGCAAGGCGCGCAATAATGTGCGCAATCAGGAGTATATCAGGGGGAATATACAACAGAGCCTCCTCACTGCGTATTCCCAACCAATCGAGTCGTCAGCCAGCAACATGGGCAAGCACGTCAGAACCCTTTACACCCAGCTGTCAATGGAGCCACCGTTCCTTGTGCATCCAAAGTGCCCCACAACGGACTGTCAAATGGTATTCTACAACATCACTACCCAGGCAAATTTCTCTTTTGTTCCGCCTACTTGCCCCTCATGTCATTTTGTTCTGAGGGCGTCCAGAGAGTGGAAGGAGAGAAGGGTGCATCACCTCCTGCGCCGAACAATCGCAGACGAGCTGCAACATGTCTTCTCGATGCCCCATACTGAGCGGCTGATTGATAATTGAACAACAATGCGACAAAAAGTCAAGGAGGGGGATGAGAAGTACAATCCAAATTTTGCAGCCCGTGCTGGTCGAGTCCTTCGCCACCAGCTCGACGGTGTGGCGTACAGTGATGATACCCCGCAGCAAGAAGAAGACTCTCTTCTGATCACTATCAACTTCTCAATCGATTACTCCAACCCCTCCAAGTCTCTTCAAGGTCAACATAAATCTGTTGGGGTCATCATGGGTCAGGTCGCTGAGCTTCCCAATGTGTATCACACCAAATTCCACTACAACTTGATGCTGGGTATGACACCTGCTCCAAGTGAGCCTCCTTCCCATCTCCTCTACCGGGTCTTGCTCAGTTTTGGGATGGACCTACTTGCCGGCTGTACCGATGGCCTCTGGATCAAGACTCCGAAGTACCCAGCTGGTCGCAAGATATACCTTTGTGTGGGAGCCATTAGCTGCGACCTCCCTGCCTCTGTGGCTGTCACTGGCCTCCCTCACTACAGATGCAAGAAGGACCCCTGCCTCAAGTGCACTGTGTCTCACAAGCAGATGCACTTGATACAGTCGTTCCCGGCGAAGGTCTGGCGTTGAGCACACACGCGCAATGCTTCGCCAAATGGCGGAATTTCTCCAAGCAGTCAAGGAGCTTCCTCAGAAATCTGAATCAAGCTGGATCTCTCAACACGCTGGCCAAGTCCTTCTTGCGCAAAAAAAGGCTGTTGAAGATCTTCTCAAAAGCATATTTCAGACCCCTGGACACCTTTCCGTCTTCGACCTTCTTCCCAATTTTGACAAGGTCCTCCACGCGACTGGCGATCCCATGCACAACGCCCTCAAAGGTATACTACCTTATTTTGCCCGGCGTGTCCTGATGAAGGGGTGATTCTGCGCAGAAGTGGAAAAGCAACAGCGGATAATAACGGATAAATACTTGAAGGGTGTCAGGCCTGAAATATTTGGGGAGGAGGACAGTGAAGATGAAGAGGACAAAGAGGACAAAGAAGGCGGTGAAGACAATGAAGGTCATGGTGACAGGGGGCAGACAGGCAAAATTCCTCCTGGCAACGGTCCACCTATCATCAGCAAGGACCGGCAAATTTGTCTCAAAGAAATGATGGTGCAGGTCATTGTACCCTCTTATCTACCCCAGCTTGGGAAAAAGTTTTTCACCCAGCAAGCAAAGCCGTCTGCAGCACAATGGCGTACCTTCGGCGAGATTGTTGGGCCTTTGGTCTTTCCTTGGTGATGGGCAGAGTCTTGGTCAACATCGAATGCTTTACCAGAGCATGAGTTGGTTGCTGCCCTCAAGCTTTTTGCCATCATCAAACGGATATTCTTGTCAAGCATATCCAAGACCCAGATCAATTGCCTGAAGGCTCTCATCAGTGAGTTCAAAGAGATTGTCCTCAAGCACCACCCGCTCCTCCTTTATTTGACGACCAACTTCCACAAGATCGATCATACCCCCAAGGAGATCCTGGAGCACGGTCCAATCTACGGATGGTGGCTCATGGCTCTTGAGCGCTTGAACGGGCGGGTCAAGAAGATCAATACCAGTGGACGCAATGTCTATCAGGAGCAAGTCCTGCAATTTCGTGCGCTTCTTCGACAGAGGTCTCTACTCTCAAACATCCATCAACAGTTTCTGGACCAAGATTCATGCCAAGAGAGTGGCATCCCCAAAGATGAAGCCGGTTGGGAAGAGGGTAGGAATAGCAACAAGAGCACTATTTTCAGTGCCTACATGTCCCACGGCGTTATCTCTGAGGATCCGGATGATGCAGAAGATCTAGCTAATCTTCGTCTGTACAACAACAGTGGTCTGGACCAAGACTTCTTGATAGACTTGCTCTTGACTGGCAAAGTGATGGCTGTGTCCTCTCAAAATCAAATCATCGGACTTTTTTACCATTTTTCCAAGATACTCAAGCCTGACATTCCAGACGAGTTTGAATTTCATCACAAGATAGCTGTACGTGGTCACACGTTTTGCCCTGTAGATCCGACCTTCAAGACTGGGCTTACACTAGTCACTGTACCCAAGATCGTCTGTTGGAGTAACTCTCATTCATTCATCAACATCCAGAACCCTATGATCCGCTTTGCTGATGACCATCAACCCAAACTGGGCGTCAAAGCTATCATATGGGCAATAGTGTCTTGGACTTGTCGAAATCTGGAAGATGGCTCTGTTGGCTCCACAACTTTGTGGGCCTGCATTTGGCTGTTTGTTTGTTTGCAACCACCGCCTTCAGCCTTCCAGTACGGTCTTGAGTGAGTTTATGTCTTGGATGCGTTCAATTGCTGTTGGCGAATGTAAGGGAAACGTTGGACATCGAGACGCTGTCGGCCACCAAGCTGTTGCCTATGAACTTTTACCAAATCAATGCTTGAACCATCTCGACCCTCAGCCCAATCGCTCTTCTCAAGGTCCCATGCGCGCTTCCGTCTGGTTAAATGTCCATGCTTGTCAGTACGCCCTTGACCAGAGTATGCCTTCCTGAGCTGAATCGACCCTGTTTTGAGCTGACAACAAACAGCATATATAGCTAAATTGCATCTTATCCATGAAGTTTTGTATGATGTAGACATGTTCAATCCACAGCAAGTCAAGTGGAACGTTGTAAAAAGGGGTTGGAGTCTGGTGAGTAACGTTGTCTTGATTCAATCATCTCAGCAACTCGATACTATGAATGTCCATCCTCAAATTTGTGTAACTATCCTACTCTCTCCAATTCAACATGTCTTTTTCCCAGGGGGTCTCTCCAGATTTGTCTGCCTGGTCAACCATGTCCACCTCGTCTTCACCTCCAACCGGGTCACCAAAGTCAACCTCCAATAGAGAGCACGGGCAAGGGCGCATCTCCAGCAATTCTACAAGCTTCTGGTTGTACTTGACCTCAGGCGCATCGCTCCGCAAGACAGCAAGCACCTGAATGTCCTCATCGTCGAGACACAGCGGCTTCTCCAGGTGTCGGCAAACGACGTCATAGAGCGCGTGGTGATTCTCCTTGAGGTAATCCTCCAACATTGGCAAAGAGGTGTCAAAGGGAGCGGCTTCCGGTATGCGGTCCAAGTCAGGCAAACAGCGTCGAAATTGTGGACGGCAAGCCCTCACAAACTCTTCATCTACCATTGGCCAAAAACAACTGACTGGCATCTGGTCAGCCAGAGTACCTTTTCCTCTTGACCGGTTTGTCCCGCTGCCGCTGTCGCCAGGAAGCCAGAAATGGATTGCAAAGGAGGTTTTTGCCCATGGCAGGTTGAATGCCAGGTTGGGCACCTTTGACCTGGATTGGCGGAGGTGATTTTGGTACCACTCGATGGCGGTCCAGACAAGCCAGCGGGTCTGCAATGGTATGTCAGCAAGGATGAAGATTGTTGACGATACTCACAGTCTTGGACCACCACCAGGGTTCCAGGCCCACATACCCCGCTTCATTGCTGCGACTTCAAACAAAGAGATTGCCGTAGGCCTCAAATTCTTTGCTACTGAGCTCTTGAAGACACTCGTCCTTCCCAACAAAAAAAAGGGTATCAAAGATTGATGTGGACTTCACGAAAGCTGGCTTCAACGCAACGCCCTCTCGATAGCGGCCCAAAGGTGAGTCATTGTAGTGCTCTTGGTAGAATTTTTTGACCTAGCAGCTGTCAGTCAAGATTCAACACCAAAAAAACGACGCACACTCTCAACCCTCTTCTCAACCCGCTTGACAACGGCTGCCATGTTGTGCCCTGGACCATCCTTGAGCTTTGCCCTCTTCTTGTCAGATATACTGTCAAAGTACGTTTCAACCCTGTACACCACAGCCTCTCTGGAAAGTGATGGTATACTTTCATTGAGTTCATCCATGACTGTGCGAACTGCTTCACTAAGGAAAGCTCGACTAACAGCGACGTCAGCGCAAATACCGACAAGCCAGATCGACAATGGACGCACAAAGCTTCCGACCCCTTTGCGTACCAGTCCGGGTGCCATACATGCTGTCCATCTCCGTCGAGGAAGGGTGTCCCGTTGTTGTTGGGCTTGGGCCACTTGTCAACAGCAGTATCGCTCTTAGACTTGGCGCCCCCCAAACCAACGAGTCTCTGAACAATTTGATGAGTTGATTTCTACCGTCAAGGCCAGCAAAAGCAAAGGAGGTAGAGGAGATAAGACTTACGGTCACTAGCTGTTGATCTTTTTTGGTCAGAGCCTCATACTCCCGCTTCCTCTTCTTCCTGCGCCCACCTGTGTGACGAGGCGCCGCTTGCAGAACAGCTATCATCGCCTCCTGTGCCTCCTGCTTCTTCTCAAGAGCCTGCAATCTCTCTATGACAGTTGCCTCGACAGCCATGCTAGTATTGTAGATGGACAGGCACTGCTGGTAGAATGCTGCTACCGAGTCGAGATTGGCCACCATTTGGGGCAAACACTGGCTGGTGGCCCTCACAAATGTGTGCTCGTCATTATAGTCGGCTGCCTGTAGAGCCGGGGTTCCCATCGCTACCAATGATGGAAATTTGGCAAGCTCTGCTCATACTATTGCCACATGAGCTTCTACCTCAGGTAGAGATCTGATCAAGGCAGGGTTGGGGAGCAAGTTGCGCAAGGTCGTCTGCCTGGGCGTGGGCATGTGCAGAGTGGAACGGCTCGCCTCAGAGGGAGCTGTTGCAGACCCATTGGAGGCCCGTCAAGCAAGGGGGGACAACGTTCGAGCGAGAAAAGGGGTGAGGGAAGGGGCAGAGCGGGTGCGTGACTGGGCAGCAATGGGAGTGGTAGTGGGAGGGGTCATGGTAGGAGAGGAGCTGGGGGAGGCATTGTTGTTTGAATGATAGAGGGCGTATGAAGAGGATATATGACTGGGTATTTATATGCATAGCGTGGAAGACAAGAGAACACAATGGAAGGTCAAATGCGATGGAAGGTCAAATACTATGGAAGGTCAATAGCTGCAGAAAACAAGACAGAAAAAGCCAGAACAATCCAAGGGCACCCGGTACGCAACGCAACATGCATAGGGGAAACGCTCTGGCGGGTTCCTGGAAGGGCCGCCCCCAAGATTCATGCAGTCCGGCCGGCTTCTGGCAGGGAGCATACGTCACAACGTGTGGCAGGCAGATCCCGCCAGGACCCTTTCACGCATGTTCGCCGGCCCCCGCCAGGCACGGCAGGACCCCCTGGCGAGGGCCTCCGCCAGGACACTGCAAGCGGACCTGACCGCCTCTGGCAGGCAACTTTCATGCGGGACCTTTCTCAGAGTGCGTGCGCCTAGAGTCAGAAGGAACAAACTTACGTAATCATCACAGTTGGACACAACTTGCGCCATGCGCCGCGGTGTTGTCTGTCCTCAAATTTGTCACTTCCCTCTTTCGTTTGAGCTTGATGCCAACCCAAGCCTTGCCCCATAACCATCACATCAATATCCTCACCCAGAGATTTATCTGAGTGTATCACTCAGAAACCTTAGCATCTTGCAATCCCACCCAAGAAGACATAACTACCCGTGTTCACCAAACCATATAAACCTCAAAGACCCTCGATACTCAAGTCTGGATATTTCATCTGATCTCATCCCATCCCAACTTATCTCATATTATCACCATAGGGACCTTCCTCTCTCAATCACATAGCCAATCACCCACTTCATTGTCAAGAAACTTTCACTGATACAAGTGCCGAGTGGGACTGTCTTAATAGATTCAGATTTGATTGCTAGTGATAGCCAAGAAACAAGGCAGAAGTTACACAGAAGTAACAGACAGATACAGGAGTAAAAGGAGACACATGTAAAAGCTGTGCAGGAGAATCCTGGGATAGCACATTGAGGGCCAAGAGTGAGTAAGCAAAGAGCAACTTCAAATTGTGTCTCTTCTTTGCAAAGTATCTTCTGCCTTCCAAACATGTAATGACTCACATTCAGTCTTTCCATGCACTGAAGGGAGAGAGACGGACTTGGCAAAATAGACACAGGCAAGGAAGGGAAAAGAAGCTCACTACCAGTGAATTCCTTGGTGCCCTAGACGGGTGAGGAGGAGGGTGGTGGTGTTGTTGAGTGTTGTGATGAAGAGCTTGTGGGGCAATGTGAGGCAATAAGTACATGTGCTGGGAAATACATGGCAAGTCTCTTGGTGGTTTTCTTGCTATTTCCACATTTCAACATGCACCCAAAAATATCTGACGTCGAAGCTAGGGTCCTAGAGGCCCTACATGCCAGAATCCTCACGTTTACGAACCCTGTATGCATGAGATCACCAAATCAAGAATTCCATCCTGCTAGTTGGAAGCAGACATATGATGCTGTGGCCCTTGTTTTGAGTGTTTGTACAGGCAAAATTGCATTCAAATTCTCACACAATTGAAGCTCTTAATCAATAGTACTCTTATGATAAGAAAAAAGTGTGATCTAAAAGGGTGACACAGTCTAAGTCATACATCCAGGCTGACCTAGCTGATGCACCAAATATGGCAACATCACTAAAATTCATTGTTCTCTTCCACACTGCCCTCCATGTCATCACTATAAAGTACATCCACTCTTCCTGTTACCCTGAACTTCTTGCCATACCCAACTGTACTGTCTCTTCCATGTAGCTGAATCCCACCTTGTTACCAAGACGCTACCCCTCTTCTTGGCTATATGGGCCCATCCGCTTTGCCCAAGCATTCTCCCCCAGTGGCCAATATTCTTGATTGCCTGCAAGAACTGCCTCCATCCTCCATCCTCCTTCCTCAAGTAGACCTCCCTCTTGTTGCTGAGATGTTAGCCCTTCCTCTGCTTTGCCTCATACTCCTACTTTTTTGCCCTGTCTTGTGAGCGGCAACTCCCAGACTTGAGGTGACTCAAGACAAGAGAACACTTGTTTGCTCTATGTAACTAGCTTTGGAAAAAGGTGGGTAGTACTTGGCTTTCTTGGTAGGCAAAAGGGGTGATTTGGGAGCGATTTTTTGCCACATCCTCTTGAGCTCTTGATTGGTTTTTGGTGTGGGAGGAATGAAGCCAGGGGAGGATGGGATAGGAGCTGAGGGAGTGTCATGGGATGTGGAGGAACGGGACCGGTCATCCTAGTTGTTGTTGCTCAAGAGTTCATCCCTGCTTTTGTAGCCTTCAAGACGCTTCAGAACCACGCGCGGATCATATGGCAGAAAACCAGCCATCTTGAAAGTATGCTTGATAGTGCCACCCTTGAAAGGTTCGGTTCTGATGCCATGGAGAGCAGCCATAAACTGAGCCTTATCAAAGTTGATACGGCCTAGGTGGGCTGCCTCACTGAACGCCTGTCTGTGCCAATGTTTGTACAGCTAGAAGACCTGGAAATCAAGCGGCTGGAGAATGTGGGTGGCATTGGCAGGCAGAAGGAAGGGGATGATTATGTGCTCCTTGCAGTATGACACAGACTCATAAGCTGTATGAGAGATGTGACTCTCATGAACCAATAGTTGATGAGTGCCAACAACTTCTCTGTGTGCTTGGCAAAATGCTTGATCCAGGCCATTGCTAAATGGCTTTTGGTATAGCCAGTCTCAGAGCAGGAGAGGGGAGATCATTTTCAGTCCAACCAGACATGAGCTTCTTGCCAGGCAAGATGACCTGGGGAGGGATAGTCTCGCCAGCTACGCTGATGGCTTTGATGATGGTGAGGGATTGGCGGTTGGTGGTGGCAGCCGCTTCAGCAGCCTTCTTGGGATCTGTTGTAAAGACGCACTCATTCACTCCAACACCAATCCAGAGCCCTACTTCATCCATGTTCCAAATGTTAGCTGAAAAGTGATCAGTATGTCAACAAGGTGAGACATGTTGGAAAACTCACCTGGATGCCATATCTATTTCTCACTTCCATCAATTCCCTGAAGTATTCAGCTATCACCTTTGGCTTTAGAGCAGCGACTCTGGCCAGCTTAACACTCTTCTGCTCTAAAAGGTGGAGATTCTCTGTCCGCTGGTGGAAATGGTCAACCCACTTGGAGTACATAGTGGGTGTGTCCTCCATGTCTCCATCCCATGCCTGAGTTATGATTTGGTTGGCTGAATCCTTGACAAGCACTTTGGTTGGAGGTATCCCCCAGCCATCCAGGAGACGAATCCATTCCAGCAGTATCTTCTCCTGCGTGTTGGTGAGAGATTTTTTGACAGGTTTATTGTCATGCTTTGACAGAATACCCTTGTGTCAATTTTGGAGCGACCAAGTTGGGTTTTTCCTGTCGGTTTGCAGCGGGTAAAGCCTCCAGGACCCTAGCTTTGACGTCGGATACTTTTGGGGGCATGTTGATATGTGAAAACGGCAAGAAATGGGCATAAAACAAAAAGATACCTCAAAAAAGTGCCCTTTCAATGTCAGACCCTCCCTAAGGGGGAGGGTGATTCTGCCAGAAGTTGAATCTTGATAATAGCATTATTAACCATGGGTCTGGGTATGTACAATGCAACAGTGGCTCCATAGCTCCGTTGCACTGGTTTAAAAAGACATAATTGATTTGAGGTGGCTGAGGTCAAAAACGGCTGTGGAGGCTAGAGAAGAACAGAAGGTGAAGGGAAGAGAGAGTCAAGATAGTCCACTGTAAAACATGAAGGGGGTTTTTGAAGGAAAGTACCCAGAAATTGCCTGAATATAAAGGGAGTTTGACTGCCTTTGAGGCTAGCTACAGGACTCACTAGGGTCTTTTGGTCCCCAGCCCCAGAAAGTTGTAACACCTTTGAGCAACAAGGGATTCAATTCTTATTGGTGATCAAAAGGCCCAGGGGACTTGTTGGTAATTCTTGAACTTAGTGATTCAAGTTTGAGCAAAGGCTTTTCTGGGACTTTTTGTCTCGCCCTTCTGATACTTCTTGACATTGTCATATCTTGGTAAATAATGATCCCATGCCCACAAACTCTCCTCAGATATGTTTTTGCGAGCTTACACCCTCTGTACAATTCCTCCTTTATCCGTCCTCTTCTGTTGCCCTGTTTGCCTTAGCCCAGAGCATTAAACTTTGTTGGTGCTTCCATCAGCAATACAAAGCAATAGTCATGGAATTTCTGTGGATTTCAGTTTTCTCCACAATTTTATCAAATGCATCTATGACCTCATATACACTGCAATCAGCTATGTTTCATTCACAAGATAGCTATGCATGCACTTTTCATTTACCAGTTGACTCTACTGCCATGACTGTACACGCTTCACCATCTAAACAATGCCAATATGCTGCAGATGGTGACAGATATGGCAATACACAAGCCAGTTGCATCCACGAAGTTGCCAAGAGTACCATATGCAACACCTGCAAAGATGTGAAGGAGCGGGGCACTACAAGGGCCCACAAGCATACCGGTCAAATGAACAGCATTGACCCTCGTACTTCCTGCCAACTCAACCACCTATTTTGTCTACACAGGTGGACTCCGGTCACAGTTCCTACCCTTGCGGCTGCCAGTGGAATCGAAATCTCCCTGACTACCTTGAAGAGATTCATGGCTGTCAATGTGTTTGCTCAAAGGAAAGCGGTGTACAAACCTTTCCTAAAGAAGCAGCACAGGCGTGGGCGCTACTTGTACACTCTTGCTCACCAGAATATTGATTTTCAAAAGGGGATCTATGTTGACAAGGCAATTGTCAGAGCCAATGGGAACCATGTGAGTTGGGTCACTAGGAAAGAGGGAGAGGCATTGTGGTTGGAGAATCTGAGGCCTGCATTTGGGCAGTCTGTGGTCTCCATTATGGTTTAAGGAGCCATCTACCACAGCGGGAGGTCAGAGCTGGTCGTTTTTGACACCAACAAAAGCACGGGCAAGCGGGGTGATGTCACTGCTCAGCTCTACCAAGTACAAATTGTTAATATACACCTCAAAAACCTCTGGAACTTTGCAATCTCAGGTGTGGATGGTGAGTAGGGCCCCTTCATCCTAGAGGATAATGCTTGGGTCCATATGGGCAAGGTGGTGTGAGGGGCAGCCCATGCAAACGGCTCCTTGTACATTCCTCACCCCACTTGCTCTCCTGATCTCGATCCAATTGAAAATTGCTGGAAGCTCCTCTAATGGAGGATCAGGGGTTGTGGGAGAAGGGCGAATACCACCAAAGAACTTACCAGGGCGGCTAAGGAAGCCTGGCAGGAGATATCGCAGGAGAGTGTGGAGGCATGCATCAAGAGCATGTCAACCAGAATAGTATGTTTCAAATATCAAAAAATCACCGCGGATGAATTTTCATTTCGGACAATATTTGCTTCTGTTGAGGGGAGTCTTTGGCTGGGGATTTATATCTCAAACGATTTGATCTTTGAAACCATTTTTGGGAGATGCAGGATCAAAATGATGTTTTTTGAAACGACGTTTTTGTGTCCCTGCTGGCCTCCTCATCCTTGTCTCTACTTGCTCATCTTTTACTTGCCATGTATCTTTGACCACCCATGCAACTTGTCCATTCAGCAGCACGCTCCCTCCCCTCCCATCTTACCAACAGTCCCACTCCATCTTCTTGACTACCTTGATACTCCCCTACCAACATGTCGGATATAGGTCAGAGGAGAGCGGAAGCTGAGACAATTGTGAACATCCTGCTGGTTGTGGCTACGCTCCAGCAGATGCTCGATTTTCCCAATGACTTTGACTCTAGCAACCCAGAATTTACAGAATATTTCCTGCAGCTGATCATCATCCTCAGGGCGTCCGGTCTGCCCAATTGGCAGTCACACATAGGCTGGCTTGGCCTATTCACCCCCGAGATGACACTGCTTGCTATGGACACTTTCAACGACTATCTGAGATACCTTCAACAGACTCAATCGGTGGCGCACCCTCTCACATACGACCGGCGCCAGAGATTAGGGGAGAATGTATGGTTTGTCATCTTTGATGACCAGAGTGACAAGGATTTCAAGCGAAATGTGAGTCAGCCTTCTGGATGACTGATAGAGGTGGTGCTGGGGATGTTAGGCAAGGATGTCCAAGAAAACCTTCCACAGTCTTTGGGAAGCCATTCGAGACAACGAGGCTTTCCACAACAATTCAGGTAATCCTCAGGAGCACTCGGCGTACCAATTGTACACCACCTTGGTTCGCTTGGGACGACGAGGGAATGGCATGTCCCATGGAGAGGTTGCCGAGAAATTGGGGATCAAAGGTGAGTCATAGTGGTGCAAACAGGGGACACACAGCTGATGATGCGCCTCAGCTGGTACATCATTCCTATGGACTATGAGAACTCTGGAGGCTATTCACAGGTCCCTCGGCAGCAAGAAGTGTATTTCTTGGCCTGATCCCAAAGAGAGAAAGAGGATTTGCAGGGATTTTGGCCTGACATCTCCTTTTAAGAAGTGTGTGGGCCTTATTGACGCCACTCTAATTGAATTAGAGTATGTCCCTGGGCGCGTGGATAAGCGCCTGTGGTATGGGAGTAAGGACACCTATGGGTTCAACGTCCTTGTAGTTGCAGACCATGAGTGTCGTATCCGTCTGATACAATTGGGATTCCTGGCGTCAAGCCATGATCAGCGAGTCTATCACAACACTTGAGTGAGCTCAAATCTTTACAAGCTGATATGTGGCAGTGCGCATACAACCCTGTTAGATGTACCAGGGACCTGAGCACTACTTTTCTGATGGCGAGTACCTCCTTGCGGACAGTGGCTTTACACCCAACCCAAACTGCGTTCCAAACTACAAGAGCAATGTTGGAGGTTGAAACAGGCATGCAGGTGCAGCCAGAGACCACAAAGTCTTCAACGACCACGTCAAGAAGGTCAGAGTGCGCATAGAACACACCATTGGCTACTGGAAGGCGCGCTTTAAGAGTATCAAGCTGCTGTCACCGCAAGTGAAGTCTTCTGATCACCATGTTCTCAATATGAGCGTTTGGATTGTGGTATGTGCAGGTTGGAAATATGGCGTTTTGAAGGAGCAGTCGCTGACACTCATTCCTCAGGTCACTGCGCTACTTCACAACTGGGTCATTGACCATGAAAAACTTGAAGATGATGAAATAATCAACCCCGATGATTTGGAAAAGATCATGCAAGAGGAGGCAGTAACTAGTGACAGACTGGACCAAGAAGATATCCAGCAGCTCACCGCGGCCAAGCGGCAGGATGACGGGTATATGCGTGAGGCTGTGCGAAGACCAATTGAGGGCATGCAAGCGCAGGGAGAGAACGTTGCATATGTGGATCCAGAGTTACCGCTTTTGGGATGATGCTCCTCAAAAGTATGTACAGCTTGTCAATCATATGTAAAACGCCTTCTTGTCTCTTCAATTGCCTTCTTCCTTGCCTCCTCTTTTGGATCGCCAGCGGCCACATACTCCTTGAAAAGCTCATGCTCAAACTCCCACTTCTTTGCAGCCATCTCATCCTGAGCCCGGAGTTCCTCCCTTTGCGCCTTCACATTCCTCCAATGGGCATCCTGTTCATCCCTCTTCCTCTTCCACTCACGCTCCTCTTGTTCCATCTTGAACCTCACTTCATACCTTCCATCCTCTACCTTCAACCTTTCACTCTTCACTTGCAGTTCTCCCTCAAATCTCCTCGCTTGCTCAGCGACCTTGTACTGCTCAAGCGCCAGCGCCGCCTGGGCTTGCTGCTCCGCTATCTCCTTACACCCTTGGATACTGGCTGTAGAATGGTCCCTAAAAAGACCTTGAAGTTGCTCATTTAGGTTGGTGTTGCCGCGCCTGCCCTTGCCAGAGGTCGGGGTGTCTTGGGCATTGAGGGATGCCCGTGCCCTTGATCCGTTGGAGAGAGAGCCGGCACCCCTTGCCCCAGAAGTCGGCTTGTCAGCAACCCCGTGATTGCTGGTAATGTTGGTAGACAGAGAATTGGCTCTGGTCCCCCTGACGCTGAAGACGTCGTCATTCTCAACGTCCTCAGCCTCCATTCCAACGGGTTGCTCCTCAATCTCGGAGCGCGAAGACACATGGCGGGCCATAGAAGGGGTGGTTGAGACTTCTCGGTCGCCCATCTGATGGACACTGCTTTGCTCCGTTATGTTGGCGTTTCTGTCCTTGAGAGAAGGGAGGAGGGTGAAAAAGAAAGGGCAATTCTCTTTGATCTTTGCTATATACAGAGTCAGCACCTGACTATATTGGTTGCGGCACCTACCCTCCTACGTCTTGATGCCTCTCGCCAGATCATCTTCCGTGACCCCTTCGCCAGTTGGCTTCTGTAGGGCCAAAGCTTCATCGAACGCCTTCTTGATTTTCTGAATCTGTAGATGCAGATCAGCGTCATGTCACATCTTGGCTGGTCTCAACTCACCCGGTCCTGGACTCCAGAGGCCTTAGCCTTTTCAAAATTTTTGATTTTCTTCTTGGAAAGCCATTTGTAGATCACGTCGGCGGCAAACTTGGCTCTATCATTGGAGTCTGAGTAGGCAGCCCAGTTCTCGGGCACGGACATCCAGTCGACGAGGTAATCTTCACCAGTACGCCCATCCGGTCCAACACAAATGGTGGAGTTCTTCTTATTGTGTTTCCACCTCCATGCGGACGCATCATCACCGTCTGTCTTCCTGTTGGACCTGTTGGCTGTTGCGGGGGTGGAGGGAGGAGCAGGCATGGCAATATGAGCAAGCGGATTTATGGGGCTTCTGGATGTAGATTGGACAAAAGTATGGATGAAGTGCAAAAGCACGCGCGTACGCGTGGGGGCGAGAAGTAACAACAGAAAGGGTGATCACATGGTAGACGTGTGGTATGCACGTGGTATGCATGTGGCGTTCCGGGCAAAAACCATCTCTAGTGATTTTTCAAAGATCACGTTGGCCTGAAACCTGCAAAACGTTTTTTTCCTCCGCGACGTTTTTGCTGCCAGCCAAAAACGCCCGACGGAAGCAAATATTGTCCGAAATGAAAAATCATCCGCGGTGATTTTTTGATATTTGAAACATACTATTGAGGTTAGGGCTTAGTTTAGTTGCAAGCATCTATCATGGTATGATAGTCTTGTATAGTAGTTGATGTGCTTATATCCCACCCAGTTACATATCCTTCTAAGTCTCAAAATGCTTTGACACTGCTGGGCAGTCATAATGTCCTGACACAGACACTCAAGCTTGTGCATAACCTTCTTCTGCATCAAGATGTGGGCTGGATACAGGCTGGATGGCTTGTTGAAGAACATCTACTCATCTGATTCACACATCCACTGCAGACCGTCCTCTTGCTAAACAGGTACTGGCAGGAAGATTGGGCAAACACAGGGCCGTTTGCAGAGGGTATAATTGCCAAAGAAAGCTGGGGTGATCAGGCCTGCTCTGGGGGGACAGCTGAAGTTATCACCACGTGTAATTGAGGGTTGAGTCCAAGTACGTGAAGAGGAAGACACAGGTGTGCTTGGATGTGGTCTTGGAAGGAGTTGTAGAGGTCAAGGAAGAAGAGGAGGAGAGAGAAGAGAGTCAAAGAGTTGATTGTTTGAGGTCTCTGTCCCTAACACCCAGCCTTTCTTATATACATGAATGAGTGATGAGACAATAGACAGGGCAACTACATGATATGTCTATGGCATAGAGCAAATAAGGGTACAAGTTGACCAGCGAAGCGTACAGAAGGTTAAGGACAATAAGAAAGGTGAGACGGGTGGAAGAAGCTAAGGGTAGCAAATATGGTGTGTCAATGTGTAAAGGACCTAAATACCAAGTAAGATCAATTAACTGGATGAGCAGCAAAAGCCACTGCATCACAATTCCAGAGTTGGAATTGTAATGCATATGTTGGTATTTGGACTTGTTAACTTGCGCCCCGGGACCTGACCACTGGATCCTTACACAACGTACATTGGACAGCCCTACTAAAAGAGAAGAACAAGAAAGGAACAGCGACAGATGAATTGCTGTGTGAGTGGAGTGATAGCAATGTCCCTAGATATGCGTAGCTCCTGGTACTATGTGATGGTTGTGATGTACCAGAATAAGCAAGAGAGGGGCCTCAAACAAGGAAGCAACAACAAGTGTTGAGTGAAAAAGTGTTGCAATGTGTCCAGCTCAATAAGTAATATGTAACAAAGCATGTGATGACATGGAAGCTGGAGCACAGTTGTGACACCCACATGGGGGCTCCCTGACCATTTGAACTAGACAATAAAATAAGATGGCCGACTTCCAATGCATGCACAGCAAGGGAAACACTTATTTCAGAAAAAAGAAAAAAGTACCATGCCTGATATTTGAATCTGTGTATATACCTTGAAGGATGAGAGCTCCAACCTGCAAGCCAAAATTTGGAAAGTGCCTGGGGGAGCACTTGTTCTGTTTCTATATGCCCAGGTTGTCAGCAACCATTGGACAAAATTCTTTAAATACCTGGGTGCATATTTTTCTGCACCAAACCCAACCCACAACCTGGCTTCAGCCACTATGGCCATATTTTCTTTGTCAGTCTGTAGTTTGTCAGTGTTCTATCCAACACATGCTGCAAAATACAAGAGAAATTGTATGATCTAGCAGTACATGCAGTCATGGTAGTAGCCCACCATGACATCTTATGCATGTATGGGAGGTGTAGGGACACCCGGGTGTTTGGACAATCATGCCAGTCATACCCAGGCATATCAGAGCAAAGCCTATGTGTGTGTGGTGATCAGGCCTGTCCTGGGGATACAGCTGAAGGCATCACCTAGTGTCAGTGTAGGTTGAGTCCAAGTACAGGTGGTAGTCGCAAATTTTCTGCAAATTTTGGTCTGCACCCCAATTTATCAAATGCGTCTATGACCTCATATACACTTCAACCAGCTATATATCCTTTCACAACATAGCTATGCATGCACTTTTTTTTCACCAGTCGACTCTACCGCCATGACTGTACACGCTTCACCATCTGAACGACGCCAATACGCTGCGGATAGCGACAAATATGGCAATACACAAGCTGGTCGCATGCACGGGGTTGCCGAGAGTACCATACGCAATGCCCGCAAAGATGTGAAGGAGCGGGGCACTACAAGGGCCCGCAAGCACACCGGTCAAAAGAAGAGCATTGACTCTCGTACTTCCCGCCGGCTCAGCCGCCTGATTCGTCTGCACAGGTGACTCTGGTCACAAAACTTCCCACCCTTGCGGCCGCCAGTGGAATCGAAATCTCCCTGACTGCCTTAAAGAAGTTCATGGCCGTCAATGGGTTTGCTCAAAGGAAAGCTGTGTACAAACCTTTCCTAAAGAAGCAGCACAGGCGTGCCCGCTACTCATACGCCCTTGACCACCAAAACTTCAACTTCCAGAAGGGTATATATGTCGACGAGGCAATTGTCAGAGCCAATGGGAACCATGTGACTTGGGTCACCAGGAAAGAGGGAGAGGCAATGTGGTTGGAGAATCTGAGGCCTGCATTTGGGCAGTCTGTGGTCTCCATTATGGTTTGGGGAGCCATCTACCACAGCGGGAGGTCAGAGCTGGTTGTTTTTGACACCAGCAAAAGCACGGGCAAGCGGGGTGGTGTCACTGCTCAGCTCTACCAAGAGCAGATTGTGAATAAACACCTCAAAAACCTCTGGGAGTCCGTAACATTGCGTGTGGATGGTGAGCAGGGCCCCTTCATCCTAGAGGATAATGCTTGGGTCCATACGGCCAAGGTGGCACAAGGAGCAGGCCATGCAAACGGCTTCTCCTATATTCCCCACCCTGCTTGCTCTTCGATCTCAATCCAATTGAATATGGCTGGAAGCTCCTCAAAGAGAGAATCAGGAGTTGTGGGAGAAGGGCAACTACCATTGAAGAACTTACCAGGGTGGCCGAAGAAGCCTGGCAGGAGATATTGCAGGAGAGCATGGAGGCATGCATCGAGAGCATGCCGACCAGAATGGAGAGGTGATAAAGAGCCAAGGTGGGCATACCAAGTATTGATTAAACAGCTTCTAGCTATGCATATCTAATGTAGGAGGTGCTCATTGTTGTCCTCATCAAATCTGATATGCATAGGTGCGATACCGCGTTATATGTAGTGGTTTGAAATATACACCCCAAGCTGCATCAATGCGGCGGAGACCAAAATTTGCAGAAAATCCGCGACTACCACTTTACATACCTGGGCAAGAGTCAGTCCTAACTATTCTCTAATGCCCAGGATTTAGCTATGCACTGAAAGAGGTAACAAGAAGGGAACTCACACACACACACAGACGCCTAAGCTGTAAAGCAATAGGACACAAGAAGGGGAACAACGACGGGCAAAGAAAGAGAAGCCACGTCAACGTTCCACCAAGTCCTGCCTGCGCGTGCAGCGAGCTCCGCAAAATTCCAATGCTGACGCGGCATTACACATTACGTAAACACCAACGGAAGCGCTTCTCATTTGTCTAAGTTTTTTCTGCTCTTTGTCCCACAGCTTTATCAGGCCGCCTCCATGCATAGCAGGAGTGTAAGAGGCTTGCCTCATACCCTTCCTGAACATATGACCCATTGACCCTTTTGGCTGCAACTCTCTGCCTTGACTGTTGGACTGCATGTGAGTAAGCATTAGCGGAAGGCAGCCTGTTGCATTTGAGTGCTTGGACTCAGCAAATGAGAAGCGCTCCTGCTATGCATGCATGCAGGAGGCGGCCTGATAAAGCTGTGGGACAAAGAGCAGAAAGAACTTAGACAAATTAGAAGCGCTTCCGTTGGTGTTTACGTAATGTGTAATGCCGTGTCAGCGTTGGAATTTTGCGGAGCTCGCCGCACGCGCAGGCAGGACTTGGTGGAACGTCGACGTGGCTTCTCTTTTTTGCCCGTCATTGTTCTCCTGTCTGTTGCCCTTTGCTATACAGCTCAGGTGCTTGTGTGTGCGTTTCGTTAGAGTTAGGACTGATCTCTGCCCAGAGTCACCGCCTTTTCCTGTCTGTGTGACATATATGTATTGGGGTCCTGTTTCACTTCAGGTTGCACCGCCCCGCTCGACCCTCCGCCGTTCTCCGCCGTTCTTCGCCGTTCTTCGCCGTTCTTCCGTCCAGTTAGCCATAACTGTGACCTTCGCCGTTCGCCTTCCTCACCGCTGCTGTCAGTGAAGAGGAACCACTCCTCTTACAAGACGATAGAACGAGGGAACCCAAATTCGGAAACCCAGTGATCGAAATATAACTGAGCAGCGGCGGAGGAAGTGACCGTGGTAACCGTAGGAATGAGCACTACCCATCCAGTGAGACGATCGGTAATGACCATAAGATAGTCATAACCGTTACTGGAGGGGAGAGGGCCAACAAAGTCGATAGCGATATCGGCAAATTTTGAACGAGGGATGGGTAGAGAATGCAGTAAGCCGGCAGGTTTGGTGGTGGAAGACTTGGCGGTTTGACAGGGGTGACACGATTGAACGTATTCCCTAACGTCCTTCTTCATCTGAGGCCAGAAGTACTTCTCCATGATCACCTCCATCGTTTTCTCCACTCCAAAATGACCCACCACATCATGGCACTCCTTCAAACAGTCCTCGCGCAATCCCTCACTATCCAGAACACATATACTTTCTTCCCATTTCAGTAGCTCCACCATCTTCCCTTTCTTTCCGATCACCCTAACCATCACAACCCCCGGGGGACGCTCTTCTTCATTCAACCATCTCTCCATGATACTATCTCCTTTATATCCCTCCGCCATACGCTCCAAGAACTCTTGATTGACTGTAGTCGTGACGAGTGAGAGAGCGTTGAGGGAGGCATCTGAATGTAATCGGGAAAGAGCATCGGCGACGACGTTGGTAGCTCCAGGGATATGGGAGATTCGGAGGTCGTGATCCGCAAATACAAGTAACCATCGCTTTTGTCTCTCGGACAAGTTGGGTTGCTCAAAGAACCATCGTAGAATCGCATGATCCGTCATGACATGAATGGGAAGACCAAGTAGAAGCGGCCGCCATTGCTTGAGAGCATGTACGATGGCAAGGAGCTCCTTCTCATGAACCGGGTAATTTTTCTCAGCTGGCAAAAGAGCACGGGAGTCGTATGCAATAGGAGCAGCTTCTTCTGCGGTTTGGCCGCTACCCAACCAAGCGCCTATCCCAGTATTACTAGCATCGGTGTGGAGATAGCGCGGAAGTCAAGAGGAGCGAGGCTAGTGATGTTGGCGACGAGCTCCTTGAGCGTCACAAAAGCGCGATGAGCTTGGGGAGTCCAATCCCAGACCCAAGACAGCGCAGGGAGAGGATGGGGAGGCTTCCCACGTGTAAGTAGTCGGACGCGTGCCTCATATGTTTTCTGAGCGGCCTTGTTGGGAGGGAGGAGGGCCGATAACACCGAGGAATGGGTATCAATATCGGGGATAAATTTCCGCAGATATTGGAGTAAACCAAGAAAGCTGCGAAGCTCTTTGACGGTATGGGGATTCGGCCACGAGCGCAGAGTAGAGACCTTCTTGGGATCAGGACCAATAGAGTTGTTGGAAATGACATGACCTAAAAAGGTGACCGAGTCGGCGAAGAAGACCGATTTCTCTTGAGAACAGCGCAACCCATTTTTCCTCAACGCCTCCAAAACCTCTCGAATTCTTCTCTCCAACTCTTCATCATTGTCCGCCCACACTATCACGTCGACCACATACGCCTCACATGTTTCGCCAATCAATCCCCGTAACGCTTCATTGACCCGCCGCTGCTGAGTAGCAGGGGAATTCAAAGCACCCTGTGGCACCACTACCCATTCGTATAATCCCCATGGCGTAGCGATAGCTGTCTTCTCAATGTCCTTCTCCTCCATCAATGTTTGGAAAAAGGCGTCGGTCATATCCATTTTTGCAAACACCTTGCCCAAGGCTGCGCATTGGAGAATGTCCTCGATAAATGGAGGGGAGGTTTTGTCGGGAATTGTGACCAAGTTCAATCCACAATAATCGCAGAGGAACCGAAATTTCCCATCTGACTTTCAGAGAAGAAAGGCAGGGGCAGCCCAAGGGGAACTCGAAGGGTGAAGACGACCAGCACGACGGTGTTTTTCAATCTCTTGAAAGAAAGCCTCCTTCCACGCAAGTGGGACGCGAAACCCAGAACGAGCAACGGGTTTGACTCCAGGGAGGATGTCAATACGATGACGGACTTTGGAGATAGTTGGAGAAACCTCTGGATAGTTGTCAACATTGCCTATGTCATTAGGGAGGACATCGGCGAAATCGGCTCGGATTGCCTCTGCTCGCTGCTGACGGTGAGGAGAAGGAACAACTGTAGGCTGCAAGCTGGGATCGTCCACGGTAAGGGAGCCGATGTGAGAATACTGGGACTGAGCGTGGACAGAACGACCTTCAGCCATGAGTTTGGCAAGCCGCGCAGCACCTTCCAGCAAACGGTGTTGAAGACAGAAGGGAAGCCCAAGAATGAAATCGACGTGACGAGAAGTGGGGATGATGAGGAAAGACGAGTTCTTGTAAAGAGTTGGACCAATAAAAACATCCATCCTGACTCTGGTATCAACATGCGGTCCAGGTTGCCCATCCGCCATCCGGGTTTTCAATGGTTTCACTTTCTGTGTCCTCAACCCTGCCGCCTGCACGAAACTCTCACTAACAGTATTGATGCCGCACCAGGATCAATGAGACCTGTGGTGATAGGAGAGTCAGCCGAAAGACCTACGTCGACAAGGATAAGGGGGACTGACGAAGCGTCGGTGCAGTCTATATCGTGTTCAACCATGGCAGCAAACACATCACCATCCTCGTCGAGATCGTCAATAGAGAGATTGGCGACAGTGGCAGCCGTTTCACGAGCAGAGCACTCGCGGCTTTTATGACCAGCCTTACGGCACCAATAACAGAGGTCGTTTCTGTCAGGGAAAGCCCGGGCACAAGCGCCAGCATTGGTAGACTTGTCTGAGAGTTTCTTCTTGTTGATCCATTGGACTTCTTCCGCCGTCAGAGAACGGCCATTGAGCTGGGCAGGCGGAACAGGGGAAGGGTTGGGGACATTTGATGGCGCCGAGGGACGAGAGGTCGTGGCGGAGGACTGACGAAACTGCCGAGTATAGGTGGCAGGGGGAGGGGCTGGGAGTTCCGTGGTTCGGAAGATGCGATCAATAATGTCATGCAGGAGGGGAAGAGAGATTGCCGAACGACTAAGTCCTCGATCGTCAAGACGATCCTCAACTCGAGTAAGGATGTGGGAGGGGAGACCGAACAAAAGCTTTCAGCGCATGTCGGAATCCGTGATGGCGCCGAGACAGTCGCCAAGAACCATCTGACACTCTCCAGCTTTCTTCTCGAACGTTTGCCAGGCTGTCAAAGTTGATCCCTGGCACTGAAGCCCTTCAAACACACGTCGAGTCTCGGACTCCCAATTGGGCGAGAGAGCCTGCTTCTTGAACTCATCACGCCAAGCTTCCCACGAAACGCATGCGGCACCAGTGACTATAGACCAATAATGGTACTCGTCGACCTTGGCGATGGACTTATTCGCTCGAGCAACCCGCCACTGAGGAGCGGACGGCGTGCCATCTGGAGAGCGAGAGTTGTATTCAACAAAATAGCGCTGAAGGTCATGGAGATGTCGAACGACGCCAAGCTGGGACGCACATGAGGATGACAGCATGGGGAGTTTCGGAGGGTCGACTTGGGCACGCTGGAGCTCAGCTTGGTTGCGATGCATTTTGTTGATAATGATGCGGAGATTGTCATACCTACCCAACGCTCTGACTGGACGTCTGACCGTCCGAAGCTGGGGCCTTGGGGGTATGATCGGGCAGCTGATGAGGCGGGGTGTTGTAGGCGATGCGCGTGCCATCGGCGGCGCGAAGAGGGGTAGTGACGGCGACAGCAGGAGGGCGGGGACCAAGAATGATCGTGCCCAATGGGGCGGCTAGTGGCGTCGGCAGAGGTGATAGCATTTCCATCCTCGTCAAAAACGACAGAGTGAGGCTTGGAGGGGGATGTGCCCTCGGCGTTCTTCGTGCCATCGGCGTTCTTTGGTTTGTTGGGTTTGTTGTCATTCATCGTGATGGGTATGGGGTGTGAAGTTTAAATGAAAGTGTAAGCAGCGTGTGGGCTGCTTCACTGACGACAAGGGAGCGGCGAGACGAACGGCGGTGATATCAGCTATGAGGAGCTGGACTGGAGAACGGCAAGAGAGCGGCGAGGAACGGCGGAGGACGGATGGGGCGGCGCAACCTGTAAACAGGACCACAATGCATATACTTGTCACATAGACAGACAAAAAGGGCGGTGACTCTGGGCAGAGATCAGTCCTAACTCTAACAAACTGCCCAGGTTTTAGCTATGCACTCTAATGTACAAGGAAAAAGGGAACTCACACGCACACACAGGCACCTGAGCTGTATAGCAAAGGGCACAGAACGAGGAACGATGACGGGCAAAGAAAGAGAAGCCACATCAACGTTCCACCAAGTCCTCGTCTGCTGTAAGCAGTGGCCTGCTTTCCACGACTTGGTCGTTTCGAGTCGCGGTTCGGCGATCACCGCCTCTCGCGACTTAACCATTTTCAGCCACGTTTTGGAACCAAATCTTCCGGAACCAATTCTGCTCGCGTCTTGGCTATCGCCGACGCTCACGACGCCACTTGTGTTATTGCCGTTTCCCCGCTTGTCTCTGTTACGTGTTGTTTGCCACTTTCGGCTCTTCGGCCGAAGGTATCTTGTGTGGTTCGTTCGGTGAGATTGTGTGTTTCGTTTGCGACTGTCCTTGCGCAGGGACAGAGTACTTGGGGGCATGGAATTGTATCTCTTTCTCCATCGCCCTTTCATCTCTGTCCCAGTGCGTATCTCTTCTTGTTCTCGATGGTCACCTGGACTGACTTGAGCCAGTTCCCATTTCCCTTATCTTCAGCGTTCCTCAGTTCATATATTGATCGTTCTCGTCCAGGTGAGCCTTGTCCTTATTGTATCTGCCGACCCAGTGAAGAGTTAGACGCCTAACTCTTACATCTGCGCGCGCGGCGAGCTCTGCAAAACTCCAAAATGACGTGGCAATACACATTACATAAACACAAATGGAAGTGCTTCTCATTTGTCTAAGTTCTTTCTGCTCTTCATCCCACAGCTTTATCAGGCCGCCTCCAAAGACCAGTCACGCAACTGACAGAAAAATGGTTGACATTTCATTCCTCTTCTCTATCCATCCCAAAATCACCCCTTCCACTCCCCTTTCAGCAAACACCAACCACATCTATCCACTCTCAACATGCCAACCCACACTGCTAACTTGACTGACCATGTCCAAATACTTGGTGGATGCATAGGTGACTGAGATACAATTTGTAATGGCTTTCCTAATCCCGACGCGTCAATTAGGAAGGCGCCCTGAGCTTGTAATACTAGGGGAATCCAATAGGATGTAGGTGTGTGTCAATAATTGGAGACAAGAGGGGAAGTGGATGGAGAGGATAGAGGGCAAGAGCAAAAGAAATACATTCAACATTACGGTTGGACATGGCCAATGTGTTCAAGACGGACAGGATCTAATCTCTGCAGGGCCAGCCACGTGCTTATCCCTGTGACCCTGAGGTTGCCAGTTTAAGACCGCAAGTTTAAGAACGCCAGATTGAATTCCCCTAATGATCTGTTGCAAAGAGAGCGCAAAAAGAGCGACAATGACAGCAAGAAACGGCAAAAGAACAGGAAGGACGCATGGCGGCAATGTGCAGATGAATGTGGTGGGTGGAGTGAAAGGGATCATAAATGATGCACTCTTCAGCTGGATACTGTGCATGCAAATGACAATCTGATGCGAAGAGAGCACGAAAAGAGCGGTGATGAGAGCAAGAAATGCCAAAAGAAGAGGAATGATGCTTGAGGGACCAAGGAAATACTGGAGAATGTCATGGCAAGGGCCACAGGGCTGGAAGATGGTTGATGGGCCACTGTTTTGTGCACAGTAGGGCTTGCAGCTGAGAAGCAGAAGCGGCTTCCAGGCACCGAGTTTTGCAATTTGGAGAAAGTGAAAGTGTGAGGTGCAAAAGGAGCAAGGATGAAAGCGAGAAACACCAAACAAAGAGGAACAACACATGGTGGTGATGAGTGACTGATGGACCCTTCAACCTTATTTCAAGTTTTTGTTGAGTTCAACATGAGTGGACTATGCATGCATGGGCCCAAAACAGTACGGGGAGGAAGCCTAGGTTTTTCTGGAGTGCATTGGGGTGACAGGTACAGGGAGGCAAGGGTTGGGCAAGCACAGGAAGCCAATGGAAGCAAACACACAAGTTAAATTGTTCTTTGTTTACAATTGACTACTGACTTCTACTATTAATTACCTAGTAGAACTCAAACCAAGTGGCACAAAACATATACCTCTCAACGACCAATACTCTCAAGACAACAGTACCTCAAGGCAATACTGCATAGGAGACTTCCTGTATTGTCCATCTCTATTCAGCTTAAGGGCTTTTGTCATCACATTGTCCTCAAATCATGTGTCCACCACTCATGGGCTACAATCCCCACAACCCTGCTGCAGTATTGCAGATTGGAAACTCTGGGGCTCAAAGGTCTACAGAACAGGTTTTGTGAGAGGGCGCACAGTGAATGAGTTGGTTGAGAAGAACTGTGATTGTAAGAGGTTCATTGTGAGCGGGTCTGTTGGGAGGTTGCCAAGGGAAGTGGATGGTGTTCTCAAAGACAGGAAGGGTGTGAGTGGTGGGGAGAAATGAGGGCTGAAGGGTGTGGTGTTCAGCAATTTCATGATGGGGGCAATACGACCAATTTGCATTATGGATGGGTTATTGACAAGTAATCAGATGGGCCAGCAATGAAGAGGAGAGAAGTGGACAGAATTACCAATGTGGAAGCAGCTGCAAGTCCACAGCTGCATTGTTTGGTCCCCAGGTGGCCAACACAGTCTATAGATCTGGAGAATTTATAGTAATTGACAGAGGGCACATCCATCTTAGAAACTCAGATGGAGAGGTGTAATGTGGCCCATACAAAAATGTAAAGTGACAAAGGAATGCAAATGGGTTGCTTTCTTTAGGTTATCTCATCATGCATGCAATTTGAAGGATGCTTGAAAAACAGGTGCATGCCCTGTGTGGCACTTGGCCTGACAGTGAGCTAAAGATAGAACAGTGCATAGAAGGGGAGACTACTATCCATGAAACATGAGCAAACACCAGCCTAAACATTTAAATTGGAGGTTTATTTTATAATGCCCTGGTCCGGGAAACCGCAACTGTGACCCAGGTTGAAATATTGTTTTGGGGCAAGGGGGATAAACTGGGCCGGTGCCACAATCTCTACCACAAGTTCAACATCATGACTGTGGAAGACTGTGTCTTTGCCTGAGGCACCTGATGTGTTTCCTGGGTGATTAGGCGTGGTAATTGAAGGGCGTCTTTTACAGGCCGTAATATTTTAAATGTCCTGGTTGCCTTGCTGCCGTATTCTGAATGCCCTGGTCCTACCAGCCGCGCACCAAGGGCAAGACAAGCTCCCGTTATTGCACCCAATATGCACTGACAGCAAAAGTGTGACCTGTGCTTGTACATCCCCTCACACCATATATGTCCATCCTAAGAGGAAATGTGACTATACCATTGTGAAGAGCTCACTCTACACCTTCAGGACATGCTAGATTGGTCCTCTAACCTCATATGCATACCCCATACAGGCATGGTATAGACCAGGGCAGATGGCTAAAATCACATTTGGACCAGGGCATTTTGGATTTTTCACAATTGTGACCAGGGCATTTAAAATATATCCGCACAAGATTTTGTGTATAAAATTCAAAGGATGCCCAAAAAGTCCCCAAGAAATCCCAAGAAGATCCTTGAAATCCCCAGAAAAGCCGTTGAAAACACCTCAATTTTTCACATTGCCTATGGTGCTGTTTGACTCATCCAACAATGCCACACTCCTGCTACACCTGAGACCTCAAAATCTCTTACCACCATTGTTCACACCCAACACTTGATGCTCTTTCATCCCAACACTCTTCCATCCCAACACTCTTCCATCCCAACACTCTTCCATCCCAACACTCTTCCATCCCAACACTCTTCCATCCCAACACTCTTCCATCCCAACACTCTTCCATCCCAACACTCTTCCATCCCAACACTCTTCCATCCCAACACTCTTCCATCCCAACACTCTTCCATCCCAACACTCTTCCATCCCAACACTCTTCCATCCCAACACTCTTCCACCCCCTCATACCCTTCAACATTGTAACAGAAGTATGGGACCACCATTGCATTGTACATAAGCTGCAAATAGTTCCAGCTGAGCTGGAATGGTGACCTTTTGTAGCAGTCAAGATGTAAAGAATGCAACTGCAAAGGAGCACTCAATCACTTGGACCTCTTAACCACTGCAAAAGGTCACCTTTCCAGCCTGACTGGAACAGTATTTGCAGCTTATTTCCAATGCAACGGTGGCTCCATAGCTCCGTTACACAAGAGGTCCAAGGGATTTAATGTTTCCTTTGAGTTGCATTCTTTACAAACATCCAGTGCACACTTTGTCAACACAGTGAGTATACTCTCTGCTACCTCCTCTACCTCCACTGCTAATCCTACCTAACTGCTGATCTGTCCTAGCAATGTGTGTCCATGATTTGTCTGTCTTCTACAAACAACACTTGTGGTGATCAGGCCTGCTCTGGGGGGACAGCTGAAAGTATCACCAACTGAATTTGCGGGTGGAGTCCAAGTACTTGAAGAGGAAGACACTGATGTGCTTGGAGGAGGTCTTTGAAGGAGGAGTAGAGGTTTACTGCAGAAGAGGAGGGGAGAAAAGAGAGTTAAAGAGTTGTTGTTTCAGGTCTCTGTCCCAACACCCAGCCTTTCTTATATACATGAATAAGTGATGAGACAACAGACAGAGCGACTATGTGGACGTCTACAGCACAAAGCAAATAAGGGTACAAGTCAACCAGCAAAGCGTACAAAAGGTTAAAACAATAAGGAATAGGAAACGGGCAAAAGAAGGGGTAAGGGTAGTGAATATGGTGTGTCGATGCACGTCCAACAGCCCTACAAGAAGAGAAGAACAAGCAGAGGAACAAGTAACAACAGGGAAGACAGAGGCGAGCAAGGGTAAAAGAGTCCATGGGGTGTGCAGGTGCCTAGCACGCTACAACACTGGCCCAGATTCTGTTTTCTGCCCAGTCTGCCTTGGTTTTGTACTCCTCCCAATATGCTCTGCCACTTCCGTACATCATATTTTTTATTCCTTCCAGAGAACATAAAGTACGGTCAGGGAATTATCTTGCATGGTCTATCATCAGTCTTGACTTGTCACTTCTGCTTGCTAAAATCTGTAGTATGTAACCCCGCCGGAATGGGGGGTGGGTACATTGCTAGTGTATTCTATACAGTGCTTGGCAGCTGATGACAGTGGGCATCAGTGTTGCACATGTGGGTCATGCAATGACTGTGGCTTCTGGACTTGGAGTCAGGTCAGTGCATGACCTATTGTGTCATTTTTGGTAGCCCCCCTTGTTTTGTGCTGGTCAAATGGGGCAGTGATAGTACAGTTTCAGTGTAACACCACCTCTGTTCAGCAGATCCTGCATGAGCTTCTTGAGCAGCATGCACTATCTATATATGGAACAATTTGGATTTGCCAACAGATGTGGTATGTGTACACATAAATTGAATACATAAATGCATGCCCTCTAGAATACTGGGGCATCCTTCAAGAATATTTGATTCTCATCTGACAATACCCATCTTGCAACCTTGTTTGCTGTAGCCACCAATGCTGAGTTGGAAAGCTGAGGTGACACTGTCATGTAGAGCTCAAAAGGTTTTGTGGCCTGTTTCCCTCTGGTAAGTGTGTGACAAAAGTACAAGAATGGCACACACCCATGCAAGACACTTCTCATGATCTGACTGGATGCAGACTAACTTGACAGGCATGTCTTGACCAGAGCGAGAATGTATAGTGTCATGAAGGGTCTGGTACATTGTCACAAGTCTTTGCAGCAGATTCAGCTTCTGGGGTTGTCAAATCAAGTCTCTCTTACCGCTTATGATCTATTGAGTCATTGTTATATGGTGCCTCCCATGTGGGCTGAGTGATCTGTATATGCTGGCGAGACTTGTATACAAAATGCAGCAACCCAGGGCAACCAACAGTGGCTTAGAGATGTGAGTCAGAAACCCATTTGTCATTTGAAGTGAGGTTCAATACATACAGATGGTGTATGGGTGGGAAGGGATAGCATCCTGGATTTGGGCAAGAAGTCCATTGTGTTGTAGTTTCTATGATATGGTAAGCCACATGCAGAATAAGCTGTTCAGATAATAAAGCTCACTTCCACCACAAGGTCTTTCCATTTTTGTAGGTCCTCAAAGGCCTCTTGGTCTGCACTGACAAAGACCAGACCAATATCTTCTGTCATGAAATTGATGTAGGAATGAACAAATCCTGCTGGGTTAAATTTTGGAAAACACATTGGGAACCATGTTTCCGTGCTTCGCAGAGTAGATGAGGATGCAAGTGTGTTGAGCAGCAAATGTAGATCTATGCAATGCAGTTGGTAAGATGGCCATAGTAATGGAAGAGAAGAAACAGACACACCAGATGGATGTATTGAATGTTTTCGAGGCCGCAAGACAGTGACAATATGGTTATTTGCAATGAGAAGAACATATAGTAGGTCCTGTTTGTGAAAGAATCAGCTTTGCTTGTGGAATTGAACTGTCACCTACTCTAAACTTGGAGGGTGGCATCAGAGCTGCGGCACAGGTGTCTCGGATTGCAGGTGGCATCCTGAGCGGTTGGAGGGTGGATGTCAAGTAAGTAAAATCATTTTGCGCAGCTGTGATTAGGTTTGTGAGGAAGTGGCTGGTTCCTATAGATGTGTTATCGTCTAAACATGTACTCTTAACATGATTGCATTACCATCCAGTAACTTGGAAAGGTCAAAGTTGCTCCTGCGTTGAAACGCTCGAGTCAGTTGAGTCGAGGTGACAACGGACAAGATGTGTAGGTGGATATATTCAAGGTGAGATCGCAACTACGCCATGTCAGTAGCAGCCTACGTCAACCAACAAGTGAAACTCACAACATGCTCCGGCTCTCCCCAATCGCTAACACAAAACAGATACAGAGGTGATTTCAACAGGAATGCAATTTGATGACGCCCTTTCAGTATGCACCTGTACACCAACCATCAGTAATGTACTCGATGAGACCAATGACTGACCTCATGCGGTCACCATCTTCCGCGACAATTGAGATGAGTGCTTGGGCAACGCCCATCAGGTTGATCACAGCATCGTTTGAGACTTCTCCCTCGCTGATATCGGTGTTAGCATTGGCTCAACTCCCTTGCACTAGTCTGTCCAGCTTACGAATAGTAGACGGGCTTGCCAGCATTGGTCAAGACATAGTACTGTCGCGGCTGATAACATGCAGCTAAAGACCAGTCAGCTCCGGCACCAGGGTCTCGCCAGTATGCGGCTTACTTGTCGGTCCCTGTAAAGAGATATAGTTCCCTGCTTTGAAACCTGAAATCAGCAAGAATCTAGATTAGCGGACTGGCTACAGGAATTAGCACACCTTTATTAAGTCTGACGGGCCTCGACAGACTTTTCGCGCCCTCTCCAAGAGCATCTCTTCTGACTATCTCCATCAATCCTTTTCGGGCGTCCCCCGGCGGTACATTCACATCTCCTCTAACATCTTCTATATCCATCACAGGAATCCCATTATTCTCATACCTGGAGGACGAACTGCTGGATATATTGATCGCGCTGGTGTCGATGCCGCGACCAAGAGATCCCTGTGAGCCGGAACGGAAATCGACCGTATCATCTGAATGACCGATCAGCGAAGACGTGCGACCGGACGAGTCTTTGGCGTGAGTTGTCGGGTTTCGGACGGCGGGATTGGGAATATCGAAAGTGCCACGGGCGTCGTGACCGAATTGCGAAGGCGCCGTGGTCTGGGCTGCGACCGATATGGTGGAGACTTGGGACGTCGAGCGAGCCGATTTTGGGCGAGCCGGGCTATATGCGTGTAGTGCGCTGCCATCCGGAGGCATTCTTGATCATTACAATATATAGAGGAATGTGGACAACCTGGGACAGACTGTAGACAAGGCGAAACGCGCGTTTGACGACTTCGGGGCACCGCGAATCGGATGCTGCCGCCGGACGACTGTACAACTTGTATTTCTGTGCGGCACAGCATGCCCCTTCCCTGCCTTCTAGGCTTTATTAACTGGCAGATTTTGTCCTGCGCACAGTACCAGACACAGCATCGCAAGTGGAGATATATTTACGTCTCGAATACGTAGATGGATCATGGTTGTCTACAAGCTCCTGCACTTGTGTCTAATGTTGGGCAGAATGAGGAAAGAGAAACCGTATGTGCATAGAGACAAAGACATGATAACCATCTAAGTGTGTGTACGAATGAGGACAGCAAGCACCGAGAGCCGTTGCATTGCGCTGACTTGCGGCACGACGGCGAGACATTCCCCAACAGACATGAGACAGAGATGGCATAAGATGAACTCACAAGTGAAGGTACACGAGAACCGCTCCCCAGGTAAGCACGAAGAGTCGCCAATGGTCTGCAGTTTGAAGATTCGCCAAAGGGACAAGCTATAACAATTGATCAGCATATTGTCTAGACGATATCACTTGAGGTCAAAGATCAGATAACGATGGAATCACCATGGCCCTTTCCCCGCCTACTTTTGTACACGAGGCGTTTAGCGCAGAGCGCAAGGGAGCAGGATCTGTCCGCCCATCGAATTGTTTCATCACAGAAATGACGCCCCCGACTCGGCAGACTGGAGAATGTACTTACGAGGGGCATTTAGCATGAACGCGTTGGCGGACACCATTCATATCCATGAGGTCGCGTCCAATCGAGAAACTAACAAGCGAAGAGCGTTAGCGCACGTTGACTACACAATTCAGCGGGTCTAGGGATGGAACGCTCAGTCAAGGCTGAAATGTCACGCTAATCGCGATTTATCGCCAGCGAATGAGGTAAAGTATGTATGGAATGTGTTTTATCTTCATAGCGTTCCATAAAAGAAGAGTGTAAATTGACAGGGGTACTCACGTTATGAAAAGAGAAGTCTTGAAAACCGACCTTGACTGCATCTGAATAAGGTCAGCGTACGTCCATCCAGTGAAAGGTATCCCGAGCGTGCGAATCAGATCATGTGTAATTGAGTCCGCAAGCAACCCGATCTTGCCGGGGCTACCTGCCTCACCCAAGACCTTGCTAGAGGTTCTGAGTGGGGACAAGATTAGGGCAATGAATGCTCATCCCAGCTGACAGAGACAAGACACGACTGAAGAAACGACTCACGAGAGGACTTGTAGGCGCAGGCTGAAGAGGGCGAGGAGAGCATAGAAGAAGAAAACGCAGACACGATCCTTTTGTACAATTTCTTCTTCTTGCTCGGTCAGCTACACGTGGCATAAATGTCTGTGATACGCATACCCCCGTGGGCGGCCTTTTGCGGCGACCGCCGAAGACAGGAGCAGAAGGGCACGCGCTCAGCGTCACTGCTTGAATTTGCGCTTTGCTCTTCCAATATATCTCTCGGCTCACCCAGCGAATCAACCAAATTCTCGAACATGTCCAGAAGTCAACCTCTCTTTAGTGGAGGCATGTTTCAGGTCCTCGGCTCCGATACCGACCATCATGAAGAAGAAGAAGAAGAAGAGCCCGAGCCCATTGAGACGTTCGTACCCCTCAGCTCAAGCCTCCCCGTTCATGGCTGATCAGCCCGGATAGGTCGTCAAAAGACTCTCAACAGACAACTACCTCATCAACCCTGTCCAAGTCCGCTCGAAAGCGTCTGGCCAGGCTCGCTGCAAAGGCTCCCGGCCGTACCCCGAGCGACAGTCAGAAAGGCAACGACTCGGTGACCACTCCCGACGAGAGCGATTCGTATCCACCCAATGAGAAGGCTGGCTTCCTGGAAGCTCCTCAGCCTGTCGCCAAGCTGGCTCGGGTTGCCTCAGCAGTCGAGCCTGTTCAGAGTGGCTCCATCGAGGCTCCCTATAAGGGGTCGGCTGCCGATACCCTCGGTGAAGCTTCCACCAAGCTCGAAGGTAACCGCAAGGTTACCAGCTCCAGTGGAAGGTCTACCAATAGCGACGAAAAGGAGACTAAATTGACTGCTTCTCCGGTTGCTCCTGCTCCCGTGCCCATGGCATCTAGCCCTCCTTCGTCTGATTTCTCTCCCTCGCTTCCTGAATCATTACCTCAGCCCACCGGGCAAGCCCTTCCTGCGAATCGTAAAAGGAAAACCCCCCAGGATTTCACGCCTGCGGGCCCTGGCAATCTCATGAGCCCCGCGAGTTCCAACAAAATTGCTGTCAAGTTCGAGGATGGACTTTCGCCCGGTGAGGGCAAAGAGGGAGAGAAAATCATTGCACCCAAGAAGGACAGGAATGCTATGGAGAGGACTGTGTGGACTTTTATCATGGTTGGCGGATTCATCAGTATGTTGAACTAATCATATACCCGCCGGTCCTGACCTGTAATTGCAGCTCTTCTTTGTCTGGGTCACCCATACATGATCCTTCTGGTCATGCTTTGCCAGGCTCTTGTTTACAAAGAGATCACTGCTCTCTTTGACTTGCGCGATCGTAAGGGGGCACACTGAACATATGACAATCGTCGCTGACTGCCTGGTAGATGGAGGTGATGCGACTACGAGTGAGAAAGATGAGAGCTGGAGCAAGACCCTCAACTGGTGAGTCAAGACATTTACAGACATGCACGAACATTGTGGCTGACTACGCAAAGGTACTTCTTCGTGGTCACCAACTATTTCCTCTACGGCGAATCGATCATCTATTACTTCAAGCACATTGTATTTGTCGATGCTTACTTTATTCCATTCGCTCGAAACCATAGATTCATCAGTTTCATGCTCTATGTTGTTGGTATGTATTTCACAATCTTATCGCTGTATTTGATACTGATCACAAGCAGGATTCGTTGGATTCGTCGGCAACCTTCAGAAGCAACACTTGCGCCAACAGTTTGCGTTGTTCTGCTGGGTCCATATGACACTTCTCTTGATCGTAGTCTCCAGGTAGGTGTCAGCGTCCTCGTTGTTGTTCTTCAAAACTGACAGTGGACTTCGCAGCCATTTCATTGTCAACAACATTCTGGAGGGGCTTATTTGGTTTTTTGTTCCGGCTTCATTGGTCATCTGCAATGATATCATGGCCTATGTCTGTGGTACGTAACATCGCGGGAATAAAAGAAACCACACGACTGACTTGTCTCGCAGGCAAAATGTTTGGCAAAACTCCTCTCATCAAATTGAGTCCCAAGAAGACTGTGGAAGGTTTCGTGGGAGCCTTCATTTGCACACTGTTATTTGGATTCTTCGTGCGTGGATTGCCAAATCATACAATACAAAACTAATTGTGCTTCAGTGGGGAACGTTCTGGATGAAGTTCCCGTACATGATCTGCCCTGCGCGAGATCTGGGAACAAATGTTTTCTCCCAGTTATCCTGCAGGCCCAACCCTGTTTTTGTCTGGCGGCAATTCGAGTTCACTGGTGCTGCGGGTAAAGTTCTGGAGACCATCGTAAGTGGATTGCCCAATATCCTCTTTCAAGTGTCTGACGCTTTCACCCAGCTTGGCCACCCTGCGCCCTCTTTCCCCTATGCCCCTTTCCAGATTCATGCTCTCGTGATGGCCACTTTCGCCTCCCTCGTCGCTCCTTTTGGAGGCTTCTTCGCGTCAGGCTTCAAGCGAGCCTTTAATATCAAGGACTTTGGCCACTCTATCCCCGGACACGGCGGTATGACTGACAGAATGGACTGCCAGTAAGTTGCATAGCCAGTGATCCGCAACAGTTGCTGACTTGCATCATCAGATTCATGATGGGACTCTTCTCCTACGTCTACTATAGCTCCCTCATCCGAGTAGGTATCGGTCAATGGGTGATAGCTCTGCTGACCCACAACAGATCCAATATGTCACCCCAGGGTCCATCATGCAGACGGTGGTGACGTCGCTGTCCCCCAAGGAGCAGGTGGAGCTCCTTGCAGACTTGGGTAAATTCCTCAAGGGGCAAGGCCTTCTCTAAAACCGATTTTTCTATTGGAACTAGGCGCAGTATCTCGAGTCACCAAAAAGTGGATAGCATATATGCATAACATAGACAATGCAAAGGAGTCTACTGTGATGCTTCCGTTGAATGCGCACATGCATTGTCGGGGCCGCCAAATGTCCGACTGAGCGAGAGGGGCCAGCATCTCATCAAGGCCGTTTCAGAGCACCCATTGCTTTACCTAATGCCCCACCCTTTACAACACGCAGAGCACGTCTAAAAGTCAGACTGGTACGAGTCCCTCGTGCTCGTATCCACGTATGCCCTTGTTCCAGGTGATCTACGATATTGGCTTCTCCTAATAGGGCGGCGTTGGCGATCACCACCTCGTTCTCGCTCGCAGTACCCCTTCCTCTTACTGCATCTTCGTTCTTCTCGCCTATGGCGTGCAGATGGGACACATACAGAGATGCGGAAATGATGAGAAGGGAGCGAGGGAGTAAGAGCAGATGTGCCAATGGGACTGCGGCGACAGGGCGAGCTTCGTCACCCTCAGAGGGTGGTATAGCTACCATAGGCGGAGAAGGAGAGGTCGTTGAGATGTAATGATGGATGTCCAAAACCGTATGAGAGCCGAGGGAGATGGTAGCAACAAGGGGCTCAAATGCCGGGCCATCCTCGTGGGGCTACTCACCTTTGCCTCAGTATGACCAGCGTGAGCCCTCGTGAGATATGGACTCACAGATATTCCTTGTCCGCTCTGATACTCGTTGACTAGAACCTGATAGTCGCACAGCCATCAGCCACATGGCACATGATCAGTTCAGACCACTCACTTGATTAGGTTCCATTGCGAATCCATCTGCCCCAGCTTTCTGCAACGTCTGCTTGAGCCGGCCTATGAGATCTGGGCTGATATAGCAATATTGGGTCAGTCATGATCATTGGAACGTCCCGTTAATCAGTGGAAAATATATGTGTACCCACAACGTAGTAAAGAACTCCGGAATCTCTTCGGGTAGAAGGATGCCACCTTTGGACATTGTCCCGCCTACCAGCAGTCAGCCTAGCCTCGGAGACGCACCGGGGGACTTAGCTTACCCCAGTATTGAAGTCTGAACGACGTACATGTCAGCCAAGTTCGCGGCCGGGGTTCGGGAGCCTTACCTTCTACCGCTGCCAACAGCCTTCCATTTCGGTTTGGGGCTTGATTCAAGTCTCTCAAGTAGATAGGCCTCTTCTTCCTCTGTGATGAAATTTGGAATACTGATTGCAATGTCAGGATGAGATCCATATACTTCCCAAACAGCCACTTACTAGAACGCAGCTGGCGGGATATCCGGGATGCGAAAGTCTTCAATGGTTTTCGAGTCTTGTATGGGAGGAGAGTCGGGTTCTGTCAGTAGTTGAGTCATGGTGGCGAGTTTCTGTCAGCGGCGGTATGACTTTTCGCGGAGTCAAACAGCTCTCGAGAGTTGAGACCAATTGCAAGTGGACGATGACGACACGTATCCATGTCCGTCGGCAATAATTATGCTTCCGCGCCAAAGTGGAGGCAGCTCGCCACTAGCTGGCCCAGCAGACGAGCAACATCGCTCGTCAGCAGTCAACCACACCGCCTACCTCGCTCTCCGTTTCATGTGCGTGTTGGACCCCCCGGATCAATCCGAACTTACACCCTCTTAGCATGCCCCCTGCCCCAACACCGAAGCAGATCCAGAGCCTCTATACGGCTACCATCACCGCCGCCCAAGGCTTCTCCTATAACTTTCAAAGATATTTCATTCGTCGAACCGATCTGGCCTTCAAGCCGGTGATTGCTTCGTTGAATCCCCCTGCAGGGTCTTCAGAACTTCCCAGCCCCAATGATTTGGCACACTTCTATGAAACTCAAAGGGCAGAACTGGAGGTTCTCAAGAGAGCGTCACAGGTGAACAAAATGTTTGAGGGACCCAAGCTTGTTGTGGAACATGCCAAACCTATCACAAGTGGAGGAGGGGCTGGGATGGAAGCCAGTGCTGGTGGCGGTGGCCAGCCAATTTAGTGAGTTGCGGACGTATCCCGGACCATACTGACGAGCAGATTCCCAGAGTAGAAAGCCTTTCATCCTTTGTCGATCGCGTCAGTCCTTGGGTCAGCATAGTAAATGACTGGTTATATCCTTGGTCTCATCCTTTCATGCAACGCCCTAGCATCACTCAGGTCTTGCTTTCTCGCCACATATGGATCTCCAAATGCCCAACCATCGACCACAGTACAACCCAGCCTTCCTGCAATGACCTGGTGGAAGGAATCCGTTGTTGCTCGAGGCGACAAGACTCAAGAGAAGCGACGTTGGATGCAGATGGAAGACCAGGAGACCTCCGCTGTGGACCAGAATGACCCTCCACAAAAGTCATCCCCGAGGATCAAGCCTGAAAGTACCAGTGACCCTGAAAGTCAGTCCTTCTTGCCCGGTCCTCAAATAGCTCGAAAGATGCTAGTCGCTTGGCGCATCGGAATCATGGGCCCGTTCCTGGTGGCCGGGTGTTTGCTCTATCTGCTAACATGTTCGGCGCCGTCTTGGAGAGCAGATTGGAGCGTGGTGCGGCTTGATCTAGCTCAAACAGACTTCGATGTGCTCTACGATATCGCTGAAACGGTCACTGGGCGCAAATCAGACAGCGCGCAAAGCAAAAGGTTGTTGCCTAAATCCTCCTTCGTGGCTGCTAGGTCTGCAGTAGTTGCCCGAGACGACGAGGCCAATGAAGACCTGAGGGTGCTGTCAATCAACATGTGGGGCTGGTGTCTGAAGCCAGAGTCCGACGCAGACGGAACGTGAGCCGGAGCTGACAAGTTGAACGGGTTGAGCGCTTACGCCAACAGTACTATATGCTCATCCGAAAGCATGTGGTTCAATATGGATGATCTTCTAGGTGCAGCGACGACCACACAAGCTGGGCTCTCCACCCATACGTTTTCAGCGATACTGATACACGCTTTGATCGTCCACGGATTGGGTACGTTACGCCTCACTCTTCCATCAACTGTGCATACATACTGTACTGATTTTGCATTCTGAAGCTATGCTTGCTGCAATGACGGCCATCATCCCGATTGGACTCACCACGTGGCGAGTCTTCAGGAGCAAAAATCCGACTGTAAGCATCCATCACAGCGACAAATATAATAGACTGATTCGGCGACCCAGTTGCAAAGTGGCTGGTTCGAGCATGTCAGTATACTCTTTGCGAGCCTACTGTGTTTGGTTGCTGTGAGTTGTGGGAAATGCTCCGCAATGGCCGCTGACTTGTATCAGTGGATCATTGACAGATGCTTACAAGCTAATGTTTCGAGCAAGCTGTCGGATACCGATGTGAAAGCTGGGTACGTTTTTCGCCTCGTGGTGTTGTTTGAAATGACCAACTTGTTTCGGGCAGGCTGGCATCAGTGATCACTGGAGTATGTGCGATCCTGCTTGGGATCGCGTTCTTTGCGTCTTCGTTGCCAGTATTGTACCTGGATATGAAACGCCAGACTCGGCTTCTCAAGTACTGGCAGAATCTGGAAGATTACGACGAGGCGCTGGCCCGACAAGACGAGCAAGGAAGGCGACAGAATGCGGATGAAGAAAAAAGGCGGGCAGACAGGAGCACGCAGAAACGAACGTCCCGGCCGAAGAGGCGACAGAAAAGGTTACGCGACCATCGCTTGACGAGGATGTTTTATTCGGATAAAGACAAGGGCCATGACGAAAGAGAGAAAAACAAGAAAAGAAGAAAGCGGCGAGGGCGTGGGAGATGGGGTGGGCGTGGGAGGGGCTAGGACAGCGGATAGCAGGAGGGGGCGGGGGGGTGTGCATAGGCAGATGTCCGGCAGCTGTCCGAAGTGCCACAGTCGGTCCGGAGGGAGGGCGCCCTGAGCGGGATTAAAAGGTTAGATGACGCGGGCTGGCTCGGTGTGCGCCGCCCCCCAATGCACCATTTCTCATCCTTCCACGCCATTCGAACACTCTTTTCTCAACTCTTCTCCTCTTTTCCATAAAATATTCACCATGGCCGCCACTTTTGACCAGAAGGACATCACCGCCGTCAAGTGCGTCGCCCGCCCCCCCGCCCCCCGCCGCTGCCTCCCAGCTGACCCTTTTTTCACAGCAACATCAGGACTTTGGCTGCCGACGTCGTCGCCAAGGTAAGCAGCGATCACCAAGTCGTATCCGTTCGCTGGCTCACTCTATATGCAGGCCAACTCCGGTCACCCCGGTGCCCCCATGGTAAGTCGAAGAGGCGCCACGCTATCTAGTCTGTGCTCATCCTGTACCAGGGTATGGCTCCCGTTGCCCACGCCCTTTTCACTCGTCACTTGAGGTTCAACCCCAAGAACCCCAAGTGGATCAACCGAGACCGATTCGTGCTTTCCAACGGTCACGCGTGAGTCGAGCCGATCCTCATTCCTTGCATGTTTGACAATTCTACAGTTGTGCCCTTCAATACATCCTCCTCCACCTTGCCGGTTACGAGGTTTCTTTGGAGGACCTCAAGCAGTTCCGTCAGATCGACTCCATCACCCCTGGTCACCCTGAAGTCGGTGTTACCCCCGGAATCGAGGTGACCACCGGTCCTCTTGGTCAGGGTACGTGACGTGCATAACCGCATACGTACTCCACGCTCATCGCTCCTCAGGTATTTCCAACGCTGTCGGTCTCGCCATCGCCCAGGCTCACATGGGTGCCGTTTTCAACAAGGAGAACTTCAATCTTATTGACAACTACACCTACTCTTTCCTCGGTGACGGTTGTCTCCAGGAGGGTGTCGCTTCCGAGGCCTGCTCTCTCGCTGGTCACTTGAAGCTTGCCAACCTTATCGCCGTCTACGATGACAACAGTACGTTTTCGGTCAAGCAATAATTTTTGGGGGCTAACATCCCTTCGCAGAGATCACTATTGACGGTGACACCGCCGTCTCTTTCACTGAGAACGTTGAGGCCCGATTCAAGTCTTACGGCTGGAACGTCCTTCACGTAGAGAAGGGTGACGAGTAAGTGAATGGCCACATTCTACGATTTTCTCTAACATTTCGCAGCGACCTTGCCGCCATCGAGGCCGCCTTTGTTGAGGCCAAGAAGTCCAAGGACGCCCCTACCATCATCAACCTCAAGACCACCATTGGTTTCGGCTCCCTCAAGGCCGGTGGTCACGATGTCCACGGTGCCCGTAAGTGAAACACAATGCGAGTCATGGATCACCTGCCTGACATGTTTCGTGTAGCCTTGAAGAAGGATGACATTGCCCAGCTCAAGAAGAAGTTCGGCTTCAACCCTGAGGAGAACTTTGAGATTTCCAAGGACACCCTCGAAGTCTACCACAAGGCCGCCGAAGCCGGTGCCAAGGCCGAGGAGGAGTGGAAGGCTCTCTTCAAGTCTTACAGCGAAAAGTACCCCAAGGAGGCTGCTGAGCTCGAGCGACGAATTGAAGGTCGACTCCCCGAAGGATGGGAGAAGGCTCTTCCCACCTACACCACTTCTGACGCCGCCGTCGGAAGCAGGAAGCTGTCCGAGACCACCATCTCCAAGCTTGCTGAGGTTCTCCCCGAGCTTGTCGGTGGTTCCGCCGACTTGACTGGCTCCAACTTGACCCGATGGAAGGACGCCGAGGACTTCCAGCACCCTTCCACCGGTCTTGGTTCTTACGCCGGCCGTTACTTCCGATTTGGTGTCCGTGAGCACGGTATGACTGCCATCTGTAACGGTATCGCTGCCTACGGCGGTCTCATCCCCTTCGGTGCCACTTTCCTCAACTTTGTGTCTTACGCCGCCGGTGCACTTCGACTCTCCGCCTTGTCCCACCTCCAGGTCCTTACCGTCGCTACTCACGACTCCATTGGTCTTGGTGAGGACGGCCCTACCCACCAGCCGGTTGAGACCGCTGCTTGGCTCCGAGCCATCCCCAACCTTGCCTTCTGGCGACCCGCTGACGGTAACGAGTGCTCCGCCGCTTACCTCGTTTCCATCCTCTCCAAGCACACCCCTTCCGTGTTTGCTCTCTCTCGACAGAACGTGAGTGGTGTTTATGATTTGATGATATCCGCTAAATTACTCCGCGTAGTTGCCCCAACTCGCCAACTCTTCTATTGAGAAGGCTGCCAAGGGTGGTTACGTTGCTGAGGAAGTTGAGAACGCCGACGTTACCCTTGTCTCTACCGGTTCCGAGGTGACCCTCTGTCAACAGGCCCTTGATGAGCTCAAGGCCAAGGGTATCAAGGCCCGACTTGTCTCTTTGCCCTGTTTCGAGGTCTTCGTAAGTGTTCACAATGTCAATCAGAGAGCCGTACCTGACCCGCCCTTCTCAGAACTCTCAACCCAACGACTACAAGCTCAGCGTTCTTCCTTCTGGCGCCCCTATCCTTTCCGTTGAGGCTTACGCCACCTTCGGTTGGGGAACCTACTCTCACGACCACTTCGGTCTTAAGGCCTGGGGTGCCTCCGGTCCTTACGACAAGGTCTACGCCAAGTTCGACATCACCCCTGCTGGTATTGCCAAGAGGGCTGAGAAGGTTGTTGACTTCTACAAGAAGCGTGGCCAGCCCGTCTTCTCTCCTTTGATCTCTGCTTTGGACGACATCACCGAGTAAGGTGTGTTTCGACAAGCATGAAGAAGAGAAGTGTAGTGTACCTAGGATGGTTATAGAATGCAGTGTCCGTTTTCCGCCTGATCTTCCCGCCTGATCTTTCAATTGCAATTTCTGTATTCATTGGTGACGAGGCAGGCTGAGACACATACATGGCACTGATCAACAACATTCAAGGATCTACTGGCGACTAATATTACAGAAATGAGTCTATATGGATATTACTGTGACTGCTGGGGCTTGCGAAGTTCGGCCAACTGGTGTTTTGACTAGCTCTCTATACTACACGCTGCCATGGGCGCGTACAGCTTTAAGATTACCACCATCTCCGCGCCTTCTTCTCATCTTTTTCCTGTCTGCCAAAAAGCCAATCCACACCGGATGCTTTCAAGACAGACTGCCTCACATAATCCTGAAGCATTCTCTGCCATTCGTTGGCACTGTCATCGGCATTTTTGCTACCCACGGCGGAACTCAACACGGACGAGATGAAGTCAAGTCCCCCCGCTTGCCCTTTCTCGGCACCTTTGTTATCGGCGCGGGCAGCAACAGGGTCGGGCTTTCCTCGGGAAGAGTAGGGGGGAGATCGCGACCGCGCTCTTCCTTGACGGCTGGGGTTTCGCCTTGGTTGACGGGAGGGATTTCCATCCTTGGGAGCGCTCAGCAAATTGACGAGTGAAGCAACGCCTGGACTGGCTTCGCGTCGCCCGTCTGTGGGTGCCATCCCAGCCCATTGCTTCATCAGCTCCAAAAGCTCCTCTAACGTCCCCTGTTCCGAGCTAGCCATCACCCAGGCCGCGATTGCGATCACTGGAATCAATCGCAAGGAGAAGCGGAATATGCGGGACATGTAGCCCACTATACTGGAGAGGGCTGTCCATACGATGATGAAGGCGACGAGTGTGACAAAGTAGCCGATGTACGGAGCGAGGAGGCGGAAGAGGGGGAGGAAGGACGAGGGGTTTGAGATGGTGGGGGGCTCTCGGAAGAGGGTTTGGGCGTCTGTGGGGAGTCTTGGGAAGACATACTGGTAGAAGAGGGCTCTGGCGGGGATGAGCGGGGGACGGGCGGTCGTGGGGGACTTACTCGACGCTGGTGGGGGCTTCGTTCGCGGGGCCAGGCATGGTGGCGGGCAGCGGCTTGGTGCGGAGAAGAGATGGGAACGATGGAACGGCATCTGTTGTTGTAATTACTTGTTGTCGGTCGCAGCGTGTAATTACTCTCTGTAAGCCGCGGCCCCTGATTTGCGCTTTGCTGGGCCACTGATCACTGGATTTCTCAAAATCGATTAACCGTCCTCTGTAAACCGCGAGATTGTCCACAGCCTCGACTGACTCCTGCCAACGACTGTATACTCCTGGCGACACTTTCCAGTCTACTGTACGAGCTTCTGTTCTTGCTCCCAACACAATAAAATCATACAATGGCTCGCGGCGGTGCTGTCTCTTCTCGTGGACGTGGGTGAGTACGATCCTTTCATCTCCTAGGCACACTCCTGACAACATGCTCTAGAAAGTTCAAGGTGGCTCGAGGAGGTGGCCGACACTTCTCTCGAGACCTTGATCCTCGTTTCAACCAGGAGGATGAGGCTTCCGAATCATCATCATCTGAAGAAGAAGAGTCTGAAGACGAGCCCGAGCCCGTCGTCAAGCTTGCTCCTGAGATGGCTGCTCTGAATCTCAAGCTTGGAAACACAGTCTCAGTTGATGAGCAGAATGGGGAGGAAGAGATGAGCAGGGCGGAAAGGAAAGCCATGAAAAAGGCGCAGGCTGCTCAAAAAACGATCGTGGAGGAATCAGAGAGCAACAGCGACGATGAGGAGGAGAAGAAGCCCGCACCGATGTCCAAGGCGGCGGCTAAGGGTAAGCCCAAGAAAGTGGAGCCCGTGCAGTTGTCGAGGAAAGAGAGGTGAGTATCAGTCTCAGCACACGATAGGACATGTCTGATTGTGCGCTAGGGAGGCTGCAGACAAGAAGGCGGCGGCGCAACGTCATCAGCAGCTACATGCTCAAGGTCAGTCTTCTTTCGTGCACTTCAAGGCCAGAATATACTAATGGCACCGCAGGCAAAACGTCTGAGGCCAAATCTGATCTCGCAAGGCTTCAGGAAGTTCGAGCTCGCCGTGAGGCGGCGGCCGCCCAGCGAAACGCCGAGGTTGAGGGTGAGCAGCGCTAACGCTACATGATTATCGTCTTGACTGACGTTTACCCTTCAGAGAAGGCCAGGGAGGCCGCTGCCAAGAAGGAGAAGATCGACAGGAAATAATATCCCGCATAGATTCACTTCAGCTCGATTGAATGCACACTGGTTTTGATTAAAGACTTCGCCATCTGTTTGACCACTTCGAAACTTGTCTTCTTGAGTAAGACACTCAAGGTAATCAGAAAAGAAGTCGCTGCAACGTGCACGGCAAAGACGATAGACGTCTACGGGTATCTTGAGGACGATGACAATGCGGGTTACGCCCTGAGTATGCTCCTTTGCTTTCTCATCTTTTAGCGATAACAACAACGAAGAAGACTTTGCGACAATACGATGGGGTCGCTATCTCTTTGAAAGGCACCGATCAGCTGCACTGCTGCCACACGGTGTACTTGACATAAAAGTCAAAATGACACAACAAGACATGAACCCTGGCCTTTCCACCGCAACTGACGCTTCAAAACGGTGCAGATGCAGCAGAGACAACCCAAAGCTGAGAACAAGGATATAGAAGACCCGGGGCTGCTGCCTTGGGAGGTACATATGCAATTATGCATTGCTGTGGTGGCGCGTAAACAGGGGTGCCTGGGACCTGTCCCGCGAATTCCGCTAATTTACGGGAGCAGAACTTTGTCCAGGATTGATTCTTCGAGGATTCTTGGAGGATTCTTCCCCTGTATTACCCCCCCGCGATGCCCAACTCCAAGCCCCCCGCCGACCCCTTCGCCACCATCCTCCTCCGCACCTCCTCCGCCCGCAGGCCCAACTCCACCAAGCTCTCAGAGCCCATACCCCTCACCCCTCTTCAAGGTTCGCGCTTGTCCGAAGATTCTTCGTCGGGCCCAAGTTCCCTACGCGGCAAGCCACGGTCGCGACCTACTACGCCCAAGAGCGACGATGTGGGAGAGACGCGTTCACTTTCGCGACCCTCGTCAAAGAAGGGAAAAGAGGTGGACGCCGGGACGACGAAAGATTCGTGCGGGAGGCAACGAGCTGAACAAGCTGGCGGCAATCCAGAACGCATGAAAGAAGATGCGGCGATGGAGAAGTGGAGAGTAGGTCTTTATTCGTAGACTGTTGATTCTCTTGTCTGATGTTGTTTGCAGAAATGGGTCATAGAGCAGCCCTTGCAATCAGGCGTACCGAGCACTTCTCCGTTGAAGGGAAAGGGATCACCCGTCAACGGCGGTCAGAAAATACCCTTGGTGTCTCTCAGCAACACTCACCGTCTATCGGTCACCAATTCCTCTCTGAGGACCCCTTCGGCTTTCGATGCTCGGGGCCAATCCGACCCTGAAACCTCGATAACGTCGTCCCTCCGCACAACCTCGCCCAGGGCTTCGTCAGCACTCGCCTCCCCATTCTATTCTTCAGGATTTGGATCCCCGGGTGGCGGTGGTGAAATATACAACACAGACTCTGTGCTCGCTCTGCGCGATGTAGAGCTAGCTGTCGGTGACGACGCATTGTCAACGGCAGAACGTGTCAAAGCCGCCCCTCGGCGCATGTCCAATAAACCTCGTCTATCCGAAAAACCCAATCCATTTGGCGACGTTGCAACTCGTCTCGGCTCACGGCGCGTTCGTCCAATCGTGCTTGAGTTGATACAAGCTTTAGGGCACTTTCTCGACGTCGTCTGGTCGACAACATACCCTGAGCGTTCTTGTCCGTGGATCATAGACAATACTGAAGAGTGCCCAGTAACGCCATCTGTACGAAAAACGAAAAGGGCCCGCCATACAGACTCAGATCCCACAACAACATCTGAGCTCGTGTGGAAGAGTCCTATGATCACGGCGGTGCAAGAGGGCAAGCGGACGGGGCATGTACCAACACGACCTACCTCCAAAGATCTAGGGTTCTGGCGGGACGAAGTAGAGTTTGGCATTAGGGATGTCGATGAAGTTGTTGGTGTAAAGAAGGGATTGGGGAGAGCGTTCGGAAACGCTCTCAAGGAGGGCCGGTATGGCCCGCCAGATGCTGGGAACGCTCTTGGGCAGAACGGGGACGAGGCCGGTATGGCGAGGCTTTTGAACGATTTGGAAGAAGCTATTTGGTAAGTTGTTGCCCGTTCTTCATCATTGATCCCGGCTGACGATTGTCGAAAGGGGTGATGCGCCCCCTCGCCCCACTGATCTTGCTTTTGAACTTCCAGCGGATTTCGATCCATACGCCCTGCTCGATGAGTCGGAACTCATGGCCGGAGGGGCTCGCGGAATAGGCGGTGCACATCCGAAAGCAGGGTCCGCATTAGTAGACCTTCTGGGCGCGTCCTCAAGCAGCTCGGGCACACCCACCACGGGTGGGCCGAGTTATGACTCTCTTCCAGACTTTAATGTCAACTTGGCCTCTCCTGTCGAGGATCCCATCAAAGCGAAGGAGGTCAAGAGCAAACAACGGATAGAAGTGCTCATTCCAGGTATTGAGAATATCGAAGGAGCAGAGGGAATGACGCTGGAAGAGTTGGGGAGAAAGAGGCACCAAGAATGGCTCGCTAGTAGAGCGAAAGCTTAGACGAATATAATGAATGACCGACATAGACTACTTGAGATACGATATTTACCACTTGCCAGCACATGACGACCAGGAATGACTGCTTGTTGTATAACGCAAATGCATCTCAATTCGACCCGGAGTCTTGCGTTTCAAATCGACCCGGCATCTTGCGTGTATAACGATGAGAAACCGATGATGCATGAATGGAAACTATAAGATTACAATGTCACGAAACCCTTTCTATAGATTGTGGTCCGCTCAAGCGGAGGCAGCAGCAGCTGCATGTCCATCAACCTTGACCTCGTTGGCAATCATGGCACCATGCGTGCCAGATCGGCCAGCCTGGCACTCGTTGACGAAATCGGTAAACATCTTGTTAGCAGTGGTCAGTACGTATGCTAGTCGCTGGAAGCGGATCAACTCACCTCAATGGTGTCGAGGGGACCACCAGCAGACTCGGGATGGAACTGCACGCCCCAAATCCTCTTGCCGCTCTCGGGTGTGGAGATGATGCCCTCAACCGAAGAGTCGTTACAGTTGATGAAGAAGGGAGCCCAACCCTCAGGGAAGTCTTCAGTCAAGCGAAGAGCATACTGGTGGTTCTGAGACTACTCAAGAGTCAGCTTGTACAGCGGTAGAGATACAAAAAAAAACACGTACAGTGACGTAGACTCGACCCGCCGAGATGCTTCCAGAGCTGGCCAAAGCCAGAACCGGCTGGTTGTGACCTCGGTTACCAAAAGTCATTCGGTAAGCCTCAAGACCGGCAGCCAAACCAAGGACCTGGTGACCCATGCAGATACCAAAGATGGGCTTGTTCCACTCGTTGATGGTCTGCCTGACTCGCATGGCGGTGTCCATGATCATCTTGGGGTCACCAGGACCGTTGGAAAGGAAGAGACCGTCATATTGATCTCGGACGGTGTTGAAATCAAAGTCCCAAGGGAGGACAGTGACAACTGCATCGCGTCGGACGAGGGATCGGAGGATATTGGCCTTGGTTCCAAAGTCAAGGACGGCAATTCGGGGACCAGAACCCTTGGCGTTGAGGGTGTAGGCCTTCTTGACAGAGGCTTGGGCAACAAGGTTGTCCTTGGAAGGGTCCCAGAAGTCGGCAGCTGAGGGAATGACGCTGGCATCATCGCCGACGGCGAGACGACCAAGAGTGGTACCCTGGTCCCTCAACAAGCTAGTGATGGCACGGGTGTCGACACCGGTGATACCGGGGACATCGTATCGCTGGCACCACTCGTGAAGAGACTCGACGGCCTGGTAGTGGCTGTATTTGAGTGCGACGTCGGAGACAACGACACCGGTACACTGAATCTTGTCAGACTCGAGGAAGGGAATACCGGGGTACTCGGGGGGAGAAGCATTGCTGGGCACACCGTAGTTTCCTATCATGGGTGAGGTAAAGACCAGAATCTGACCCAGGTAGGAAGGGTCGGTCATGGAGTCGGTGTCTGAACCAGGTGAGCGAATGCGAGGGCAGGGATAGGAGCAAACGACTTACAAGAGGTGATACTGGTGGAGAAGACGGTCTCACCGAACTTGGAGTTTTCGCTACCAAAGCTGTTGCCATAGTAGCTCTGGCCAGACTTCAAGTGGAGGGCGGCAGGGGTCTTTGCGGGGAGGAGGGGGGTGAGGAGAGAGTTGACGGGGGTGGCCAGGGTTCGCTTGAAGGCGAGGGGAGCCCTGAGGGCGGCGGGGGTGGCGCGAAGGTTGAGGGCGCGGATGGTGGACATGATGGGTTTACGGGGGCTGGGTGGTCTATTACAGACTGTTGATAGAGAAAACGAGATCAGAAAGGTAACTGATTCGCTTGTCAGCCTGTGCGATACGAGATAAGAAAAAAGCGTGTTACGTACTCGTCAGAGGTTCGTTCTGTCCACAGCATCGACTGGTAGTGGGTGTTGGGTGCTCCAGGGGGCGGGAAGGGCGAGGGCGGGCAGCAGGGGGCAGGGGGCAGATACAGATGAGAAAGAAAAGAGAAAGTCAAGCGAGTGCGAAATTAAGGGCCACACCACGACTCATTTCGATTATCGTCACCGCACAAATGCCACATCATGCTGAAGTCATGCAGTCCATGTCAAAATCTACAACCAATCAACTATATCATTGTCGCTCCCCTCTATCCCATCAGGTCCACCAAGTCTGCGAATGCATCCTTCTTCTGCCCCTGCCCCTGCTGCTGCCCTTGCTGAGCGTTGGTAGCCGCCTGAGGCTGAGCCTGTTGGGGAGGAAGCGAGTAGCCCGCCGGAGTGGAAGACTGCGATGGCTGGAAGCCAAAGCTGCTGCTGCTAGAGCTAGCGGCAGGCTGCTGGAGCTGGCCTAGGCCACCAAACGCGCCAAAGTTGGTGGATGCACTTTGTTGGGGTTGGCCCCAGGCCTGAGCCGGTTGAGCCGGAGGTTGGGGAGTGTTGAAAAACGCCATGGGGTCTTGCCTCTGAGATGTGTTGTTAACGGAGGAGCTCGCAGCAGGACTGGGGGTGGCAGCAGGTGAAGGGGCAAAGAGATCGAGGGGAAGGCCGGCCGTAGACATTCCCGCATTGGAAGAAGAGTCGGCAGGGAGGGAAAGGCCGCCTACAGCTCCTGAAGGTGCTGGCTCGTCATCGAAAGCGTCAAACGATATGAGGTCGGCCGCTTTCTGGTTGGGATTCGAGCTGTAATGCAGCTTAGCGTAGGCCCAGGGCCGAGTTGCAAACTTACCTCTCAGCGACAGCCCGAGCTCTTGTCCAGTCGCCAGCCTTGCACGCTTCGAATCGTTCCAAGGCAGTATTGATGAGGTCATTGCAGAGCAATAAGCGGTCTGAGGATATTGAGCAGTGATCAGACGACATGGAATAAAGCTTACCCATCATACCCTCCTTCTCGCCATCGTCGTCTTCTATCCATTTTACTATCTTTGGCCTTGCTCCTCTGCATGCTCCAGCGACCTGGTCATACGCGTCGCCCTCGATACCAATCTTTTCCCCCTCGGTAGCATTATTCAGCATGTCGTTGAGCAAGATTGCCTTTGACTGGACCTTGTCAAGCTCCTTGAGTGTCTGAGCAGTATAGTCGACGGCCTTGTCTGGTTCCTACAGCAAAACGTCAGCACGATAAGCCCTTGAGAAAGTCACTTACGGCTCCGGCGAGAGCCTTCATAAGCTCTTGGGCGGCCGCAAGATCTCTCGGCGTGCCACGTCGGATCAGCTCTTGCAATTTCTGTCCAACAGTCAGCGACTAATGGAGGCGCCTGGATGCCACTTACCGCGCTCTTTGCATCTCTATCCTCCTTCTCCAGCTCTTCAGGAGATTTGAGATTCTATCAACACAATCAGACATGCCCAGTGCTCGACGCCCTCGGCTCACTTCATTGGGATTGGCATCCGCCATGGCCCGAGCCGCGTCAAAAGACTTGAACCGGTACCCTGCCGGATGGTCAGCACGTCGCCATACGGAACCGATCATGGGCTCACCTTTGTAGCTTAGCAGCCTGTGCATGTCCCGGATATGCACAAGATCCTCCTTGTACTTTGAATGAATACACAAGGTGTTCTTCCATTCGTGTAGCAGGTCCAGGATCCTGCTCATCACTCGGCCGACGACCATGGGCGGGCGCTCGGGGAAGCGCGTGACTAGCTCGTTGAGGAACTCTTTGGTGCTGATCTGGAGATGTATAGCATAGCCGCAATTCTTGACGAGGTGGTCGAGCACGTTGAGGGCCAGGAGGGCCTCGTTGGGGTTGCGGGAGTTGATGTGGGGGAGGAGGGCGCGGGTGGCATCTCGGGCGCTGGATGGGGTGAGCACAGGCAGGGATAGCTGCTCTCGTCATACCTGTTGGCCTTCTTGCGGTTGATGTACTCTGCGAGTTCTATATTGGCGATCTGATTCGGGGCTGCGAGGGTGGGGTCGCAAGCCTGGTCTGCGGGGGGTGAGCGGGGCGGGGAGGGCCGGGACGGGCGGGGCGGACTTACCGACGAGGGACTGGGCGGGGGTGAGCTGTGCCCACGGGCGAGCCGGGTTCATTGTGCGGTGCATCGACACCTGAGAGCGCCCGCCCCGTCGCCATCATCACCACCATCCAGGCGGCCCCCGCCGCACACCGCGCTGTTACGTCAGCGGGAGCAAATGGGCGAGCCACGAGCGCCCACCAACCACAGAAAGCGGTTTGCAGACACGGATTGATTTCTCCCCCCGCCGCCATGTCCCTCCTCAGACGCAACACCGCCGCCGCCCTCAGAGCAGCGCCCCTCCTCAGGGCTGCCCCCCTCATCTCAACACGGAACGTCAACGACCTCACCGTCACCTCCCCGCCAAACTCCTCCGCCTCCGTCCGCCCAGCCATCCGCCACGGACCTCCCACAGGTGGCCGCTCATCAGACTCTGGCAGCACCGTCACCGTCTTTGGATCCACCGGTTTCCTCGCGAGGTACCTCATCCAGAAGCTCGCCAGGCAGGGCACCCAGGTCATCGTGCCCTACAGAGACGAAGACGAGAAACGCCGACTGAGACCGTGCGGTGACCTGGGACAGATTGTGCCGCTCGAGTGGGATGCTAGACGTCCGGAGCAGACAGCAGAGTGCATCAAGCACTCTGATGTTGTGTACAACTTGGTCGGGAGAGATCACGAGACTCGGTATGTCTCGGGCCGTTATTAGCAGCGCCACGCTCACACTCGACTGTAGAAACTACTCTTACCACGACGTCAACGTCAGCGTGGCCGAGTCCATTGCCCAGATCTCCGCCGATCTCGGTACTCCTCGACTTGTGCACGTCTCTCACCTCAACGCCAACCCCGACTCGCCTTCCGAGTTCTACCGCACCAAGTTTGCCGGCGAGCGGGCTGTCAGGGATGCGTTCCCCGAGGCCACCATCGTCAGGCCATCTCAAATGTTTGGCCACGAAGACTGGCTGTTGAACCAGATTGCTCGTGGGTCTTGCGCTTCCTTTTCTTGATCTCGGTCTGACGTTTGGCAGGCTACCCCATCTTCTCCAAGCTCAACGGCGGCCAGACCAGGCTCTTCCCCGCGCATGTCATTGACGTCGCCGAGGCCCTCAACCGTATGCTCAACGCCCCCGTCACCTCTACCGCCTCTACTTTCGCCCTCCCCGGTCCCGAGCTTTACACTTGGGCCGAGCTCGAGCGTCTCGTCTCAACCCTCGTCCTTCAACCCGTTTCCACTGCCCCAACCCTTCCCAAACCCGTCGCGCTTCTCCTCGCCAAGCTCGTGAACCGTGGTCTCTGGTGGCCTACGACTTCGCCCGATGAAATTGAGAGGATGTATATCGATGATGCTGGTGCGGACGCCTTCCAGATCAAGCCGTCTGGGCCTGCTGGTTGGAACACGCCTAGTGGTATTGATATGGTCGGTGTCGATGGAGAGCCGGTCAAGAGCTGGGCCGATTTGGACATTGAACCGGATACCATTGCTGAGCATGCTATCAAGCCTTTGCGACGATACCGATCTGCGTGAGTACTAGTCTTGCCTTGCCGTCTTTGTTACTAACGGCCATTCCAGTGCTACCTACGATCTCCCCGTCGAGAACCACATCATCAAGGCTCCCAAGCAATACCACGTCCTTCCTTAGATTGTATGATTCGGCATGTACTTGGGTTATCTTTATTGCTTCATTGTCCCTGGATCGTCCTGTTCAATTCTACTCTACAGGGACCGAACATGTTCAAAATACTGATGAGATGGGGCTGCATGGCGCTGGCAGAAAATATATATAAAACGAACCACCCTTTATAACTACGATACTACACATCGACTTCTCTGCATCAACAGCAATTGCCATGTGATGACTGCTCCAGTTCCCCAGATACGGTATCTCTTCCGAAGAAAAAGTAGCCGGCTGTTTGACCGATAAAGATGGCAATGAGCATCCAAATGTTAAAGTACATCCCCGTCAACATACTGTCGGCCGTCAGCGAGATCCAAATCATGACTCCGTTGAACGACTTACACCATAAAACTCGCTGTGAATTGACTACCGTATACAAAACTACGCAGCAGCTGGTGTGGCCAAGAGGGAACGTATCTGTATTGATCAGTGCGCGTTCTTTGTGGAGTCAGTATCCTGACTCACTGAATCACAGGCTTGGCAACGTTCACCCCGTCATCCTTGCCGAGCTCTGAAAGGCTGGCAGGGCTGACAACGCTAGGGCAGCAGCTTGTAGCCGCATTCCTGACGAGCCATCGATCATATTCTCGACCCAGTCTTCTTACAGCCTCGATGAGGACACAGAGAAAGAAGATACCGATGACTGAGCCGGCAAACATGCCTTTGGAAGTGATGTGCCAGTCGGATGAAAGGAAGCAGGCGTCGATGGTATACGTGTTGAACAGCATCGAGACTGGAGGGAGCATCAGCTTCAAGATGCTTCATGATAGTACGGCCGGTCTCACCTTTGCAGTCGCTCGAGGTGCTCGTCGAGTTGGAAGAGTCGGAGCTGGACGAGCTGCCCATGTCCATATCCATGAGGATCGGCAGGTAGTTGGACATTGTGGCTGGTGTGTATGGATTGATGAGGGAGGGACGGATGGATGCTATGCTGCCGTTTTATATGCCCCGCACAGATCTCGTTGCGACCAAAACTGAGAGCGATCGGGCCAATCTCGTAAAGGCCGCGCCAGAACCACGTGGTGACTCACCTGCGCCTTTTTATCAGCTCCTCGTTGCTCCCGCCATTCTCCTTCTTCCACGTCTTCCGGGCATTTTTTGGGCCCACGAGTGGATTCGTGGGTGCCCAGGGGCCCAGGACCTTGCATTGTCCCGCGCCAGACACATTACCAGTCCAGCATTCAGGAAAAGGTCTCAATTGGGTTCCGTGCCTGAAATGTCAACATTTGAGCCATTATCCTTGTCGCCGTCTTGTCGTCCCACGCCAGATCGTTTACATATCATAAAGGCAAGTAGGTCCCTAGAGTGAAGTATTGGTAGCTGAAAGCTTGGCGGCCCTGGCGATAAATCCTAACCCAAGTGGATGAGGTCTACACTCGCTGCCAACAGAGGGAGATAAGACAAGATGTCCAAGATCAAGTATATAGAGTGAATTGATTTTGCATCTTTCAATTCGACATTACTTCATAGCCAGCCCCCTTGAACAATCAAGCAATACAACGTATATAAGCCGGGTCTAGCAGTGCAACAAAAAATAAACGCGGTACACGTAGGACACTGCCAACAATCAACAAAACAAGGCAGTGGGAAAGAGATCTATTCGCTCTCAATCTATGGCGAAGACGTAGGCTGTCAAAAGCAGATAAGCAGACCTTCAGTTTTGCGCGACGATGCGCTCACCTCTCAAGTATCATAATCCTTCAATCGATTAGGCAGTGTAACCTCCCTTCGAGATCTCTCTCGCGCCCCATCCGACCCAACGCTCGCGGATCGCCCAGAGGCTGGCAAGACATTAGAGATGGCTCTCCTCATCCCTGAAGACTCCCCCGCGACAGATGCAAGCGCAGCAGATGTGGCTCTACTGTTTCGAGTGCGGGAAGGCTGGAGGACACCGGCTGGAAGAGGGACAGTTTTGGGTGACCTAGCTGACTCGGGCAAGGGTTCTGGCGCGCTACCACTTGGAGAGTGGGTATACGCCCGTCGCTCGTCACGTCTAGGTGACTCGAGATGGGAAGTGGACGTCCGTCGGAGCTGCTTGGCAGGGGGCTGATCGTTATTGGCCTCGTACCCATTGGCCCCGATGACTGCGCGCAGGGGAGAAGCGGCATGAACGCCATTGCCCTGCTGTACTAGGTTGTTGACGGAGCGTGTGCGCTTCAAAGTCGTGCGTTTGGCGATGGGGGCAGTTTGTATAGGGGTGGGCAGGGATGTGCCATGCTCTCCGTTTTTTTCGTCGGCCTCCTCGCCGGCCACAGGAGCCAGATCATCTTGGCCCTTGTCTGAAACTGGCTCCTCATATCTCTCTCCCTGGACGGAAGGAGTGGGAGTCTGCTCGAGGATGTCAGGGAGAGACTCTACATCATCTACTGTCTCTCCCTTGAGCTCCCGCACTAGACGTTTGACCTTGTCCTCGTTGGCCTTCTTCTCTCTCAGCTGAGCCTTGTTCAGCCTCTTTTTCGGCTTCTCGTCCCGAATCACTTCTAGATCAGACGGGTTGAAGGACCGTGTATTGCCCCAATCCGAGGAGGGAGAGTAGGGGTGCGCGGTCGACGGATGGGCGCCATGTTCGGCAGAGGAGCTGGATAGGGAAGCGGTGTAGGCGATGCACCTGTTGATGATGGGGCGGTGGAGAGGAGTAAAAGTAGCATGCTTGGTGCCGGAGGCAAGCACCCGAGCACGAGTAGCCTTCCGGCGACTGGAAGTTGAGGCTGCGGTGTTGGCAGCGTCTGATGTGGAGGGGGCAGAGGAGGACGGGGGGGCGTAGGAGAAGGAGACGGGTGCTCGCGGGCTTGCGGACGGGGCGAAGTGGAGGATGATAGGGATGGGGGACATGGCGGGTACAGGCTGGGCGGGCGAGGAGAAAAAGGCTACAAACAAGAGATCCAGTTTGCCGACCCTCATCTCCTCAGTCGGCATTCATTCGGCTATGACCTCATACAGCGGACATGTCCGACTGTTGTTCTCCCTCGCCGTACGTAAGCAGCCCTTGGGCTACGGCATATATCCCACCAGGGTGCAGGTGCATGGATGTACGAAAGAGTAGTGCGGACCCCTCAGGCGAGAATGTCACGAAACGTGCCGTGCTAGGTATAGAGTATCATCACAAAGAAGCCAAAATCGTGCCATGAAGCGTCAAGCAAAAAAGTTCAGTCGAGCTCAGTCCCTCTTCCCTAACGTCTCCCACCCCTCGTTCTGACGTTCATCCTATCCGCCAAGTTCCTCCCACCACCCCTTGCCCTTCCTCCTCTCCATCCGCCATTTCCCTGGTCAAAGGTACGCTGGGGAGGCTGCTCCTCGGCCAAGGTGATGATGGCTGCATTGGGGTCGGAGGCCAGAATCTGATCAGAGTAGAGTTTACTGGCGCGGCCAATGAGCTGATGTTTGTTCTATACTAGTTCCTCACTTACGTGCTCTTCGTAGGTCCCAAAAGCTCCTGCCCTGCGACGTTACTGCTCGTCTCAAATTTGGGCGTCGGATTGTCTCCTAATCTGCTCTTCAACCCATTGACGATCGACACCTTCAGCGTGTTTCCATCCGCGACAACCCCATTGTATTGCTTGATGAGTTGGTCTGCGTCGGCTCTCGATTCGACCTGGAGGTCGATTGATACGAGGGAGGATGAAGCAGAGCTCGACAGAACAGCCTCAGCAATGGGGAGGGGGTTGAAAGCAGACTGCTCTGGTGAGCATACACTTCACGAACGCAGACAGCACGTTGCTTACAATCACATCCTCTGGTGTTGTCCCTGGAGCAAGATTTTCCACGCGTACCCAAATTGCCGTTCTGGCAGCACCCATGATAGACACCTGCGATTGCCCGGGCTGTCTGATTTCTCGCCGAGCCGGCTGCCTCAACGCATCGTTTAGCATGTTTCTCGCTCTGGGATCCATTCCAACACCCCGGGAAGCCCCCTGAGACCTCTTGGCAGGATGACCGCCCGGGGGAAAGAGCTCTGTGCCCGCCTTGGATCCTCTGGTGGCACCATTGGCTTGTGGGGATGCTTTCCCACCACCAAAGATCCTGGAAGCGAGATCCTGTCCGGGATCTTGGGCGATACGGTCAACGAGTCGGTTTTTCTGGCTTGCGGTATGGAGATCATGTTTCCATTGGCCGTCGACGTCGGGACGCTGGTTGGGACGCTGAAGGCGGACGCGTCAATTGAGCTACAATCGAGCGCTGAATGGACTGACTGTGTATGGCTTGTTCTGCCTGCTCATGCTGGGAAGGCGGAGGGCGGCGATGGGTGCGGGCGGATGGAGGGATGGAACGGGAGGAGGATGAAGAAGACGCGTAGAATAGAGCACATTGTGGCAGCGGGATCAAATGCCTCCACCTGGCGTGTCCTCTGGCCATCATAGCCTGCGCCAGCGTGGTCGTCCACCGCTGCAGCCAGGATGGACGATGCCCCCCATCCCCTCGTACCCCCGCGCCGTCCCGCCCTCCCCCGCCTCCATACAAATCCCCCGCACAGCCCCACCATCCCTTCCCCGCACCGCCCACATGCCGCCACCATATCCACCACCCGGCCGACTCAGAGACGAGGCGGCAGCAGCGAGGCCGAGCTTCTCGGCGTCCAGTCTCGCCAGAGCCAGCCACGCCGTCATGGCTCATCCTCTGCAAAGTTGACCTCGCCGTCCCAGGCATCACACTCGCCCTTCTTCGATGACCATGACGACCATCAGACACCCCGCTCGTATCGTCCTTCTCTGCGCCAGACGGAATCAACTGCCTTAAAAGGACTAGACGGGTATCTCGACAGTCTGGATAGGAATGAGCTTGCTGTCGTGGAAACTCGTTTCGACCTCATGACGGATGAAGAGATTCGTCTCTATCTACAGAGCCACGAGGACGCGCCTGACGAATCTGAACCCCCGGTGGATGTCTCCGATTCCGCCCTCGAATTCGGGCAGCTACCTTCACAAGAGAAGCCCGACCTTTTTGGAGCCCAATCTCCTCTTTTTCCCCCGTCTCCTCCCCCTGTGCGGGTCAGGGCTCTGGCCCATGACCACCCGCTGCGGATATTAAGCAGGGTGGTCAAGGAGTTGAAGGAAGTCATTGACCGTCTAGAGGACGAGAATGACTCGCTGCGTGAAGCTCAAAGTCGAAAGAGATCATCGAGTAGCAAAGCTGCCGACCAAGTGAGCAATAGGCTATGATGCGCCTCGAAACAGAGCTAACGGTCCCAAGATATCCATCCATGACAATCTGAACGAAGCCATTGCTACTTCCCTCACGTCTGCGTCCTCCTTGCGACATATTCCAGAGCAGTCTATGAGTAACACCAAGTCCCTTTCTTCAACCATAGCCCCATCTCCTTCCACCTCGAGCCGTAGACGGCCTCTCTCACCGGCCTCTGGTTTATCTGTCCCAGCCCCATCGGCCTCTTCTGATGGACTAGAAGAAGAAGACAAAGTCATCAGCGGCACGACCTCAAGGGAAAATCAGAAATCCTGGGCCTCGGGTCTATGGGTCTGGAGTAACAAAAAGCCAATCAAGTCCAGAAAGGGGAGCATCAGTTCATTGGCATCGACTTACCCTACCTCATCCGATTTCGGGGCACCCGCCCAGGCAAATGCTGCAGCTGGTAGTAACGACGATGAGATTTGGCACAAAGGCGATGGGAATAACACTCCATCGTTCACAGCGATCTTCTTGGCCACAGTCAGTAACCAAACTCGACACAATCATGACAAGCTGATGGCCTCGCAGAGAATATTGACTCCCGACCCCTCATCCATCTTGGTATCAACCAAGATTCCGGCCAACTCTCTTGTCGCTTGTTTGGCTCACTCGCTCGTCAATACAGCCCGTGACGAGGGTATTGCGATCAAGGAACCAGTCGGTCGAAGAAGGTCTAGAGACGCTTCCCGTAGTCAAACAGTTTCCACGGCCAACCATGTCCCTATTTCCGTGAACGGTACCGATCCAACCGGGGATGGCAGACAATATGGTGATGGTGCTCTTGCTGTGACCGCTTCTCTTGGTAGATCGCTCTTGTCATCGGTTGCAGGCGCCACGATGCGTGGTTCAAAGAATATGGTGGGATCTGGAAGCGATGAGCCTCGACCCTCGCTACGCAGCAGGGGGTCTTCTTCGCGTGGACACCCTTCAGCAGTAGCTTCTCCTGCTGTTGTCCAGCATACGACCATGGATTCGCCTCCATCTGCGGAGACCCCCCTACCATCTGTTGAATTGTCTTCTATCGTCCCAGATGAGAGCCGCCCACCGACCGTGCTATTGTCGCGGGAAAATATCGGGTCATTCTTCCAAGCCAACAAGATGGCAAAGCAAAAGATTGCGACAGCGAGCAGATTCAGGTCAGAAGAGCCTCCTCTCACGGATCGATATGGTTTCATATGTAAGTGATCTCGAACAATGAACGGCATCGCACACAGGTGTTGACGGGCTCAGACGACATTCAACATGCAAAGATGTTGAAAGAAGCGTCGGCTGCGGGCACGCCTGCGCCTATGTCCTTAAACGGTACGATACCCAAAGCCGATCAAGAAGAAGAAGGGTGGATTGCCAAGCAACGAAGAGGATCTCATGGAAGCCACAAGTCTGCTAGAAGCATTCTCAGTCATGAGGAGGGCCATTCCAGCCGGCTAGCTTCCCCTCGCCCTTCTGCAGACTCGACTTTACCCGGTGTACAATCATCGACTCCAGATAGATCGACCCCGGCCGACTCGCGCTCTCGGTCATCCACCTTTGCAAACCATAGTCGGCATCGATCGGGTACCCTCAATTTGAACCCTTCGCCCGCCCGGCCCGTGACTGGTAAAGATCAACTGACCGTTTCTGCCAGAGGCTCTACCAGTCTTCGCTTGAACGTGTCGCCCGTCGCCCCATCCTCCGCTGGTGCACCTCCTCTATCAGCCAGTCTTTCCCAGCCGATTGGCAATGATGAATTGGCGTCTGCCAGTGCGAGCCGCGTGACCGTCTCAAGTCTTCTTGATCGTTTGACAGAACTCCACGATCGACAACAGAAGGAGCGTATCGCGGAATGGGATGCTTTCCTGAAGAAACGAAACAAGCGTAGAACTGGCGACAAGGACCAGCGATGGACGGCTGGGCTTATTGGTGTCGGTCAAATGGGACTGAGCAATCAGGGCCAAGAGGACTTTAGAAGCTTCGCCAGACTGGTCAGGAAGGGTCTGCCTCTCAAGTATCGAGGGGAAATCTGGGCTGGCAAGTTGGTCGCTTTCTTCACCGCCCATGACGCTAACATGACTGCAGAGTGCTCTGGAGCCAAGGACTTGATGGTACCGGGAGAATACTCTGAAATCCTCGCGGTACACAAGGACTTTGAGAGCCCAGTGTTGGCGGACATTGAGAAGGACGTGTCTAGAACTTTCCCTGGTAACGTCTTTTTCGGCGGAGATGGGCCCGGGGTGGGGAAGCTGAGAAGGGTGCTGGTCGCATACTCGTGGTACAATTCGGCCGTTGGATAGTAAGTCGTTTTGCTTTCCCCGCTGATCAGGGCTGATAGGCCTTCCAGTTGTCAGGGGATGAATGTGAGTTGCCCCGATGAGCGTTCGAGTCAGCTAATTGACACTTACAGATGCTCGCCGCCACCCTACTGTTGACTCTCACCGACGAGGGTAAGTATTTGCGAATTACGGGCTCTGGGTAAATGTGCTTACGCCACCTTCAGAACAAGCTTTCTGGGCTCTTGTCTGCATGATCGACAAAGCGCTTCCCTCAAACTACTTTTCTTCCTCCTTGATTGGGTCTCGAGCGGACCAACTTGTTCTATCACAGATTGTCGCCCAAATCCTGCCAAAGATTCATAATCATTTTCAACAACTTGGAGTGGATCTGGCAAGCATTACCTTTGGTTGGTTCTTGAGCCTGTTCACCGATTGTCTACCTGTAGAGGTATGTATACCCGCGGAGCTGTGCGATGGGTGCTGATAGCTGCACTCAGACATTGTTTCGCGTTTGGGATATCTTCTTTGTTGAAGGGCACGACGTGAGTTCCAGGCCGACCAATGCGGCAATGCTGATCTGTATATTAGAGCATCTTCCGGGTAGCTGTTGCCATCCTGAAACTTAACGAGGTTGAGATTTGCGCTTGTGAAAACGTCGGGGACCTGTTCACTTTCATATCTTCCATGACATCGAGGTTGTGGGCAGCGGACAAGCTTATTGCCGTGAGTGATTGCTATTCTTGAAGGTTTACCCACACTGACATCATCAATCAGCTACAAAACAGCTACAAAACAGTCATCAAACATGTTGACCTTGTAGCCAGGTGCGAAAAGGCGGTAGAGGCGCTGGAGAACGGCGAGGTTTAGACGGCCATCGCGAGTTGGGTATATTGTTTGGATGATTGAAATTGGACATTTGCTTTCTCTCATACTGCACGACATTGTTGCCACATTGCATGTACATGTATACACATCTGCGGTTTGTGAATTGAAAAGGAGATCAGACAAGGATCGCAAATTCATGATTGCATACTTCATACTTCTTTCAAATTTACGCCCCAGTTCAGATTAGTACATTAGTACGCAGATCCTCCGTTCACATGGAAACATTGAGCGGTAAAGTAGGAGCTGTCAGGACTGGCGAGGAAGACAAACGCTGTCGCAACCTCGATGGGCTGACCTGCCCTTCCGATAGGCGCTTAACATGCAAATCAGCTTCTGGCGTTGAGCGAGACCGATCAAGCAATTTACTGGTAGGGCCAAAGGCAGACAACGACTCTTCGCCCATCGTGGCAATCACAAGAGGTGTCCATACTGGGGAGAATTAGTCAACCTATGGCTATTGTTCAGGAGTCACGGCAACTCACCTGGTCCTGGACAGACGCAGTTCACGCGAATACCTCGCTCCTTGACAATTTGGTTGCTAAGCGCTCTGGAAAAACCGACGATAGCACCCTTGGTGGATGAATAATCGAGCAGCTGGAAAAGAGATCAGTGGATGCTCAGAGGTGGAGCGAGCAATGTCAGGAATGGCTTGCCTTGGGGTGCCCAACAAATGGATTCTGTGGCCCGATGGTAAGCGTCCTTGTACCTCGAGATAGACAATTGAGGTAGCAACTTACGATTGACGCGTTGTTGATGATACTCCCGCCCCAAGGGATAATAGGAATGAGGCTCTTTGTAAGATAGAAGATAGCGTGGATGTTGACGTCAAAGACATGTCTCCATTGCTCAGACTCGAGCTGTTCAATATTCTCCACCTCGTTCTGTGTTGCGGCATTGTTCACCAGGACATCCAGTCGGCCGTTTGACCACTTCTTGATCTTTTCAGCGAGCTCCAAACACGCCTGCTCCGTACGGAGGTCCGCTGCCGCGGCCTCCACCTTGACCTTGGGATCGTGCTCCTGAATCTGCTTGACGGTATCTTTGGCGTCTTGGTCTTCTGACGGATGGTAGTGGATGAAGACGTTGGCTCCTTCTCGAGCACTTAACGAAGTCAGCTCTGATCTAAGCCAACGACATTCAAGAGGTACTGACAAGAGGATAGCGGTGGCGCGCCCGATACCAGAATCGCCGCCGGTGATGACAGTGTTCTTTCCTTCAAGCTTACCAGCAGGCTTGTACTTGCTGCCGTCAGCCAGAGTGTCGTTGAAGGGAGCGGGGTCGAGAGGCCTTTGCTTGCCAGGGAGGTTCTCCTGCATCTGCCCGGTGACGTTGGGAGGCAGGTAGTCGGGTCGGTACTCTTTGGGGACGGACGAAGGGGGAGACATGGTGTGCAAGTGTGATGGGGGGATACTCTCAGCTCGGATGGACATATATAGGCAGATGGCGAGATGGCGTAGGCCATGAACGTCTGTGACGTCAAAGAGTGGAGCACCCTCTATGACCTCTATGACCGTACCGCGCCTCTGGAATCGCCGATCGGCCCATGCAAGCTCTCGCGGCCCCCGGCTCTGCCACTGCCCATCGAGCCCCCCGCATGCCTCAGGCCATCCGTCAACAAACCTCGACCCATAAAGTTACATGCTCAGCAGCTCAGCAGGAGAGACCGACGACGACGGACCTGCGTGTTCCTGGCGGTCATCCCCGCTGAACGCTCGGGTTATGTAAGCGAGACACCTTGGACATCTCTAAGCTACTAAGAAGAACAATTCTCTGCTGCCTCACTGTTTGTGGCTCTTCGACTGAGACGCTGGGCAAAATGATCCACTCCCTCCCCGCCCTCGCCCGCCCCGCGCACCCCGCCGCCCCCTTCCCCCAGCAGCCCCTCTATCCCCAGCTCCCCCTCGCCCACTCCGCCTCCAACCCTGCCTACCACCAGTATCCTGCTGCCCCCGGACAGAGTGCAGCTGTCGCACAGTACTCGGGAGCACAGGTGTATGGCCCAGGTGCTGTCTCGCAGCCGTACGCCCCGCAGCCTGCTGTTCAGTCGTGGGCCCGACCCCAGGCGACTTATAACCAGCCTCCCCAGCTACTCGAGACCGCATCCAAAGACGAAGATCCCGTGTACGGGCCTCTGGGACGAGCGAGAGGAAAAATCACGCGAAGCCTGCGTGGCGACGAAGAGATCAGTCCGGATTTAATCGCGAAGCTCTCGACTTCAGGGAGTTAGTGGATCTGTGGCATCCATATCAAGTCGTTGACGCTGACATCCTGCAGCTGTGCAAGATCCTTATGCTCCCCCGATAAGTGCCTCTCCAGCGTTCAGATGCTGCAATGTCACCAAGCGGACACCTCTTCCTGATGCCTTGCATCAAGAGCTCAATTGTGCGCTTTTCTCTCTGACATGTGCTCCAGCAGTGTACACCTCTGACCAGCATTTCCACATAGACAAACACCTCACTGCCAAGATGGGACTGTTTGAGGATATTGAGAGAGCCTGGTTCACGGTCGACAACAAGCTCTTTTTGTGGGACTATGGAGATGGGTAAGTCTGGTTGTCCCTTTCCTCGTGCGCTCGTTGACTCTGTACAGACGTGATTTTAGCCGATATGACGAGCAAGCAGATACCATCCAGGCTGTCGGTCTGGTAAAAGCGAGAAAAGGTGAGGCGAACGCGTCTTGTGCACCTAGCCATATGCTGACTTCTGCCAGACGTCTTTGTCGACGACATAACTCATGTCCTTGTCATCTGCACGGCGACCAAGGCCACGCTTCTCGGTCTCTCACGCTCTCTTCAAAGTCGTGAAATTTCGCTTTACCATACCAACCTTACTGCCGAGACGCCCACTATTATGATTGATATAAAAGGCACCGACGAAGGCAGAATTTTCGCCCTGGGCGCCAACAAGGACTTGTACGAGCTCGACTATGCTGCCGATAGCTCATGGCTATTTGGAAGTTCCACATCTGTGAGACTGAAAAACAAGACAGGAGGAGGCGTCAGTAATTGGGTGCCGAGTCTTGTGACTTCAAAGGGTGAGATTGTATCTCTGGTCATGATTCATCTCAAGACTGATAATTGCCATAGTCAAGGATGGCATCGAGTCGTTCACAGTCGACCCCCGGCAAAATCGCGTTTTCGCCCTCCATACAGCCGGAGAAGTCGACTTTTACGATGTTTCGTCAGGACGCTTCGACCTGCGGTCCAGGTACAGTAGACTCAAGCATGACTTCAAACTGCATGCCCAGGGTCCCAATACGTCTGGCCCAGGACCTGCTATCGTCAGCATCTCTGCTGTTACTGGGACAGAATCTAGCCGTGTTTGTCTGGTGGCTGTTGCGTCCACGGGCGCTCGAGCGTACTTTAGCAGCCAGCCCTTCAGCCCCTTCCCCATTCGCGCCGCGCCTCCTCTTCACCCGGGCCTTCCTGTTTCTGAACAATCCATATATTCCTCCGGCACTTATATTGCTGCTCAGTATGATGCCAACGCCCCCCTGAGCCAGACCTATCTCACTTTCACTGTCCCCCAATCTGGCCGGCAGTCCGCTTGGCGGGAAAATCACGAGCTGTCAGAGCCCGCTGTTTTCCAGGAATGGACTGTAACAGAGACTATCCCCAGCCAGGTCTGGTCGGTTGTGGAGTTGGCGGGCAATGATCCTCGAAATTCAGCACCCAGTTTGCGAACGCCTGAAGGTGTCGCTTTCAGTGCGCTACCCAGGCAAGCGGAGTCGGGCCCCCGAGGATACCTCATTCTGGCTACCAGTGGTCTTTTCTGGGTTGAGCAGCCCAGACCTGTCGACATGTTGAGGGCCGATTTGGAGGCCGAGAGAGATGTAGCCATCAACACCGTGCGGACAGTGTACGTATCAACCTTTTTTCAACTGCTGATCAGTGCTAACGCCCCCCACCAGATTTGGCAAGACTCAGCTCTCAGCCATGGCACTGCTGCTGGGATCGACTCCTGACCACAAGCACCCCGATCTTCTTTCGTCCATCTCAACGATCCTGCTGACATCTGGAGATCCAATCGTCAAGGACACCACTGGCGGCAAGGCCATCATCTATTCTGCCCGCCACGATGGGCTGGCGTTGTCGATCGCTCGATACCTGAGGCCCATCTGGGGCAGCAAGGTGACATTGCCTCTTGTCGGCGGTAGGCAGGTCCTGGGCGTGCAGGAGACGGTATTGAACAGCGTACAAGCCAATCTACAGAGGCTGAGGGAATATATGGAAGAGTCCGTGTTCTTCTTTTTTGTCTTGATGTATCGAAACTGACCTCTGCGTGTAGCCATCCCTTCCAACGGTATCAGGTCGATGGTGAAGCCAAGCTTGCTTGGGACCAGGAAGAGCTTTCTTTCTATGGTTTGAACGTGTTGCTCAAGCAAGCTGTGGAAGCTATATCTTTCGTACTTTTGCTCCAAGACTACAAGATCTCTGATATCATTGCCAAGTGAGCAAACTTCCCGCTGGGTGACGCACAAACTGACATTGTACAGATGTGACGGCCCCACACAGATTGCCTTGTCAGGCTTGACGTTTGAATCTCTCATCGCAAGCTTGGAGGGACGCGACGTCGCCCGCAAACTTGTCACATCTTTGATCGAACAACAGATCGGCCAGGAGCTTGGTGTGAGTGACGCGATTGACATTCAGGATTGTTCTCGCTGACAATCTTATAGATCGACACCCTGAGTGAAATCCTCCAGCAGCGTTGTGGTTCGTTTATTCAGCCCGGCGACGTGGTCCAGTACAAAGCAGAGGAGTCAATGCGTCGTGCTGAGAGTTCCCGAGACCCTCAAGAGGTTGCCGACAGTCTCGCAGAGTCTTTAAGGCTATTTACCAGAGCCGCGAGCAGTATCCCTATACCTCGTTTACAAGAAGTTGCTTCAAGGTACAGGGCCATCAATTTCACTCTCGGTGAGTATCTCTGCCGTGGCATAAATAAAATTTGACTGAGTGATTGCCTGTCTCAGGTGCCATTGACCTTGCTCTTTGCACCGCTACTGAGCTCGACTCTCAAAACAAGGCTCAAGATTTTGTACGTGACGGGGAACATCCCAATGACCCCAGAAAAGCTTTCTTCGACGCTCGACAAGAATGCTACGCGGAAATCATCAAAGCTCTACAGGCCGTCGATGAGCGCCTGGACCTGGCTGTTGCTGCTGGCGATCCTGCGGGAGCCACTCAAAACCGAAACGATGCCTACGCTCGAGCCATTGCGTCTGACGATGAGCTGTTCCATTTCTACCTTTATGATTGGCACGTTGAGCGCGGGCTTCAAGAGCAGTTGCTGGAGGTACATTTCGAATTTCCATGCCTACAATCAGTCGAGAGCTAACAGTGCTTGCAGTTTGATACACCTTACATTGAGAAATATTTGAAGATTACCATCAGCAATGTGGCGGACCGACGAGACCTCTTGTGGAAGTTCTATGCTAGGAGAGAACAATACTTGCCCGCTGCGGAAGCTCTTTCGGAACTTGCCACCCGCTCAAAGTACGTGTCCTCACGGTGTATCGGTGTCCTCGTATTAACCGTACCGCTTCTAGTACCATGACGCTACATGACCGCCTCTACTACCTCGCCCAGGCGCTTACATCTGCGAAATCCGCTGCCTCTCTAGGGTACGAAGATGTCGAGTTCACGAGTAGACTTCAGGAGCAAATCGATGTTGCTCAGGTCCAAACTGAGGTTTTGCGATCGGTTGAAACCCACCCGGAAATGTCAAGTGAAGAGAAGCACGACGTGTTGGCAGTTTTGAACGAAGGACTGCTTCAACTGGATGAGGTAAGCTAAAGGCAATCCTGAGTGGCAGTACTAAGTCCTTTCTACAGTTGTACCAGAATTATGCTCGACCTTTCAGACTATATGAGGCTATCCTTTTGATCCTCAAAACCGCCGATACTCGCGTAGATGATGTTTGCGATGCTGTATGGAGACAATTGCTCAGTAATGCAGGCGCCGCTGGTGGATCAGCTGGCCTCGGTGAGGTCATCAAGAGTCTGGGTAGGAGGTTCTTCCCGAGTGAAGCAGCTCCTCTCGGTAAGCTTTGTTGAATAGACATAAAGACAGAGCTGAGACCACGCACAGATATCATCGTTCCTGCTGTCTACGGCGAAGCTTCATGCTTCCCCGGACAGCCAGGTTGGGCATCTATCGCATTACTCGACGCTGGGGTTTCTCTCCGAGACCTCTGGGAGGCCGTGATCGCTCTCTATGAGACGTCTGACGACGACGATAGGGAGTATTATGCTGAACAGGCTTCCGTCATTGCGGAGAGGTGGATGGATAAGAAGGACGAGATTCCCGCCGCCGAGGTGAGTTCTAAGCGGCACGAGGGTCGGTTTTCGAATTGACTAACCAATCAATTGCTCAGGTGGAGCGCTTCGCGTCGGCGTATGTCCTCCGGGCAAACGGTGCTTTAGACAATGTCAGAAGAGATATCAGGGATAGACTAGTCGCGGTCAAGCAGATCGCCGTCACTTATTGATGCAATTCTCCCGAGAATGCTTCCATGAATGCTTCGATGAAGATAGATTTACACATCAATGACATACACGTCGCCAGGCTATCTACATGAGTTTTCTAATCGCTACACAGTTGCACGAATTTCAGTAATTTCTACAATGTCCCATAATACCAGCCTGTCCCTGCCAAAGCACATCCACAGACAAAGTTTACAGCTGAGTTGGACAGCACGTTGCTGCCGATGCCCACGGTCTTCACACCCTCGGCGGTCCGCCCGCTTGCATACTTCTCAGAAGTGTCCGTGATGACGCGTTTCTCCTTTGTGTCATAATAGGTTATCTGCAAAGTAGCCCCAAGTAGGCTGTCCATCAAACTTCCGGCAAGACCCAAGGCAGCGCCTAGACCAACAATCTCCAAAGCCCAACCGACGCCTCCAGCGCGAGATGCAGGGTTTTCGATGAGGAGGTCAACAACCTGAATGAGTCCCATAGACACGCCACCAGCTACCGACACTAAAAGGCCCAGAGGTGATACCCCACCGTTGGTCCCGGGGGGGACAGGCTGTAGGCTTAAGATATAGCGGGGAGCGGTGGGGGAGAGGATGCCGAGCTCGGAGGCCAAAGTGTCTGCAAGGATGGTGGCGTTGAGACTGGGAGACGCTGCTAGTCAGCTTCAGCCATAGCAAAGAGGGGACGGGACTTACCCAAGGGAAGCAAACATCAACGGCCGAGCAATGGGATGCAAAGACAGTATCACTGATCTTTTGCTGAGCTGGCCACCAGGGCCAAATCGGTAGAGGAGAGCAGCTATCAAGCCGGGCAACGAATTGGATAATACCTATGAGGGTTGTCAGGACCAGTTTACAATATGTCTAGACTGACTTGTGTCAAAGTTCTGTTACCACTGGGTTTGGACGGATCGGGGCCGTCTTCCAGCTTTGCCTTCACTTCGGCCTTCACCTGAACGGGCGCGTACTGACATCAACACAATCATCGAGGAAAAGATTTGACAACCTGACTTACCTTGGTAGCGCGTGATCCCAAAAGGTACATCCCAATCATTGTGACACCAAAGAGTCTGAGAGGGTTTGCGAGATGCCCATAGCCAACAGCGAATGCTGTGATGGCGCCGTCTAGTGAGAGTGACCCCTTCTGATGGCCGTGCAGGCCAAGGCCAGCTGCAACCACCAGAGCTTCAGGGTATACTGCTGGCTGGTTCATCGAATTTGAAATACGTAGCCTGGAAGTATGCACTGGAATGTGAGGCAGGAAGCAAGACTCGCTGAGACTCGTTCACGCACCTCGGCCCCCGAGCACATCCCGGGCAGGAGTGATGTCATGATATTTCGGTCCTCCTCTGGTCCATCATTCAATGTGCAGTGAATGTCAGGGTGTGTGTATGATATACATGAGCAAGAGTATGTGTGTAGCACAAAGGAAATAAGACACTTCTGCCTTATCCAGGCTCTGGATGTTGTCTTTTCACCTTCTGTACATTATAAGGCAACCGCGCAAGCATAGGCAACAGGCAGGCGGCAGGGGAAATAAGTACTCTGGCAGAGGATTTTGGGCAGGTCATCAGGGTGAAGAGAATCAAGAGGCAACAGCAGCAGAAGGGCAAGATGTGGAAATGGACAGGAATAGGGGCAGCAGAAGTATTGTCTTCAACCTTTTTGTACGCTTTGCTGGTCAACTTGTACCCTTATTTGCTTTGTGCCGTAGACGTATCACGTAGTCGCTCCGTCTATTGTCCTGTCACTCATTCATGTATATAAGGAAGGCTGGGTGTTGGGAAAGAGACCTCAACACACAACTCTTGACTCTCTTCTCTCCCCTCCTCTTCTTCAGTAAACCTCTACTTCTTGTAGCGTGCTAGGCGCCTGCACACCCCATGGACTCTTTTTACCCTTGCTCGTCTTTGTCTTCGCCTCCGTCTTCGCTTCTGTTACTCATTTTCGTTCTCATCCTCTCTTCTAGTAAGGCTGTCCAACGTACATCAACACGCCAGATTCGCTACCCTTAGCTTCTTCCGCCCGACTCTCCTTTCTTATTGTCTTTAACCTTTTTGTACGCTTCGCTGGTCAACTTGTACCCTTATTCGCTTCATGCCGTAGACATATCATGTAGTCGCTCCGTATATTGTCTTTTCACTCATTCATGTATATAAGAAAGGCTGGATGCTGGGAAAGAGACCTCAACACACAACTCTTGACTCTCTTCTCTCCCCTCCTCTTCTTCAGTAAACCTCTACTCCTCCTCCAAAGACCGCATCCAAGCACATCTGTGTCTTCCTCTTCATGAACTTGGGCTCAACCCTCAATTACATGTGGTGATACTTTCAGCTGTCCCCCCAGAGCAGGCCTGATCACCACATCTGGGGGCCTGACTGGGTTTTTGTCCTTCTACCTGAAGTAGGCCACACCTTTGTGTATTGGTTCAAGGTCTAGTACCTCTATCACCCTACTACACCACCACCCTACCCTGCTCCCACTTCATCACTTCCCCTCCTCTACACCCACCCTTAGATGTATTCATCTTGACTATCAACCCGGGCACCAAGTCTACACTCCGTGTCCTCCTCTCCTTTCCTTTTCTTGACCGCTTCTACAACTAGCAAGAAAAACTAGAAAAAAACCTGAGGCTGTACACACCTCAGGTGCCAAAAACAACTGACAGTTTGAATCTACTTGTAAAACCAGTCTCTCTCCTCGCCTTGGCCCTCTCTGCTCTCAGTAACTCCACTCTTTTTGGTAACTCCGCTCTCGTTCTCGGCGCCCTCCGCCTTCCTACCGTTACATAACAGCGGTCTCACCTCAGCACAAGCCATTATTGTTGCTGCTTATACTCCAGCACAGGCCTTTATTGTTGCCGCCTCCTCCTTGAACCGCCACTTCTAGCAACTTTTGATTGCTCCTCGACACTCTCCTAGTATCCATTCCTCCAGCTCTCTTCGAAAAGCTGTTTGGATTCCTGGTGCCTCTCCGTCTTCCTCTGTTGACTGACAAGTTTTAACGGAACGACAAGGGTTCAAGCACCACAGCATAGCTTCTACCACTTCCTCCTCTAGTTCTTGTCAACCTCCCTCCAAGACGCTCTAGCTCTCAATACTCTATTACAAGACGCTCTCTTTCTCTCAACGCTTCTTTCCAAGACCTCTTCCTTCCTCCTCTAGCTCTTGCCGATCTTGCTCCAAGACGCTCTAGCTCTCGATACTCTATTACAAGACGCTCTCTCTCTCTCAATGCTTCATTCCAAGACCTCCTCCTTCCTTTGACGACTCAACTGTCCCCCCAAGAGACTTCCTTGCATGTGCATTAGTCAGCATGCAGCCTAGCCAAGGCCCTCATCAGCTGCCTGCCTCCAGCCCTATTCCCTCCTCTCTTGCAAAACGCACTACTGGTGTTGCAAGCACTTCTGCAGCCCCTCTCAACCCTTCTCTTCACAACACTCATGCTGCCGCCAAAGCTTGTCGCGCCCTTAACGCGACCGAGTCCAAGACTCCGGCAGCTGGCCCTTCTCTTAGAGACAAAGGCAAAGAGCGTGAAGACACCAACACCGACTCTATTGCACAGGCTACTCCTGTCCCTCCTTCCTCCGACTCTACTGCACAGGCTGCTCTTGTCCCTCCTTCCTCTGGCTCTACTGCACAGGCTGCTCCTGTTGTGGTGATTAGGCCTGCTCTGGGGGGACAGCTGAAAGTATCACCAAGTGTATTTGTGGGTTGAGTCCGAGTATTTGAAGAGGAAGACACAAGTGCGCTTGGATGTGGTCTGGGAAGGAGTAGTAGAGGTTAAGGAAGAAGAGGAGGGGAGAGAAGAGAGTCAAGAGATGTGTGTGAGGTCTCTTTCCCAACACCCAGCCTTTCTTATATACATGAATAAGTGATGGGACAATAGATGGAGCAACTTTGTGATACATCTACGGCACGAAGCAAATAAGGGTACAAGTTGACTGGCAAAGCGTACGAAAAGGTTAAAGACAATAAGGGAGGAGAGACGGGCGGAAGAAGGTAAGGGTAGTGAATATGGCATGTCGACGTACATTGAACAGCCCTACTAGAAGAAAGGACAAGAACGAAAACAAGTAACAAAAGCAAAGACGGAGGCAAAGACAAAGGCAAGCAAGGCTAAAAAGAGTCCATGGGGCGTGCAGGCGCCTAGCACACTTCACCTGTCCCTCCCACCCCAGCTCAGCCGCCCCAGGCTCTCTGGAAGCAAAGGGTATATAAAGAGAGCTGCTGGACAGTTGAGAACTAGTTGGCCAGAAAAATATGCACATATCACAACTGTGTGGATACTGCATTGGTCAAGGGTCATGAAGGGGCATCAGAGTCATCAAATTACTATACAAACAAGCTCTGGAAGAGCAACATTATGATTGAGGATACCAAGCACACTACAAACTTATGGCTGGTCTTGTGGACAAATTGTCTCTTTTTAGAGATCTTTCTCTTCACCCTCTGAGTTTCTTTGGTACCGTGAGAATGAGGGCTTGTGTCACAGAAGACTCCCACTGCCTGTGGGTGTGTCATTCTGCAGGCAGGTGCTAGTGGTGATCCAATATTGTGATAGAGACTGCCCCCCTTTGCCAGTTGCCTCCATCATTGGCTTCATCTTAGCATCCTCATCCTCTTCAGCCCACGCAGCCAGCACAGGGTCATCAGGAGTTGTGCAAAGCTCCAAGACTTTGTCTCGTAGCTCGTCAACATCATCCTCATCTTCTGGTGCTGAGCCAGAAACAAGTGGAGTTGTGACAAGGTAAGAAGGCACAGATTTGGGCAATGTTGGAGGTCTGCCTGTGAGATGAGACTCCCAGGCCCTGGTTGATGTACCACTTGTGAATTGGCGTGGCTCAACAAAGGTGTTCTCATGGGTCTTCATAACATGCTAACACATATCCATCAGCTGCTGAGACATTTATCAAATAGCAACATACCCTGAGCAGCAAAGGCACCAATGGAGATGAATGTCTGCAGGCTGGGAATTATCAGTTACTATTACAGACAGCAAGTCAATTTGACCAACAATCATAGGGGCAGGTCAATGTGTTTGAAATGTGTTTCCCAATGACATGCTGCAAGAGCTTCTCATGGGTTGAAAATGTTTCTTTGTCACATGTACGCCACAAACACCTGAAGCCCTGTCAGCTTGATGGTATCATGCTGAAGACACTTTGCAGAACTCACTGGAAGAGAAATTCCACTGTGACAGGTTCAATGTAATTTGACTTATCTCTTTTGAAGCGTTTGAAATGCCACTTGTTGACACCAACTTGAACCTTCCAATGGTTATCATCCTCTGGTCCATCATTCAGATGACACTTATGAAAGTGCAATCTCAGTAGATTCTCACTTGCCAGAATGGCAGCACAGTGGTTCCATTTACACTCATTGACTGTGCAACAATCCAAAAGAGTTTCACAGAGCACATTGCTGTATGTTGCTGCCTGTGGGCCGTTTGCAGCAGTAAATCTCTGAGGGATTGGGGAAGGTGACCGGACCCGCACTGTTTTTGATCCACCAAGAACAATGATGGATTTGATTCTTGATGAAATGGGATTTGTGGGTGTGGTCTGTTGACCAATTCTGATATCTTTGGGCCTTTGTTCTTGATTGATAAGCTCCTGTGGGTTAATATCATCACTGGAAACATCTAGATGTTTGGTCAGGAACCGCAACAGATTAGGCAGGGGAAAAGTGCTCACCATACAGGCCTTTTTGGATGAGCATTTGCCGCTTGGCTGGGTCCAGTGGCAGAACCACCTTTGCTCTTCTCCAGAACTTTGAATCCCTACTCAATCTAGAAGGTAGCTTTATGATAGGTGCAGCTTTGGCAGTTTCTGCAGTAGAAGACATAGTTTCACTACTGGAGCTGCTATCTTGAACTTCCACAATACTGGGAGCTCCTGTGGAGCTACTACTAATAGAGTCAAAGAGCATCTGTGATGCTACATGTTTTTGGGCCACATGTGATGTTGAAGGACCTGGAGAAAGAGAGGGTTCAGGAGAGGGGCTATGAGGCATGAAAAGCGGCTCAGGAGCACTCTTCTGCACTGATGTGTCTTTTGCTTCCTCTTCTTGTGTAGGTCCTGACAAAGACAGATAGCCATGAAGCAGGGATGGGGGGACACCAGGCTCTACTCTTGAAGGCTCCAGTGTAGGTGGTCCTCTTGCCGGCTGAGGAAAGCGTCTGGTAACAGGATATTGTTGTGCTTGCTTGGGAGGTAGAGGACCAGGAGTCTCAAAGTCAACTCCATAGAGTAAGCCCTCTACTGGGGTGGGTCTATGTGGAGCATCAACTCCACCAGCCGATGATACACCAGTTGAGATGTCAATGACCAATTTGGGCTTTTTGAAGGTCATTTGCTGCTTGATGGATCTAGGGCCAGCCTTGTTGCAAGCATCAAAGCCTGTGTGTGCTTTCCTCTTGCCAGTGTGGAGTAGAGCCAAAGGGATGGATGACTCTGATTCTGAACCAGAGTCAGAATCAGAAGACAGGTAGGCAACAACAGAGTCATATGTGATTGGAGCAGGATGCTTTTGAGAGACAGAGACCGCCATTTTTTTGCTGAGTTGGATACCAGTCTGCTTTGCAGAAACATCTGGAACAGTGGAGGGGGTGGATGAATGAGAAGTGCTGGGCACATAATGTGTTGTAGCCAAGCTGAGATTGATGTTTGAGCTGCCATCAGAATGCTGCTCTGGGACAGCCCTCAGACTACCCCTGTTTTTGTCCACTACACTGTGCCCTGAAGTCCTTTTGGTGGCCAGAATTGGTCCAGTACTCTTTGCTTTTGCAACAATGTGCTCTTTTGAGTCTGGCAGATTGGCACTAGCAAGCACATCTGGGTTGTGCAGGATCTTGGGTCTTTTGGCAAGATGTGTGTTTGATGGTGCAAAAGGCTGAGATTTGAGAGTATGCCTGACCAAGGGTGCACACCCAGCATCAGATTGCACTTTTCTCCCCTCAGTTGGCCATACAGATAAGGGGTTGCTTTGCTCAGCACCTAGCTCCTGAGTACCAATATTCTTGGATGATGAGGGTTGCTCCCTCAAAGTCACCTGCTTTTGTGGTCTACCTTGTGCAACCACATCTTCTCTTCCCAGCTGATGACCTCCCTGATCTTGTCCAGGGACTGTGTCAATGCCCTTTGACACACCAATGGGGGCCTTCTGAACAGTATTGACACCCAGTTCTGGCAATGCTGCATATGCTGGAGGTGGAGGTGTTGGAGGCAGTGGAGGTGTGGGAGGTGGTGATGAGGGTGCGGCAGGTGCGGCAGGTGCAGTGGGTGGTGTGAGTGGTGTAGAAATTCTGTTGGTGGTTTTAGAGGGTAGGGGCAAGATAGGTGGTGGAAATGGAGGGGTAGGTGGTTGGTTGAATGGGGAGGCAGGGACCTGAGTGGCATGTTGCAGATCATGGAAGGCCTGCTCCTGAGGAAACGATAGTCCCCTTCTCCATCCAGATTTGTCTGATGGTGGAGGAGAAGCTCCTGTGGCAGCACCTACAAGGCCTGATGAGGGGGGAGGGTTGTTTGTGTAGGCAGCAACATGAGAGACCTGTGAATGATAGGCCTCAATATGATGTGGTTGGTGGTCATCCAACACAGAGCTCTGCCTCACATGCCACTGGCTATGCTGGTAGCCATACCCTTGCCCACTTGATGACCCACCCAAGGGTACATTGTTTGATTCTGATAAGCCCCTGTGAGGTTTTACATGAGATGGACCATGTGAAGATGTTGATGGTGGGCCCGGGGGCCTAGTGCTCTTGTGTTGCAATGGGGCCGCCAGAAAACTGGGTTTTGGAGGCAGAGGATATTTGATCCTTCCCTCAAGACTGGTGGTAGCTGGGGTTGTTGCAAATGTAGGACCTTCTTGAGCAAGGCCGGGATTTATAGCCAACGATCCGGTGGGGTGGTGATGATACAAGGAATGGGGTAGTTTGACATCACTCAGAGTGCTTGATATCCAGGGTCATCTCTTCACCAATGCATACTATATGGAAGATGTTGACATACATTGGAGGTTGACTGGGCACGGTATACTGCTGGGACGCCGATCCGCGCGAAAGGAGGCGAGGTGGTTGATCTCTGCCATTGGTTGGCCCTTTTTGACCCGGGGGCTCTGGCTGGCGGCTCTTGCTCATCAATGGAGGCCTCTGTTGGCAGGTGCAAGCGTGTTGGACCAGATGTTGGATAGGGTTTGCAGGAATCATCACCAGAACGAGGTCGCCGCCGTCGAAGAACGAAGACAAACAGCCACCCACGTGGGAACGGGATCAAACTTATCAGCGCACCATCTCTAACCAACCATCTTGATCTCATTCGACCACCCGTCCCATATCCGTACACAATGGCCGGCCCAGGTGAGTGCTGCCGGGCGTTGTCCCTGTATGCGCTTCTAACGTCTGCCATGTGCAGGATTTCACCCCCACCCCCCATCACTCCTTCACCGCGGTCTCGCCAAGGCCCTCGGTGCTGGCATGTGGTTCTTCATCTTCTACCGTGCTAGGTGAGTCGTCTCTCTGTCTGGGGAAGCAGTGCGGTTTTGGTGTGACCCGCAATGCCATCGAATAAATTTTGACGTGGACATATCGCTGATACTGCTCGTGTAGACAAGACGGTGCTGCTCTTATCGTATGTCAATTCGATCTGGGGACGCGCGAGGCCTGAACGAAATGCTGACCTTTGAACTATAGGGTCTCAGACATCCTTGGGACGGACATGGACATGGCGATGCCCACCACTAGGTTGGCAGGTTAGGTGGAATGTATATTATGGACAACTCTGCTTTAGCTTTGTCGCCATCAACAACAAATCGGGCACCCGCACACACTAGTCATCGCGTAACCCTCTTGGTTCGACTACCTGGCTATCTGTTACCAGTTGTATCTATACGTGAGATTCATCAACAAACTCCTGCTCGCCTCTATTCGGCATACGTCTTCTTCGCTTCAAAGTGTAACGACCAAGTACTCAGCAACTTTCTTCTATTAACCTCATCCCCGGTCATCCTACGCGGATGTCAGCTCGCAGACAATGTCCAAAAACGGATACAACTCACGTCAACCCATAGGTCAATGGCGACAAGAATAGCCAAACTCCGATCACCACCGCTACCAACACCCACAGAACGATCCACGCGGGCTTGTTGAGTTTTGCCCTCACAGCAGGTCTCAGCCTCATGCCTTGGCCTGCAAAACTGACAGGATAATTGACAGACTCTATCAGAATGAAATTGAGAATCGAGCCAGCAATGAGGGTGGAAGTGAGGTGGGCGGGAAGGTAGTGATGCAGAAAGAGTTGTCGGTTCATGAGGTAGAACGGGAAATAGTGGAAGGCCCAAGCGCCCAGGAAGAAGCCAGTGTTGCGCAACAATCGGTTCCGGACACCTATCAGACCGTCAGCGACTGTCCGATGACGCTGTTGTTGACACTCACTGTCTTCAATAGGATCCATCCCACGCCTCCTTGCGAGTGCATCCGCCCCCATGATCCCAATAAAGACACTGAGCGCCACGGCACATAGCCACCATCCCATCAAGTTCCCGACCATATAGATCTGCTGCGAAGTGTCGCTCTTTGTCCAGAAACTGATACCGCTCAATGAAAATGGCCATTCAATAGGGTTTGACTGGTAGGGGTGGGTGGATGTCAGACCGGCATTGTGCTGGAGCATCAAGAGCTGAAGCTCAAACCACTTTTTGATAAAGGCGCGGTTTTGGGGAGCTTTAGTCTCGACCTGGACGGTACGGTTCTTAAAGTCGATGCCAGATCCGTCCGCGATGATTTCATCGACGACCCAGTGCGTTGTCTTGTCCTTCTCGTTCTTGTTTCCATTCACTTCTTGCTGGCCAAATCCCCATTCGGGAAGCGCTTTGGGGTGCGTCCAAAGCATGACTTTTGTTGGCACATGGATGAGCTTGAAATGCGATGCCAATGTCTTCCACGGCTCGCCATCATGTGAATCGGTGATGGACACTTTGAAATGAGTGTCGCTCATCCTTTCCTCCTTGTCAAGGGCGACAGTTGTAAACTCTTGATTGGTCGGCATGAGAGGGGAGGCCACATCATGTGTGAGCAAGAGAGTATCGGTGACGACGTGCTTGAGCTGGATGACATCGTTCTGTCGAACAATCCTGCCTCGGCCAGACGCTGGGATCTCCTTTGTAGGGATGACCTGCCAGTGGTTGTTGGTGTCGTTGTGGGGGTAGCAGGTGACTTGCTGGCCCTGGGAGGAGATGCGGCCGTCGTCGTAACGGAGGGGATAATGTTCGTCGTGAGAGTGGAGGAACTGTTTGGTGTCCTTGTGGCGGATAGTGATGGTGTCATAGTACCTGATCTCTGCGATCACAGTCAGCAACGGGCACTGTAGAGGACTAAAATACGTTTACCTTGGGCATTCAAAAGCATCTCATTGCCCGACAAGGTCTCCTGGAAGGCAGGACTCATAAATGAATCGCCCGGGCCAGAGAACTTGAGGATCTTGAAATGTACCCAGAAGAATGACAGGTAGACAAAGAAGGGCACAATGATCAATCCGATGGCACGGTACAGGAAATGTCTATACCAGTAGGACTGTACAACGTAAGCTAAGGAGTCGCGTCCACTTTGAGCGACTTACCATGGGATGACCCCTCTTGATGTCTAGGATTTCCCACAGGTCCCAGAGCACAGCGGCGCCCACAGTCAGGAAAGTAAACAACCCAACCATCTTGCACCCCAACGTGCACGCCAGCCAAAAGCCGGTTGACAACAGCCAGAACCACCATTCTTTCGTAAACTCGCGATATCGGTACTGGTGGAATTTAATGTAGCACAGCAGGGCGAGGGCCATGAATAGAATGAGAGCAGCGTCGAGGAGGATGAGGCGGGTTTGGACAATGTGGCCATTGTCAAACAAGATGAGCGCTGCGGAGAATGCTGCGATGCCTACAGGGTAGCCTGATTCGCGCATGATGGAATACACGACAGGGATGGTGAGGGAGCCCATGAAGGCGCAAAACTTGCGCATGCCGACGTAGGGGACCTGCATCACATTAGATCTTTCCTCGGGTCGAACGCATAAGGACTCACTCCGGGACCAGTATAGTCGTCTCCGATAGAATCGAATCCGAAATCACCGTCGAATCCAACCCACCATGCAGCCAATGCATTTAGCATCTTGGCCAGAGGCGGGTGTACATCAAAGTAGTAGTTTCTCTTGATATAATGACCTGCTCGCGGTCAGCTTGGTGCGTTGAACAAAGCAAGACATACCAGCAAAGGCACCAAAATGGACTTCATCAAAGACGACCTGGTCGGGATGCGCAATGTTCCAGAAACGGACCGCAAAGGCAAGAGCGGTCAGGACGGTGACGGCGACAGCTGACGTGAAGTACTCTCTCCTCAGCTCGACTGTGCTGAGGGATCTCTTGGGGACGTGATGCTAGAGCTGGGGTCAGCGAGTCCGGGGCCGAGCACAAAGGAAGACTGACCTTGTCATCGTCCGAGAGATGGCGGACGGGGAGTGCTGGGGGGTCGTGCCTCTCTGTGCGTCGCTTGCGCGGGAGGACAGACATCTTGCGGGGGCCGGGTGGATGGCGGCTGATAGACAGAGGGACAAATTGATGCCGGCGCGTGAACAACAAGATGGACAAGATGGATGGAGGACAGCGCGACGCGCAGGCGGGGAGGGCCGCCAGGCACGGGGCACCACCAGCGGCACCAGCCCGTCATCGCACGCACATGACGTCAAGCAGAGAAACAGTGGTGGCTGTGGCGGGTATATATACAGGCCCCTTCCTCTCCGTTCCCCATCCCCACCATCATGCGTGTCTCCACCTCCCTCTGCTCCCTCCTCGCCCTCGCCGTCCTCTCGGACGCAAAGCTCTTTGCAAAGGAGAAGCGTAAGTCCCTCCAAGCCCCTCGCGCCCCACTCACACCCCACAGCCGTCTATGAGGACTGGACCCTCGACCAGTCCCTCGCCTTCCTGAAGGAACAGGGAATTGCCGTCAAGGACGCGGCCACCCTCCCAGAAATCCAGAAGCAAGTGGCTGCAAACGCTGATGCCGCCGCCAAGGTGCGCCCCGCTGCAGTGTTGCCGGTCACATGCTGACTTTTTGCGTGATAGTGGGGTGCTGCATCCGCGGGCTCTGCCCAAGCTCATTTCGAGGTCATCAGTGATAAAATTCTGGAGACTTGGACAGAAAGCCAGCTGAGACAATACCTGTTGGAGGCCGGCGTGGTCGCTCCTGGGACCACCAAGGAACAATTGCTTGTCAAGGCCAAGCAACAGTAAGTTTCGCACGCCACTCTTTGTATTGTTTCTCACGATTCATGTAGAGCATCGGCTGTTTCCACTGCTGCGTACGGCCACCCCACCGATCAAGCCGCCTCTTCCATCTCATCCGCCGCCAACGGCGCCTATGCCACAGCGTCCGGTCAAGCCGTCACAGCTTCCGCCACCGCCCAAAAGGTCTTTGACGATGCCAAAGACTACGTATTCTCTACCTGGGACGACAACCAGCTCAGAACATGGCTGGAAAAGAATAACGTCATTTCCACCCCTGCCCCTACTGGTCGCGCCGCTCTTCTCAACAATGTCCGGGTCGCATACCTCAAGCTCACCGACCCCGTCTATGAAGCTTGGTCTACCTCTGCCATTCACGAATGGCTCGTTGAGCACAACATTGTCCACCCCGAGCCTACCGCTAGGGAAAAGCTCCTCGATCTTATGAGGGACAACTACTATGACAATAAGGACAAGGTTTACAGCAAGTGGTCTGAAAGTGAGGCTCGTGACTGGCTCATCTCTGAGGGTGTTCTGTGAGTCTGGTGGGCTGTTTTTGGCACCATGCTGATACACTTCCAGTACCAGCGAAGCCGCTCAGCTCAAGAAGGAAAAGTACGACAAACTTTTGGACGAACACTACACCCGCGCCAAGTCTACCACATTCAGCAGCTGGCGCGACTCTGACATCCGTGATTGGCTGGTGCAGCACGGTTACGTCAAGTCTGACTATGAGGCCAAGCGCGATGAAGTGAGTACAAGCTATTGACCATGAGATATGTCTGACCATGGATCAGCTCGTTGCTCTCATCTCTGACAAGTACACCGGTGCCACCTCTGCCCCTTACCTTGCCTGGCCCGACGCGCGACTTCGTGCCCAGCTGAGGAGCTACGGTATTGACGACACCAAGTTCTCTGGTCGACAGTCTCTTTTGCACGAAGTTCGAAGTAAGTCATGCCTCATACCTCGAGGTATCGCCTACTGACGGCATGCAGTCCACTACGTGCAATCCCAGAACAAGGTCGAGCAAATCCTTGCTGCTATCCGAGATGCCGTCAGCAACAGCGTCGAGTTTGCCGAGGACAAGCTTTCCAGCGTTCTTGACCTCCTTACTGCCTCCAAGTTAACGGCAGAGGAGAAGCTTGAGCGCGCTTACGCCTCTGTTGCCTCTGTCTACGACGCCGGGCTCGCCTCTGCTACTTCTGCGGCCGATGCCTATGCCACCAGCGCTTCGTCGTCCGCTTCTGTGGCGTCCGTTAGCGCTCTGGCTTCAGCTTCTAGCGTCTCGCTTGCCGCGTCCAGCGCTGCCTCTTCTCTCTCTGCACACGCTGTTTCTCAAGCAGCCCTCGCTTCCAAGTCTGCCTCCAAATCCGCCAACAACCCTGCTTTGACCAGCTCTGCGTCTTCCCTGAGCAAGTCTGCCTCCTCCTACGCCAGCTATCTCTCTTCGTCGGCATCGTCCGTCGGTTCCGCCGCTTCCCACTCTGCGTCCGTGGCCATCCACTCTGGATCGCTCGCTGCAGTCTCGGCGAGTAAGGCTGGCCATTTGTCTGCTGTGTCTGCTACCAATGCCGCCAGCACCAAGTCTGCTTCCATCTCCAAGTCTTTGAGTAGCTCTTATGCCCAGGCTTCCAAGAGCGCTTTCAGTGCTTCCAAGGCGGCTGCTTCGAGTGCCAGCGCGGCCTCCAAGAGCGCCGACTCTTACTCGTCTTCTTTGAGTAGCGTAAGCGCGGCGGCCAGCAAGAGTGCCAAGAGGGATCTCTAAGGTCAACGAGTGTGACCGGGGAGCGATGAGTGTGAATGCCGAAAGGAAGAAAAAGATAAGCAGTCTGAATTAGTCGTGGAAGCTAGCTTTTCGCTTTACTGTTCAATAGTAATTCCATTGTGATGTAAAGTGTGCTTGTGGCTGAATGTGCGTTGAGTGAAGCAATTGATGTAAAGTGTGTTCGTGGCCGAATGTGCGTTGAGTGAAGCAAACCTAGCAAAGTGCCACTGGCGGCATTGGCGTGAAACCCCGAGTGATGACGCGAGCGGGGATGGCCGGCTGCTGCTGGCTGAGTCACGGAAAAGGCTCACTCTGATCGATCACTCTCATATCTTATTGCCTCATCTCATACATCATACAAAATGGTCAAGGTGAGTCTCTCGTCCCCCGCCCCGTCGTCGCTCACCGCCGCCCCCCGCTGCCTCCACCGCCTCTACCGCCCGGGTCCTCTCCTCCGCCGTGCCTCCACCTCGCCCCCGCCCCACCCACTGCGTGTCCCTCCAGGCTGTAGCTGTCCTCAAGGGTGACTCCTCTGTCAACGGTATCATCACCTTCACCCAGGAGAAGGAGGGTGGCCCCGTCACTGTCTCGGGTGACGTAAGTCCCTCCCGCCTCCACCCCACGCCCCAGCTCACACCGTCCCAGATCAAGAACCTCGACGCCTCTGCCGAGCGAGGTTTCCACATCCACGAGTTTGGAGACAACACCAACGGCTGTACCTCCGCCGGTCCCCACTTCAACCCCCACGGCAAGAACCACGGTGCCCCCGCTGACGCCGAGAGGCACGTCGGTGACCTCGGTACGTCGTCCGTGTGCAAGGCTGCATCTGCTGACTCTGCGATAGGTAACGTCAAGACTGATGCCAACGGTGTCGCCGCCGTCAACATCTCTGGTAAGCCAGTGTCCCATGGTGCTGGGACTTTTGCTTATACTCTTGTCTAGACAAGTCCATTTCCCTCTTCGGCGCCTACTCCATTATCGGCCGAACCGTCGTTGTCCACGCCGGCACCGATGACCTCGGTAAGGGTGGCCACGCCGAGTCTCTCAAGACTGGTAACGCTGGTGGCCGAGCTGCCTGTGGTGTCATGTACGTTCTTTACCGCGAGGCATTTAGAGTGAATGCTGACCATATGTTGCAGTGGCATCGCTGCCTAAGCGACTATTCGCGCGTCTTTTTAGGGTTGATGGATTACGGGAGCTTACAGGGGGTGTAAGCCTGTATAGTAGTAGCAGTCAAGCGAGCTACCGGAAATGCAAAGCAGTTTCTCACGAGCATTCTGGCGCACTCTCCAGCCTGACTTTCCCTGCATAAAAGCCTATCTTTTGACTGATTCGTTGCTCATATACGTACCGTCTCTCGGCCTGTTCGTATGCAGGTAAGCAGGACGGTACATGGCACTTGAAGTTGCGGACTGGCGCGTGCCTCATGTTGAATTTACGCTCCTGCTCACCTATACCTATCGTCGCATTCTTTTTTGATAGCCCTTCCCCCAGGCCCCCTGCCCGAGTAACATTCCAGCTCCATTGACTCGTGATCCCTGAATAGATCACAACAGGGCAACAAACATAACCAGCATGTCTCGCGCGTCGAAGACGGTTCCTGCAGGTTGTCATGTTCCATCCCACACCTGTCGACGCGTTCATCGGTCTCACTGGCGGTGCTTTGCTTTGGGGGAGACCTCGGACCTTGGATCTGAGGCACTCATCATAGCATAGTAGTGTATCCAGGATAGAGCATTGACGCTCAACGCGACCGTATCAGGCGACACGTTCAAAGCGGTGAGCCATATCGTGGAGCCACCAGTGGGTACAGGCAGTCGAGCGCCCTTGACGACCCGCAGACCGTATCCGGTAGGCCGGATCTCTAGCTCACATGCATGCTGAGGCCTTTTGGCCATCTATATAAGAGGCCAAGAAATCACCTCAGAAATGCCATCCAGCACAACTCTTCAATCTCAACAACTCTTTCCCATCTTATTTCATAGGTCAAGCCGGTCTTGCCTATCTTTTTTTTTCTTGTCTACTTTAGCCTTTACCCTACCATAGCTTGCTGGTCTTGCTTCTTCGATCTTCTCCGGTTTTCACGCATTCACCAACCCTTCACTCAACTTTTCAAGATGTTTACCTCCAGCCTCGTCGCTCTCGCCATCGCTGCCACTTCCGTCCTTGGTGCCAACCACACTGTTCTCGTCGGCCAGAACTCTACCAAGGTGCGTTTCTCTTCTATGCTCTGGACCATTACTAACTTGAACAGACCTTCACTCCTTCCGAGCTGACTGCGGCTGTTGGTGATACCGTTGAGTTCCAGTTCGTCGGAGGCAACCACACTGTGACCCAGTCGACCTTTGCCAACCCGTGCACCAACTCGGGCTTCAAGTCTGGCTTTGTGAAAGGTAACGCCAGTAACCCTACCAGCGTAAGTACTCGTTTTTGAGTCCGAACGTCCGGCAGTTGACACTTTCCAGTTTACCATCTCTATCAACGACACTACTCCTCTCTGGATGTACTGCGGTCAGACTGGGCACTGCGAAGCTGGTATGGTCATGTCGTGAGTCATACCTTTCCGTGCGATATCATATCTGACCAGATCAGTATCAACGCTCCCTCTACTGACAAGACATTCGCCGCATTCCAGGCCGCTGCCGCAGGAAACTCTTCGTGCGTATCACGTCCACAAAGTGATATCGGCAGCTTATTCTTGACAGCTCTACCGACTCGTCCTCCTCTTCCAACAGCACCGCGACTGCCTCTGCCTCTTCTACCAAGACCAAGAACAAGAACAAGGACAAGAGCTCCAGCACTGCTTCCGAAACGGCTTCCGGGACTGGTGGCAGCTCTACTGCCTCTGCTGCTGCTGACTCTGCTTCCTCTGCTGCCGAGTGAGTCCACATCGTCTTGTCAAGTAACATAGCTTATACTACTATAGGCTCCAGCTTGGCATCCCCGGCGTCTCTGGTCTTCTTATGGCCATTGCCGCTCTTGCTGTGGGCACTGTTCTCTGATCGGTTCGAGGCTCTGGACGATGGACATAGATTGAGTCAATGCGAGATGTGTATGGGTATGAATGTATTACCGAGACTTATCACTGCAATTTTGTGGCCAAAGCTTTGAGAATGCAAGTGGCGTTCTGTGCACATATACAACATCAATGCATTGGTCGCAAGGTGATCTCTCGCACATGTAAATCCTTCTAAAACTTCAACATGATTATACTCTATGCCCTTCCAAACCACCTTCTGATATCAGACAACTCTGTGTGCCACCTTTCCCATTTGCTGGCCATCTTTCGGATCTCCATCTCGCTCATCCCTATATCGCCCCCAGCCTCGGCAGCATGATGTACGCGGGACAGCTTCTCGGCAAGTTTTTGATACGCAGGATACAGTTCTTCGTATCGATCACGGAGACGATCAGGGTCTCGCTGAGCCGAGCGGTAAGAAGAGTTCGGGCTGAGGGGTTCGTCCCGCCGCGGGAGATGCCCGTTGGAAGGCCGTCCAGGCAAGCTGGCAGAGTGGTCTGGTATGGGGCGGCTGTGAACGCGCTTCGGGACAAGTTCATCATGGCGGGTACTGGCAGGAAGAGGCAGATGACCATGGTCGCTCGTCCGTTTCGTCTTTGGCCGACCGCGGATTTCGCCCTCTTCGCCGCTCTCGTCTGATGCTGCTAGTTCGCGAGCTCGCTTTTCTCTCTGCTTGACCAGCTCGGCTAGGGGTATAGACCGCTCCTTGCCGGCGTCTTGCTGCGGTTTCTTGCGCTCCCGTTTTGCGCCTCGAGGTTTGGATGGGCCGTCTGAAGACGACGACGAGTAGTCGAACGAGGGCCGTGAACGTCTTGCTTTGGTGGCCTCGTCGGACACTTGGCTCGGTAGGCGTTTGGTCTCTTCCCGGTCTGATGACGAGACGCCTTTAGAAGCTGCCGGTCGTTCTTTCGGCATTGGTTTCACCTCTTTGGCCTTTTCTGATTGCTTCCGAGACTCTGCCCGTTGTTCCTCCTTTTCCAACGCTTTAGAGTCCCTCTTTTCGGGTGAAAGCGATGGGCTTTGTATCGGCCCCAACCTGGGACTCGCCATGCCTCCCGCGCCTTTTGTATTCGGTAGACTGCCGCTCCCTGCCCTCTGCCTCTCTGCAACGAATTTGGCCCTTTCTCGTGCAATCTTGGACTGTGGTCCCTTCTTGACCGGGGCAGTGGCAGGCTTGGGTTTGGGTGGGGAAGGTGACTCGGTACGGGCTTTTTCGCGGTCGCGAAGGACAGAGACGGGGTTGACAGAGAACCCCTGACTGGTTGGTAGTTGTGGCGTTCCCTTGTCCGACCCATCAGAAGACCTGGCTCCATACCCGGTGTTCGCATCCTTTTCCTTTTTCGCCAGATCCATCCTCTCTTCGGCATTCTGAGGTAGACCGAGTTCGTCAAACGCGGCGTGTGCGAGACGGATGACTTGTTGTTGTTCGGCGTAGGTGTAGGACCACTGTCCGGCGCCGAGTTTGATCTTGGCGTACTGGCTGGGCTGGAGTGACCATACGCCGACACGATGTTCTGAAGGGCGGCCGACCTGTACACTTGTCAGCGCGAGATTCATAAAGGGAGATGTGGACGCACGACTTGGACGACCCGCATGACATGATGTTCGTCGCCTCCCATTCGCCTGCATAGATCCTCCTCGGTGGTTTCGCCCATGGCGAGGTACTGGACGACCCGGGTCTTGAGCGGGACACTGCCAGCGGCTGGCGCAGAGCCCACGGCGCCTGGAGCCGAGCTCGACACTGCCATTGAAACCGACCCTAGCAGTCGCTCTGCTTTCTTCTTGCCAGCCCCGTTTAGCCCTGATGCAGGTGCCGAGCCGTCAATCCGAGCCGCTCTATCCTTCTTGCGCTGGTCCAAGGCATCTGTCTGCGCGCGGAGCCGGTCGGCTGCACGAGCGGTCGACTTGCTGGTAAAGGGCACATTGAGCCTGGTGGACGCTGTAGCCGAGAGAGATAGTCGAGGCTTGGAGCGGGATGAGGAGAGGGCGAGGATCTCGGAGGTGGTTGAGGTGGGGCGGGACTCGAAGGGGATGGGATCTTGGCCGGGTATCTTGAGAGTCTGCGCGCGGGTTAGGAAGGTAGTCAAGAGTCGGGAAGGGAGTACTTACGATGTTGCCGTCTGAGCCTACAGACACGGTGGCTTTGGGGGAGCCCTCGAGGATGGACCAGGTGTCTTGGGGAAACTTGATGAGGAATGCTTGCCGCGAAGGGCCTGCCTGTCCGACGAGGGGCACCTGGCCTGAGCTCGGCAGCGGCATGGCGGATGGGGGGGCGAGAGTGGGAGTCGGGGAGGGTAGCAGAGGCAGGGAGGGCGATGACCTGGGCGGGTGGGGAATGCAAGGGAATGAAGGGTGCACGATGTTCAACAAGGGAACGCCTCGCGCTTGATCCATGATGGTGATGGAGGTGGAGGTGGCATTATGTAATGGTCTTTGCAACAACAAGTGAGTCTCGATGCAGCTTGGGTGGCTGCTGGGGACGGGAGGGTGAGAGACGATTGCATGGCATGTATGTACAGGAGCAGCAGCGAGGAAGCGCATTCGACAACAAATGCATACTTTATAGATCGACTTTTATCATCTCAGTCGTCCCATTCTTCCTTCATTCAGACCTGATTAGGCAGCAATCTTGGCCTTGACCTGGTCATGGGAGAGCTTGAGGAGGTCGCTGGAACCACCAATAGACTCCTTGTTGATGAAGATCTGGGGCACGGTGGAGAAGCCAGAGAGGGTGGGAAGGTAGGCCTGGATTTGCGCTGCGGGGGGTTAGTTTAAGTGGTGAGCATAGACAGCACGACTCACAGCCGTCTTCCCTCTCATCGAGCCTGAGTAATGGGGTCAGCGAGAGCAGCACTGACGGCAGGGTACGTACTCAAGGACGAGGACGTCGCTGGTGTCTTCGGCGAGGTACTGCTTGGCGCGCTTGCAGTACTGGGACGGTCAGTGGAGCAGGGGAGAGACATTGGGCGGCGTACGGGGCAGTAGGACTTGGAGAAGACGACGACCTTGTTGTCTGCGATGGTCTTGTCGACGAAGGCCTTGATGTCGTTGGACATGGCGTTGGAGGTTGACTGTCCTATGGTGCGGGTGGAGGCAAAGTAGCGGGGGGCAAAGCGGGGGGCAGGGCGCAGGTGGGCAGCGAGGGAGGCGAGGCGGAGCGACATCCGGTTGAGGAGACTTGCTGACATGATGCACTTTTCAGATGCGTCATCCAATTACGTAACCTTAAAGCGGAGGCCGCCGCCCTGCAGCTGCCACCCCGGCCCTCCTTGTCGAACAATACGAGAAGATGTTGTTCGGGTGTGTGGTTCCTGTGCCTACGCAGCGCTAGTGCGTGTGTCCGTGCGTGTGGCCGTGCACCCGACCCCTGTGGCTTGTTATTATGCAGCTTCTGTCCCGTGTCTTGTGCTGGCACATCAAACATGGCCCTCCACCTCGCCGTCCCCGCCCCAGGCCCCTCCAGGCGCAACAGCCTCTCCGTAAGCACCCTCCTCCCAGCCCCACCCGATACTGACCCCGCCAGTCTCTCTCTCCCGTCTCGCCCGCATCCAGCCCCTCCCACTACTCCTGGTCCCCCTCGCGTCCTGCTCCTGCCCCGCCCAGCACCAGCATCCACGCCTTTCCCGAGCCCCCTCCTCGCCGGCCCTTTGCCTCTTTCCGCTCCGCCCGTATTTCCAGAAGATCCTCCGCCTCGTCTCTCATCATTACACCCTCAGACGCGTCTTGCTCTGGTGTTGTGGTCATTGACGCAGAGAAACCGCCGCCAATGGACGAGACCGGCGCTGAAAGGCATACAGACAAGGAGCACTCCCCGTTGATCGAAAGGAGACGCTCCAAGTCCTTTACCGACCTCTCTGCAGACTCTCGCCGAGCCCTCTCTGAACTCTCGTCTACGGATATGATCTTTGGCAGCGCCCCGCCCCGCCCGCCCCGGAGACGACAGAGGCCAGAGCTGCTGACGAGGAGACTCCAGACCCTCTCGCCCATCCCTTCGTCGCCTGCCGCTTTCAGGCCCTCCCTCGAGCTGCCCAGGCCAGGGTACGCGAGGAGCGCGTCGCCATCAGGAGAGTCAGTCGCGACCGTCACCCCTGCTACAGAATCCGATCTGGAATCGTCACAAGAGACGACTCTCGCCTCTTCCATTCGGCAGGGCGTACGCGACATGACCCTTGGCCATTCACGGACCGGTTCCGCCTCCTCCGCGTCCAGACGGATGGGCGCACTCTGCGACCTCGTCTCAGACCTCGACCTGACCCAATCCTGGGGCACATCGCCCGGCTCGTCGGGCACCGCCGTTGAAGGTGTCGATTACGCAGAGCCTTACAGAAACTCGTGCTACACCTCGTCCTCGTCCGAAGAGTCGTCCCTGGTCAGCCCGCCTCTCGTCGGGTCCCCTGTGCTGCGCCCCGTGACCGTCCGCGACGATGGTCACGAGTCTGAAGACTTGGGTCTGTCCTACTTTGAGCCCAAGCCGATACCGCTCCCTCCCATCCCTGTCGAGGCGCCGAGCCCTACACCGCTCAGCCGCAGAATACCGTCCAAGAGTTCACTCCGCCAGAAACGCCTCGCCACCCCCGAACCTCCCCGGCCTGCCTCGCGCGGTCGGACAGAAGTCTTTGATGTAGCCTGGTCGGGCTATGGCAAGTGTCTCGAACCATCTTCACCCATCGCTTCCACTGCGCCATCTGCAGACAAGACATGGCGCTCTACCTTGGCGTCCGAGTCGACTTTTACGAGCGTGCTAAACACACACGGCGCGGCCGAAGTCAAACGACAAGAAATCATGTGGGAAATGTGCGAGACGGAAAAGGGCTTTGTCGACTCGATGAAGATGGTCATGCGGCTCTTTGCTTCGCCTTTGAAAACGCCACAGGGAAGGTGGATAGAGGGCATCCCTCAGAAAGCCACCGAGCTCTTTGACTATCTACAAACCATCGTGCATGTCCACGCCGCGCTCGTAAAGTCGCAAAAAGATATCACCAAGGACGGCGTCATTGATGTCACGGCATTCATCTCTGCTTTCAAGCCATGGCTGTCGAGGCTGAGCGTACACGAGCCGTTCTTGTTGGAATTTGAAGAGGTGATCCGTTTGATCGACGCGCATGCCAGGGATGCAAAGAGCGTCTTTGGAGAGTTTCTCAGGATGCAGACGGGGGCCGAGGTGCTGGGGTCCATGACTCTGACGAGTATGCTCCTCAAACCTATACAAAGGCTGACCAAGTACCACTTGTTTTTAAAAGTCAGTATAATGTCGCTGGTCGTTTGGCCATCGCTGACTCTCTCTAGAACCTCCTTGACGCCACACCCTACCCGCATCCGGCTCACTACAGCCTCGTCTCCCTTCTCCAAATCACCGAGGCAACCGTCACCAAAGTTCAAGCCTCCAAGGCCCGCGAAGAAGACTTTGAGTCGCTCAAAAATCTCGCATCCAGCGTTCACGGATTGCCCGACGGGCTCAAACTCGCAGAGCGAGGCCGCAGATTTCTGGGACACGGGACTGTACTCAAAGTCGTTCTGGGACATGACGAGCTACCCCCAAGCGGAAGAGTGGTGCAAAGTAGGAGCAGATCAGAGAGCGTGCATTCATACAATTCTGGCCGCAACTCGGTGACCTCTTCCGTCTCGTCCTCTGCTCCGTCAACATCCAGCCCCTTCCCGTCTTCCGACTTTACCTCCTCGTATTTTGCTCCCTCGTCACGCTCATCGGCATTCTCAATATCCTCTTTCGGGTCGTCCTATTTCGCGCCCTCGAGATCAAATTCTCTGACCGTGCCCAGATCATCACCAAAGCTGCCTTCTCGCCCGCCCTCCGCTGCTTCCGTCTTTTCCCTCTCTAGGCCCGGATCTGCCGCTTCCATGCGAGGAGGTAGACTACGCCGAAAGGAAGAGCCCTTGACGTTGCTGGTTTTCAACGACATGGTGATTCTTGCACAGGCAGAAAAGGCAAGCGGTGTTTATGGGAGACGACGGGACAAGGGGTTCAAAGTATGTGAGAATGGGGCTGGGCGGGTAGTGGAAGTGAGAGACTTGAAGGGCTGGGATGGTGAGTATCCTCCTACCCAACCTTGCATCGACTAATGTTTGACAGGACGCGACCAGGTGTTTAGCGTCACCATCATCCCAAACCATTCCAACAACCCGATCCCTATGACATACTTTTTCCAATTACCCTCCGTCACCACCGCCTCCGCCCCTCATCTGCGGCGAAAGCATTCATCGCCCACGGACCTCTCGCATCCCTCGCTGTGCACTGCTGAGGCGTTCATCGATAGTCTTTGTGTGGGGCTTGAGGTGGGTGTGGCTATGGGAGGCGATCAGGGCGAAGGGGAGGAGTTTCTGGTTTTCTAGGGCTGTGGTATAATGCTGTCTGGGACAGTGATTTATGCATCTTGAATACATCTTGCTTTGCTGAAAGGGCGCAACTATATATTCAGGGTGACAGATAAGATATCGCGAGCTTAAAATATCACTCGCGTTTTAAAGTAAAGAACGTGCTTGAGGCTCTGGACGGATTATGGAATCGACGTAATTGTGTTTCACTTGTTGAGTTTCATATTCAAAGATCTTCAACTGAGAACAGTAGTCTGCTCAAGGCGACGTCTGTGTAGTCTCGTCGTCCAACAGACCCAACCAGCGCCCCTGTCCTTTTTGAAACCGCCGCCGCGAACCAAACTCTGCCGCAATGGGAGTCATAGACTCGACTTTGATTCTCAACAAGCTCCTCGTAGATACCAACAATACCGGCGAGTCTTTCACTTGCGCGCACAAGCTCTACTGACTTGTCTACAGACTACCCTGACAAGCATGTCCACGTCCCGCTGTCCTCTCCTCTCTTCTTCTGGTACATTGCCGCCATCATGTTCTTGGTCCTCCTCGGTGGAGTATTCTCAGGGCTGACCCTAGGTCTTATGGGTCTCGATACGGTGAGAAATACCGCACCATTATGATAGGAGCTGAAACTAGAATGCTGCAAAACAGGTCAATCTACAAGTCTTGTCGGTGGCTGGGACAGAAGACGAGAGACGGCAAGCACCACGAGTTTTAAAGCTTGTGGGCCACGGAAGGCATACTATGCTTGTAGTACTTTTGCTAGGTCAGTAGTGTCTGACTCAACAAAGATTTTAGGACTGACTCGTGCGCTCGCCAGGTAATACTTTGATCAACACTTCGTTGCCCATCTTTCTCGACTCTATCGTCCGTGTCATCATTGTACGACCGACAAGATCATCGCTGACGCAATGACAGGTCGGGGGAGGATGGATAGCTGTGCTGGGCAGTACTTTTTTGATTGTGGGATCTCTTGTGAAGCATTGCCAGGCTACTGTAGCTGATGACGATCCACCGCTAGCTGATATTTGGAGGCAAGTCGTGACCAGACCGAGTCACAGAGACTAACAAAGTGCCATTTCTCCTCACCACCAGAGTAGGTTGATACGATACTCGTAATTATACATACTTGAGCTAACGAGACGCTTTAGGATTCTGCCACAATGTCAGACCACTTGCTGCTACAAATGAGAAGCGACGCTGACCTTACCAGCCATCTGCAACCGCTATGGTCTTGCGATCGGGTCAACGTTCGCCCCTCTCGTGAGATTCCTGATCGTTCTCATGTATCCCATAGCCAAACCCATTGGCATAGTGAGTCCGATGAGATCATGACCAAAGCCCATGCTCACCACCACGCCATCCTGCTAGGTCCTTGACTTTGTCCTCGGGGCTCACTCTGACCCAGTGACATACCGCAAAGCCGAGCTCAAAACATTTGTCAGTCTGGGGGTCGAGGACAAGCTCGAAGAAGACGAGCTGGGACTCTTGGGCTCTGTGTTAGAGTTCTCTGGAAAGACTGTCAAAGATATCATGGCGAGTCAAGAAGAAAGATCATGCGGCACCGTCGTGGACATGCTTACAAGACCGCAGACATCGCATGAGGACATGTATGCACTATCCGCGGAGAGGATTGTCGTACGTGTAGACATTATTCATCAGATGGACGACATATTGATAACTGTCTCCAGGACGGCGAGCTCGTCAAGGAGGTAAGAGCAGCGTGATATTCAGACCGCCTCGCCAACCACCTGCTATCTTAGATCCTCAAGAAAGGTTACAGCAGAATCCCGGTATACGAGCCTTCGTCTCGTGATTCGTACATGTACTCTACATCCTCCCCGCACTCGGTTACAGCTAAAAGCCATGTAGAGGTTGTATCACGATCCGAGCTTTGGTAGGCTACGACTGGACGGATTTGAAGCCGGTGTCAGATTTCGTCACCCAAGCACTGCCACAATGTTTCTCTGACCTCAACCTGATTGAAGGTGAGCAAAATCTTCTCGTTGAATCGTCAGGAAGCTCACACGTGTCCTTAGCCATGTCTTAGTGAGAACCACGGGTCTCCGTAATCACGCGATACTATTTACTGATTTCCCCTGCTTATTAGCTTCCAAACAGGGCGAAGCCACATAATGCTTATCACTCATCGCACAGGAGACAACACCCAAGTGCTTGGTCTTGTTACTCTGGAAGATGTGGTAGAAGCTTTGATAGGGCGTGAGATCATTGTGCGTGGTCACAAAATCTGACTCTCGTGATATCAACTGATGGGCGGGGATTGTAAAGGATGAGACAGACGTGTATATAGACATACACAGCCGGGTGCCAGTAGTGCGCTCAAGAGAGAGAGGTGGACAGTCAGTATCAAGATCTCTGCTCCTTGCCAAACCCCTGACATAGTCACCTACAGCGTCAAGGGCCTCAAGAAGATCTATGAGGGCCACTTGGCTCGTTGCCGCGTTCTGGAGGGACAGACAGTGCTGAGACACGAACGAAGGGTTGTCACAGAACAGAGTCATCTCTTATGAATTTGTCCATGCATACCTGTCAGACCCACTCTCTGTGCTTTGCAGCTCTGACTCACAGAAGGTCACCCAACATGGGCCGGCATATAACGGAAGCAAATCGACGCGCCAGAAATCGGAACTTGTAGGACGAGTTTGTTGTCTTCGGCCGTGCGTCCGTCCATCCTCTTCACACCACATCCATCCCACCTCTTCCCACCATGCCGGGCGCGACCGACACCGTCATTATCGCGCTCACGATCCTCCTTCCCCTCCTCTACTTCTTCCGCAACTCCCTCCCCTTCATCGGTGGAAAGCCCAAAAATGCTCCGTCTGCAGCCGTTTCTGAGAAGACCGCGGTAGAAGAGGGCGATCCTTCCGACTTCGTTGGCAAAATGGCCAGAGCTGTGAGCAGTCTCCCATATCCTCTGTGTGTGTCGTGCTGATAAGATTCATAGGGCAAGCGCTGCGCCATCTTTTATGGCTCCCAGACTGGCACCGCGGAAGAATACGCGATCCGGCTCGCGAAAGAAGCCAAGTCTCGGTTCGGCATCTCCTCTCTCGTTTGCGACCCCGAAGAATATGAAATGAACTTGCTCGACCAGGTCCCTGAAGACGCATGTGTCATCTTTGTCATGGCCACCTACGGCGAGGGTGAACCTACGGACAATGCCAACCCTCTGATGGAATTCCTCGCAGAGTCCGAACCCGAATTCTCCCAGGGCGGTAATACTTTGGAAAACTTGAACTATGTGGTCTTTGGTCTCGGAAACAAGACCTACGAGTTCTACAACGAGGTTGCCAAAAAGCTCGACAGCAGATTGACTGAGCTTGGAGCCAAAAGGATCGGTGAACGAGGCGAAGGGGATGACGACAAGAGCATGGAGGAAGACTACCTGGCCTGGAAGGATCCCATGTGGAGTGCCTTCTCTGAGCGTCTTGCTGTCGAGGAGGGTGGTGCTGGCGATGTCGCCGACTTTGTTGTGAAGGAGCTGCCCGATTACGCCCCCGAGAAGGTCTACCATGGCGAATTTTCCCCTCGTGCTCTTCTCGCATCAGCCAGCGGCGGGAGCACTCCTGTGGGCGCATATGGTGCCAAGAACCCCTTCCCTGCCCCTGTCCTTGCTTCTCGAGAGCTGTTCAAAGTCGGCGGTGACAGAAACTGTGTCCACATCGAATTCGACATTACCGGCTCTGGCATGAACTACCAACACGGCGACCATGTGGGCGTCTGGCCTTCTAATCCCGACGTTGAGGTTGACCGATTCCTTGCTGTTCTTGGCCTCAATGACCCTCACAGGCGCCAGGCCATTGTTGACATCGAGTCTTTCGATCCCGCTCTGGCCAAGGTCCCCTTCCCTACTCCTGCTACCTACGATGCCATTTTCCGTCACTATCTCGACATCTCCGCCGTGGCTTCCCGCCAAACGATTGCCTTCCTTGCTCGTTACGCGCCTACTGAAGCTGCTGGCGCCAAGCTCACGCAGTGGGGTAATGACAAGGAAGCATATGCCAAAGAAGTCGACGGCCCTGCCTTGAAGTTGGCTGAAGTCCTCCAAGCTGCCAGCGGCGACTCTGTCGAGGAGCCTTTTGCCTCGCAGACTGTCTGGTCCATTCCCTTTGACCGTATCGTCTCTTCCATTCCTCGTCTTCAACCCCGATACTACTCCATCTCGTCATCCGCCAAGCTCCACCCCAACGCCATCCACGTGACCGCGGTTGTGCTCAAGTACCAGCCCGATGCGTCCCCCGTGCACCACCACGAGCCGCGATGGGTCTTTGGTCTTTCTACCAACTTTATCCTCAATGTCAAACTCGCCCAGTCTGGCGAGAACGCTCCTTCTGCCGGCGACGCTGCTCAGCAGGTCACCATGAAGAAGATTCCCCAGTACAAGCTGGCGGGCCCTCGTGGCAACTATGTCAAGGAAAACGTCTACCGAGTCCCTATCCACGTGCGAAGGAGCACTTTTAGACTGCCTACTTCTCCCAAGGTTCCAATCATCATGATCGGTCCTGGAACTGTGAGTCGGGTGCATAGATGTTGCATGTCCGAGCTGACGAAAACTTAGGGTGTTGCTCCTTTCCGAGGCTTCGTGCAAGAACGTGTTGCCCTCGCCCGCAAAGCTATCGAGAAAAACGGACCTGATGCCCTCAAAGACTGGGCCCCCATGTATCTGTTCTACGGGTGTCGACGTGCCGGCGAAGACTTCTTGTATCAGGACGAATGGGCGCAGTACGAGGAAGAACTCAAAGGTGTTTTGAAGATGAAAGTGGCCTTCTCTCGTGAGATGACCAAGCCTGATGGCAGTGCGTAGCGTATCTGTTTTCTACGGGATGCTGCTGACCCAATTGACAGGCAAAGTCTACGTACAGGATCTCATCCACGACCTTGCCTCTGAACTCGCTCCGCTCATCATCGACAAGCGGGCATATATCTACATCTGCGGCGACGCCAAGAACATGTCGAAGGCTGTCGAGGAGAGACTTATGGAGATGCTTGGGCAGGCGAAGGGCGGAAGTGCAGCAGTCGAGGGAGCCAAGGAGCTGAAGACTTTGAAGGAGAGAAACGTGAGTACAACGACCTGCGCCCTCTATTTTGCGACCTCTGCTGACTTTTACCGCAGAGATTGATGACCGACGTCTGGAGCTAGATTACAGCCATTGGAAACGGATGTATCACAACAAGTATACGAATATGAAGGGTGTCGTCGGCGGACACATTTTACGAATTATGCGACATACAAGGAGACTATAGGAGACTCATGCATATGTTTACACACTCCAGTGACAATTTACGACATAGTGATGCAATATAGCAACGAGATAACTTGACACGGATATAGTCACCTGCTATCATGCAAGCCATCATCACCTATCTCTGATGGGCGCTTGACCTCACCCAGAGCCACTCTTCCACCTACATCTTCGTCCCGCTTGTCTTTCTCATGTCTGCTTGTCACGGCCCTGGGTATATACCAAAACGGCCTGTCCGGGTGACTGACTCTTACGACAAACATCCAAAGTACCAGCGAAGCCGCAAGGAAGGCTATGGAGAGTGGCTGGAGGATCCAAACGCCATACTTTTCAGCGATGGCTCCTGTGATACTAGACCGCCCGTCAGTCTTCTTGCTCCTCGGGATATCTCAAAAGGAGTCACGTACAAAGGCATGATAGCGCTGCCAGCTTGCCCTAAGCTCGCTATCCACCCAATCGTCCCTCCCTGCAGCTCCCCAGGCAGCACCTATATGACGACATTCATGACCAAAGGGTACATGGGCCCGAGGAAGACACTGACAAGGGCGAAGCAGACGGCGTTACCGACGATGGTGTAGGTAAACCAGATGACAAGGGATAATACTATAGACGCGATAGTGCTGATACCTGTCAGTGGATCTGAAGCTCCCCGGGATAAGAAAGCTCACTAGGTCCAAATGGAAAGGTGGGGGCCAAGTCATTCAGAGACAGGAATGAAGATGACTCTTCCGAGTGTGAGACCTGGGACAGCATCAGCATCTGGCTCTATGTCTCAGCAGCATACTGATAGCGTGCTCACCTCCGAAATAGCCAGCCGAAACGTAGCCAGCGTTACTGTCGCCACCTCGCTCATCAATCAAGAACGAAGTCTGAGAACCAGATCAGCATGTGCCGCGGTATATGAATAGCAGTGACTCACCGCCCAGCCACCAATGGTAACTTCGACACCGACCTATGATGGATGGTCAACTCAGATAGGGTTAACACGCCCGGACAACCTACATGAATGACAATGTAGAATGCCATGCAGTGTACCACGGGGGTCTTCAAGATCCTCTTCATCTTGCTCCCGCTATCCTGGTTGATCTTCTTCACTGGTGGACCATCCTTTTGAACGGTCTCGGATGAGAACACCTCCTTCTTTTCCTCCACTTCCTCCTGTCTGCTTCCGACGATCTGATCTTCTGTCCGCAGGCGGAAAACTCCCAGTACTAGCGCCGCCGTGAAAACCGCCAGCCCTAAGCTGACGGTGAAATACAAGTACACCCGGTCTGGGATGTGTTGCACGAAAGCGGTAGCGACAAATGGAGAGATCGTTGCTCCAAATCCATAAAACGCATGCATGAGGAACATTTTGGTGGGAGCGTTGGGGAGGCGGGCAGTCAGGGAGTTGACTTGGGCGTCCTGCACAATGTCAGTCGACAGTGTGGACATGAGATGGGGAGATGTATTACCTGAAGACCCAGACCAAACCCGTTGAAGATGTATGCAATCAAGAACAGGGGATAAGGGCTGCCCCAGCACATGAGGATATACGCCAAGCCTTGCATACTTGCTCCCAAAGGGGCAGCGTTGCCAAAACCGAGGCGATCGGTGAGGAAGACGTTGGTGAGGCCAGAAGTCATGAAGCCGACAAAGTTCATGATCCAAATGATCGAGACTGTGCTGATTCATCAGCTATGCATGTATATGGCTTTCGAGATGGTCTATAGACTTACTGACAAGATAGTCGACCTGTTTCACTGCTCATTGTCAGCGAGAGAGCTATCTTCTACGAACGGCATCAACGCACGTTGTAATGTTCTTCCAGAGACGGTAGTAGTGGGCCTTGCGAGGCGTCATTCCACCCAGCTCTGGTATTAAGAGTCTGAGTATGGGGCACATACGGAATGTAGACCGAAGGTAAGCCTACAAGAACATTACTAGAAACAATACGGCGCTGATGCACGGTCAGTCTCCAAACGTGTCGAGCCTCGGCTGATCTCTACTCACAGCATGACACGCGACAATCGCCGGCTAGGGAGTGGCAGAACCCGGCTGAGCCTCTTGAAGATATAATGGCATTTTTGGAGGCTCCCTGGGACCGCCGGGAGGAGACATGCTGGAGGCCGCCTTCGACTTGCGCATCGACGTGGACTGGCTGGTTGGACATGGCTGCGGTATAGTGAAATGGTTCAGCTTTTGGTGGCCCCACTGGGCATTATATAGCGGCGAGGGTTGATAAAGCAGGACGGAGAACCAAGGCCGATCACGCCAGCTGTTGAGCGTGATACACAGGTGTGAGGTGATACCCGGGGCCGAGGAGTACAGATTGTATGCCGGTGTGTGCGCGGCTGTGGGTGATTATCAGAGCAGCCGCGACGCACGTGACCGCGAGATAAGATGTCGTTATTTGGTTCTTGTTCCGTCTTCCTCGACACGAGGCAGCTCTTCCATGCGGCGAGTGCCACCTCGGCCTAAGCGCCGCCCCTCCAATCGAGGCTCGTGCGCTGCCTCCACCCTGCGCCGGCTGCGAGTATATATATAAAGAGGACCCCGCCATCTCCTTCTCTCTTCCCCATCTCTCCCCACAGCCAGCTCCCGGGCTACAATCCGGTCAAACCCCTCCTGTCATATATCTGTCTCATAGCAACATGTTTCCTTACACCCGCCCTGCCCATGTCCATTCCCCGTCCTTCTGTCCTGATCCATGTCAGCCATTCCTCTCATCCGACGCTGCCTACGAACAGGCTTTCGACGAAGAGATACAGGGTATCCTATGGAGGATGAAGTGCTCCAAGGGCTCCGGCGAGGAGCTGTCTACTTTGGTGAGCCTCTCCACCCTGGTCACTGCCTCTGGATACTGATGGATGTAGCCGCTTCCTCTACCCGACACTACCTCCTCTCCTTTCCAGTTCTCTCCCCTCCTCTCCCGTCGGCCCACCTTCTGGCATGTCGAGCCCAGCCCTTCCCAGCCCACCAGTGATATTTTCAACATCTCTGCCGAAGTCGACGCATTTCTCGATATCATCGAGGATGACGCCAGCCCCACCCCGTACTGGGGAGCTATCGAAGCAGGGGCTCTCTCCACCCGCTCTCAGCCACTTGTGCCTTGTCTCGTGTCTTCCTCGTCTCGTGCGGAGGCCATGCCTACATGTAATCGCCGCCACTCTAGCGCTCACGTCAACCCACCCCACCTTGGTCCCAGCCCGAGCTTTGTTTCCATACCTGCTCCTTCTTCTTCCTTCGATCGCTCTCGCACCGTCCCGCATAATCATTCGAGGACAATCTACAGCTCTATCCAGGCCCCGCTGGGTGACAGGTCCTTCCCGAAAGGTCGGCGGTTCTCAGCCCCGGATATCAGCAATGATGTTCTCTGGGGAGCATCAGGGGGTCTGACAGAGAAACCCATCAAGAGAGGAGAGCTGAAGGTAAGGAATGAACAGCAGGACGAACAAGTCAAGAAGGAGAGGAAGGGGATGAAGGCGGCAGCTCTCGCGGCTGAGAAAGAGCGGGCCAGGGCGGAGAAGATCCTGGATTTGTCATACGCGTGAGTGTTCAAAGACTATCGGGTCTCGATCCTAACGACATCTTAGCCCCCGAGAGAAACAAGGCCCTGAACAGGGGAAGGATAAGGCCGCTAATGTCACCAAGCGCCTTGTTGATTCCGAGCACTCCGCCCCTCCAAAGACTGTTAGCGTCACTGTGAAGCTTCCGGTCGTCAGAGAGACTGTACGTATCTTCCACCGGACTAGCATTCCTCAATCGTCGCTGATGTGGCTCTTCAGAAAGGTTGTTTGAATCTGGGAAGCAAACAGACTAGCTCTGGGACTAGTCAGCAGTCCAAAAAAGTCACTGTGAGTCTGCCAACCTGGTACAAGTGATCTGGCTGACGAAAGCGAATACTCAGGCAAAGCCCCTTGCCACCTTACACCCCCCATCACCTTCACCCTTCTTCGCTCCAAATACCAATGAATCGTCTCAAAAAAAGCGCCACCGTCCAAAGTCTGCCGAGAGGGAGATCGAGGACGAAAGCAAATCCCAGCCTCCTGGGAAGAAGCCAAAGGGCTATGGCACCTTGGACAGGGGCAAAAAGGGTGTACCTGTTGCAGACGTGATACGGTACTCTGCTGAGGAAGTCAGTGTACTTGATGTGCATGAGAAGACCATGAGTTGACTGCAAAGTAGGATCAAATGATTCTCCAATCATGGGACGGCCGACCGCCTCTCTCGGCGGATACCCTTACGAGAATGCAGACTTCTATGGCCATGAAAGGACATCCTCCCAGATCCATTGCGGCTCTCAAGTATCGGTGAGCCTTTCGTCTGTGATGTTTGGTATGGCTCACAAACCATTACAGTGTCCACCACAATCTCAAGCCACAATTCGACGAGAAGCGCCTGGCCTTGGCTGCCAAACGCGGTAGGCGATAATGGGCGCCCTCCCGTCACGACTCATCACCTATCATCCAATACGAACATCATATGCCCATTAAAGACTGCCGTCATACACGCGCAAGCCTATTGCAATAGTCACCTATGTTTCCTCACTCGCGTCTTATCAAAGTTGTATGATCATGTGGGTCGAGTATCATAAGCTCCTAAGGGAGTCCAAAGGACAATCTTTTCCGCTTCGATTCACATGTTTCATTTTACACCATACTTCTGCCTATGTCTGCTCGGTCATACCACGTTTTTGTATGCCCCACATGCACATAAAACCCCTCCGTCGCGTACGCGTCCGACTCATACCGTCGCGTACGCGTCTTCTTTCGACTTCCATGAGCGTTACGTAAAGCATTGTCATTCGCTCAGCAGAACGGAATGCCGAAGAGTCGGTTGGTCTTGATCTGCCCCCTCATTCATCCTTTCCATTCGATTCCAGCACCGGAAACCGACTGTCAGGAAAACCGAAAATGTACTACCCCCTGGCAGCCCTCCTCCTTCTCCCACTCACTTTCGCCCAATTCGGCAACTTCTTTCAGGGTCATTTCGGAGGCCACCAGCATCAACAACAGCAGGAGCAACAAGGGGGCCAGTCACCGGGGAGGCAGCACAAGGGATGGACTGAGAATGAAAGGCGCAAGTATTATATGCCCCGTCAGGGAGGAAGCGCTGATCGGGGTGAGACGTAGTGAGCTGTAGGGCGGGGTACGTCTGTCCTGCGTCTTTGGCTTGCGTAGCTACACCAGCCGACTGTCCATGTCCTTATCCGTGAGTGATTGATCATAAGAGATCGTGATGTCTCTAATATTGTGACTATTCAGGGAGGATATCAAATGTGTTCTACCTGACCACCGCGAAAGAGATGAAGGCGAAGGCCCTCCATTTGTCTGCGTCAGAGACAACGAAGGTTGCGCCCAAGTCGTCCTATTTTCAAAACCTATCTGATACCAATCATGATATGCAGATGATATGGAGAAGCTGTCTAATATATAGGAAAGTTGATATCAATTTCCTTGCCCCAGGACTTGAGGCCCCCGCGTACGTCTCTGATGCGGATTGTCTCGCTGTTTGGGATGGCTTTTCGCAGAGCCGCAGCGGCAATCTGAGAATCATTGCCTCTCCGACATATGAATACCGTCTCGGAGGAGATGGGTATGGAGCTGGGGTCGGAGAGGATGGTGGCGAGAGGGATATCTGCTTGAAGTCAGCTGGTCCTTGGACGTCAGAGTATATCAACTCGCTTTTGGATCCGGGGACTGAACATATGCCAAACTCCACTGGAGGCCTCGTATCTATAAGGAAAGTTTTGTCCGGCGCCTGTTGCAGCATGAGATCCAGCTCCTGGGAGGCATTGAGCAATCACACACACGCGTTCCAACGGCACATACCTTTACGCTCAGTCGCATCCCCGCATGACCGTCTACTAATCCCGTCTCATCAGTCGTCTCTGGGCTTGTGTCTCCACCGGAACAAAAAGCGTCGTATCCAAAGGCTTCAAGATCGTCTGTGATCGTGGCGTCTGGGCCGCAGGCGATACATTTCGGGGAAGGACCCTTCATGCGAATCGATCGTATGAGTGGGTTCGATCCGAGGTGATGAAGATGTAAGAGAGGTTCAGGATCTAGCGCAAGTCAGCTTGGGTCATTACAAGAAAGTTGAGTTGCCCACCTTCCTTGGCCAGTATGAGTTTGATTGCTTCCCCAGCCATGCCGACCCCAATCATTCCCGTGACAACGGGCCAGACGCCCAGCTCCTCACACCTCCCATTTCCACCACTTCCAGCGAGTACGCTCGGCCAAATGCATCTATAGCAAGCTCTCTTTGCTCCGTTCTTGCGCATGCCGCCGTAAACAGCCCACTGGCCAGCAGAAGAGATGGCGGCGCCAGAGACGAGAGGAATATCTAATCGGATGGCAGCGTCCGAGAGGAGGTACCGCGTCAGGGGCCGGTCGGTGCAATCGAGAAGGATGGTGTAAGGGCGCAGCAGATCGAGAGCTGTGGAAGGCGTTATTGGTACTGGATTAGGAATGAGGTTGATTTTGGTGTTGAGGCTGCCGGGCAAGTGAGGTGGTGCTCGCGAGCCAGTGTTCTGCACTTACGCCCGAAGAGCAAGACATGCAGATTCAGACTTGTTCATACCGGCACGGTCTGTCGTATGCAGTATCTGTCTATGCAGGTTGCTTAGACTGACGGTATCGTGGTCAAAGATCCCGATGGTCCCTGTCCATGTCGAATCAGCTCCGGTCTTTAAACCTATTGATGTGACTTGCCGACCCCAGACCCCGCAAGGTACTGGAGAACAGGGCACCCAAGACCTCCAGCCCCTACGACAGCCACTTTGGCGTTCTTGAGAGCGACCTGGCCTATGGCAGATGTTAGTGGCTGTTACCTGTGGGGGACGGATGCTAACTTGGGAGACCGAAACCGGGCATGATCATCTGGCGTCCATAGCGCTGGTACTCTTCGGGGTCGAGGGGCAGGTCTTGCACGACGGTACGCCTGGGCATGGACATGGCTGGGCAGTGGTAAAAGGTCTGCACGATACAAGTAAAGTGGAGGGCGGGGGTCCCCTGTCCGGACTTGGCGGACGCGACTCAAAGTGTATCGTCCGGACAAGCATTCGATGATTTCGACGCCATTCCGGCGCTCAAGTGCTCTTCCATCTAACTATATATCTGTCCTCTCCATCTTCAAACCTCTCAGCCATGGCCACAACATCGTCCAAGCAGATGGAAGTCAACCCCCGGGGCATCCCCCGAGCTCCTTTCGTCGTCAGTGGCCTTCCACCTTGGAATTGTTCTGCAGTGCTCATGACAAGTCGCAGGATAATGTCGAAGAATACGTCGGAGGCAAGGAAGCTGAGGTCCAATCTACAATGAAGAAGTTTGAGGACACTACAGCGTGCGTGGTACACACTAGCCCCGAGCGTAAGCTGATGCGTCTTTCACCAGCAAGTATAGATATATGGAAGTCACCATTGGCAACCGACGCAAAGCACTCCTGAACAAAGTTCCCGATATCGAGCAGACACTCCAAGTAGTGAAATTTCTCCAGCAACGCCGACAAAAAGCCCTCGGGGAATCTGTGGAGGAGGAACAGCTCAGTGACGATGAAGACGACCTCGACGATGACCTCGACGAGGACAAGGAGAAGACGGCGGAGCCGCTGAAAACGCTCTTTGAATTGAACGACACTTTATTTGCAGAGGCAGAGGTCAGCGAGAATGGGGAGGTCGGTTTGTGGCTGGGTGTGAGTGATAGATCCCCAGACGTCGTAGACCTTCCAGCTGACATGGACCATCTTTGCAGGCCAACACCATGCTGATGTACCCTCTGCAAGAGGCTGTCGAGCTCCTCTCATCCAAGCTGTCAGCAGCTCAAAGATCTCTGGAGGAGACTGCGGAGGATCTCGAGTGGCTTCGAGAACAAATCACCGTTATGGAAGTCAACTTTGCGCGTGTACATAATGTACGTTCAAATCCTAGCTTATCTGAGTCGTTGGCTAATCTCTACGCAGTGGGACGTAAAGAGGCGAAGAGAAAAGGGTCTCATCGGTGGCCAATCCAACATGCTTCCTTCTGGCAAGACTGATGGTGGAGACTCGGATGAAGAAAGAGATTGAGTGTAATGTATACCGCCCATGACCCATGTGGACTCATAAGCTTCTTTCGTCATAAGTGTCCATTGTACATGTCGTAAAGGTATGTGCTGCGCTGAGGTAAAATGACGACTATGATGAGCTATTGACAATGCTAAATTATTGCTCTACTTATTACTGATAAGATGTCCTTGCTTTGCTTGAGTGAGCTCGCTCGCTTCAGTCAAGGACAAAGATGTCTACTGGAGACTACGTATTGCCTCCACTAGCTGTTTTCGGACGTTTTGGCGGTTATCAACGAGCTGGGATTTGATCTGTTGTCTGGTCAAGCCAGTCTAGTGCATATCAGTTTAAGCCCCCAGGCAGACGCAATTGACCACTCACAAGTCTTGACAGCTCATCAACATTCGCCATAGCCACCCCCTTCGCGATGATATGCTCGGCAATCATGACCTTGGCATCCCTCGGTATCCTCGCCTTGGGCCCTGGTGTCCCCTTATGCTTCCCCTTGTTGATAGTCATGCCCGGCGCTTTCCCGGCATGCGACATTCGTAGACCTGGGTCGATGTTCGCAGACTCGAAGGAAGGCGAGGGGGTGTTCTCCCCTGACGATGCCGAGGTGGAAGGAAGCGCGGGGTGGTGACGACCCACAGGGGCTGAGAAGGAGCGGTAGTCTGACGGCCCGGCGGCGCCCCCTGAAGGATAGGTATGTGGGCTGAAAGAGTGGACATCCAGAGCACCCGGGGCTGCCAGGTGAGAGCCGGGGAAAGGGCTGTACATGGCAGCATGGGGAGGGAACGGAGAAGGGTGGTGCTGGATATACGGGGAAGATGGAGACGGGTGGGTCGAGAAAGCTGCATCGTATGGTCCTGGGGGGCCTCCGGATAATGGAGAGCCAGCCGAAGGCATAGATGGGTAGAAGGGGGATTGCGGGGCGGACATGGGTGGAAGAGCAGCCGCTGCGGTCTGCAGACCGAGTGGTGACACTGTTTTTGGCCGTTTTTGGGAGGGCTGGTCGAGTCTGCTTTCAGGGTAGGGGAATGAAGGGCCTTCTTGCGGCTGAGCGTCTTCGTGGTTACTCATGTTATGGTGTATTTGTGTGATAAAGAGTGGTGTTGGTGAAAAGAGCGTTGGTGTGCGTCGTCGAGTGCGGTATATGTGGTAACTATGTGCGGACGAGTGAACACGACCTGACCAGTGTATCTTTCTATACATTTTTGCATCATTAGCAAAGACCGGAACCCCTTGCAGGCGGTGCTTCCTGGTGACAGAAACGTCATCGCCTTGTTCTCCGTATCGTGTTTACCCAGCTGGCCACGTCTTTGCGACACGCCTCACTCCCTTCCTTTCTTTCATCAAACGCCAGAAGACCGATCTGCAGCACAACGTGTTTGTGTAGGGCTGACAACAGCCCGGAGCGGCACTTGGTAGCTGACGACAGTGCCCGCCATGTTGTGCGACCAACAGTGGCAGGCTCAGCAGGACGGTCATGAGTCCTTTGTGTCAGCATCGCATCTGTTGATGGATGAATGCCCCTTCTCTGCTATGGTCTCCTGAGGCCTGAGGCGACTTCCCTGGTGATGAGCTGGATGGCCGTTGCTGGCCTGTCGATCACGCAGCTGGCAGAGTTCCTGGCGCTGGAAACCCTCGATTCCGATTTTCGGACTGGCCACATCTGCGCAGACGATGCAGCCCTTCTTCCGCCGGCGGACTGACGGGGGACCTAGCAGAGAACGAGGGGAAATGTTTGAGAGGCGTTGTCGAGGCCCTGGGGAGTGTACGCGGGGTGTAGGGCAGGCCATCTCCCTGTCGTAACCATGCAACACAAGGCGCCACAGCCATCGAAACACAATCAGACACACCCTGAGCCCCTTTTTCTCATTCTCTCGTTCACCATCGTCTTGTCCGAATTTCGGGGAGAAGCCAACTCTTTTCTTTTGCCGCCAATACATATGTGCAGGCCGTGCAGGTTACTTCTACAGGCACTCACTGCATTTGTAAAGAGGACTCCCTTACGTGCACGTCCATTTCTCTCTGGAGCCTTAGGCGGCCCTAGTATATAGTCGACTAAACGCTGTAATAATACAGCACACCCGATTGTCTTTTTCACTTCCCATCCAGCTCGCTCCGTCGCATTTGATGCTGAGGGCGGCTGGGCCGGATACAAGAGCTTTACCATTACCGTCAACATGTACAGTTCAGTACTCGTACACACTTCACGCTCCGGTAATCGAACTGTTTCCTCCTCCGCACCCCAGTACCCCCACTTGCTGCGCGGTACCACGCGGTAGATAGAGAGTCCGCCGTTTGCGACTCCGGTTCTCACGCTTCCTCTTCGAGTTGCACATAATGACATGCCTCGGATAAAAACAATGCTATTATATATGATCTAGTCACTCATCAATTGATGGCGACATTCAAGCGTTAAAATGTGACTGATGTGATGAATACAAACCAGTGATGTGGTATCCGACAACAAAACATGAAGAAGGTAGAGAGCAATGTTGTATCGGATGCAAAAGAGGTTGAACAAGAGAATGTGAACCAGGGTATATACGTAGCATCGAGGATCACACGAGTGGAGAACCGGGAAGCCAAAAGCAGGCCAAGAGCATGATTGTCGGAACGTCTACATCCACAATGACAACGGCGAAGAATCTGCTTTCTATACTGAAATTTCAGCCCCCTCATACACCCTCTTACACTTCCATAAAAGTACCATGAATGAATGAGACAAAGAAAAAAAGATGGTTGAATGGATAAGAGTGAATTATGCAGAAGAAAAAGTAAAAGGAGAAGTCATTCTATGATTTAGATGCAAATGTGGGTGTTGCGGCGATTGAACGTCCTCGGACGACAGAGCGCGGCAAAAAAGATACTACTTTTGTGTATTGATAGATTCGAGAACTAGAAATTGAAGGGGGCGTTTTGTAAATGTCGTTAAAAGCCATGCAGTTGGAGAGAAAGAAACTTTGTGAGACATGATAAGAGAAGCGAGTGCCCGGGAGAGACAAGACAAGGAGCGGTCTACTTCAACAACTCCTTGAGAGCCTGATGCAATCGTCAGCAACGCATCATCTTCACCGCGGAGTTCACTTACATGTTGAGCGTAGGCGGCGTTGGTCTTGGACTGCTTGGAAGCACTCCTGTTCCTGCCGGCAGAAATGGCTTCCTGCACCCAAACCTTGGTAATGTCATCGCTGACCTGGGTCTTGAAGACGCTAGCAAAGTCGCCGATGAGACCAAGGGACGAAGTGCAGAAACCTTCTGAACGATCCTCGTCGGCCCAGCATGTCTGGAGGAAGCCAAGAATACCGCCAACGTAGGGAAGGATGACGTTGGCTGGATCACGTTAGCTTGGACATCACAGCTTTGTACAAATGACTCACCCTCAGTGTCCCTGAACCCGTTCATGATACCGATAAAGGCGTCCACAATGGACTCCCGCATGTTTTGCACAAAGTCAATCATGGCCTCGTCACCAGCGGGAGCGGTCGTAGATCCGGCCTGGCCAAGGATAGTCATGGTAGCCTCGAGGTAAGGCTTGAACTCGGTACCGATGGCGATAGCGACATCACCAATCGCAGATATGGCGAAAGGCTTGACGTGTCGGGCGACCACAGGCGATCGAAGCAACTCGATTAGAGCACCCATGATGTTCTCCGCGTAGGGCTGAAGAGCCTCGTTGACAGCTCGGGCGATGTCGGAAGTGATAAAGACACCGGCCTGGGCAACAGAGTGATCTTCGTACGAGTTGAGAGCAGTGATGACATAGGGGCCAAAGGCATCCATGTATTTGTTGAAACCAGCCTCAAGCGCTCCAGCGAGAGCGCCAATGGTGGCGAAGGCTTCCTCAAGAACACCAGACTGCTTACCAGAGGTAGAGATGAGGCTGATCAGATTGGTCATCATCCTATCGGCGAAAGGCGCAGCAGCGGCAGGGCTTCGACGAATGAAGGAAGAGAGAACAACGCAGTTGTTGATCTGCATGTCGTTCCAATTGTTCCTGTCGTCCATGCCAACGAGCTGGTTGTGCACACCCTGAAGGGCCTCTTGCCTGGCAATGAAAGCCACAGCAACTTCTTGCACGACCGGAAGAGTGTCGTTGGCGGAAGAGGAGAGGAAGGTGGCGATGGTCTGTACGGCAGCGCTTCGGCTGTTGGATTGATTGTTCGGCCGCTCGGCAATGGGCATGAGCTCCTTGAGGATGCCAGAGTAGTACTCGGACATCAAGTTGGTGGGAGAGTCTTCGGGAAGCTCGGGCAGAGAAGATATTTGAAGGATAAGGTTGTTAAGGGCGGCACAACAGCTGTTGCAGGTTCGAGGAGACGCAGTGAGGCCCATGACGAGAGCAGTGATCAAGTCTCGGAGGTGCATGGAAGGGTCGATAATCTCGAGCATGGTCTCAGTGACCTTGCTCAAGGTCCAGGCGACAGTGTCTCGGACGGGCAAGCTGGGGTCGGATTGCATCATGCCAATGAGGGCACCGAGAGCCTGGGTGACGAGGGGACCCAATGTAGTGGGGTCGGGTCCGTCAAGGATGGATCCAAAGGCCATCACGGCGGCCTCTCGCCGTTGCCACTCGGGCTGGGTGATGCCGGCTTCGACGAAAGGCACAACGGGGCCGACAATATCGTCGCCGATGTTTTGAGCCAAAAGCTGAAGACAGGCAGCGGCGGCCATGGCCTTTGTCCAGTCGTCCTCATCGTCATCCTCATCTTGCTCAGAGAGGAGGCCGAGAAGGACAGGAAGGATATCGTTAAGGGCAGCTTTGGCAAAGCCCTTGGACTCAACTTCAGGTCGGTCACCATACTGGATAGCCTGCGATGGTGTGAGTCTGATTTCGAGTTACAGCCATGTTTTACATACCTCTTGAGCAGCAGCGGTCAAATCGATTTCCTCCTCACAAACCGTACTCCAGAACTCGATAGCTTGAAGAGCAACACGCTCCTCAGAGTGTTTCATACCCATGATGGTGAGCTATAGCAAGTCAGCGACAGCCTGTCCCCGAAAAGAGCATTATACTTACTCCGAACAGAGCGCGCTCCATGTAAAAGTCCATCTTCTCATAGTACAAGTGCATGATTTGAACGAGGCACTCGAAGGCGCCAACCTGAACAGACACTGAAGGGCTTTGAGTGGCTTCGCAGACGACCTGCATGATGTAGTTTCTCTCGCCCTGATATGCCCGTTAGTGATATACTCGACGGATCGTGACGACACCCACTTCTCGTTCAAAGTTGTCCCTGATGAACTCGAGAGAGTTGTACAAGGCCTGTATGGCGGCATGCTGGACGTCGGCACTGGGCTCCTCTTTTCTGGCACCTTGAACAACTGCTGTAAGGATCTCGTTCGACCTGGCCGCAAGAATTTGTGGTTGCTACTGATTTTCAGCATGGCGCCTGAGCCCGTACAATGGAATGGTACTCACGATGACTTCGCAGATGTAACCGACCGCCTGCAAAGTGCTAACCCGCAACCCAGTGTTTTCCTGATTTTGCACAAACTCGAGAAGTTGGGGGATCAGATCGGTCCACTTGCCCACCTCGAGCTCGATGGCGGCCATGGCTGAGACACACTGAGCAGCCACGGCGCCCGCTCGCTGTTGGGGAGATCCAAGAGTGGAGAGGGCAAGATGTTTGAGGGGTTCTGTGGCCGAGTCTGGGAGAGAGAGCCATCTCTCGGTGAGAGCTGCTTGGTTGACAGTGTCCTGCAGAGAGTCAGCGGAAGACTGTGCCAGGAAGATTGAGTGGCATACCCGAGCAGCGATACCGTTCTTGAAGGCAAGACCCGCAGCATACCGGACGTCTATACTTTGGCTCTCATTGGCGAGCTCGGTGGCAAGGGTATGGAGGTATCCGAGCTGGAGGCAGGGGGGTCAGCAGCAGGGGGAAAGGGAGAGAAATGGACGGACAAAGTTGTCTCTGGCGGCCGCCTCGAGCTGCTGGGTGGCGGACTCTCGGGCAGACTGGTCTGTGGGGTGTGAGCGGGGGCGGGGGGGAGGAGGGGGGCGGCTCACTGGGGGAGAGGGAGTCCTGGAGGAGCTGGGCGGCGTTCATGGTGTGTGAGGTGTGGTGGGGAAGAAAGAGCGAGGAGCGCGTGAAGAAGCACCCGGGAGAAAATGCAAAAAACAACACAATATAAATCCCATGCATGACGTTCCTCTCAGTGTCGCCCAGCTCCTGCAGTGTCTCCCGCAGATGCATCCTCTGCCACATGGCATCCCATCCATCCGTATGTTCTCGGCCAGCCCATGCATCACTCCCCCAGCACAAACCGCGGGCCACGCTCACCCGCTGCCACATCCAGACAGCCACAAACGCGTCCCAAAATCAACCTCCACTTTCTACATCTCAGTCTTCATTGCCTTTCTATACCCTCCCCCCCAGGCTCTTGCACAATGGCTGATGACCCCTCTGGCTGGTCCCTGACCGAGTCCGACCCTCAAGTATTCTCCCAGCTGCTGAACGACTTGGGCGTCAAGGGTTTGCAGGTGGTCAGTCCGCCTCCATGAGACAGCCATGAGATCGCCTCGCATATTGACGTCCTTCATGGTTCTAGGATGATCTCTACTCGTTGGACACCGAAACTCTCGCCACCTTGAAACCTATCCATGCTCTCATATTCCTCTTCAAATATGTGTCATCCGAAGAAGAAAAGGGCGGAGAGACGCAGGGTGTCGAAGTCGACCCTCTGAGTAGCGGTGTGTGGTTCGCCAACCAGGTAGGTACACCCAGTCACAAGCGAGCTCGACCCACATATTGCATAGGTCATCAACAACAGCTGCGGCACTTTGGCCGCTCTTAATGCTGTAAGTACGCTCAAGTGCTATACTGTACGCCGTCTGACATGGATTCAGGTAATGAACATTCCCACCGAGTCTTCGCCCTATGCTGGAGAGTCAATAGAGCTTGGTGTACGTGACTGCCAGTCCTCTAATACACATCATCGACTGACAATATACCAGGAAGAGCTCGGCAACTTGAGGGAGTTTGGGGCTGGGATGGAGTCCCTCGAGCAAGTCCACGCAGGCCCCAAACAAGCCATCGCTGACTTTGTATGACTGCAGCCTCGGCCACATTGTTTCTTCATCTGACCAAATTAGAGAAGTACACAACTCCTTCTCCAAGTCTTCTCCATTCTCTATGGACCCCTCGGCCTTTCCCGAACGCGAAAAGGAAGACGCCTACCACTTTGTCGCCTACTTGCCCGTGAACGGTATCTTGTACGAGCTTGACGGGCTGAGACGCTCCCCGTTAATGCACGCCCCGGTGGAGGATGACTGGCTAGACACTGCGAGGGAGACCATCGAAAACAGGATTGCCACATACCCTCCTGGGTCCGTGAGTGGGCAAACAAGAGGCAATACGCGAGCTGACTCTGGTAGCTCATGTTCAACCTCCTCGCGGTCCGCTCTGCCGCACTTCCTCGTCTCGAACGACTACTTCATGATCCGTCCACGCCCGCCGAACAAAAGTTTGCACTGCAAGATCAGCTGGAACATGAGCAGAGCAAAGCCAAGCGCGGTGCCCTAGAGAATAAGCTTAGACAGCACAATCTGTTGCCGGTCGTGTTCCAGCTGTTCAAGGGTCTGGGCGAGAGTGGGCTGGCCGGTAAGTCTACCTCAACGATTGTCCCGTATGCGCTGATCATCCGACAGGCAAAGCTGTCGCAGATGCCAGAGCTAAGGGCGAGGCGCGTATTGCAAAGGCCAAGGCTCAAGGCGAGCAAGATTAGACCAGTCATAGCCCTCTCCACATGTAAAACCAGCGAGCTGCATTCTGAACGTTGCCAGCGCACAATTCCAATGTTCCATATCCTTTTTTGCATCCTCTGACTACTTCTTGTCTCCTCTACACCCTGCGCCACAAATCGCTTAGTGGTGGGCCTCAGCCTTAGGGAGATCCTTCTCGAGGAAAGCAAGGTACTCTTCAACGCCTTCGGAAGCCTCGGAAGTGTTGGAGGCCTTCTTGGCAGTGGCACCGAGAGCAGGCTCCTCGGCGTCAAACTTGCTGAGCTCGGAGGCGAGGTCGGTGGGGAGAGAGGGAGCGGTGGGGGCTTTGGGGGCAGTGAAGGAGCGAACGGCGCCAACGTGAGCGTCGGCAGACTGCGGGGCATGTTAGTCGAGCTATGTCGGAGACGGAGAAACGCCAAATGTACCTTGGCGGCGGGCTTGTAAGACTTCAGCTGGTTGACGTAGAGGTCCTGAACCAAGTCTGTTGCCGGTATCAGCGCGTGTTCCGTTTAAATCCGAATTCGCCCCATCGACCCGAGATAGGGGGCGAATGCAGCAAGCACATCACACTCACCCTTCTTGGCCGCAGAGACGGAGAAAGATCGAGAGAAAGCGAGGGGAGCCTTCTGGGCCTACATAAACGGAGTCAGCAGGGGATTTGGAGGGGGCCGAAAGCAGTCCGTGGGGTGGATGATCTCGCCCCAGGCCGAATCGTGGGTGGGACGCACGGAGAGACGGAGGATGGAGGCCATTGTGAGCGGTGAGTGGTTTTGTAGGGAGAAATAAAGAAGACGTCGATGGGATGCCCCCCTCCGGGTCTAGGGAAGGCGTCCCCACGCCTATCCCTGAGTTTGGCTTTCGGCCGGCGGCCCTAGCCGCTTCCACCTCGTCGCACGCCTATTGCGTCTCATATCGACGCGTTGAATGCTGCAGTTCCCGCTCTATCTATACGACGCGTAGATCGGCTCGAAGCTACACATCAACAATGGGTATCAAAGGTGAGTACAATCACAATAGCTGGTGTATTCTCCTGACATCGCGTAGGTCTGACGGGTCTCCTCAGCGAGAACGCACCAAAGTGCATGAAAGACCATCAAATGAAAACAGCAAGTCTCTGTCCTTGCCCTGTGACTCGACTGCTAACAGATCGCCTCTTTGCTAGCTCTTTGGAAGAAAAGTTGCCATCGATGCGTCCATGTCGATCTACCAGTTTCTCATTGCCGTTCGCCAACAAGATGGCCAAATGTTGATGAATGAGAATGGCGATGTCACCAGGTTGGTGCATTGTTCGAGAGTGTCGTGCTTTTGCTGATCGCCGATAGTCATCTTATGGGTTTCTTCTATCGTACTATCAGAATGGTAGATCACGGTATCAAACCATGCTATATATTTGATGGAAAGCCACCAGACCTCAAGGGCAGTGTCGTACGTATCTGTCCCACTAGTTATCAAATATGGCAACTCATGGTCATCACAGCTCGCCAAGCGTTTCGCCGGCCGTGAAAAGGCCAAAGAAGGAGAGGAAGAGGCAAAAGAGACGGGCACAGCGGAAGATGTCGACAAGCTTGCGCGAAGACAAGTGCGAGTCACTAGAGAGCATAATGAGGAGTGCAAGAAGCTCCTGACGCTCATGGGTATCCCTGTCGTTACTGTGAGTCATGGCATACATCAAGTTCTTTTATCTAATAGTAACAGGCTCCTGGAGAAGCGGAAGCCCAATGCGCAGAATTGGCCCGTGCCGGCAAGGTATATGCCGCTGGCTCCGAGGACATGGATACACTCACCTTCCATTCCCCTATCCTCTTGCGACACTTGACCTTCAGCGAAGCCAAAAAGATGCCTATCTCTGAGATCAACCTCGAAGTGGCGCTCCGCGACCTTGAAATGACTATGGATCAAGTGCGCCCATTGCAATCCTGAATGAACGGAACTGACGTGAGCGCAGTTCATTGAGCTCTGTGTGCTTCTCGGCTGCGACTACCTCGAGCCGTGTAAAGGCATTGGACCCAAGACCGCCCTTAAGCTCATGCGTGAACACGGCTCTCTCGGCAAGGTTGTCGAACACATCCGAGGCAAGATGGCTGAGAAGGCTGAAGAGATCAAGGCAGCTCAAGAGGAGGAAGCGGAAGCAGAGGGTGAAGCCGAAACATACGAATCTGAGCCAGAGAGCGAAGAAGGTGGAGGGACAGTAATGAACTCGGATGGAGAGGAGGTCCCGGGTCCAACACCCCAAAAAAAGACACCCAAGAAAAAGGCGCCGGTGAAGAAGAAGAAGGTCGGAAGCGCAGGAATGCAGATCCCAGAATTTTGGCCCTGGGAGGAGGCGAAGCAGTTGTTCATCAAACCCGACGTGATCAAGGGAGATGATCTTCCCCTGGAATGGAAAGCGCCAGATGTCGACGGCTTGGTTGACTTTTTGTGCCGCGATAAAGGATTCAAGTGAGTCCTGATATATACAGTCTCTCTTACACAACAGGCTGATGATTACCAGCGAAGAGCGAGTCCGCGCTGGTGCGGCTAAACTCACAAGGATGCTTACAGCCAAGCAACAAGGTCGCCTCGACGGCTTTTTCACTGTCAAGCCCAAGTCCAAAGACGCCGAAAGTTCCTCCAACACCAAAGGCAAGCCTATCGCGAAGGGCAAGGACACGAAAAGAAAGGCAGAGGAGAAAGATGGGCCGAAGAAGAAGGGCAAGAAGTAGTCCATCTTGTACATGCATGCATGCACACGATTATTACGGACATTTTATACACGCATGCCGAGATAACCGGTCCGGCGAATGGGGCCAAACGCGGGTGGTGCCACTGAGAGCAAATTCCGGAAGCAACCCTGAGATGACATTTTTTATCGACGAGGCTTGTACCGTCCATTTGGTTGACTCGAAAATCAGCTATCTCATTTGACTTTTGATTCAGCTTTCTCTTTTACTCTTATCATCCAATCCGTAAACAACAATCACCATAATGTGCCCCCCCGCCGACGCCCCCATTGAGAACGCCGACCAGGAAATGGTCGCCATTGACACCACCACCCCCCACATCAGCGATGCTTCCGCCAGCAACGTCAACAGCACGAACGGCACCGCTGCCTCCCAGCCCCCACCCGTCAAGGCCCACAAGGGCGTGTACGGCCGTGCGTCAGACTTCTTGAGCAACACTTCCAACTGGAAGGTAGGTTTTTTTTTTTTCTCGCCAGCTGTACTCGCGGGTGCACCAATATATCGCTTGATGAGAATTGACTGACGCGGGCAGTAGATCATTGAGTCTACATTGCGGGAAGGCGAGCAGTTCGCCAACGCCTTCTTCTCCCTCGAGACCAAGATCAAGATCGCTAAGATGTGAGCCTGCATCCTCTTCATTCCATTGGGTCGCCCCACTGACGTAATTCCCCGCTTACCTTAGGCTTGATGAATTTGGTGTCGAGTACATCGAGCTCACCTCCCCCGCCGCCTCTCCCGAATCTCGTGCGCACTGCGAGGCCATCTGCAACCTTGGATTGAAGAGGACCAAGATCCTGACCCACATTCGATGCCACATGGACGATGCTCGTTTGGCTGTGGAGACTGGTGTTGACGGTGTGGACGTTGTCATTGGCACCTCCTCTTTCCTGAGAGAACACTCTCACGGCAAGGACATGACTTGGATCACCAAGAAGTGAGTCAAGTGACCAGAAGTCGGTACACACTCTGACAGGACTCAGGGCCATCGAAGTCATCGAGTTTGTCAAGTCCAAGGGTATCGAGATCCGATTCTCTTCCGAAGACTCTTTCCGATCTGAGCTTGTTGACTTGCTCTCCATCTACCGAACTGTCGACAAGATCGGTGTCAACCGTGTCGGTGTCGCTGACACAGTCGGCTGTGCCGATGCTCGACAGGTATACGACCTCGTTAGAACGCTGAGAGGCGTCGTCAGCTGTGACATTGAGACTCACTTCCACAATGACACTGGATGTGCTATCGCCAACGCCTACTCTGCTCTCGAGGCCGGTGCCACCCACGTCGACACCTCCATTGTGAGCTCTAGCAGATTGTGAAGAATCTGAGCTGATTAGTTGTCAGCTTGGTATCGGTGAGCGAAACGGTATCACCCCTCTCGGTGGTCTCATTGCCCGAATGATGGTCGCCGACCCCGATTACGTCAAGAGCAAGTACAACCTTTCCATGCTCCGAGAGCTTGAGAACACTGTCGCCGAAGCTGTAGAGATTCAAGTTCCCTTGTAAGTAGAATGGCATCCAATGGCTAAGCTGGGCTGACAGATTTACCAGCAACAACTACATCACTGGTTTCTGTGCTTTCACTCACAAGGCCGGTATCCACGCCAAGGCCATTCTCGCCAACCCCTCCACCTATGAGATTCTGAATCCGGCCGACTTTGGTATGACCCGATATGTCTCTATCGGTCATCGATTGACTGGCTGGAACGCCGTCAAGAGCCGAGTTGAGCAGCTTAACCTCAAGCTGAATGACGATCAGGCAAGTCTACGCCTTTTTCTCTGAGACCCAAACTGACGATATGCTCAGGTCAAGGACGCCACTGCCAAGATTAAGGAGCTTGCCGACGTGCGAACGCAATCCATGGAGGATGTTGACATGATTCTGCGTATCTACCACACTGGTATCCAGAGCGGTGACCTCAAGGTCGGCCAGTCCGCTGTCCTCGACCGACTTCTCGAGAAGCACATGCCTTCAAGAGACAACTCTCCCAGTGGCAAGTCTGTTGACACTGAAGGCAACCCTGCCAAGAGGGCTCGAGTCGGAGAACCCTCTGCTTGAGGATTTTCAAGATTGAGCAGGAGGTAGTGCAGCCTTCCAAAGGGTCCCGGGGGTCGTCAGGTGTTTACGAATTCAGCATCAAGTAGAGACGGTATCCAGGCGTCTTGACGGCGGGGATAACCAATCAAACAAAATGAGGCCTGAGCATTCAGTGCCGCTTCCTTCCAGTCCTCTTGCTGTTCATGTCCCGTTATGCATTATATTGCAAAGTTATACGTGTCTCACTATCTATATCTTCCCGCACACGTTGATGGCTGCCTTACACCCAACACCAATGATGGCACTCAACAGACTGTGGCCTGGAGCCTTCTGTGCACCCTCTTCTACGGCTGTGTCTAGATGCTCAAGCTCGTCGTCTCGGAACTCTCTAAGGATTGATGTCATCAGAGGAATTGAGGGGTGAGGAGCCTCTCCTGTCGCTGTGGCCTTTTCGAGTAGTGGCGCAAGCTCTCTCAGTTGGCTGCAGGTCGTATTAGAACGTATGCAGATACTCAAAGGTCACCCACTCATCGTAATGCTCCCCGATAACAGTCTCCACAGCCTCGGTACACGCCATAGCTGCCTCCTTGCTCATGAGCCCCGTGCCGGCACCAAGAGCGAATGCCATTGTCTGCCAGATAGGATAGAGCAGCGTCGGCCTAGCACGATGCTGGGCTACGAGAAGCGACAGAGTCTTGAGGTGATGGCGCTCGTTATCCCACATACTCTTCCACTGTTATCAGCATGCGCTTCAGGATGCCAAGTGGATGCTACACACCTCTACTTGGCGCGAAGTCTCTGTATCTCCCTTCACATCCATTGCCCACTTCTGCCCCCTGTAGATCCAGTTTGCCCCGAGCTCACCAGCGTGGTCGACCCGAAGAATGCTCTTCAAAAGATCTTCCTGTTCTGGCGTGAGCAACGGGGTGGTGGTGGTTGCTTCAGGGGGATATTGGGACTGGTCGTTCGATGTGGAGGTAGAAGGGGGCGCGCGAGGTGGAGGCGAGTAGGCATCTGATGACAGGGCTCGGTAGGGGAAAGCTCGAGGTTTCAATATATTGGGAACGCAAAGAGGGCGGACTATAGACATTTTGAAAGCTTGTGGTGGATCAAAGAGGACGAAGAGATGTTGTCGATCGGAGAAACAAGAAATCCACTGAAATCGTGAACAATCGGAACCCATCTTTGCTGCCTCCACTTCATTTGCCCGTTCCGAGTTTCAGGCTTTTAGCTACTGACAATCGCAACATTGCAGAGTATAGAAGAGTATAGAAAAAGGCATCACTAGGGACCATCATTATCTATCCGAGCGGCTGTTGCCAAAGAGAATGATACGTTATACATGCATATAATGACCGAACTTATAAACTACACCCCATCATCTTGAATACATCTTTCGATTTGCTCTTCTAAGCTTGAACTATAATGATGGTTAGACGTCATCTCTTCGATGTCATCCGCTGAGCTCACTAGGCTTGATTTTGAAGTGCATCTGTGTGAGAGCGAAGATGAAACACTGAGTTGTATGTCAACACCTGCTGGACGTGACTACGACTCTAACCCACCTTCAGGTCTTGAACAAGATAGTAAAAGACGCGCAGTCCATCTGCGTCTTCAGAGTGCTCCACATCACTCAAAGAACCAATTTTAGCGGTCTGAAATACACATATCAGCTGAAAAGGCAATATAAAATTGTTAATTAGATACTGACTTCAAAAGAGATATGCTCCTTGTCTAACCGTATCTCAAGCTCCTGTTTTCCGCTGACATTCTTCTTTGGCCAAGACTCATCATCCTCCCTACAGCGTTGTAAGTATTGGGCATCGAGGGCTGCTGGGCCTCAAAGGCAAGAAGACCTACTTAGTGATTTCGCTTTCCCTTACAATCCTCTTCAATTCTTCCACGAGAGCAGGGGATATATACACTGATGCGATGTCAGCAAATCAGATTCCTGAGCCACCCACTTGCTCCATCATCTAAGCCTCGCAATTGACATATATGGAGCTCATCCATACCCCGTTCATCTACTGCCATCCCCATGTCTGTCCGCGCTGGTCTCGAGACTTGCAAAACCAGGTGATTATAACGCACTCTCTTTTCTGATAAGGCTGTCATTTCGGTAGTTTGAGTTGTTGGCGTATCTGATCCGGCCTATAGAGAACAGTTGAACTATCGTAAGCAGTTTCCTCTCAAGAGCATGGCTACTGGCAAACGAACCATGAGAGTATTCGAATTCGAGAAACTCGTGTCCGTGAGCACCCGAGTGGCCGGTGCTATTGTACAGGTCAGCAATGGGACGACTTGATCGACATTCCATATTGGTCTTGGAAGATGGCGACCTGGGTTGGAAATCTCACTAGTATCTGTTCATACCCAAGTCAGCAGCAGCTCTCCAGGTATGGTAGGAAGACTCACCGGAGGTAGAATTTGTCGTTGAGGAGCGCGTCAGTCATCTGAACAAGTGTTTTGTGAATGTATAAAAGATGATGACCAAATAGAGCAGGGCGCGAAGTGACAACAGACTCGTCGAAGGCGATACTTGGTCCGCCGAGATTATCTCGAACGGTGGAGGTCGCCGCGGGGTTTACACCAATGCCGTCAGTGTGGCACTTTTGCAATGAGGGGGTCTTTCAACGTGCCATATGTGCATCCATTGCATATCCATACAAACCAAAAGTGTCCTTATATACAAGACCCTACTCTTCCACATCGTACACTTCGACCCGCTCCAGATACGACTCGGGCACCAAGCCCACCGCGTCGCCCTTTTCAACCTTGCCAAGCTCTACATGCATCCTCCTCGCAATGACCCATCCAGCATTGCCGTTGCCTCGTCCTGAAAGATACAGTAGATCTCCTTCGTCAACAGACATCTCGCTGGCGCCCATCCCATCAAAGGTGTAGGCGACGCGATGCAGACCAGTCGGTTCAACGGAAGGGTCGAGGGGAGGCAGCACGTTGTATGAGTATCCCAGGTCGGCTTCGGACAGAGGCGGTGTCGTATAGTACTCTTCGTCAGGGATTTGCCCGGCCCCGACGTCCACGGTCTCTACCTCCTCTGCCTCTTCCTGCTGATCATCGCCCTCCTGACCACTGCCGAAGCGTCGTCTCCAGCCGAGGAAGCCTCCAAAGCTTCCCCATCCCCCTGCGTGCTGCGTATCTTCATCTTCCTCTTCAGGAGCGGCGCGAGCCTGCCCCCAAGTAGTGTCCTGCTCGTGAGGACTGCCCCAAGCCTCTTCTTCATGTATGCCCCGGTGTCGGTCATCGGACACGTCGTACGCATAGTCGCGCACGATGTAAGGAAGGACCGCTGTTTTGGGCGTTTGTTGAGCCTTGACGGGCTTCTCGTCATCCGCCTTCTCTCCCAAATGCTCAGAAAATTCTGGGGCGAGATGCGCTCCCGTTCCATCCGCCTGCACCTGATCATGCTCCGGTATAGTGGTAGGCACGCCCTCGCTCTCATCCCTGCCAGACAGCCCGTCGTCCGGGAGAGTCACATTGGCCAGCAAACTCTTTCGCTTGATGCTGGACGCCCGCTTGGTCCGGGACGCAATCGAAGCCGAAGATCCACTACGAGTCCTTCCCACGCCGGCAGGTGAAGAGTTGCGAGAAGGGGGCGCCGATGAAGCTTGAGAAAAGACGGCCGATGAAGGGCGGGAGGAGGCTGGGGATATAGGAGCAGGACGGGTGGATAGAAGATCAGGGTCTGTTGACGGAGACTGGCTCAGAGGATCGTCCGTACCCGACCTGATATCAGAAGGTGCAAGTTTGGCAGGCGAAGAAGGGGCCGACGCCTTGCGCGCTGTGATATGCTGTGATCAGCAAGTGCCGTAACGAGTACAGTATAAACACGCACGCGATGACTGTTGCTCTTGGGCCGGCGTTTGAGGCATGATATGGACGAATACCAGGGAATAGTTTCCTTCCGAATTGAAGTCAAGTAGCTAGGCGGCCAAAGAGAGCCGCAATGCGGTGGAAGACGAGAGAGCGACAGAGACGGACGGCGGTGAAAGAGTGTATGAGCGGAGTTGGGCACAGGAGATGCCGTAGCTGATGTGGAGGGAGGCTGATCTGTAGCACCGCTCGGCGTGCGGACCAAGCACAGGGATCACGAGCTATCGAGTTTATGCCATGTATTGACACTTGACGCCCAGAAACCTCTCATTGTTGAAGCAGGAGAGTAACCGCGTCGTTACGTAAACATACTTATTATAGTCTCGATTCGGCTTCTACGCTGCCTCCGTCAGGAGTCGAGGCAAAAAAGTCTTTTGTTTACATTTTACTCTACACTTATCGTTCTCGACCCAAAAGCAGCAAGCCTGCAATTGATTCTACGCCATGTCCGCCCCTAACAGCCAGCCCCCATCCGCCCCCGCTGCCAACACCTCTGACCCCTCCAACCGCGAAGCCTCTCCCTCGGCTGGCGGTGGCAGGGCCAGCAAGTCTTCTTTCGGCTACGAGTCGACCATGTCTCTTCTCGTAGAGTCTCTCAAGGACCGACTATTGTTTGCCGTACCCAAAAAGGGCCGATTAAACGAGAAATGTTTGGAATTGTTGGCCGGTGCCGACATCAAATACAACAGGGCCCACAGGCTTGACGTCGCTCTTGTGCAAAATATGCCTATCGCTCTGTGAGTCCCCGAAGCTTAGACCTCCATCCTGTCATGATCCGTGGATCTAGATATTTTGCGTCAAGATGACAAATTCCGATATTTGCGCACGTGCTGACGCTGCTGCAGTGTCTTTCTCCCCGCCGCCGATATCCCTCGTTTTGTCGCCCTCGGCTCCGTCGCTCTCGGTATCACCGGCCAGGATGTGATTGCCGAGTCCACTCACTCCCCCGCAATTGAAGAGCTCCTGCCCTTGGGCTTTGGCAAGTGCAAGCTTCAAGTCCAAGTGCCCGTCACCGGTCCCGTACAGACCCTTGAGCAATTGTCCGGCGGTAGGGTCGCTACCAGCTTCGAAGTCATGGCCGGCGAGCTCTTTGGCGGCAAGGATGGTGTTGATGCCAAGGTCGGTAAGGGTCAGACCAAGGTAGAATACGTTGGGGGTAGTGTTGAGGCTGCTTGTGCTTTGGGTATGGCCGACGGTATTGTCGACCTCGTCGGTGCGTTCAGCTCATCATTCATAACTTGACTTGGCTCATTTACGTTAGAATCTGGCGACACTATGCGTGCTGCCGGCCTTCACGCCATTCACACCCTGATGTCTTCCGAGGCCTGCCTTATCACTTCTTCCACCCCCCACGCCAACCTTACCCCCGAGCTCCTCGCCCTCATCCCCTTGATCAAGTCTCGAATCGCCGGTGTTCTCGCTTCCAAACGATACGTCTATGCGTCCTACAACATCCAAAGACAAAATCTTGACAAGGCTTTGACCATCACCCCCGGCAGGAGGGCGCCCACCGTCAGTCCGCTGGACGAGGACGGATGGGTTGCAGTCAGCGCGATGGTGGAGAGAAAGGAAGTGGCAAAGACGATGGACGAGCTGGAGAGGACTGGGGCTGAGGACATCTTGATCATGGCCTTGGACAACTGTCGAGTTGGTATTTAGAGCTACATCTAACATAATCTTATAGAAATTTGCATTACCATTCTATGCCATCTGGAATGCGAGCCAACCTTATCAATGTACATAGGGACACATGCGCAAGAATCGGGAAGTGTCAAACGTAATTATCTGGTGCCAGCCGATTATGTGCGCGTTCATAATCAAAGACTCAACGAAGTTGTGACGTGGAGTAGGGGCTTTATTGAGCCTGATTACATACACGCATTAATCGTCAGGCAAGAGTCAAAAGTGGAGGACCACCGGCTACCGGCGAAGACACGCGCCGCAACCAGGCTGCAATCACCATGGCTTCTCTGGCTTCTGATGTTGTCGACGTTCTTCACCCCCTCATTGTACCGCAATACTACCCTATCTTGAAGCAAGACCCATACAAACCTCAATATGGCCACCATACCGCCCCCGTACTCCTCACGCGACCATGCACAGGGTGAGCCCTCCGTCATCGGTGTGAGAAGCTGCTGACGTCCACGACAGTACAACCAGGCCCTCAATCTATAACCACCTCGCCGACACAAGAGTTCTCCGAAAGCACAGCTGTCACCCTTGAATGGACAATCACCGGAGCTAAAGCCATGTACGAGGCCACCCGAGGTGAACAGAAGTCGTACGTCTTGTCATGATCCCAGGTTCCTTTGCTGATCCTACTCAGCAAATGCGTCAAGTCGGCCGTTTTCGGAGATGTAGACAACTGCTGGGAGCTGTTGTTCTACGCCAACAGTGGCCAGTCGGCTCAGGCAGGCGACCATGTCAGCCTATACCTTTCTTGTGTGCCCACCCCACAAGAGAGAGGCTCCAAGCTGGCGCATCAATGGCATCGCAAGGGACTGTGGTGGTTCAAGTTTGAGATTCGCTCTGGGCACCCCAAGCCGGAAACGATTGTCACTAAAGAAGCCTCGGATCACACCTTCGCCGTCAAGATCGCTAACTGGGGGTGGGTAAGCTATCTTAAGCGCGATGCTCTTTTCCTTCATCCTCAAGTGCTCGCCTCGGATACTTTCCAGATTCTCTGCACAATCCGTGCACAGCCACAGCCTCCAGCCGGATTCTGGCTCGGTGTCGGGCTTCAACCTAGCTCACCGGTAAAGGCTGACGGTAGGGGTGGAGGGAGCGGCGGGGGGTTGAGTCAGTGGGCTAGTCAGTCTGGTTGTGCTGGGGTTGCGGGAGGCACCACTGCTGGAGGCGGTTCGAGAAGAGTCGTTCCTAAAGAGCTGGTAATGGGGCTGGGAAGTATGTTGGATGATCCCTGTAGGTGACTGGCCTCCACATCTTCCGTGCGTGGCCGACATCCTTGGTAGTATACTCTGATGTCGAGTTCATCATACCGTCACGCGATGGTCCTCCCAAGAATATTTATGCCATCAAAAAGCTGCTCTGCAGATACGATTATTTTGAAGCGCTACTCAATGGCGGGTTCGGAGAAGACGAGGGACTTGTAGATGAGGAAGTAAGCACCAATGGCTTTACCAGGGACTCTCGGCTGATCCAAAAGCAGATCGTCGGCGATGATGATTTGGACATGCTGTCCGACTCGGACATAGGTGACGAACACGACCCGTATGGCGACGAGGAGCCAGAAGACGAGGAAGCGTTGTCTCCCCATCTTAACCCCACGACCGCTAGTCAGAGAAGCTCATCGCCACCTCAGCCTGCTCATAATCAATCGACATCTTCTGATGTCGTCAATTGCCAGGAAAAGGTGGACGATTTGAAAGATACCATGGCGACTATTCCAGGCGGGCTGGGACAGTCTTTGAAAGACCACAAGTTGCAAGACGACTTGCAGGAAGACGAGCACAGGGAGGAGAATCAAGCGGTCAGAAGTAAATCTCTGCCGAAGGCAGACGTAGCCGGACCGAAGAAAACCAAAGTTATCATCAGAGATGCTGCCTGGACTACATGGTGGGCTTTGTTGTATTGGGTGAGTTTGGTTCTCCACAAATTCATAACGCCGGCCTGACGACTCCAAGATTTACACCGACATTATCTATTTTGCTCCTCTCACCTCAACTTTTGAGAATAGCCACAAATCTTGTACTCCAACATCGGCCACTACCACGACCGACGAGCCGACCAATCGGCTCGAGTGGTTACGTCGCTGGATGGCAGACCATGACATCGATCCTCCTCCGTCACCATCGTCTACTTTCGGCGAACCATCCTATGAGCTTCACGTGGGACCTCGGCCTGTCAGCGCCAAGTCAATCTACCGTCTTGCTGACAAGCTGGATATATTGCCGCTCAAGCTGCGAGCATATCATCACATCTGTTCCCAGTTGACAGCCAACAATGTACCGGCGGAAGTGTTCAGTAGATTCTCAGCGACATTTGAAGACGTCAGAAAGGTGCAAGTGGAGTGCTTTTTGGCCAACTGGGGCGAAATCAAGAAGAGTGATGTGATGATGGACATCTGGAAGAATATCAGACTTGGAAAGCATGTGGGGTTTGAAGATGGTGAGGTGACTGATACAACAAGGAGCGCTGTGCTGATGGCGTCCATACAGTGTGGCCTCTTATTGTCAAGCAACTCGACTTCAAGCCCTCATAGCGGCTCCATGTCACTCCACTGCGTTGATTCTGAGGACATCTCTGTCGCGCAAGAAACCGCCGTTCAAATAATGGGAGGTACAGTTATCTTGTACATTGGTATCGGCATATGTGTCATGTAGCTTCTGTTATGAATTGAATCATCGGAAGTCTATCGTCGCCTGACTATGCACCGTTGTCATATTTTGCATGCAGACCCCATAGGGCGAGAGGCGGAGGCCTGCTTGATCTCACATGACCCGCGTGAAATGCAGCGGTTGACGTGTGCAGTGGCTTCGACGCGTCCGACAGTTTTCCCTGAGATTGTCATGTCCCTGACCCACCGCGAAATCGCATCCCCTCCTCTTTCTTCCTCCTTTTCTCACGCGTATCAGTCCATCCATCCTGACCCCGCCCCTTCTCCGACTCGCACGGAATGATCTTGAACGAACTCATCAAGTCCGGGCCGCTGGCCAAGGTGTGGCTTTCCGCCCATCAGGAACGCAAATTGAGCAAGACTCAGGCGCTGGGCGTCGATGTTGGAGAAAGTGTTGGTGAGTGGTCCCATAACACCTAATGTCTTGGGAAACCGGCAGGGCGTGGCTGACATTGCGTGTAGAGGCAATCTTGGAGCAGGATGCAGAGCTCCCTCTGCGTTCCTCAGGGCCGTTGATGTTGGGTGTTGTGCGAATCTATTCGCGCAAAGTAGGCTATCTCTTTGACGACTGCAAGGAAGCGCGAGAGCGTATCAGTCTTGTCAGTACTGGGCTATCGTCCCTGGACAAATACTGACATGACAATAGGCCTTCCGACCTGGTGTCGTTGACCTTCCCGAGCACCAAGTCCTTGCCTCCCACAACGCCATCACCATGTCTGGACGTGGGGATTTCGACTTCAACGACTGGTCATGGGATTCCACCGGCGTGATTCTTCCCCCTGAGACCTCACAAGCCGTCCCCGCCATTAGTTCCAGAAATCAAGAATTCGGTGGTTTCGCTTATGGTGCCCCTCGACCATCGTCGGTCTTTGGTGGTTCTGTCACCACGCAGTCTAGACAAGGATCCTACGACGAATCGTCCAGCCAAATGGGGTCAAACGATTTTTCTGGCGTAGACCTCGGGCTGGGCGACTTTGATGGCGACGACACTATAGAATACGGACGTGACAGAATGTCGTCCCTCGGCAGGGAAGGTAGTGCCTTCGGTATGGGCAGGGGTCTGTCCCGGGGCAGGAGTGGCTCAGCGCGATCCGAAATCGATTATACGGGCATAGGAGATGATATGCCTCTGGCTCCAATGGATGATTATGATCCAATGGCCGGCGATGGGGGCTACGAACCTATGGATTTGGAGCTGAATTTCGATCAAGAGCAAGAGCCAGAGAGGGTCGCGAGAGCTTGTAAGTCTTGCTGTATACCAGTTCAATAACCGCTGATATTCTTTTCTGTAGCCACTGAGGCCTTGACCCCGCCGCCTGCTACCCCTGCCGCGGCCGACAATGATCTCACCCCCCGTACCGCTGCCCAGATTGCCGCTCGCCCCGCTCCTGTCGCTAAGCCGGCTAAACGCCCCCGCCTTTTGATGCCTGACGAAGCTCTCGAAATTGATCAAACGCATCAAGACCGCGCTTCTATCCTGCGCCCCGAGAACTACATCCCCGCCAATCCGGAATTTGCGCAAATGAAAGATATATTTGCCGACCCTTCTGCCCACTTCCTGCCTGTTTTCAAGGTCGGCGGCGAGAACTGGACGGCTGTGGCCCCTCTGGGTGCCGTGGATGATATCATTGAGCTCTTTTCATTCCCCAACAATGTCCTGCGCAGGGGGCGGGCTCTTGACGAGCCCGACGACGAGCAGCTCGCCAAGAAAGCACGAATCGAAGCACAAGATGAGGCCGCCCAGAGGGGCGACGAGCCAGCCGATATTGATACGGACGATGTCGAGGTCGTTAGGAGACGCGACTTTCGGGTGGGTGTTGACCCTGGAGATGACCATGCCGCTCCTTTCGTCGCAGACGATTACGATATGAGCTTTGACGTCAATCCTATGGACGGTGACATGCCCGCCATGAGTCCCCTCGGCTATCGTGCCTCTCGAGCACCTTCTCTGGCCCTCTCTCGTGCCGAGAGCATTGCTCACGAGATCCAATATGGAGTCGGTTCAGGTGACTTTACGCTGGCCATGTTTGATTCCCGCCACGCCGCCGGAAGTCAGCTGAGCCAAACCACTTCGCCCGGTGGGGTGGGAGATGGATCACTAGGAGCACCTCAGGGGAGAAACTCGAGCATGGCAATGGGTCTCTTGCGAAAGGAAATCAGCGCGATCGATGAGGGTGAGAAGGAGGTATCTTTTGAGAAGCTAGCCAACAATGTACGTGGGAGATCACGCCAAGAAGGAAATAAGCTGATATATAATACGCAGGCGACCAAACGGGCTGCCTCGGCTTTCTTTTTTGAGGTGCTGTCCCTCGGGACGCGAGACTGCGTTAAACTCGAGCAACCAGAGCCTTTCGGAGATATCAAGATTACTGGCAAGGACAAGCTGTGGCCAGCTTCCTCACAGATTCCCTCTGAGGCTTGATCGTTTGTGACTATTGTGCTTTTCTTGACTCTTATCTTGTCCGACTGCGTAGGAGCTACAGCTGGCCTGTATGTAGTGGTAGTCAGCGTATCTATCCAGATGTTTATGAGAACGGTTTGGCTATTGTCCCTGTGTCGTGAAAAAAATGTCAAGTTGTTATATGTTATATAGTTGGAGATGAATAATTGGATCATTGCATATGATACATATCGTCGGCGTACAAACGTAGAGATGTTTATTTCACAGTATGGGATAATGATGCGTTGGTCTCCCGAATCTTCTCTTCGATCTCCTTCATGAACGTGTTCAAGTCCTGGAAACATTGTATTAGTGCAAGGTCGACAAGATTGCACTTCAAAACCTACTTCTTCTCTGGGTTCATATTGCAGACCATCCACGACAGCTTGTTTTGCCTCCTCGTATCTCTCCATTCCCATTAACGCCCTCGCTTTGCTGCGGCCACGATATTAGCTTTATCCTTGAACCTGCCGGATGTGCGTACCGAACGTGGCCTTTCATCCACGACCTCTTGAGAGCTATACAGGTCTCTGCATCCGCAAGAGCGGCCGGCCTGTGAGGGGTTGTTTATGAGCATCGAAGTGTTGATACCGAGGCGGAGAACTGACCAATTGCCCATGTACGCGTGACTTGCTGATCGGTTCCCTAGCATGATGATAGCCTCTTCTCTGCCTAGCGCCGCAGGTTCCCATGGAGGCCTGCTCAGAGCCGAGTCGGTAGCCTTGGAGTAGAACTGAGCAGCGACATCGTACTTTTTCACCTTGAAAGCGGCCTGGTCAACATCGTCAGCGAGTGCCTTTCCAGAATGGGCGGTCTTACATTGCCTTGGTCCTTGAGAGCCATGACCATCTGAGCTCTCTGAGGTTGCGGTTTCACGTTTGGAGGAGGAGGGATGGCTTCCACAGGTGCAAACCGCAAGAACTGATGTATAAAATTGACACCCGTAAAGTCCACCCCGCACGAATCACACTTCATTTGCTCATGCACTTTACAGAGCATGACCGGGAATGTCTTCCCTGCGAGATCTGGGGGGCCGTTGGGGGGAATAGCGTTCATCTTGAGGGTATGGGGGACGTCGGTGTGAGGAATGGAGTCGAGGACCTCGAGATGAGCAGGGGAGAGAGGCGACTGCTGTTGCTGCTGAGGCTGCATGCCTGGAGGAGGCCCCGGGCGGGGTTGTTGTTGGGCCATGGTGGAGTGGTCGAGAGTAGATATAGATGAGATAGTATAAGTAGCGCAAGCACAGTGAATCTCTGACTGCACGACAACTGCACGACTCTATGCAGACTTAAGGACGTGTCAGCCCGACCTGGCCCACGTGACCTGCGGCTTTCGCCGACGGAGCATACGGCGGCCGACCTCTACTTTACATACGTACGTACTTGTACTTGTACTTCTTCGCTTTGGTGATGATGCTCCTTCGTTCGCATGGCAGATCCCGTTCGATGATCTGCCGAAACATCCACAGCCAGCTGTGCGTTATTCCGATTCCGTGTTATATTGGAAAAAATTGGAGCGACAAAACGATCGATGAAATGCGCAAAATTGGCTTCGCCCGGACCCGACTCGCATCGGAGTCATCACACGAATCAGAGTGGATAGGAGAGAGACGATACATATGCACAATGACATCTACTTGTAAATCATAGAGAAATCAAGTCCCTCTGGAGGACGCGATAACAGTACACAGTTGAAAACATTGAAAGGGGAGTGAGTATCCGAAAAAGAAATTGAGAACCAATAGAGGGCTTCGTTGACAGCTCATTCGCTGATTCTTACCTATAGCTGGTCAGTTGCATCCCGTTGCGTAGCGAACGACTTACGGATCAAGCTAATAACTGCTTGCGATGTACGTCCAACCAGCCCGGACTCCCCTGAGTCGCCCCATTCGGTCGCGAGTATACTCCGGTTGCTTCTTCAGATCCCTGTGTTTCCACCCTTTAGACTTGATTTGCTCATACTCGCCAGTCTTGGATCGGCAAGTGGGGACAACCTCGGAGATGCTCTTGACGAGAGCCTCCCGGCAGATGAGCTGCTGAGCTTGATGAAACAAATTGTTTGTGGAAAGGCGAGCTGGGTGCTCAGTGACGCAGACTGTGAAGGATCTCAGCTTGCCATAGAACAGATACAGGGGACAGGCTCACGTTCACGCAGCCTTTGAGCTTGAGGGCCAGATCTGCCCTTTTTGGCATCGTCAGGTTTGAAGCAGCCGATTCTCTCGTAGCCGCCGTCTGGCAAAAACTGCACGGCATGCGCGCCTGCAGCACGAATGTCAGCGCATGCTCTACAAGGTCGTGGAGGTCGTACTCACTGATAATCGGGGGGTTGCGGTGGTTGAACCTGTGGGTCATGGCTCGGACATAAACGATGTAGCAATATTGGGCGCCCATCACCTCCTCTACGACGATTCGTATGTCGGAGAATCCCATGTCGACCAATGCATCGTAAGTGTCGTACTATATCATCGCATCAGTCAAGATTGAGTTGTGAAGCATGCCGAAGAGACTTACAGTGTCCGCTAAGAAAAAGTCGCATTGGCGTTGGTCAACCGGCCATGCGCGCCTCAGAGCAGCTCGCCAAAGACTCTTCTGATGAGCTCTCTTGTGGACATAGGCAGGGCGCCGGGGACCGACGCATCGAGAGACATCTCGCAATGTTGATTCAATCGGCTTCGCATCGGTTGACTGAAGCGAAGTTTCAGTCGTTGCACGTCAGAAACGTCTGGATAGCTCACAAAAGATGTATGATCCAATGGCCTGTTGGTGAGGGGACCATAAATTGCAATGCCGAGACGCGATATGCGGGTACGGTTCATCTCCTCATGACCGGGTGGGGTGATGGATCTCGGTTTATCGGATGGCTTGATGTCCTTAGTGGTTGAGGAAGGCACGTCCTTAGTGGTGGGGAGGGGTACGAGTCGGGTCGGGGTCGATACCTGTGCCGGCTTGACGTCAGAAGCAGGGACAGGTTTCGAGGTTGCCGGGGTCGACTTGGGCTGGCCAGGGTGAAGGCGGTCGATAATCGCATCGTCAACCTGGTCGAGGAACTGCATATACGTCAGGTATCAATCGGTGACATTGGAATTTTGGGTATCACGTACCAAAGTCCTGCAGTGCTCGTGACGCGAATTGAGCCTTGAAAGGGACAAGGATAAGCGCTGTGGCCTGAGCTTAGGGGTACTTCTAGCGATGTAGGTTCTGGGGATCATCTTGAATTGATAGCTGGTGGGAGGTGTCGTTGGGAGATGCTGAATATTGTGATGCGATATCGGCTCCTTATGTATGCTGGACAGCCATGTCTCTCGGCAATCGTCCCTCTTCACTCGCTGATCCAGATGCAGCTACATGAGTGAGTGGTGATTGATAGGTGCGACCCTGACTTGGATTGGTGGGTCAAGTCTCTCTGAGCAGGAAAGCCGGACGAGGACAAAAGAGAATTGTCAGACGGCTGACCTTGCGCTGAGGTCCCTGAGATCACGAGTGAGGACTGATTGAAGTTGACTCCATTGCCGGGAGTATCACCAAGAAGAGCAATATGGGGTCGATTCAGGTGCACGTTGGCAAGCCGAGGTGCAGTGAGACATTTACAAGGCATTTGAGTGCATGTCACCCCACCACCATCATCTCGGCACGTGACGCCTACTCATTAGACGCGTTTTGTTCACCTCCTTCTTGTTCGCATCGCTGGACTCTTCGCTGGGATCAGTCGTAGCAGTCATGAACTGGCCCACCTCCACTGAATACGTCGTCGCCCTTCCGCCCACTCATTGCTCCTTACCCCAGCTCGCCTATGCTGTCCGCGCGGCCGCGAGAGATAAGGGGAAAGCCCCTGCCAACAGCCAGCAGCGTATGCCTGTGTTCCCCCTACGCACATCTCCGTACTCACTTGCTCTCAGATCTTCCCACTCCTGATTCCTTCCACGTTCATACAACCACCATTCAAGCCAGTATCTCCCGTCCCGATCAGACGATTGACTATTACAACCGCGCACCAGAGCCCAATCCTGCTTATGGAATATATCAAGACATATGCCGCACTCTCGTGCAGATCAGCGATGCTTCTGAGCCTGTCACCATTGCCGCCCCTTCCAACCTGGTACTTCGCAGACCATGGGTCGCTGAACCCAGAAAATCATATAATGGTCGCGCTGCTGCCGGACCTGCTCCTGTAGGCGTAAGAGTGCACCTCCCGCATACTGCTAGATCGGAGACATTCCTAAAAATCGACAGCCTCCCACACTCTTCTCCTCAAGAGTGGATGCCTTCGGCTACGGGGTGGGACATGAAGCACTGGATTCATGCTGCCATCGCCTTGGACCCTCACAAAGACCACCAACCCTCCAGAAAGGGCGCGTATCGCGGAGAGACGCAAAAGATTCACCTGAGAAGCAGCGCCAAGGTGTGCTGGTTCCCAGGGGAAGATTCTGGGGCAACCCCCGACATTCAAATCATCATCACAATTCAGGCATATCTTGATATGGCAGTGATAGCTGCCCCTCTTCCCGACACGGCAAAAGACATGATGGGTCTTATCTTGCACTCTGTAATCCCATCGCGTACCTCAACAGCGCCAACTACCGAGCTGGAGGACCGCGCCGCCGGTCTTCGCGATTTCTACGCTTGTCTCCGGCCTGCACCAGAGTTCCCGCATTGGTTAGAGGCAAGCGCCCTCCAACCGAAAGAAATGGTCTCAAAGCTTTTGCCGTTTCAGACGCGGACTGTCAAGATGTTGATGGAGCGCGAAGGGGCTGGTCGCGTGGAGGAAGACGCCGGGATGAAACATGACCCGAAAGGCTTCTGGCAAGAACTCCAATGGGATGATGAGGGACGCCTCTTTGCGTACAGGAGGGCCACAGGCGACATTATACTTGTTTCTGCGAATCGCGACAAGGGCAAAGAAAGAGGTCACGGCAACGGTAGGGCCCCATTGAGCCCAGAATTGCCTTGTCTTATCGATCTTTCACATGTCAACGGGTCAATGTTATGTGAAGAGATGGGTGAGCCAAACTGATATCTTGATATTTGGCCATCACTGATTACCCACAAGGTCTCGGCAAGACTGTAGAAACAATTGCTCTCGTTGCCCTACATCGTCATCCGTTGTCCACGCCCCGTCTTGACATCACGCCATCTATTTGGCCCGCAGCCAATGACAGCGTCTCAACAATCGACCTCTCGAAAGGCGTCCCTGGTTTAGACGATCCTGTCGCAAGAAATTGGGTGGAAGCAGAAAAAGCCGCATTTGCGGGACGCAAAGCTTGGGATGCGCAGGCACAGTTGAACGTCTCTGAGGTAGCTGTAAGTTGTGAACATACTAAAGGGCAATTGCATAGCTGATGTGTTCTCATCGCAGGCGACTCTGATCGTTACACCACCTTCTCTACTCAAACAATGGGTGGCCGAGATCAGACGACACGCCCCCACACTTCGAGTCTGTGTTTACGATGGATGGCAATCACTGCAAAGAGGGGTGGAGAAACAGCGCGATGCTCAGAAGAGGATACGAGCAAAGAAAGAGACGGAACGCAAGCGTAAAGCGCAGGAACAGAGCAGGAACAACACTCGGAACAAGTATGCAAAGACCTCGAATGGACAGGCCGTCAAGTCTGAGCATCATGAGGAGAAGGCGGAAGTAGATGACCAGGAGGAGGAAGACGGAACGCCAGAGACGATTCTCGATATCACGCAAAGCCAGTTCTTGGAACATGTTCGGAGCCATGACATTGTGATAACGACTTATCAGTAAGCTTATCATCGCACCGGCGGCTTTGACTGACGCACGAGTTACAGAGATTGTGAGCCGCTTCCAGCCCATCGCGGTAACCTGCTGACTAGGTTGACAAGTGTCATCTGATCTTAAAGTTGCTCTACCGGCACCCGCAAGAAGCAGAAGATCAAAGGCGAATTACAGGCTCAGTGACCGCCCGCGGAGCCCTTTGGTCATGGTCGAGTGAGCATCGTCGATCTGAATACCTTGCAGATAGCTTACGGCACTATAGATGGTGGAGGGTCATCATGGACGAAGTACAGCTGCAAGGCGATTCCGATTCTGCGTGAGTGATGCGTACTCTTGATGTTATGCGGCGTCCTGATATTCGGACACAAAGCGCTATGGTCTCAGTGATTCCGCGTAAACTCTCACTCGCTGTATCTGGAACACCTGCCCGAGGAGACATAAAAGATCTCATGGGTTCTTTGAAATTCCTACGCGTCCCGGTTTTCCCATACGACAACCGCCTCTGGCACCGCATCCTACAGCCCTCCTTCCGTCCCGCATTCGAAGGACTCTTTCAAAGCCTAGCTATAAGGACTACCAAAAAAGAAGTCTCAGGCGAGTTTGACCTCCCTCATCAATCGCGATTCATTGTCCCCATCGAGCTGTCTGAAATCGAGATGCACTACTATACCGATACTCTGGAACGTGCCAGAGAACGTCTGCACCTCCCAGCCGACCCTAGCGAAGCGCGACCTCAAGATTGGGTCCTAGACCGCGCAGTGTTTCTGCAAGTTTTTAGAACGCTCAGGCAGATCTGTACGCACATCCAGGTGGGACAGATGCAAGCTGGGGGAGGCCAGGCGTCGCGGGGAGATCAGAGAAGGAGATTAGGAAGGACGTTGATGACAATGAAGGAGGCGTTGGAGAAAATGAGAGAAGACCATGAACAGGAGACCCTTGTGGAGGCGCGCCAGCAGGTAATATACTCGCAGTCTCGTTGAGAGACAGGAGCTCACTCGTCACAGATGCGGATGATTATTCGCCAGGCGCAGCTTATCATACTAGACGAGCAAAACGATTTGCGACATTTACAAGCTCTTGCCGTGAGTTTGGCATTGACAACGGGTTACGGCACAGCCGATCTCATCTGGCGTATAGTTATATGACCGAGTGCGCCATTCAATCGACCGATATATGGAGTCGGTCCAACAGGAACTCAATAAGCTGCTTGGGGGCCGAGGGGAGGGCGAGGTTTCCGACAATGAATATGACGTTGGCGATCTATCAGACAGACTCTCCCAGCAGGAAAAGGCAAAGCGAACGGCTATCATGTGGAATCAAACTGCGTGAGCTACTCTGTCTCTTTTCGAATAAAGAAGGATTACTCATATTGTCCTCTACAGTCTTCGAGAGTTGGCGATTATCAAACATCAAGCCCTTTTTTTTAGCGGCGATGCTTACCACGTACAGCACGAAGAAGAAAAAGAAGGTCGGTGATGACCCACTATGGATAATCATCCAAGGCTGATGCCTGTTCTAGTTTCTGCCTATGCCCAAGCCGATGCGATCCGGAAGGATGTCCTTAAGATACCTCTGGCTGCCGCAAATATGGCTTTGCAATCCTTGAGAAGGACCGTGACCCGCTCACCCGCTGTCAAAACACTGGACGATCTGCAAATATCTGATGTCAAAAGAAAAGGCGGTATCCAGACCTACGATGTCTTTGCTCAAGCCAACGAGCTTTTGAAGATTATGAATGACAAGTTAGTAACCACTCTATCGATTGTATATGTGCTCATGTCTCGCAGTGCGCTATTGGTCTTCAATTGGCGCGACAAGATATATGAGCTGCTAATTTCACCCGTCGAGGGCGAGAAACCCGAAGCTCGTGAAGGCGCTGGAGCTCAAGACATCGAGGATCCGGAAGAGGAGTACTATGCGGAGGCCTTAAAGGCGCAAGGAGAGGGCAAGTTCAACATCTCCTGCGACCGTCTGCTCTGTTTCTGACATCTGTTCAGTCGAGGCTTATCTGATTGCATATGCGGCGGCTCTAGCAGATCGCAAAGGTACGTACGATGGCTGGACCAGCTCTGCCTTGGGCTTGACCTGAAATATAGAGTTCATGTTTGAAAGTCGAAGCCTTCTCGCAAGTCACGACGCTCGAGTCACTAAGCAGGCGAGTTCTATTGCTTCTAAGCTGTTTTGACATGTCGGCGGCTGACCTTTCTACAGCGAAGCACGAATGCGGCAATGAATGCTCTAGACAGTGTTGAAATTCCTGCGGTTGTCGATGACGACATTGAAGCGCAAGCCAGCATCCTCATGGCTGAGAGAGAAGCTTTCCGCAACGCCCGTTTGGAGAGAGGCTGCGATCGGCCTCTGAAAGCTCTTTTGATGGAGCTTAACGGTGAGCAAAACGTCGGCCTGCTTCAGCGTGTGATTGATCAATGCGCAGCTGTGATCCACGGCCCTCACAGGCAAGAAGAGATCGACATTGCCAAGGCCATGGCGGCTGTGCTCAAACACTACTTGACTCGTCAAGGGGACAATCTTGAAAAGTTGGATAAAGAACTGGATCTGTTCAGGCAGGCTTTCAATCGACGTGTAAAGTACTTTGCATCTTTGCAGGAACTGTCAGATTCTGTATGCCGGTTTGGATTCGTTTCCATCTGTCTGTCCGCTGACCAATCATTGTAGGTTGCGGTCCCTGATTTCAAGGATCTCGGGCGGGACATTGAAGCTGCCGCCCAAGAGGTCAATGAACTTGAAGTCAAATTGGCAAAGATGGCTGTCAAAGGCAGATATTTACAGTACCTCGGCACCAAAGAACATGACGAAAATGATTTGAAAGAGGACTGTATCATTTGTTTCGGTAGCTCTGACTGTCAAGAGGCGGTATTGTTGACGTGTGGTCATTACTTTTGCCAGGTGAGCCTGAAAAGCGGCTTCCAAGAGATTTGACTGACGATTGCAGTCTTGTTTCAAGGAATACAGAGCCACGCCTGGCGGGAGAAAGTGTCCATCGTGCCGAGTCGCTAGTAGGTCCCATATTGAAAGACTTGAGTTACAGAGTGCTGATGAGAGCTGGATTCGCCAGTCAATGACAAGGAAATCCAACGTATCAAGCTAAATCATGGGCGCCCCGAGTCAGCTGAAGGCTTGGGGGAGACTCCGGCCCTGACATCGACAGAGTCACAACCACAAAAGGGCCCTGAGAATCCAGATATATTTCCGGAGGAGGCCGAGAGACTTAGTAGGATCGCTGATCTAGAAAAGCTGAGAATGTTGGAAGACGATCGTAGAAGGGCCATCATGTTGATGGACATGATGGGAGAGTACGGCAGCAAAGTGCGTGCTTGCCTTGCCTTCTGGCTATGGATATTGCTGACATGATGTAAAGATCAACTTCCTAGTCAAACACCTACTCTATTACAAGTCTAAAGAACCTCGATGTCAGTCAGAGAGTATAGGCAGAACAAGGTTGACACTTGAACAGCTCGCCACGTCATCTTCTCCAATTGGTCTGACTCCCTTAACAGTGAGCAGACTGGCTAAATTCACAAAAGCTTGGCTGATCGTATCGTCAGTCGTGATGGCCGCTCTGAAGATCAACGGCATTTCCTTTTTAGGATTTGACCACGGCAGAAAGCAAAAGGACATTGTCGAAAGGTTCCTCAATGACGAATCCATCACTGTTTTCTTACTTCATGCTGAGAGGGAAAGGTGGATATCCAATCATCCGGCCCATTGGGAAAGGCTGACAACCCATTGCAGCTCAGGCCTGACTCTCACCAGCTGTCGAGTGGTTCATCTGCTCGAACCCGTTCTGAGGCATTCATACGAGTTGCAAGGTCAGCAACACCCGCCCAAGCCCCATATACACCACTGACTCTTCAATAGCTATTGGAAGAGTCGACAGGCTGGGACAAGACAAGGAGACTTCCGTGTTCTGGTATGTCGCCTCCTTCGTGTGTTCAAATCCCCGTTGACCCCTCCACAGTTATGCCACGATGGATACTGTAGAATCCCGAATCCTTTCTCAGGGTGTTCGCAATGGCACGTCTATCTACTTGGCGAGCGACGATGCCGATGACGTTGTAGCAGAGATGCCCAATGTAGCAAGCGCTGCGCATAAAGGCGGCGATGTGACGGCAGGAGGCAGTGAAGAGGAAATGTTGGGTTTGATTTTGTAGGCGTACTTCTGTAATGCGATAGCGCTTTGAAAGTGCAACATTTCATAGTAAAAATGCTGGTTTCAGGTCAAAAGATGCATGTCCTGGGTAAATATCTACTCCTGGTCGACGACCTCACACAAAGTACCGCCACTCCTGACCTTACCCCAACCGATCAATCTCCAGTGCTTGTCGATTCTCCTACTCAAAGCAATCTTCTCACCCTTCTCACAACAGGCTGGCGTTGTCAAAGCAATGGAGACGTCACCACCCTTGACAGCAGTGATTCGTCCACCAGTTTGACTGGCACCGATGTTGACAAACAGCGTTTCGCCCACGATGAGTTTCCCGACCTTAGCCTTTTTACTGTCGTCGGTCTTGACACCGAGCAATCGACGGAGCAAGAAGACTTCGGCGCGGATCTCGACGTAGATTGAGGGACCCTTGCCCACGGAAGACATGACCATACCAAGCAACCTGTCGGCACGGCAAAGCGCGGGGTCGACCAGAGTTCCGACACCGATCAAACCACCAGGGACGGCAAACTGCAAGTGGTTTTGCTCAGCGTGAAGGGAGACTACACGAGATCGTAGTGGGCGGCAGGTGCAAACACCATTTGCGTCTCGCGTGATGAGACCGGGTCGGATTTCGACCTCCTGTCCGACCTTGAAGACACCCTGCAAGATGGAACCACCGGCAACACCACCTTTCAACTCGTCGACACCGGCACCAGGCTTGTTGACATCGAATGAACGAATGACGACCATGCGAGGGTCGGCACTGAAGTCGTAGTTGGGGGGCGCAATGTTGCAGATGGCAGCCACAACGGCGTCGATGTTGAATTTCAGTTGGGCGGAGACGGGGATGATGGGGGCAAGTCGGGCAGTGGTGCCTAGAGACAAGTCAGTATGGTGCAACATCCCATGGATCCGACACACCTTCGACAAACTTCTTGATGCTCTCGCAGTGCTCCATAGCCTCGCTCTCCCGAACCAAATCCATCTTGTTCTGTAGAATCACAATGTTCTTGGGGTCCACACCAATGATTTCCAACGCAGCAAGGTGTTCACCGGTTTGCGGTTGAGGACAAGACTCGTTACCAGCGATAAGAAGCAGAGCACCGTTCATGACGGCGGCACCTGTCAGCATAGTAGCCATCAAAATGTCGTGTCCCGGGCAGTCGACAAATGAAACATGTCTGTAGAGATGTCAGCGACCAAAATCGTGTCACAGAAGAACATCATCATACCTCTGCAGCTCCATTCGTCCCTCACACCCAGCTCTTTCACATTTAGGGTGCGCTTCTTTGCTCGAGGGATAGGATCGGAAACAGCTGGGAGGGGGGCATTGCGGGTTCTGGCACCTGTAGATCTAGACCACTGTCAGCCTGGCTCCCATGTTTATGACTGATAAACCTGCTTTGGCGTTGGCGTAACCAAGCTTGATGGTAATGTTTCGTTCAAGCTCGTTCTTGAATCGGACGGTCTGGACACCAGAGATGGCGCGAACGGTTGAAGATTTACCGTGAGCTACATGACCGATGGTACCGATGTTGATCTGCGGAACTTGATCAGCACAATTGCCCTTCAGCTGAGGGTGCCACAAAGAAACACACGGTGGCCTGTTTCGAGATGACTTCGGGAGATAGAGCCGTAAGCTTGGTCACGTCGACCTGGACTTCCTGAACGGGCTCTGAAGGTCCCGAGGCGGCGGCAGCGGCGGGATCGTTGATGGCGGACATGGTGGGGCGAGCTTGTCCTGGCAGAGATGGCGGGGACGGGAGGTCGAGGGGCGGAATGAGTATTTTTCGGCGAGGAATGGAAAGGTGCAAGGACAAGGGACTTGAGTCGTCAACTAACCTCCGCCACGCCCGGCATTATCCCCGGCATTATATCTTTCCTTATAACCACGCCTGGCCATGCTTCTCTTGCCTCATCCTTCCAATTCATAAAAACATGATGATCCTCCTCGGTTGCAGAGACCTGAACCTCGCGCCCCGTCCATCCGGGCGGGTAGACATGCGTAGGATCGTGACTTCTGCCGTCCGGCAGCCAAATCCTTGTTAACATAGGGACGGCTCCATTATTACGGTCTGACTCTTTGGATTTGGATAGGAGTATCTCGACTTGATATCAATGTGTATGTACCTTCTGCAGGACTTTAACTTTGTTCAGCGAGTCTGGAGTTTGGGAGCAGTGAAAGAGGCGAGGGCGGCGGCGCAATTGCTGACCTGCGCCTCTTTAACATGTTGGTGACCATACATGCTCCGCAAGCTATGCCATGTGTTCATGCACGCAATAGTCAACCCCGTCAAGCTCAATGGCAAGCACAGCTGGCCTCAACGATCGCCTGGCTGTTCGACTTTGTGCGCGCGGCTCTCACCAAGCTTGTACACTGTGAAGATATCCTCTTCCAGCCCCGCCTCTTTCACTGCCTCTCTCAGCTTCTCGGGTGGCTCTGTAAAGCTCTCGGCCGTCATGCGGAATGTGCCCCAGTGGATCCCGATAGCCTGCGCACATTTCTAGCAGACGGTCAGTACCCTCACATGAGCCCGGCGAGGTTCGTAGCGAGGCTTGTAGAAGACTCACGGTATCCTTCATTATTGCCACCGAATCTACCGGTGCGACGTGTAATGGCGACATCACCTCTCTCGGGTGGTATGCACCTATTGGAATCAGGCCCACAGTGAATGGCCCAAGCTTTTCGCCAATCTCCTTGAACGCGGGGCACACGTCTTGCTCCGGGGCATTTGGATTTGTACTAGTAGGGTGGGAGCCGGCGTGGATGTCTTGTGACATTACGCAGTAGCCAGTGTCGCCCGCAAACCAGAGCTATATGGCCCGAGGTCAGTCTCATGAGGCGAGCGAAAGAATGTGGTCTTACCTTGGCGGGGTTCCGGTTGGGTGACGAAGGGAGCTCTTGGAGGGCCCATGAAGCCCACAAAGCTCGATTCCTATCCCAAGGATACCTCGCTGAGAAATGTTGGCTCGGCGCTGCCTCCATCGTCAGCCTTCCGCCATCCAAAAGCGACGCAAAGACTCACCACAAACCAACCTTGCCCTTCCCACGCCTTCGACCTCAAAGTCCCTTCCCTCCCACCAGTCCAGCTCGAATATTCTTTCGTCAGCAAGGGGCAAGCCTGATACAGTGTGCCGATTGTTCAGAGGTATGAAGAGGGAGGGCTGTGAGCCGTGCTTGGATTTCTGGGTTTGGAGGAGGGTGGTGAGGGTTGGAATGTCGAGGTGGTCGTAGTGGTTGTGCGAGATGGCCTGATATGGATTGGTCAACTGTGACTTGTGTCTCCGAGAAACCTACGATCATATCGATTTCTGGTATATCTTCAATCTCGCAAGGCGACACTTTTCAAACGTCAGCCCAGACTCAACCCCGAAAACCAACTCACAGCTCTCTCTTTTTGGCCCCATTCCAAGGAAGGCCATCCCGCCGCCCAACACCGGATCAAACAAAACCCTCACGCCTCTATCCTTGCCCTCCTCAGCAGGTAGCTCTACATACGCACAGGCGTGCCCCAGCCAGGTGACTTTGAGGTCGCGCGCGGGCAAGGAAGCGCCGAACGTCGGGGTGGTGTGCGGGATGAGATTTTTGGCGTCTTTGAGCGTGAGGTCGGACGAGGCTGATGTTGCAAGCTAGTCCCAGTGATCAGAGAGGCTTGCAAGGAGACGGGGGAGCATACCTCGTATCCAGACTGAGAGAGGGCTGCTGTCAGTGGACGTCCTCAGGGGCGGGGGTCAAGGGGTATCATACCGTGATTAACTGCCAGGTATTCTAGAGCAAGTTGAGCATGGCCTTGCCTGGGATGTAATCACTCACTGGCATTTTGAAGGAGGACCACGGGTTTCGAAACTTGGTCCCCGTCTCGTTCGCCCAATGGCTCCCTTTGAGCCTCTGCCCTTTCACCTCGGACGCCCCGACGATAACATTGGCCTGGGCGGCAGCGGTGGTGGAGAGGGGGCGGATCGAGTGCCGCAGAAGACGGCTTGGGCGGAGGAGCGGCATGGGAGATAGAGGGCAAGCAGCGGGCGGGGGCATCTCGACGACGACAATGATAGCGATCCTCGGCAGCTCCTCGGCACCCATCAAGCCCGGGGGGCAAGTCCGGCGGCCGGCGGTCTCTTTCAAACCCTATGTATCATTGTGCGGCAAGTCGTTGCTTTGCGAGTGCATGGGAGGTTGTTCAGAATGGGAGGTCTCGAGCCTCGAGCAACGCCTTGTTGAAGACGCTGCAAGCTAGATGATTCATGGCGAGGCTAGGACGATGTCTGCTCACCTCACACTCTAACCAGTCTTAGCCCCGTCGTAGTGGCTCTCATCCTCGCGCCACCTGGCTCGAAAGCCCATGTAGTGACCCTCCAGCGTGGCCCTCCCTGTCCGTCCGCTGCAGGAAAGGAGAGCTAGCAAAGAGAGAGGCATCAATGCGCCATCTTGCTCCGCTACGTCTTCACTTTCGAGTTCTCGACTTGCCAGCAAGCTATTTTACATCTCATACAGCACAAACGTTATATACACCCAACCTGCAGACACTATAACCGAAATATTGTAGAAAGAGAGTGGAGAAATGACAAAGAGTGACGTGAAAAGTTGAATACGTAAAGACTGGAACCCAGATACCCGATAGAGAATGTGTGTGGAATTATACGTTTGCGATTGTGAGCCCTCGCTCGTCCCCAGGCTTGGGGGCGACACTTCCCTCGCTTCCCGCACGTCTGCGCCCCGCTACTGGCTGCTCCCAGTCGTCTTGACCATGCCCCCGTCCTTGTCCGGCAGTGTCCTCGTATCCACCATAAACCCCATCATCCGCATAGGCATAAGCCTGGCTCGGGTCAAAATAGTAGTTGTTGCCCGCCGTCGGCGGCGGAGGGGCAGGGACAGAAAAGTCTGGCTGAGGATGGTGGGGGTCGGACATGTACTCTTGCGCGTTGGGATCGTGCGCGTAAGGGTCCTCAGGTGAGTAGTTCACCTGAGCGCTGGTAGCGCCAAATCCTGCCATACCCGCATCCGTAGCAGTAGAAGCTCTATCACCACCCTGGGGCGCCATATCAACGAGATTGACAGCGTACGGGTCGTACCCATCATACCCGCCAGTGGGGTCTTCGTAGTCTTGGTACTGGCCATTGCTGGGCTGGGGCTGAGAGTAGATGTCGGTACCGCTCGGTGTGGTGGCAGCATAGTGGCCACCGTACTGGGCCATGGCGGGCTGATCGCCGTATGATGCAATAGCAGGCGCCTCTTCGTCATCATCATAGCCCGATCGGTCGTGGTGGTGATTGGCGGCAGAAGCAGCTGCGGCAACATCTCTATCGAGACGCTGTCGTCTCCTTCGACGGAGCATGAATATGACAAACGACATGATCCCCAACATTGCCACAAGACCCACAGCCACAAATGTCCCGGCCACGGCTCCTGTATTGCTAAAGAAGCCTTCATCTCCTGCGGCCGCGGTGGAGGTACCGGTAGAGGAGGGGTTGTGTACGATTTGGGTGACAGTGTAGATTTTTCCGGCTGAATCGGTTGAAGTCAGAGCCTGTGTGAGGACGGAGGGCGCGGTGGTGACCGTATTGCCAGATGCATCTGTGGTGGTCACCGAGACGGCGCTCGTAGCTGTCGTCTCGCCTGACGCAGAGCTCGCAGTCGAGGTATCGGTCGAAGTCAGGACGACCGGGGCCACGGACGATGACGAAGAAGACGGGGCAGCAGAGCTCTGCACTTGCGAACTAGTGGGGGCAGAGGACCTGGAGACACATTAGCTCTTGTCAGGTCCACGCGCGCCAGGACTTACGTTAGTGGTGCGCTGGATGAAGTATCGCTGGGAGCGACAAACTCAGACGACGACGATGAGCTCGGGGCCACGCTCGAAGAGGTGTCAGACCACGACGACTCTGTCGACGAAGCGGCAGTGGAGCTTTGCTGTGTCGAACTAGGTTGTTGGCTCGTGCTTGGCGCAGCACTGCTTTCTTCTGCACTGGTACTCGGTGACGGGCTGGCCGAGGCTGATGTCGACGGCTGTTCGCTGGGGGAAGCGGAGGAAGGGGAGGAGGAAGGGGAGACGGACGAGGAGGCGGCCTCGGAAGGGGACGCCGAGGATTGTGCGGCCGAGGTAGAGGCGGAGGGAGAGGAAGAGGGCTGGGAGGACTCGACGGCCGAGGAGGTGGCTACGCCTGCGGAGGATTCGACTTGTTCTGTGGGTCGGGTAGTGGTGGGTAGCGGTGAGGTGAAAGCCATGGTCGGGGAAAGCGAAGAGAAGTGTCAGCGGACATTCTTCGAGAAAGGGCGGAGTCAGAGGCGGACAAAGGGAGCGGCGGCCCTGCCCGCCCCTGCGTGAGCATCCTTTTAGAGCCAGCTGGAGCAGGGATGGGGGAGTAGCAGACGGGATATGGGGCTTTGAAGGATGGCGGAGAAGGAGGGCGACGCGTGATGGGGAATGGGACGCGTCGTGGAGCAGGAGGGAAAGGGAGGGGAGGGGGAGAAGAGATAGGGACTGACCAGCCATGGTGGGAGAGGAGCCTTGCCAGAAGGGAGATGAGCGGAGGGGATGGAGGGAGGGGGAGAGGGAGAGGCGCAGGAGACGAGATGAAAACCGCGCATGGGCCACTCGCCCATTGTTTGGCCAGGCCCACCCCCTGCTTATGTAACACCGGCGAGCCCCGCCCTGCTGCCCGGTGGTAGTGATGAGTGACGTAGCTGCATCTCTCTTTCTCCTGTCCACCATGGCTGCCTCCACCCCCGCCCAGTCCCTCGAGCACCGCGCACAGAACGCAGAGCAGGTCGGCGAGCAGAAGCTCCAGGGCCTCGTCCAGGAGGACGGTCAGTCTACACCCGCCCTTTAGTCCAGAGCTCACCAGTACACAGCCGACTCCACCGAATCCGGCCTGCGATATGGCAAGTCTTTTCTATATCACACAGCCCAGGCGCTGACTCCGATACAGCTGCCTATCTTCGTCGTGTCAGAGACATTGTTCGAGCAGGGAGCAGATACACTGCATACAGCAAGTCCAGCCCAACCTCTCTTGCCCTCCCACTGACCTCCCTACAGCCAGCGACGTCGGAGAAGCTTTCCGCCCTGTCGTCCCCCCATGGGTCGTGACTGCAGCCTACGGTGTATCGTGGGCCTACCTCATCGGAGATGTCTCCTTTACCACCTACAAATCCTCCCAGCTCGGTCCTTCGCCATTAGAAGCCGCCAACATGTCAGAGCCCACCCGTCTCTCCATGGTGGCTGTGAAAAGGACAGTTTTCCAGGGTGTGGCGTCCATGGCGTTGCCGGCGTTTACCATCCACACTGCCGTCAGGTACGCGGGCAGGGCGTTTGCAAAGAGCGCGAACGTAACGGCGAAGAGATGGGGGCCCACCGTTGTTGGAATCGGAATCGTGCCTGCCCTGCCATATCTCTTCGATCACCCGGTGAGCACTACTTTGTTACGAAAAGATCAAACACTGATAAAGGACAGGTCGAGCAAGCTACCGATGCCGTCTTTGACAAGCTTGAAGAGAGCTTTTTCCGAGGCGGTCCCGTTCCCGAGCCCAAGCGCGAATTATAGGATACATGAATTCTCAAGTTCTTGAACCGTCCCTCTCTATACTGACAATCCGCCAATCCCTGTTTCGCTTCCTATAAACCACCACCAGTCCCGCCCGAACATCGCTCTCGTCGATAATCTTGGCCTCGTCGCCCATGTATATGGTGCACATTGGCTCCGATCGCCGGGAGCTAGATCGCGAGGAGAAGAGCAGCGAGTGCAAGTATACTGTGCCAGAGGGGCCGGACGCAGAGACTTGGACACGGATGTCTTCCAGGTCCTCCGAAACAGGACGAAACAGCTTGAGCGAGATGCCGGTAGGTATCTCGGGCCACAAGACGGCTTCCATGGGCGAATTCAGATGAGATGGAACTTCGAAAGGAGACTGACACATATCAGTATGACCCCAGACTATTTCCGTCAACTTACAGCAAAAAGACAAGTCTCCCTGCCTCTTGTGATTGCATAGACCTCGCCGGCCTCTCCCCTCAAGCCCCCGTCGGGCAGCACCAGCCTCTTCAACGGGCCCCACTCGCCCATCCCGTCACCATCGTGCCCTCTCGACTTGATCCCCAGGACGACTGCATCGCTGACGCCAATCAGGCACGCCTTCTGCCCAAAGGAAACGTATAGCCCGAGGTTGAGGTTGTCCTTGACCGACGGGGCACGAGAGCTCGAGCGGGAATGCGATTGACGCGAGCGCATAGAAGAGTATGACGATGATGTTCTCGACAGTGAGGAAGGTGGCCGGCCGTACTCAAAAACAGAGCTGGCATCATCTGCCAGGTCTATACTCTCTGCCCTGCTCGGCATGAACCCACTTCCCGGCAGCTTCATGAACCCCATACAAACTGGCGCTGCGGGAAGCGCAAGGCTTTTCTTGCGAATAAACGTCGTCATACCATCTTGGTCGACTGTACCCTCGTGGACGACGGCTTGGGATGTCATGCCGGATGCGACATAGACCCGACCTTCGTCTCGCCACACGACCGTGCAGAGAATATCTTGGGACCTGACTGCTACGTGCCCGATAGAGCCCGAACGACGCCTATTGCCGATCTTTTCAGAGGCAGTACTCCGCTGAAGAACCGTATAGTCGCCTGACCAGGCCTTTGGCAAGTCTGTCTGCCCACCAGCTGAAGCGCTCGGAGCTTGTCTATCGGACAGAGCATGGATGGAAAACTGGTCCACCATGGTCCACTCCTTTGCCCGCGATCCCTCTGGAGCCATATCGCGCCCTTGATACCCTGGTTGCTGTAGAGCAGACCATCGAGCGAGCGAGATCAAGCTGGCCAAAGAGTATACCCGAATTCCAGTGCCGGAGCCCTTTTCGGGATGACCCAGCTTGGCCGAGTCTTCGTGCCCGCCGCAGAAGAGGAGAATGGAGCCTTTGGGCGTACTGGAGCTGGGGGACTGGCGCGAAGAGATGATTTCCATTTGCCACACTGGCAGACCAGACCAGATCATCTTTGCAGGCGCCTCTTCCTCGTCCGAATTGAGCACCATGAGTCCCTCGGCCGTGCCATACAACAGCAGCCTCCCGCCCAAAACAGGCAGGGAGCAAGCGATGGAAGCTGCAGAATGCCGAATGAACGGAGAGCCGAAAGAGACAGAGGTGAAAGGCGTGTTTTCGATGGGGGATGGATTGGAGGCTGGAGGGTATGGTACAGGCGAGGGATAGGGAAAGGTGGAGTCGTAGGAGGGAGGAAGTGGGACGGGGCTGGCAGAGGTTTCTGCTTCTTGCCGGGTACTCTCTTCGCGGGCCTACCGACAATCAGTCAGTGTCGTGTGGCCGCAGTATACACACTCACGGCTCGCCGGGCAGCTCTTCGTTCATCTCTATCCACCCCATCGTACCGTTCAACTGCCCGCTTCTCGACTGCTTATAGTCAGTATCGTGCGCGTTTTTGCAGATGCCAGACTCACCCCACCCTCGCCATCTGCCGAATCTTGCCAGCCCGCCCTGCTCATCCCCGTCCCTGCTACTGCTCGGGCCAGCTTGAACAGACTGTTCATATGTCGGCAGACCGTCCTGCCTGCTTTGGCCAAGTGTAGATCGAGAAGGCTGGCGCGTCACTGGCAGCTGCGCAACAGTATCTCTTCTCGTTGCCGGTCCCCCGAATGTCATCGAGCTCCATCTTTGATCATCGCCTGGCGTTCTCACTGGTACGGGGCTTTCGATCTCTGCTCGTCCCATGTCTGGCAGCGATGGCTGTGAGTGTGAGAGCGGGAGACGGCGTGAAAAGAAAGCAGCGATTTGTCATTATGAGGCGGCCGAGTGGACATGGTGCTGCTAGGTGCTGAGCTGCGGCATTCTATCTGGGGGAGCGTCGGCGGGATACGGCGTGTCACAGCAACGCTCGGCGTTGTCAAGAGGGCCCACAGGGATGTCAACACTGTCGGCCGCCGGCGAGATAAGCTTGCCCCCTTCAACACACAGCCATCTGCGGATGGTGCCTCGCCATCTGTACCTGGGCCCCGTGAGTGGCTTGTGCACAATGGAGAGCAGTTCGATCACCCAGCTCTGCAAAAGATATAAATGCCCTCCATCTCGCAGCAACCCTCACTTCCATCTCTCTTGTCCTTCGCGCCATAGCAAGCGCCTTCTATATTGTGTCTTGCCTTTTTTGCTGAGCTCTTTCGACCCAACCTTTTACCAGCACAGGTCGCTACCTCGACCTACTCATACCTTCATACCTTTCCTGTGGTACCTGCCAGCATGATGCCCCTTGGAAGGTCTCTAGCCCTTTTGGCCGCACTTGCGACCCAAGCTCAAGCTTATGATGATCTTCTCTTCACCGAGTATGTGTTCATGCTCGCAGTGGTCTCACGGCTGACCCCTTGTAGGGACTTTTTCCCGCTCATCAACGCCCGCCTAGATCCCATCATCTCTCCCGGCCAAGTATCTGCACATGTTCATCACGTCATCGGATCTTCCGCATTCATTGCTTCCGAGTCTTTCAATGACACCCAGACTGCTAATGTGAGCCTTGATGATGGGCTTACCGGATAGATCCTGACGAAATTGCAGTGTACGACTTCCAACTTGATTGATGATTTGTCCAAGTTGGTGCTATCCTTTCCAGATATTGATTGCACTTTACTGACATGAGCGCAGCTACTGGTCTCCTATGCTTTACTAGTATGATCCAACATTTCCAATCCCCTACAAGCTGACCTGGGCGATAGCAAATGGAAGAACGGGTCTTACTCTGCCATCACTGGCGATGGTGGCAGCGCCTAGCAAGTCATCGTCTGCCTCAACCCGATTCGCCCCCACTGACGAATCACAGCTGGAAGATGCCCATGACCAATCTCCCCACCGAGGGATTCTCGGTCGTCCCCGACGACTTTAGGATGCTTGCGGGTGATATCACAAGGACCACCTACAATGCGTCGAACGCGTTGGATCAGGCTGTCAGTTTCCAGTGCGTTGATGCCAGTGGAAGTTACGGTAGGTTTCCTCGTACCCAATACGTTCTAAGCCTCATATCTGTATAGACAAGACACCTTTTATCCCTTCCGACCGCGAATGTCTCACACTCCGACCCCAAGTCAATTTTCCAGAGTGCTGGAACGGCAAGGACGCTTATATCGATGACAATTCGCATGTCTCTTATCCTGTTGACGGCAACCCTGAAGGCGGCAAGTGCCCCGACAGTCATCCTTCCAAGATTCCTCATCTCTTCTTGGAAGCCACTTACCGTATGCCTGTCTGTAACTTTTCAGTGAAGAAAGTGCTGACGTATAGAACAGATCCCAGCGAAGACACCATTGGTGAAGGCTATGAATGGTACCCCGGGTGCTTTGTCCTCGCAGACGGCGACAACTACGGGTATTCATTCCATGCCGACTGGCTGAACGGTTTCCCCTCTGGATTTATTGTCGACACTTTCAACGAGTGCTACGATGCTGCCTCGGACACCATCTCGAAAACCTGTGCACCCATTGACCAAGGGAGAGCCAAAGCGGCACCGAGGGACTGTGTGTCTCGTGGCCAGGTCGTCAACGAGGTATGTCCCGCCGTTCTCCGGGCCTCAATGAAGACTGATCTGGTCATAGTCTGTCGGTCAGATGATGGCCATCCCTGCTCTCCCCGGAAACAATCCCGAGTACAACTCGTCCGAGACTTCCAAGCCCTCATCCGACAGCTACACCGAGACTGCCAGCCTTGTCACAGTATCAGACGATACACAGGGTGTCTGCATACAGGGTACTTGCTATGATTATGCTGGGTCGGATATCGTCGACCCATCCGCTGGGACTGGGGCGACTTCTACGGTGTCTTTGTCTGGTGTAACTGCCACCTCCTCATCGTCCTCGACCGGCAGTTCCATCGAGACTTTGCTCTCATCAACTGTATCAGCTTCTGGTTCCTCTTCTACCGCCTCTTCTGCTCCCGACTCCGTACTGTCACCGTCCCCGACGAGTCTGACGACGACGAAGAGCTCGCTCGCGAAAAGCGCAAGAAGAAGAGATGGGTTGCTGATTGGTAGATGCCATGGTTCTTTTGCTTTCTGAATCTGTCCTGGTGGCAGGATCTGGCCTTTAGAGTACTTTATAGGACCTCAAGTTTATAGACCGCTGGACATGCAATATATGGACTATATTTTCCACCTGGATGCCTTTCGCTCATCGTCGTTCAACATGTGCCTCGGCGCCCGCCGCCCCGGTCACAGACGCGATTCCTGCGCTGTTCCTGCGCATCTTGCAGCAGTCTCTCTTTCGTCCAGCCGGCCTCAGTCCTCTATTCACAGCTGTACCCAAACATGGCACCCCTTCCCTTCCACCTCTCCCTCCTCCTCCGCCCACTGTCCCCGCCCGTCGCCACGACCCGGCTGAAAGCCAACATCTTTGCCCTCTTTCTCTTTGCTATACGCAACCTCTTTCCGCCGTACCAAGCTACCAAGAGCTTACTCGTCAGTCTGAGCGAAAAGCTGGAAGGAACCACGGGAAGACAACAGAGCTGGGGGGAGGTGGGAGTGAATATAGGAGGTGTGACTTTTTGCTTTCTGAATCGTGTAACCAAGCTGATAGCATTCAGAGGGACTGCTGGCGATAGTGCTCGTGTGGAATACGGTAGAAGCCTTTGTTGCTTTGCAATACCCTTCGACCTATGTGCCTCCCCAACCAAAGACTATGAACATTACACCTGCTAGCGTGTCGTCCCCTCTGGTATGTCTTGTTTCCCCTGCGCCGACGGCCATGCTGAACACCATTATAGACACGACCATACTCGCCCCAAAAGCCTTCCACTCCAACACAACAACCACAAGCAGCCTCTCGCGCCCTCCCATCTTCTGCGTCCTTCCAAACCCCCTCCTCTACGCCCCTCCGCCAAGCTCCCACGCAGGCGCATCAGCTATCGCAGTCTACCTCCCACCCGCTCTCCTCCTCTACCTCGTCGAATCTGTCTTCGTCTACTGCCAGAATTCTCAACCTGCCCGCGCCAGAATCGCCTTCCAATGGGCTATTCTACGAGCGCAAGTCGCCTGTCAAGGCTGGGGCTGCTGCGGGGGCTGTTGGAGGGGTAGGCGGAGACTTTGTCCTGGTGGATAGAGATGAGAAGGAGTGGGTGGATAATGTTTGGAAGGGCGTTAGAGGAAAGGGTGGCAAGCTGGCCTTGTAGTCGGCGTCCCGGGGGTCATGTGTATTGTCAGAGGCCTGATGTGACATGCATGATTATACAACAATGTGGCTGGTGCTTTACAGGAATGGTAGACTACGAGCTAGTTTTCCATATTTTAATAGACCTCTCGTACTCGAGAGATCCGCTGGCGATTGTGCGGCCATCTGGTGACACCTATGGGTCGTCAGAGCTGAACGAGATGTGGAAGAGAGCGACGTACAGCCAAGGCGACGACGGAGGACTGATGGGACGTGTAGCCTTCTACGACTTGAACGATGGCTTTGGTTTGGACGTTCCAGATGATGATCTTGCCATTCTCGGAACCCGTCATGATCCAAGCATTGGATTCCCTTTCTTTCCGAGACTGGCCAGCGTTTTGTGGCTTTTCGTCCACCTCCATCTTGTCCGCCTCGGACTCTTTCGAAGGTTTCGGTCCCTCAAAGATGAGTATGGGACATGGATACTTTTCGCTGACAAAGGCGGCTGGCGCGCGGAATGACTTGATGACTTTGCCAGTGTGAATGTTATATATCCGGAGGGTGGAAGAGAGGGTGGCGGCGTAGAGATAGGAGGCGGATGGGGCAAAGGCGGCGTGGGAGCTGTTTGCTTTTAGTATGGTACTCGAAGCGTATACGCGGGTACGTACACGGGAGAGTTGGTGTCGTTGTCGAGGGTCTTGAGGCATTGGCCTGTGCTAGCGTCCCACAGACGGCTACATAACGTCAGCAAGGGATGGCAGGGGATGAGGTAATACGCACATGAGGCCATCAGCACTGCCCGTGAGGACCATGCTGCCTTCGGGATCCCAAGCAACACACCAGACCGCATCTGCATGCGCGGGCAGTTGCCTGAGCGCCCGGCCTCGACTGACATCCCAGATGATGACTGACTCGTCGAAACTACCTGTGGCCAGCAAGTTTGACTTTGGTGAAAAGGCCACCGAGAGGATCGGCGCAGAGTGGGCGGCGAGGTGGCGGATAGCTCGGGGTTTGGTGTGCGAGACATACTCGGGGACAGGCTTCGGTCTATGCGCGTCGTCGTCTTCCTCGGGTGTCTCTACAGGTTCCATAGCAGGCGGGGTGAATTTGACGCCCGAGGTTGGGTGGAGGAGGTGAATGTCGGAGGTGTGGTCATCCGAGGCGGTGGCCAGGTAGAGCGAGTCGGGGGAGATGGAGATGTCGTTGATGCCCGACCTGTGGGCCTTGAAGCCGCGTACATGCTGGCTGGTATGTGGGTTCCTGCGGCGGGTCAGAGGGGGCGGGGGCGGGGCAGGGCGGGGGTGGGACTTGCCAAAAGTGCAGCCAGCCGTCTGCACCTGCGCTGATGAGGAGGGAAGCGTCTGGGGCGAAGCGGAGGGCGGTGATGGCGCGTTCGTGGACACGGATGGTGGCGGCGCAGGAGTAGGGCCCGGGGCTGGGGGGCGTCGGGTCGAGCACCATCGTGTATAGAGACAACAACACAGTCCGGGAAATACGGAGTACGTAAGCGCAAGGGCGGGTGTCGCGGGGGTGTTGCGAGGGGACGGCGGCCAGTGCAGTACAGCCTATGCCTATGCATGCAATCCCCCCTGCCCCTGCCCCCTGTCCCCCCCATCCCCCATGCATGCCCCTCCATGTCCATGCATGCCTCGCTCTCGCCCGAAGTACTTGTACACTGCACCGCTCGGGGATTGAGCGGGGGAGTATTTTTGGAATTACGCGATTTTATCCGAGCACAAGGGAATTCAGGGGTGCACCGCCCCTCCCTCCCATACATAACAACCCTCTCTTTCTCTTCCTCTTCTCTTCCCCGCTGCCACCCAGATGTCTCTCCAACAGCAGCAACTCCCCTTCCCCTTCCTCCTCGACCACAAGGTGCACGACCCCTCCTTCCCCTCCCCGCCCCCCTCAGACAGGTCCACCCCAGAGCTCGACGCTTTCACCCACAGCGCAGCCCTCGACCCCGCAGACTCTCCCACCACCGACCTCGTCTCCCCCAGGAGCTCCATCGCAGACATATCCCACACACACCCCCACCCCGCCGCCGACGACGACGACACGGCCGAGGCCCTGTCCAATCACCACCTCCAGCGCTACCTCCACTACAAGGCCCTTGCCGCCCGCGCCGAAGCCGACCGTGCTCTTGCTGCTTGCCAACACTCGGACGGCGCCCCCACCGACGACCGCGTAGAAGACCTGCTCTCGTCGTACATGCCAGACTCGGCCGATTCGTCCCTCTTTAGCAAAGACAGTATTGTCTCTGGTGACAACATGCTTGCCTACCAGCAGCAGCGACAGCAGCAGCAGATGCCCCAGTCTGCCTACTACCAGGTCGGCCAGTCCATCAACTCTTGGCAGCACCCGAACGCCGCCTTTGGCTTCCAGCCGCAGCCCTCCCAGGCGGCGATGCACAACGCCCAGGCACAGGCCCATCTCCAGGCGGCGGAGGCCGCTCGCTTCCAGGCGGACGAACAGCGCCGCGTCAACATGTCTACCTACTACATGGCCCCTCAGCCGGCCGCCCGCTTCGAGCAGTCTGCCCAGGGCGCCATGTTCCCCCAGCAGGGTATCACCACCGGCGCTTCTGCCTCGTACGCCAGCACCCCCTCGTACCCTGGCGGCGCCAACATCCTCATGCACAAGACGCCTTCCATGTCTGGTTTCACCGTCGCCTCTAGCAGGCGTCCCAGCGAGGAGGGCGAGGACGAGCTGCTCTACTCTTCTGGTGCCGAGGACCCCAAGCCCATGGTGCCCAGGATCCCTGTGGCCAACGCCCATGGCGGTGGCCGTGGCTATGTGCCCGGTCAGACTCCTGACGACCCCAAGAAGAAGCACAAGTGCCAGATCTGTGGCCGTGGTTTTGCTCGAGCTTTCAACCTGAAGGTACGTTTCTCTGGTCGTTGTTTTCATCAACATTGCTGACGCTTGGTACAGTCTCACATCCAGACCCACAACCCGCTGCGACCAAAGCCCTATGCCTGCCCCCACAACACGTGCAAGCGCGGCTTCTCTCGTCTCCACGATCTCGAGCGTCATCGTCAGGGTATCCACTCTGACGGCCCTCTCGTCGAGGCCAAGCGTCACAACGTGTCGCCCGCCATCGCCCGTGCTCAGACGAGGATGCAGGAGCGCGCCGACTCTGGCAGCCTCATCTAAGTCCCTCACGGGCACCAACCAACTGAATAGAAGCTGCTTTTCGCGCTTCAAACCGTTTTCCCCCTCCGACTCTACCCCATCTGCGGCATTACCGAGCCTTTTCTCGTGTCGTCTCATCACTCTCCTGACTCTCTCTCTCTCTCTCCGCCATTCTTGCCTCCGCCAAACAAATCCAAAATGCAGCGCCGCCGCCTTGTGCGGCATCAAACTCCAGCCGGAGCCTGCTTTTGTTTGCGCCAGAATCTTGTGTGCTGAGCAATGAGATGAGTCTATGGATTCAGAGACGGCACGTGAAGCTTGCTCTGCGAGCGAGTTCAGGCCATGGGTAATTGCTTGCTTGATAGTCGGCACCCCTGCTCTTTACCATTGTCACATCTTTGGCTTTCTGCGTCATTTCTTTTTCATCACCCTCCCTCCCCCATTCATCGTGTATCGTCCCCAACTACCTACCTCGCACCACACGGTTTGGCCGCCTCATCCATCCCGCAAGTCCCCCTCTTTCTCGACCGCCAAAAGTCATCAGCACCACCGCTTTATTTGAAAATATCTTCATCTTTTTGTATTATCATAACTCTATTTAGATTTCATAGCGGTGCTTCCTTTTTTCGTTGCTTGATGACTTGGCGAGTTAGAGGCTAGGATTTGCCTAGTGATAGGATCTTGGACCGTCAACGTGTTTTGTGCTTTCTTTTCTTCACTCTTCATCTCTGTGTAGCCTTGTTGTGTATCATTATATCATAGAAAAGGGTTCAATAGAAAACTTTGAAAGCCTGCGCTTGTGAATGTATATTTCATCGGCGAGACCTCTGCACCTTGTCTGTCTTTTGCCGTCAAGAGCCTGAAATGCAGGCGCGCTACACTGACTGAGCCAGTCTACCGCCTGGACCGAGAAGTCTGGGTAATCTTGTGAAACTCGGTCGTGCTGGGGATAGCGACTGCATCACTATACTAAATATAAAGTAATACTAATTATAAAGTACGTCCATGAGTACGTTTCAGGGAAGCATCAGCTCTGTGTGGCCCCTTTCCAATGCAGCAACCCATCTCCACCCCACCTCGCTCTCGACAGCAATCCATCACCGCCTCTTTGCTCATTACTCCTCTGCTCTCCCCGCAGGGTCCTTTCCCTTTCCATCCCAACCTCATCATCATCATCTTGATGTAGACCCAAGGCGCTCATCCCCGCATTGATCATTGAGCCTCCTCCATCTCCAGACCCCGATCCGAGACCCAAATTCTCCTTGATAGCGCCCAATTTCACCAGGCTAGCATAGGTGAGCCGGCCTCTGGCATCTTCTGTCGGCTCTGGGTCATTTTGGCCAGATACAGCCCTGGGCCGGACGGCTTGATAACCCCCAGCAGAAGGTAACGTCTCGCGGGCGAACCCTCGCGTGACACTGGGGCTGTGCTTGGGCAAAGTCTTTACCGCATACAGCGGTGTGGAGATGCCCTTATGGGCGAGGCAGGAACAAGAACATGCGGGACATGTCATGGGTGTCGTGATGGGCGATAAAAAGTAGTGTTGAAAGCATTTAGCGTGGAATTTGTGGGCACAGATTGTGCACCCCATCGAAATACCTAAGCCGGGTATCAGTTCGAGTAGCCCATGCTCCAGGATGCACTTGCCTTTGATAGGGACTCGACAGAAAGAACAAACGGCCTTTTTTGGTGCCCCATTGCAGATTGCGCATGTACGTTTTGGGTCACTAGAGCAAGGTACACATACTACTCATAAGGTTAGCACTTGCCTACGTCACATACTGAGCAAACCTACCTCTAGAAGAGAGAGGACTGTCAGTCCTTGCTTCTTCATCAGGGGCGCTGACTATGCCGCCAATCTTTCCGCTAGCGGCTTGGACGGCCGAGTGCTGATTATGCGGTATGAATCGATACATCAGCAAAGTCGTCCTGATACCCAAAAGATTGTGTCGAAGGAGATAGTCGGCGTAAGCCAACTTCCAGGCTTCGCAAACGGCCATCATCGCGGGATATATTAGAGTCTGCGAGGGACTGCGTATTGTCAGTTTCACTCATAGTCAAGGACCAGAGTACCCACCTGTCATCTTTTGGGAACGCCACCTTCACACCACACCCCTTCACCTCCTTATTCTGCGCCTCATCTGATCGGGTCGGCGTACTAGGTCCAATGATGCCTGTATTCCCAGAATCACCAACATGATACCCCGCTGAAGAGTGCGCCCGCGCTCCGCGGCCTATGGGACTTGCTGAGCCAAAGGAGACCTTTTGTGTTCTTGGCTCGCCGCTGGTGGCTAAAGCTTTATCTGGACCTGACGCGTGCAGTGGGGCCACAGATGGTGGCGAGGGAGAGATGGCATCTGTGAGCTTGGGCTTGTCATTCCTAGCAACCCGAGGGCTCTCCATGACTCTCATGCCTGGAATAGCAAGACCAGTAGGCGAATTCTGATCCTCATAGCTTGTCCCCAGAGTGGCCTTGGCGAAAGGCAGATCACTGAATGATGTCCTATCTTTGGGAGTTAAAGCGCCTCGTAACGATATACCAGATGGGTTCAGTATCTGTGACCAGCCCGAAGTGCGGAACGAAGACGAATTGGATGGGCTGAGGGGGACGATGGAGCTGGAAGCTCTTTGGATAGCAGGCGTCGCAGCAACAGGACTGGAGTGCGAAGGAAATCGTAGTGTAAAGTAGTCTAGCACTGGAGAGTGGCTGACGTATGCTTCGACTGGCGGCGGGATGTACATGGTCTTGCTGTACTCGTGGATGATACAAGACACGAGAGCGAGAAGTTGGAGATCTCGGCGCTGAATGAGAATACTAAACCTGGAGACAAGTCAGCAGAGATGATTGCGCCAGCCATTCAACTTACAGTGTATCTAGAACCTTCCTTTTGCGTTCCATGCCCTGCTCCCAAATCATCCGCTCCCTCCTCGGATCATCCTTCTTCCCGACCACTTGTGGTAGGATTGTATACGCGGGAGGTGGATCTGCCAAGATACCCCGTATGGTTGCCCATATTTCCGCATGATCCAGTCTCTTTGCGTCCAAGGCGTACCCCATGTTTGCATCCACTGACATTCCATACACTGTCGCTAGCTTTGCACTCGGATGACCGAGGTGGCCGACATCATAGATGGTCATTGTCGACCCTGAAGGTGGCGGCATGGACTCGACAACTTCGAGCCGGCGATGGCGAGGCTTGTACCGGACCAGCGCTCGGTGATGAGGATTCTGCAGTCGCGACAGCGCCGACATGGCCTTCAGCATCGGCGGTGGGTTGTCACGCGTAATCGACGGTGACCTCGAGAAGTTGCGAGTGCGAGGCAACATGACCTGCTTCGGAAAGAAACACACCAGCTGGCCATTTGGCCCAAATGTAGCACCACAGGTCTTCCGGAGCATCATCTCTGGTACAACATCGTCACTCTGCTTGGTCGGCTCTCCTCGCTCGCTCTCAGAGTCACTCTCGTCTATACCGCGCCGTCTACCTTGGCGTTCGTGGAGACCCAAGAGATAACCGGTCGTCTCGATGAGGCACTGCTTGTTGTGAGCACGCATTTCTTTGATCGTCATCACCAAGGTTTGGCGGGTCAATGGTAACATTGTGGGATTTCGCTCCAGTTCGAATGACGGGATTTCAGGGCCATATGGATAGTTCGCAGGGAACGACCAGTGTATACGGATGAATGCTTGACGATCGCCATTCGCCCATGGTCCCTGAAGTGATATCGTCAACTTGAGATGGGCCAGGTCGATCTGTGAAACGTTAGTATGCTCCCAGCTTGACATGGAGACTTGCCTTTTCGAAATTAATCTTGGGCCTTGGGTACGCCTTGCTGACTGATACTAGCTCGTCCTTCAAGCTCTTCCACTCTTTTCTACCACCCATGCTCGCAGACCGGCTTCTCGCCCGACTTCCTGGGCGGCTCCCCGGCGGCGGTCTCGACCTACTCGGCATCCTACTCGACGTGAGACTCTGCTCGGGACTGGGAGCGTTCTTGACAACCTTGGTCAGCCACTCCAGCTGGTCCATTCCGCGGACCTTGTTGCCACCCCTGGTCATACCAGGCTGTATTTCGGGCTTTGCGAGTTTCTGACGTGTGAGATTCGAGGGCTGATTCTGCGTGGGGTGAGGGTTGACGATAGGAGGCGGGAGCTTGGGCGCGTCTGTATCAGTGTTGGACGGGTCTTTGGTGTAGGTGACGTCGGGAGCGCCTCGTCTCGATACAAGTACTGTGATGGGTGCTCCATGCTGCCATCCAACCCGCTCTTCCAGCTCTTGCGTGATGGGCCATATTCTGAGTGTTCGATCTTTCGACCAAGTGACGAGCTGGAATTCTCGGTCATCAAATGCCTCACTGTCTCCACCGCGGACACGCCAAACGAAATCTTTGACGACATTCTCGTGCCCGGCGAAGCGTTCGACAGGGGCGTCATCACCCACGCCAAACATTTCGAGAGCCTTCTCACCCCGTTGGGGGAGGGAGAGAACACCACGCCCAAACGGCAAGTGTCGGGCTCGCCAGACGGGGTAATGCGTTTGAATGGTGTGCGATGGTTCGCTGGGTGCCGGGAGCGTCGAGTGGTAATCCATATCTGGGTCTGAAGAGCCGCCCAACTCGGGTACCGTCCAGAATTTGACAGTTTTGTCTATGAGAATATTAGGTTGGGAGGAATCAGATGTCGAAAGAGTGACTTGCCTAAAGAGCAGGTGACCAGCTTGTGTCGATTCTCGCGGTCCCAATCAATGCCATAGATCTTGGCGTCGTGCGCCTGTATGGTAGTGACTGGCACCGACCCTTTCTGCCCGATCGTCAGGATAGCTCCTAGATACGCCAGATACGACATACCCTGTCATCCCAGATGTGCACTATCTTGCCGTGCGCCGTAGCCACCAAATGGTCATGCCGTCTGTTCCATTTGACTTGCGTTCCGGCCGCTCCCCAATCGCACAGCCGCATCACCGGTTTGTCGAAACACCTCAAGTCCCACCCTCGGATACCGGCATCCATAGACACTGTAGCCATTCGATTGGGGTTGAGGGCGTGCCAGTTGATATCTGTGATGGCTCTCTCATGAGCGTCGAATGACTTGAGCAGCGGGCGGGCCGCGGCTAGATCCCAGACGAGGAGTTTCTGAGAGGACGTGGAGAGGATAAGGTGTGCAGTGGCTGGATGGGGTGACCATTGTACGCTGCATGCACTCAGTGGGTGGGCTTTCGCAGGCCGATGGACTCACTCTGCTATCTGCCATGTCCCGCCCTGGGGCACGAACCGGGGAGCATTGTGGAGATTTGCCAAGTCGAGGATATACAGGCCCTTTCTCGACGCCAGACAGACATCCCTGCTGCTGGGGCTGATGGAGATTGACCCGACAGGCTGGTTGACGCTGATTCTTGCGCCCTCCTTGAACGAGTCGTCTTCTTCGGGCTTGATGGTGGCGGCGGTAGTGAATCTGTCGAGCCGAGGACGGTACGGGGTGTGGGGCGAGGCGAGGGGCGAGGAGGTGTAGGGGGCGGAGGAGGTGGAGGAGCGGCGGGAGGCAGCTGGGGAGCCTGGGAGGGGGACATGGGCGGGGGAGAGCATGGGTGCAAGAGGAGAGTGAAGCAACAACAACAATTCCGCGGCGTCGCTCTTCCATCTCATCACCATGCTGCCCACCCACAACCCCAACCGCAAACCCCGCCCCTACTTCGCCGCCCCGCCCCCCTCCCTCTCCTCCCCCAGCACCCTCCTCAGCCTCCTCCGTCAGCGCACACGCCTCACCAACCTCGCAGCCGCCCTCCTCGTCGCAGCCCTCTCCGTCTCGCTCCTGCTCAACCTCAACTACATCCTCTTTCCTTCCACATCTTCCTCCCCCAGATCATTCTCATACAAGGAGAGCTCGGGGTGGGATGATTCCGCCACACCAGATCAGCTCGAGTCACCCCTGCCGCTCAGCCTCGAAACAACCATCGAACGGGATCCTCGCTATGCCGAGATAGACCGCCTCATCATGGTCCCCGGCCATGCTATCTGGCTCGGAGAAGATGCGAGTACAGCAGGGGAGGACAATGACTGGATACTGGAGCCCATGCAGAAGGGCGGGAGTGTCAAGACGTACATCAAGCACATCGAAAAGGGTGTAGAGGAGCTGGAGAACGACCCCAACTCATTGCTCGTCTTCTCTGGGTACGTCTCTCCAGTCTCATACCTTCAGATATCTGATCCGATGGACTACAAAGCGGTGCTACTCGCCACCCTCCTTCACCCCCGACCCCAGAAGCCCTTTCCTACCACCGTCTCGCATCAGCGCTGTCACTCCTTCCCTCCACGCCCATCGCCGACGCCCACCGCTCCTCTCCCCTTCCAACCAACCTTCGCACAGCCACTGAAGAGTATGCCCTGGATAGCTACCAGAACCTTTTGTTCTCAATTGCAAGGTTCCGAGAGGTGACGGGAAATTGGCCAAAGAAAATCACTGTCGTCGGGTACGTGAAATTCCTAGGAGTCGTCTCTATGCCCATGTACTGATACTCTTTAAATCAAAGATACGGCATGAAACGTAGACGGTGAGTGCTCCCTTGTGAGTGATGTACTATGCTGATCCATGCCGGGGGCAGCTTCCAAAACCTGCATCGAGCAGCCATTCAATTTCCGGCCTCCGCCTTTGAGTACATTGGCATTGACGACACTGGCGACACCTCACCTCATTACGCTGGCGAGCTCAAATTCGGATACCTTCCCTTCCTCTCCTCGCCTTCCGGCTGTCACCCGCCTCTATCAATCAAGAGATTGGTGCGCAACCCGTTTTTCAGGTGGCACCCTTATTTCACGAGCTGTCCAGAGCTTTCTGGCCTGCTAGAGTGGTGCCCGCCAGTGCAAGAAGTGCATGGTGCAGAGACTTGGGAGGGGAGAGAGAATGAGGTTGGCGTGGGATACACGGGAGCGGTGCCATGGAAGAACGAGTCTGCGGGTAGCGGGGTCACATGGGGTAGAGAGAAAGATTAGATAGATCAAGGACATTACATATTCGCCAGCCTGTATGTTGGTATAACGTGCCGGCACCCTGCAGTCTCCATTCAAAGCCTACTCACGTCAGGCCGTCCAGTCTCTACTGTTCTCTCGTAGTCTCGTTCAACATCAAGCCCGTTAAGGGGGTGAGCGAATAAAGTCGCGTCGCGCCTTGATCAAGCTGTTGTTCTTGCGCGTCTTTCGGTGCATTCACTGCTCCACCGCCGCAACCCTCGAAGCTGCTCTCCGTGCAGCCCAGGTCTCTCTGTCGGAAAGGCCATGGCCACCCCACAGCCAGACCTTCTGTCCGTATACCCCACGCGCCTTCCATCCAGCAGCAACACCATGCCTTCTCCCATCACAATTGAGGATGACGAAGACGAGTTTGCCGGAATCGAGAGCATGACTGCAAGCCAATGGGTGCGCGATCCCCTCATCCAGCGCAGAGTCGCTTCTAGGAGCGAGAGTCTGTCAAGAGAAAGGAGCAGTACGTACTGTACAGAATGGTAACGAAATCATCTGACAGCCATGTTAGTGTCTCTCGAGTCCCCAAAGCACCGCGACTGTACTCTAGCCGACCTTTTCCCATCCTCTCCCGTTTCCGCCGTGCCATCCACCATACCCATAGGCTGTGCGTCTTCACCCGTGGTCCCCAGTAAGCGTGGGCACGCCACCGATATCCTAGACTCTGGATATGACTACTTTGAGGCCGCCCCAAAAGCGAGCAAGTCGAAGCAAGAAAAGCGCACAACAGTCGGACGTACGAGCTCTGTGAGCAAGTCATTGTCCAGTCGAGCGAGCACAGGCAAGGAGAAGGTTGAAGGCCAGGTGCATATGGAGGATGAACCCAACGCAGACGAGGATTGGTGTGGTGCTCTAGAAGGTGACGATATCGAGCCTCTCGACCACCCTCCAGCTCGGCCGCCCCTCCGTGTGCCATCGGTCCTTCGCGCGATAGAGGGTCACATCCCCCCGCCCAAACCTCCTCCAACAGCCTCGAAGCTGGATCACCCCATAGCTCTCATCTCAGACTTAGACGCCAAGGCACAAGATTTTTACCGGCACCATTACAGACGGGGCGCCGACAAGGCCAAAGATAGAGACAATGGTGAAGGCGCGGGGAGAGTACCGGTGAAGACAAAATCGACACCCAAGAGATTCAGAAAGTATAGCAGGAAATCGTTCAGAACAGGCTATTCTGGAGGGAGATATAAGAGAAAGTAGATGTAATCCTTGTTGTATATATGTCGCGTCATGCGATCCAGACACGTATGGTAATTGGTGCCCGTATTCTAGCCAATCATAGCATGACGATATGTACAAGTCTATACTGATGCAAAAGGTCTAGGAATGTCTACCACTGCGTATTGTACATCATTGGGGCGGATCGTAAGGCAGTTGATAAATGACAGCGAACTACTTCTCAGCGAACTACTTCTTCCCCTTCTTGGACTTTCCATCCGTCTTCTTGTCTTCCAAAAAGCCTCCGATCTCCAAGGCATCACGGGCAACCCGATTGATGTGCTTGAATCTGTCAGCTCCCAGCCTGTGGCCTCCCCACCACCTTGTGACTATGACCAATACGTTTTCAAGCTCCAAAATCTCCAAAAGATGCTGCAGCCTTCCTCCAGCTTGGGACTCTCCATCGTCGTCATAATCTGGCCCCACAAGTCAGCGGCCTTGAACATTACATAGCCAAAGAGGAACGAACCCGACATGTAGACCTTTTGCGCGGTCCCTCCTACATTTTTTACGACGCGATAGGCGTAGATAGCAGGGTGCGCCGCCCTCGCTGCCCTTTTATCTTCCAACACCCCGTGCACAATCAATGGCACTTCTCGCTCGTCCGTCACTTTGATAGCGCGACCAAGAAACACCGATTTTCGGTCGACCACTTCATCGGAAACCCAAACTTTCAGTCCGTGATCTTTTCCAGCTTCGACTCTCAGCATCGCCTGGGTTGGAGCAACTTCATCGGGACCGCGAGTGTACGAAAATGTCGGCCGAGGGGAAGGGCGGGGTAGATAGGCGACGTCTTCGTCTTCGGACTCTTCAGGGGAATGTGTTTGAGAGACTGTGAGGTGGAAATTCCTTTCGGCTTCACGGGCGGCACCTGAAGACAGACGAATAGCATACCAGTCTCGTGCCAAGGACTGAACGTGAGTGAGGCCTTCGAAAACGCATACATCTCCGGGGGTAAACCCAGCGCCACCTGCTGACAGGTAGGTACGCGTGATATCCCCGACTACAGAGGGTTAGCCAAGCCTAAAGATCCCCTCATGACTCACAGAGACCTGCATCGATGGCAAAGCTGCCCAAGTACTTGCCCAGGAGCTGGAGCTGGGGGGCGCTCGAGTTGGGGTACGTGGGCGCTAGACTGACCAACACCCGCATCGTCGGTGCGATCTCGGGAGTGGCGCTTGAATCTAGCCCTTCCAAAGTCTCTCCTTCTTCCCATAAAGGCAGACTGACCTCATATCGTATCCTCTCCCCCGGCGCAAAGCCTATTTCCGCGTCCCACACGGCATCAGACCACTGCTGACTGCCGCTTTTTGTCAATGCCTGAGATGAAGCCTCTGTCGCCACTGCAGTGCTGGGCGGAGTAAGGGCGAGCTTGATCGAATCATCGCCGTAGATAGACAAGAGGGCTTCTAGCTCGTATCCTATCGCGGTCAAGTTGGAATTGGCGTCCAAGTGATCTTCGGACAGCAAGTGCTTGATGAACTGCTTGGGCGGGCGCCCTGTTCACTTAGCCTGTTCTTTTGGTGGCTGAGAAAAAGTCTCTAACCTTGAGCAGAGTGCCATGAGGATCGGGGTTTGTGATAGGCGGAGTGCGGACGTCTGGCTCAATACGAGCGTCTGTGTCGATACTGAGCTGGGCGAGAGCTGAGGAAAGCGGGCGTGCGGAGGTGCTGGAGAGGGCTGACATGGCTGGGCGGGGTGGTGGGGGGGCGATGCGAGAGGTGGACACGAGAAATGCTGTTGCTTTTCTGAGCATTCCTATGCGCAAAAGATCAATCCGCTCACGATTCTTCCTGTCGAGATCGGCAGCCCGTGGCCTGTTAATAACACGTAGTTACGCGGGGTTAATCACCTGGCTGTCCCACTCGGGCTGCACTCGGGCCTGTACTCACGAGTCCCGGCTGGTCTTGCTGCTTTCTGCTGCTTTCCGACTTGGGCAATCTGCAACAACCATCACCCCTTCGCCATGTCGAAGGATCCTTACATAGACGTCAAACGGTCAGTCTTCCCGAGCGGCATCACTGTCCACCCGCTGACACCACGCTACAGAGAAGTAGAGATCTCGCTCGCAAGCATCCAGTCCCTCGCGAGAGATCACCCTGATCTGTATAACCCTTCAACATCATCTTCTGCTGTACTGGAAGCTCAGGAAGAACTTCGGAATACACTCAGCATACTGGAACCAGATGCGGAAGATCTGGAAGAGAGCGTCCGGGTCGTAGAGGACATGGGGGAACGATGGGGGCTCAGCGCTGACGAGGTCTCCCGCCGACGGCAATTCGTACAGAAAGTAAAGCTTGAAGTAGATGTATGTCTGGATCATCATGGGTCTCTACAGCTTCTAACGATTGCCATAGGATATCCGCAACAGAGTTCACCGCCTAACAGCTCAGAGCAAGGGCAAGGGCAAGCAATCACACGTCCCCTATAGAGATTCATCTGCAGATTTAGAGAGAGGCTACGACGAGGACAATGATGAGATGAGAAGATGGGAGGCCCAAGAGCAAGAGGTCAGTCGTGGTAGGCCCTCACGTCTATATTCACCTCGTACTGATTGCCACGTTGATCAGATGCTGGTCAAGAAGCAAGACGATACCTTGGGCCTGATACAGGGTACCCTTCATACCCTTGCAAGTCAAGCTGGCTTGATGGGAAGCGAGGTAGAAGAGCAGATGGGGTGTGTGCTCGTTTTGTTGATCGCCCCAAGGCTACAAGCTGACTGTCTGACGTAGAATGATAGATGAACTGAACAATCATGTGGAGCACACAGACTCCAGGTTACAAAAAGTGAGACGGACAATGGAAGACTTCATCAGGCGAAACGAAGGTACGCATATTGTATTTCATGACCATACTCTGCCATGACTGACGAGCACTCGCTAGAGACGAAGAGCGGCTGGTGTATTGTCATATTGACCATCATCCTCGGTATACTGCTCATACTCGTCATATTGACATGATCATGGCATGACGTTGTGACAATTGGGGTTGTTCTGGGCTACAACGGTAGCTGCATGTATGTATGTACAAATACGAGATTCGTCTTCCTTCCAAGAACCCATAAGCTTGACGCGGTCACCTTTCCCTCCGCACTGTCGATACTCTCCTCAAAAGTTCTAGATCACCCGCCAATCAGTGGTGGTTCTATGTCTCGAGCGGACCGAACTCACCTCTTTACCAAAGAAGAATCTACACCCCATTGGCGAAGTATACTTGTTACTCATCTGATGCAGCGTTCTGGAGAGCACTGAAGGACCGCAGAAAAAGACACCACAATCGGTATCAGGGTGCTTGTTGGCAATGGATTCAAAGACTCGGTCCCACTGGCTGGAGTCAGCTGGTTGATGATGGATGGAGGTGGGTCACTGAAAGATGAACGTACGTTGGGTCGACCAAAATGAGTCGGAGCTCGCAGGTTAGTGATGGTATCTTTCTCGGCGCCGACATCCTGGATGACCAAGTTGTTCATCTTGTCCTCGCTACCAGTAGCGTCAGCTGCGATACTGTATCGAATAATATGACTCACTCAATCTTGGCCGTCAAGTAAATGTGGATCTCAATGCGTCCCTCGACATCCTCAGCTTCGACGGCCTGAAGCAGAGAGTGAAACCCTGACAAAAGATTCAGTAATCTTATTACTCTGTATGTCTGAAGTGAAGTTTACGAACATTCGGCAGATCCAAAGTCCCTAATGACCCAAACAAAGTACACCTTTGACAATCGTGTCTTGCCTTCTTTGCCAAAATTGTTCATTCTGTACCTGATGACATGTCAGAGACATCACTCTTGACAGAAAAAAGAACGCCGGCTCACCAGATGGATTTTAGAATGGAAGCGAAAGGTGTAACGCCAATACCGGCTGAAACAATCGGGTCAGCCTTCTATACAATGAGCTCAGCATACAGATACTCGCCGCCAACAAGAAGAACTGTCTCGAACTTTGTGAAGTCTTCACTGGCGGATCCGAAAGGTCTACGAGATACACATTAGCGCGGACAATCACAGCTGGCGCCTTGAAAGCAAATATGCGTACCCATCGACCATGACTCGGGGAAGTACCTTGTTGATGGGCGGGCTGACGACCTTGCCACCTGCCTCATCACTTTTACTCGGCTTGGCGTCAAAGTTGGCACCGAGGGATTTGGCGAAAGCCGTAGTCCAGTCACCAACACATCGGATGTGCACGGAGATATAGTCCTCTTCGGGGGCGGAGGTGAGGGTGAAGGGATGGTATTGCCAATAAGAGACTTCGGGGCAGTTGAGCTACAGTTGGGGATCAGCCATGATCGGAGAATCTAACAGCGGGATAGCGACAGGGGACTAACAAAGATGTATTGACCAGCCCGTCGGGTGGTGTGTTCCTTTTTGATTTGAACCTCGAGGACTTTGGAGGGATGCTGTATGACTTTCGAAATGTACGTGACGTGTCGGGCTCAGAGTTTATCAGCGTGAAAAGACAAGATCGTGCGAACGCTGATCCAGACTCACCTCGAACTTCCCGTAGGATACGTTCCGAGATCCACACCAAACCACCTGGAAGCCAGTATTTCTGGGCAGAAACGTCAGCACTGTTTCCTCTTCAATGATTGGTAAAGACACCTACCCAGAAGACACCGATCTGACCAGCAGAACAGAATGGAGGTCGGTCAGGTTGGATCAGGCCTGTACATATTTGTCAGTACCTCGGCATTGATCCGAAATCGAAGTAGATGAAGAAGATTTACAGAACATCCCGTGCAGCTGCCAGCCCAAGAAGAAGATGATGAAAAGCTGTCCAGCCCCTGTTAGCCGTCTCCATGGTGCTCATCTTCAGAGAAATGCTTACATGATGTGAGTACCAGAACCTCTCAAAGTGTGCTCTCCTCCTCTTCTCCATAGCGAACCAGACCATGACGATTAAGGCGATGGTCATAACCCATCCTGTAAGACCGGGACCAGTAATGAAGTTGAACTCAAGGAAGCCGACGATACCGCTATTGACAGGTCAGAGGAGCAGTAATGGGTACAAGAAAGGGGCGCGTACACGTTGGTGTTTATAGTGAGAACGATCTTGATGACACGACCTTCCGCGTCAGCGATAAACTTTGCGCCTCGTCGTCAAGATCCTTACAAAATTTCTGATGTGGGCGGCCACATGAATGAAGGTGAACAGAACAATCATCCACGCCACTTGTTCTGAGAAGGCAGGATCAGACACTGACGACGGAAAAAGTTTCAACTTACTGTGAAAAGTTATATTCTTGTCGAAAGGTATAATGTCGTTGAGAGGGGTTCTTCGAAGCATAGATATGAAGTTCCTGCATACGGGGAAGAGGATGAAAATAATGTCGACTGCACAGAAATATAGTCAGCCGTCGTCGCATCCTGCCTCCGACTCACTATGAAGGACTTGAGCAGCACCACGAGCGGCAGCTGAAAAACCTGTCAGCTCGATATCACTCTGTGAAGATGGTCGAATATTACGGTATGTCCACTGGAAGGTTGCACGGGCCCCGGTGAAGCTGTCTTTGAGAGAGTAGTTGACGACGGCAAAGGCAAATGCGAGAGCGTGAACAAACAACCATGTGAAGAAGAAAATCCTTCTTCCGCCTGCCTGATATCAGCTGGCGCTATGATTACAGCTTTTCACACTTACCTTCATTGACCATCCAAACTTTCAACTTTTCTCCCATGCCTACCGCCCGGGCAACCTTACCCTCCGGATTTGGCTTCAGATTACTCATGGTGGATACCAGTCCTTGTAGTCGCGTACGCTCCGTCTTATTGCGCTGGAGGAACGTCGGGCCATTGGCGACGGGGACGTCAGGGTTATACTGGGGGGGCGGACCAGAGTCAAATGAGAGGTTGGAAGCGCGAGCCATGCGTACTTTGGGCGGCATTGTTGCTGAAGACTGGAAGAGGGATGATTTCGAGGGACGAAGAGACCAGAGAAGAAGAAGGTAGGTGAGGTACGAGACACCGACCGGCGGTTGTCAATAGAAGCTCTAGCAAAGTCTGAAGCGGTGAGATCGTAAAATGGGAAGGGACAAAGCAGAAGGGTGGTACTTATCAGGGCCTCGAGTTCTCCCGCCGAGATGCCTTGAGAGCTCGTGCTGTTTGTCATATCGTGTTTCCAACGACGGTCGTGAAAGTATTGTGGTCCCCAGAGCGTCCAGGACGCGTCACCAGGACATGAGGTCTCGGTAGTCGCTGGTGGTCGTCAAGGGGTGCCGTCTGCTATTACAAGTGAGGAAACGCGCAGCGGACCTTTGCCTATGTAGAAGGAGACGGGCTCTTGGCAACTGTTGACGGGCGGAGACATGCACTTAGCAGCGCAGATTGGGACGCAAAGAGTCGAACAAGGACGATGACCATCTCTGACCATATGACAACAGCGTGCCGCGGTTCGCGTCGGTCGTTCGCTGATGTCAGCGGTTGTCAGCTCTGGGTGCCTGGCCATTTGAGCATACATACTCTGCTCGAGTACATAATACATACTGCCCTTCATAGTACTTCTAACAAGTTTCATCCTATGGATGTCAGCTGCGGCATTGATGCACAGCCAATGTGCTTTCATCATGCTCCAATATTTCTGCTCTTCACCATCACTTGGGCATGTTGTGAAGAGAAGTTCCAACAGCCACAAGCTTAGTGATGGTGTACTCGTCGGTACCCTGTCTGCCTCCCTCCTTACCGTAACCAGACTCTTTGATGCCACCGAAAGGCCTGGATGCTCATCAGTAACAAGACCCAGGCATCAGATGTGCTTGAACTTACACGACAGCCTGAGAGATCATGCCCGTGTTGGCACCCACCATACCAGTCTCGAGTGCCTCAGCCACCCTCCAGATCCGGTCAGAGTCTCGAGAGAAGAAGTAGCCAGCGAGGCCGACTTCGGAGGCGTTGGCGCGAGCGATGACTTCGTCTTCAGAGGAGAATTTGAAGAGGGCGGCGACGGGACCGAACGTCTCCTCAGTGGCAATGAGCTACAACAAAAGTCAGCTCGGTGTATCAGCAGAGCGACATGGGGCGTACGCATTCGTCGGTCAAACCGGTGAGGACGGTGGGGATGTACTCGGTACCATTACCTCGCTTCCCACCAACGAGAATCTTGGCACCCTTTGAAACAGCATCTTGCACGTGCTACAACAAGATCAGCTCTATTGAGAGTATCTACATCAAAAGACATACCTCATCAACCTTGTCAGCCTGTCTAGAGTGGATCAGAGGGCCGTGCGTGACACCCTCATCAAACCCAGGGCCAACCTTGAATTCGCCCACCTTCTCAGCCAACTTGGCTGCAAAGTCATCGTAGATATCCTCGTGCACGTAGATTCTGTTCGCACAGACACAGGTCTGGCCTGAGCCTCGGAACTTGGAGGCAATAGTACCGGCGATAGCAGTGGGGATATCAGCATCCTCAAAGACAATGAGGGGGGCGTTACCCCCGAGCTCCAAAGACATCTTCTTGAGGGTGGAAGAGCATTGGGAGGCGATAAGCTTGCCGATTCGGGTAGAGCCAGTGAAAGAGACCTTATGGACGATGGGGTTGGTACAAAGCTCTTTGCCAACGTCCTGGAGGTTGGCTTCGGTGGTGATAACGTTGATGACACCGTCGGGAATACCAGCTCGCTTGGCAAGCTACATGGCTACCATCAGCATTGTCCCAGGGCGATGAGGGTGTATGATCTCACCTCAACAATGGCAAGAGTGGTGAAAGGGGTCTCGGAAGGAGTCTTGATGACCGAGGTACACCCGACAGCCAAAGCAGGACCCAACTTTCTGGCGATCATGGCCGCAGGGAAATTCCAGGGACAAAGCAGGGCCACGACACCGATAGGCTGCTTTATGGCAAAGTTTCGAGTACCAGGGACCGAGCAGGGAATAGTTTCACCTGTAGTCCTGAGCGCCTCACCGGCGTACCAAGATATGTAAGTCCCGGCATAGGTGGCCTCGGCCATAGCGTCAGTCCAGGACTTGCCATTCTCCCAAACGATGAGGCGGGCAATGTCCTTGAGAGCAGCTTGGTAGAGCTTGGAAAACTCGGAGAGCCAAGCCGATCGCTGGGCGGGAGAGGTGGTACGGAAGGTCTTGAAGGCCTCCTCGGCGGCCTCGATCGCACGGCGAGTGTCTTGGACGTTCATCTCTGGACAGGTGCCGATGACCTTGCCAGTAGCGGGGTCTGTTTTCCTGTTGTCAGCTCTTGACAGGAATCGCTTACACACAACTCACTGAAGACTTCAAACGTCTTCCCAGAGGAGGTCTCGGCAAATTGACCTCCAATGATTCCCTTCTGGATGAAGAGAGAGGCATCGTCGAGACCAAGCTGGACGACAGCGTCAGTACAAACGAGCTGCGAGGACCAAGAAGGGTGCTGACAGGATTCTCAGCGGTGACTTTGGGCCAGTTGGACATGTTGCGATATGTGTTGGTTGTAATTTGCGGGCGGATTGTGCGAGTGGAGGTGGGCAAGCGGGGCCTCAGGGCGGGTGCTTGGATCCGGAGCGGGGTAGTGGTGGAGAGGGAGCGGGCGGCTGCGGGTTTTGTGGAAGACTTGCGGGAGATGGAGAGGAGGAAGGAGGATCTGGTGGGCATTGCTTCTGCCTCTGGAGGAATGTTTCCCAAGGCTCTTATATAGATCAGAGAGATACCAGCCACAGCCGTCGCTTGCAGGTAAGCGAGTACCGGCGATGTCCGTCACCGGCCGCCGCATAATTCGTCACTTGTTGCTGAGGATCACTGCCATGCACTTTGTCCTCCTCCATCCCGCCATGCCCCCCGCCCCGTCCCCTAGCCACCCCACAGAGTCCAGCCCCCTCCTCTCCCCCTCCACTCTCGAAGCAGGCGTGCCCCACACCACTCCGAGCCCTGCCCCCTCATGGCATTTCTGGAACCGCCCTCCCTTCAGACAGGTCCGCTTCGCTGAATCGGACCAGTTCTTGTCTCCGCCAGCGGCCATGCATGGTGCAGATGATGAGCTGGACCAACCAGATAGACCCAAACGGCCGTTCTATCGGTCAGAAGAAGTCATGGGTCGGTGGCTGATATATTGCCTATTGGTCCTCGTCGGTATGATCCTCGGTGCCTCGTTTTCAAGGCATTGGACGCGGGGTGAAGGGAAACTGGGAGACGGGCCCATGGTTCCTCCTGTCTGGACACTTCCCCCTGTGAGCACAATCTCATGACTTAGCATAGTCACCCTGCTCGGCCGTCTGCGCTCGTTGTCACCCACGGCTATCTCGTGCTTCTACTCAGCCTGCGTGACTCGGTGCTGACTGTTTCCGCGAATTAGCCTACGGGTCTGCCCAGGAATGATCCCTACCTGATCAACGCCACCTCTGCGGCTGTCGCATCCGAAGACGTCACCTGTTCGAACCTCGGTCTCGATATCTTGCGCAACAAGAACGGGTCTGCCGTCGATAGCGCCATCACCACCACTCTTTGCATAGGCCTCTTGAATGCTTTCAGCTCCGGGATTGGAGGAGGAGGGTTCATGGTGGTTCGTGTGCCGGAAGAGCATTACGTGCCGCACGAGCTGCTAAATGAGATTGGGTACGAGGGACAACTCCAGGAGGGTCGGGTAGTGGCATTCGATTTTAGAGAGACCAGTCCGGAGAAGAGCGAGGTGGACATGTATGGGACATCTAGAGCTGGGAGGGCGGCTGCCCAGGTTGGAGGTCTGGCTGTCGCTGTCCCGGGGGAGCTTAGAGGTCTGGAAGCAGGTCAGTGATCTTCCGGGTTCTCAGCGTCAGTTAGCTGACGCGCAGAATACAGCCCATAAGCTGTATGGCACCCTGCCCTGGGAAGACGTGGTCATGCCTGTGGCAGATCTGGCGAAAGGATGGAAGGTCTCGCGTGAGCTCGCTAAGCGTCTACGGGTGTGTTCAACCTGCAATCGCTGTAAAGTCTCTGACATGGACTCCTATAGGTTTATGGTCAATTCATGTTGTCATCTCCGGCTTGGAAAGCTATCTACGCTCCTCGGGGCGAACTCCTTGTTGAAGGCGAATTCATTCAAAGAACCAACTACGGCAAGACACTCGAGAAGATTGCCCGAGAGGGTGCCGAGGCATTCTATCACGGTGAGATCGCTGAGAGCACTGTGGAAACCATCAAAGATGCAGGGGGTATCATGACCCTCAATGATGCAAGTCATAAACTCAGCAAAACTGTCACCCATCGCTGATGAACATGCCCAGCTTAAACACTACAAAGCACTTGCTTACTCAGCTATCCACGGCACCTTCATGTCCAAAGAGGTCTACACCACCTCCGCCCCTTCCTCCGGTGGTGTTCTCTTAGGCTTGCTCAGCGTCCTAGAGCCACTGAATATCACCAGCACAGGCGGTTTGAGGGATGTCCTGAATGCTCATAGGTTTATTGAGGCCCTCAAGTTCGCCTTTGGTGCGAGATCAGCTATCACCGACCCTGCGTTCGCAGCCAACAGGAGCGCGCTAGAGGATGTACACTCGAAGCAGTGGGCTGATGATGTACGGGCTAAAATCACTGATGTGAGCTCCGGCACTATATGCCTGCAGATGGTACTTGGCTGATCGATCGGCGATAGGACGCAACGCATTCCGCAGACTATTATGGTCTGCAATATGACACACCTATAGATCACGGAACAACCCACATCAGTGTGGCTGATCGGTGGGGAGGAGCTGCTAGTGTCACGTCGACCGTACGTCTTGCAATATCTGTCTCGAGACCGTCACTCAATTCCTACAGATCAACCTCATTTGGGGCAGCCATGTGATGGATCCCAAGACCGGTGTCATCTTTAACGACGAGCAAGACGATTTTGCCGTCCCAGGCGCGGCTGATGCGTTCGGACTCTGGCCTAGTCCATGGAATTATCCCATGCCGGGAAAAAAGTCAGACCATACTCCTGTCTCCACCGAGGTCGCGCTGAAAGCTAGTTAGGCCCCTTTCTTCGACAGCAGCCTCCATTATCCTCAACCCCCCAACCAGATCGCACCCCTCAACCCTTTACGCCGTCCTAGGCGGTTCCGGAGGCTCCCGGATCTTCCCCTCCATCGCACAAGTCGTACTCAACCTCTTTTCAGGCAAAGACATCTCGCAGTCAATCGAGGCATACCGGCTACACAATCAGATTGTCCCGGATCTGACTACGGTGGAAGTTGGCCCAGAGGGCGAGAATCGAGAGCTGGTGGAGGGACTGAAAGCTAAGGGGCACAAGATTGGAGAATTCGACGTCAATGTTGGAATATCGGAAGGTAAGTTTGTGGAAGGACACCAGCGATGCTGCAGCTGAATTTAGATAGTGCAAGCGATAGTCCTTCAAGATGGTCGTTTGTACGCTTCAAGCGACTCTAGAAAAAATGGTATCGCAGCGGGTCATTAAGTGCCAGATTGGGAGGGCGTTCGAGGTGAGAGGAGGCCAGGCGCGCGGGCAAGGGATCAACAGAAGTCTGGAGTTATCGCGTGGGGACCATCTCTGGCATGTATCGAAAACAGAATGTGCGCGGTAACATACAGGATCTAAAGCGGTGCGCGTGACATTGGATAGCACAAGCTCTATGAGATGAAGCGACCGTCGTGCACTTCATCCTGTCTAATAAGCTTGATTGCTCTGGAATCGTTATGCGCATTGTGAGACTATACGGCTGCATCGAGTGCTGCTACAAGAATTCTTCGTCATATATGTACTAGTAAATCTTCAATGGGCGGAAACAACAAAAGGAAAAGCTGAGCTCCAGGTTGCGCACTAGGCATATAGCAAACAGCCGCAAAGCTTTGGCAAAAAAATTCAGTCAAGCTGTCTAAATGAAACTGTTACAGCAATCAAGCGGCACTTCGGATTCTGTGGGCCAAAATCAGAGCAGACAAGAAGCCCGCACCAAGGGCTCGGCCCTGGAGGTTACCAGACATCTCCAAAGCATCGACCAAAGCGGTAGGGGCAGCGTTTGTGAGGGGGAGGAGAAGAATGGCGAGCCGGGACAGAACAAACACCAAATAGTCGGGGGTCGCTCTAGGCTGGTGGGCGTCTGCTGTGATGTCAGCTCGATCGTTGCACCTTTAGGTAAACTAACCCGAGTAACGAGTGTGTGGGCTCCCGTGGCGGTGAATGCCTTTCTGAGGGACAAATGACACCACAGTGGACAAGATGAAGGGCGGCAAAATGGTCGAACATGCCCACCAAGCCACAGCTCCCCAGACATAGCTGCTGAGGAGGCCACCCCCCTCCGGCAGCCTGAGAGTCCAGGTGAAAGAAGGGGACCAGAAGAACAGCGCCTGAAGAAGGCTCGAAATGGCCCCCTTTTCACCAGATGGAGGCGGAAATATGTAAGTGTAGTCATAGAACTGAAGCACGTGGGTGATGAGGAAGAGAAACTCGATCCCAACACCTGCACCGGCGAGAACCTCGGGCACGGACAGGAGCTGCATAATATCAGACAAAAGCTCATACCACATCGCAAGTGACTCACTTCCTGGGCATGTCGGATGGCAACGTTGACCTCGTTCTTGCCCTTGGTACCTAGTTGTGCGACGTAGTTGACGAGCTGCGCCACTTGAGTCTTGATATCGCTTGTGGCTCCGGCAGGGACCAGAGCATGAGAGATAGACTCGTTCGCAGAGTGAGCAGCTCCAGCCACCTTTGACCTATGTAAAGGGTCAGCCACTAGCTACATCCCGCGCCATGAAAGTCAGCTTGCAAAGATAACGGGCTTTCCGGAAGGGGTACGTTTGCGGCATCTACAAGCTCTTGCACACGGTCCAGAGCCTTGTTGATGGAGGCACCAGCTTTTCTGGCGCTCCCTGTCACCGAGCGCTTTATCTCCGTGTGAGGGGTAGCCATAGAAGGGCTATGGGACCTCTCAGGAGTACCTATCCCTATACCATTCCCATTTCCGTGGCTCCTACAAGTCATAGATGAGCGGCTGCCCGTAGCATCCTTGCATCTTCTCACGAGCGTTTCTTGAAGTAAAGGCCCTTGAAGATCGGGTCTTGAGCCAGTGTGGACTCTCGAGTGTCCAGCTGAGACTGGATGTTTTTGACCAGGTCGGAGACCCGCACGTCATCTGTAGGGATACCCAAGGCAGCGGCAATGTCGACGAGCTCTGGTTTTCTCTTCGACAACAAAGACCCCGAGTAGGAACTGTCTCGTTTATTGGGAAGACCGCAGAGAGGATTGAAAGGTATCGGGAGAGGTGGATGGGATGCGGATGTCGGCATATATAAGAATGACGTGTGAAAAGAATATGGCGGATGTGCATGCGTCAGTGCTGTTGCCAAGCTCCTGGTGCAGGCCCACTCACGCCATGTTGTATCGTCTGTGCGGTTTGTGGCGACAGGGGGGACAATGGGGTGGATGGAGATGGTTGGAAGAACGGAAAGGAGGCACTGGAAGAGCACGCCGAGTTGTTTGACCTCTTGCGTCAAACTCAAGCCTATTAGTACGCGAACCCAACATTAATTAACATATGTAATTTCCCGATTTGATGAACAAACGAAAAATAATTCGGTTAATGCATGCTGGGCCGATGGCGCGAGACACCCCAGGTAGGTATGTAGGCAGGTTAACACATACCCAGACTTGCAGTGCAGCAGTTCAACAAAGAAAGGAAATACACGTCATGCGTCGCTGAGTGAGCGACTCCACCACCACTTCCGTCCGTCTTCTTCTTACCGTACTCTCCCACTCTCCAGTCCAGCTCCAGTCGGCATTTCTGATTGAGCTGTACTTGAGAAGGCTTTGGAGGAAGCATACCTCACCCAGACCCATTACTACCTGAAGTCACCGAACGTCATCTGAGCTAGCCTAGTCGACTTCACACCTGCCTATCTATGTCCTCCGCATCCTCCGACGAACCACAATTCATCAGCCGCTCGGTACCGACACGCCGTCCCAATGTTCGTCAGACATGTTGTGCCAGTGCCCCTCAGGTGGCCAAAGGAGAAGACGATGGCGTGATTCTTCTTCCAGAAACATCCAGTATGAAAGGTCTCGCACAGAAGTACAGCTTCCAGGATCCCGGCTCTTCCTCGGGCACGATCTCTGGGGCAAGTCAGTTGCGGCATGGTCCCCCAGGCAGCGAGTCAAAAGATCCTCCACGGGCAAGGATGCATCCGCCTCAGAAAAAGGCCTCTCAGGCGCTGGCAAGAACGAGATCAGCCACACAAAACTCAACGTCGTTGTCACCGGGTGTGCTGCCGGACTTGACATCGTCCCCAGCGTCTGTACCCGACTGGCTTGGCCGGACTGCGGTCTTGTTGAGACTCAAAGATTGTCCCGTATGCAGAACTAGGTGGAAAGGTAAAGAGAGCGGAATGTCTCGATGGGTAAGTCTTGCTTGTGCAATTGATATGTCGGAACTGAGCCTTATTTCCAGAAACACATTTCCACTTGTCGTCCACCGCTCTATAGATCACCCAATGCCCCTCCAAATTTGCAACAGATGATTCATGATGCGCTATCTGTCCGCTCAGCACCCAGCACCCTTCTCGAACTTCATGCCGGCTCGATAGCTCAAGCCGAGGGTGCACACGTCGCCCAAGGCTCGTCAAATGGGCTCGCAAGCGTCACCAGTGTAAAGCCCAGTGATTTGCGGGGAGAGGATTGGGACAATGAGGTGATCGATCGCATTCGGGGCTGGATTGGGCATTCAAGCCCCCCTCCCTTATCTGACCAAGCCACCTCAGCGCATAACATAGACCCTCCCCCACCCACAAACTCGCATCGTCGCGCGTCCCAAAGTGACACAGACAGTGTTCCATACCTCGCGACACAACCGATGGGAAGGTCAGATCTTGCTCAAGACTACCTGAAACAGGAAGCATCGCCCCCGGTTATAGGCTCGACTAGTTTTGAAGGGGACTCGGTCCCACTGTCGGATGATTCCGAGATATTGGTCCCTGCTTCTGATTCTGATTCTGACGAAGAGTCGCAGCTGGAGGTGGAAAAGCCCTTTCGGTCGGGGGGAGGCCTGCGTGACGCGGGAGGCCTCTCCCAAGCTCAGCGGAAATCCAGACGGACTCTTGGATCGGGCAGCAACATCAACGTTTGAAGCTGATAAAGAAGCTGCTGTCGCAGATCTTGGCAAAGAGGTCAGACAGGATATCCAGCCGTCGCCCGATGTTGCTATTGCACGCCTCGATGTGGAAAGGAAATTCATAAGGGTTTTAGATAGCCCAATAGGCGGCCTACATTCGAATTTATCATGTCTGTCCATCACGCCAGGGGCACACTTATGGACCGAACGCGAAGTATCCCCTCCATCGACTCTCGAATGCTCGCGAGTGTCTCCCGCGCTCGAGCGCTCGACGACGCCCACGGCGCCATACACTCGCTCCTTTGTGGACGTTGACGGTTGGGGCGCGATTGCGTTCGAGGATGATGATCCGGTTGCCATCTTGTCGTGGGAGCCCAAGGCATCTGAACCAGACTCCGCATCTGATCTTGACATCCTCGGCTATCAGGCGGAGAATAGTGGCACGTTGAATAACCGTGCCAGTGGGGTCATGATCCCTGACTCGGATGGTCCTCTGCCACAGGGAGATGGCGGAGAAGATGCGGAGCTCTTGGCCAGCAACAATGAAGCAACGTCGCCTATCTCAATTGACGACCATATGCCCGACTATGAGTCGTGGGATGTCAAGGAATTGCAAGCAAGTTAGATTCTGCGTTTGTAAAGTGTTACTGACCAGACGATTCCAGCGCCTGACTACAGGATACGGCTATCGGTCTTTCAAGAACCATACAGTGCTCGTCAGATTGGCCATAGAATGCTGGAAGGCTTTGGCTGCTGATCCCGAGTCGCCCTCGAGCCCGCCCGGTCCTTTACTAGACAGTGCGACTTGGTCTGTGGCTGTCCAGTCTTTACCTGGCGGTCAAGTGGGTGACATCGCTGAGACGGAAAATTCACAAGCTACCGAGATGGGTTGTCAGGAGGTCAAGAAGCCTGGAGTCGAAGTGGATCTTGATCAAGTCTTTTACGGTGTTATCAAAGAGGATTTTGATCTTTATCTACGAGTGCTTCGATTCGAGGTGAGCCTATTCATCTAGCGCGACATCTATGGCTGATTTGGTAAAGCCCTTGAGCTTGGATGAGCTCATCAGTAAATGTCTAAGAGCTGGCATCACCAAAAAAGGCTGGAAGGCCCATCTGAAACGTTATCTGGATTTGCAAGTGAGTCCACCCGAATAACACTTGCCAGCTGATTGAAGCAAACTCCCAGAGCATAACTTATTTTACGGAAGACCCTACCAAGCAACGCCAGAGACACTGATCAGGGAGACAGTCACATGCAGACTTTGCAGTTCCTGGCGTGCAGCTCGTGGTCTCCGTCTCCATGAACATAATGTCTCCACTCATGATGACATGTGACCGGCTACCGGCAGCTGAGACGCTCGATGCGGTCTCAGCACAATATGAAAACGAACAAATCGCATACCGCTAGATGACAAGCACGTTGTATATAGCCTGAGGGATCGCGCGTAACTCCTGGCCCTGAGGATGGCCAACACGATATCTGGGAAGAAATACTTCGCTCAACGTCTCAACCTAGCCTTGGGCTCTCCGTAGACCTGTGGCCGCATACCGGGTTGCCAGAGAGTTGGAGTGGCTGGTATAAAGTGCACCTCCCAACCGCCTCTCACTTCCGTGCCCTTGACCTCCGACAGCCTGAAAGTTCGCCTCCTCTCCCGTCTCCTCATTCTCAACCTTTCATCCTTACGAACCTCCCTCTCCCTCTTTGGCAGGTGCATGTCTGCTTTTCTAGCCTCTCTTTCCTCTTCAAACTCGCTCCCATATCCAAAGTCGTCCTCGGACGACAAGTCATCATCGCTCCATTCTGACGGCAAAGTATAGCCCCTCTGACCTGGCGGGTCGATAGGCGGAGGAACAACTTTGGTACCATTTTTGGCTGCGTAGACGCGAATGCCGCGGGGAGCAAAGAAGGCTACAGCCCAGGAGGCGAGGAGGGAGTGAACGCTTTCGGATAAGAGGGGGTCTGGGCCTGTGTGTTCGCCCCGGGCTTGGCGCATGAGGGAGTGTCTAGCACCGCTAAGGGCTTCGCGGGCCAAATCTTCAATAAACTTCATCCTGCCACAATCGTCAGTCATATTATGAGGTGATAAGGTTGCCTCACCAATCCTGTTCATTCACATCGCGGCTAACAATCTCGGGTGGCAGGTGCAGCTGGTGCGGGTGATTGAGGAGATGGGCGGAGAAGGAAAAGGCTTCGAAGGGCTCGTAGCGATAGTAAGAATCTTCTTTGGCGGGAGGTCTATTGAAGCAGGCAGGTCTACATATGATATGAGCATGTCTTCTAGCAATAGATCTGGTTCGTGTCGAGAAAACCCCTCTGGCCTTTTTCAGCCTCCCCTCAAGTCTCTCCGGTGGCTTTTCAAGCATCTTCACTCTTTCCTTTTCGCCGCCTCCTCGGGTATCACTAAAAAACCTCTCGGATCGTCTTCTTCACCCTTGGGAGATATCAAATAGTAGTTTCGCCACCCAACGTACTGATCTGGTCTTCCTGATCCTGCATCGGACTCCATAGCGGAACTCGTGCCGGATCTTCCATGACTCGGAGCCACCCTCGAACCGCCCATAGGTGGCCCTTGCTGGAGCGGCATTTGTTGCTGTTGCTGAGGAAGGGGCTGAGGGGGAGCATTGGCGCCTGCAGCTACGATTGGTCGTCCCCACCCGTCCCACCCTGTGAAGCCTCGAATCAGTACATGGTTCTTCAGTGAGCAGAGAAGCCAAACTCACCCTCAGGCAGCTCCGGAGGCACTGATCACGAGCCAAGGGCAAATCAGCATGCCTTTTCTGCAAGAGTTTCGGGGTGTATATGGACTTACGCATGCGACCGAACTGGTCGTACCCCTCCTGGCCTGGACGTGCGGGTACAGGCAAACCAAAGGGCATGGGCGGAAGAGCACTGGGGTCAGGGGGTCTGTAGGGAGCACTGTCATACAGTCAGTCAGCATGGAAGTAAGGATACACCATAGCGCAGCTTACCTCGAGCCAACACCGCCTGGACCAGCAAAATCTCTTCCCAGCTGATCTCTACCAAAGTATCCCCTGGGCAGGTTGCCAACCCCTGGCATTCCGGGGAGGATGCCAGGAGTACCCATCATCATACCGGGGAGGACGCCAGGGCCCATCAGCATTGGCATGCCCCCCATACCCATCCCACCCATCATCATAGGGTTGAACATGATCTCGAAGGCAGCTGTGGCAGATGATAAGGGCGACCTCTGCTGCCTGCTGGTATATAAAGGGTAGAGAAGAAAGGAGAAGCGAGGCAGCACAACGCCTCAAAGGACCTGTGGTGTGTATGGCCGGATGCGGCCGTGTCGCTCAACTGTGGCACCTGTCAGGGCTGCACGTCGACTCGAGTGGGTACACCATGCACGGGCACAGTGCTGCTCGCATGACAGAGGGTACGCAGAACTCAGACGCCAAATCCTTATCGGGATGCATATATGTACACACAACTGTATGAACAGTGCCCAATCTCAGGCTTAGCAACCATGCAGACTATATCACAGCCAGGCGCGCAAAAAACCTTCTCTTGTCCCATCCAATAATGGTGTGCCAGATGCAGACCTGCTCTTTTCACATCCCAGGTCCAAATTGACCTCCTCTGTACATACCCCTGTTCATACCCATCCCCATGGCCCCAGGACCATAGCCCATCGGAGGCTGGAACATCGGCGGGCGCATCCCCATGTTGGACAGGGACGGTCTAGGATACATTGACTGTGCCGCTGAGAAGGGCAGCGGCCCTCTGAGGTATTCCCCGCTTAGCGAATCCAAGAAAAGATACAAAGCTGGGGCTTACCCCATCGGCCCCATACCCATGCTACCCAAACCAGGCGGTGCTCTGTCCTTGTTGAACCAATCGTCAAACCGCTTCTTGCGCTGCTCTCCAATCACGGTCACTGGCGCTGGATACGCATAGCTAGACCCCCTGTCAGCGGTGGGACTCTTGTCTGTACGGATGGATAAACTTTACCGTTCGCTCTTTGGAGGAGGAAAGTTGGCCACGGGTTTGTACGGTGTACTCATTCCGCCCTGCCCCATACTGGGCATGGTACTCGGGGGCATCACACTCTCAACCCTTGAAGCTCTCTCGGTTCTTTCCAACTCCTTCGCCTTTGCCCGAGCTTCCTTCTTCTCTCTCCTCTTCCTTTCCTTTGGCGTCTTTTTTGGCTCCACCGCCTTGCCAAGATCAACGTCCAAGTGATTGGTGGCTTGGTGGTCATGCCACTGCGCATGAAGATGCTGGTTCCCTTCCATGTCGTTGTCGAGATGCGCAGAGAGGGTGACGATGGTCTTGGGAGCCTCTGCTGCTGGGCGGTTAGACGTCGCAGCAGGCGAAGCTGTAGGTGCGACAGACATTTGAGGACGAGGGCGTGAGCGTGTCTGAGAGTGCATACCAGAGTGCGAGTGACTCGAGCGTAATGCAAAGTCTGAAGGTGATTTAGACGAGGGATTGCTCGCTGGCAGCGATACTGTGGCAGGGTGTACACTCGTCCCCCCACCCGGCAAGGGCACGCTCCTCGACCTCACGCTTGCCCCACCTGGAAGCGGCGCCACCATGGTAGCCGTTGTGCCCGGTGCTGACGTAGGTGCAGGGACAGAAAGGTGCATCGTTGGAGAATGGCCTACGGTGACGTTTACCGTGGTCTGCGGGGGTGTCGGATGGGGCTGCGGTGAGGCCGGGTGAGGTGGAGAAGGGAGAGAGACGGGATGAGACTTGCAAGAGTCCATTGTCTTGGATTTTGAGGACATCTTCTGATCGCTTGGCTTGCGAGCAGGAGTAGAGTGTCTAGTACTCGTGGGCGCCTTGACAGGGAACGAATTGGAGGGTTGGAGCAGGGCCATGTAATCAACTGCGACAAAGCGTGAGCAGTGGTCTCGAGGTATCTCTTACGCAAGACTTACTGATGGGAATGGGCGCAAACCACCTTTCGTGCCCGATAATCGCTCGCTGGTAGAACCGAGTTGAGCCGAGCTGGGCATACCTAGGGTAGGCCTTCCAATCGTGGTCGCCCCTGTGTCCACGTCCACATCATCCGCCGCACATTGTCCTTTCAGCGTCCCTCCCCCCGATGGGTCGTGCCGCCCGAAAGGCCACCTCATACTCTCTTGAGGCGTTTGATTTGTGGGTTGCCCGGAGATTGGCTTCAAAGAAGCAGGCGGGGGAGGCGGAGCTTGAGGTTCGTCTTCAGGGATATTTTCGACCCAGTTCGTGCCGGTCTGATAGACCTCTGGGGTTCTCGGCGCCTGGCTAGTCTGATTAACCACTGGTGCGTCCGTGGGAATCGGCGGCGAAGGCGTCGGGCCAAGTCTTCTTCGGACAGTCTTCCTGGTGGTTGTAGCAGTGGTCACCTCTGTCTCCTCAATGTCACCTTCTTGCAACTCTTCCCTGGTGGCTGGTGTAAGCCCAGAGTGGACGGGGGCTATCGAAGGAGTCGGCGGTGACGGCGCGGCGCTCGGGGCTCTGAAAGACGGAGCTCTGGTGGAGGCCGGTGGAAGGGTTGCGGGGACGACTAGAGGAGTCTCTGGAGTGTCTTCTACGGGCTCTTCTGTCTGTGCAGTGACGACGGTCGCTGGGGGGGCCACTTTAAGGGCTGGCCTGGGGGTGGACGGCGGGGGGGGGTTGAAGTTGATGACGAGCTCTGCGGCCATGGCTCCTTTGTGGGGGAATGGGAGGCAACATGCTGCATGCCTCTCTCTACTGTCCCACCACCAAACCATCCACACAAGAGGCCCGTTCAACAAGGAGGGTCCTTATGTAATCGCCGGATGCGGCGGTCGCCACGCGCGACGAGCGATGACGCGCGGCGGTGACATCACCACTCGCCCCGTACATACATAACCGCTCTCTCTCCCTCCCCTCCCGCTCCATCTCCCCATCTCGCCATGGACCCCACCAACCACGCCCACGTGCCCGCCCCCGTGCCCACCCCGGCCGACCTCCAGCACGGGCCCCCGCAGCCCACCGGCCTCCGCCAGCGCGCCAGCAAGCTCGATGCCGCTGCCGCCCACCCCGCCCTCCAGAACGCCCGCCGCACCGCCTTCTCCTACACCCAGTCAATCCGCGACCGTCTCGCCAGAAGCCCCACCGTCCTCAGGCTCGAGAAACGCACCGGCGTGGACCGAGTCGCCCTCTTGGGTGGCGGCGCACTCTTGTCAGTCCTCACGCCCTTGTCACCCCCATCGCTGACCAGTCCCAGATACTTCCTCTTGATACCTCTCAACATCTTCCGTCTCGGTCTCCCAACAACACAGCTTCTCACGTTCCTTCCCGCATCCTATGTTGCGGCACAAATCCTCGATGCTCGAGAGTCGCAGGCCAACAATGAAAAGGTCAAGGACCTCTTGTCCTTTTTCGTCGTTCTCGGATTCATCCAAACCGCCGAGAGTCTCATGATCGGCGTCTTGGAGAAGCGTATCCGTGAGTGACATTCTTTGGGAGAAATGGCAAGGCTGACACCTCATAGCGCAATACTATACTGTGAAACTCTTGTTCTTGGCCTATCTCCTTCACCCCAAGACTTTGGTGTGTCTCACTGCCGTATCAATCTCCGGACTGTCGCTGAATCTTTCATGTAGGGTGCTCGAAAGATTCACGAATCTGTTTTCCGCCCCGTCATCAATAATCGTGACAGCCCCCTCGCCCCTGCCAACGTCGACCCTTCTATCGCGGCCAAATATAGTGTCGCCCCTGTTTCAGACTCCACGACATCTTCATCCGGTAGCATTGCGCCCACCGCTGGTCGAGACACCGTATCTGGTTTGAAGGCTTCTGCCGGCCGAGACACTACTCTCCCTGGCTTGGGTGCTGCTTCCACCTCCGTCGGTGCCCACTCCAATAATCCTTTTGCGCCCTCTCACTCCACTGCCGGCAACGGCACCGCCGACAATTTCGGCACTTCGTCTAGTCCTGTCACCACTGGTTTGACCACTTCCTCGCAGACTTCCGCTGTACCCACTGCGTCCGGCTTGAACTTTAGCTCTCCGGAGTCTGCCTTTTCCAACCCCAGCCCCACCAACGCTGCCGCCGAGGGCGAAGATTTGCATGATTCCATTAGCTCCCAGATCAAGGCTGCTGCCGAAGGCCGCACTTCCTTCCCACCTCCCTCTTCTTCTTCCCAAGACTCGGCCTCCTTCCCGCCCCCTCAGGTGCAGGCGCAGCAGGCATTAGCCCAGGCAGTGCAGCAGACTGGTGTTGATGAGGTGGGCGTTCCAGATGGAGTAATCAGGCAATAGTGTTGTCACCGAATGCAGGATAATCCGAATCGAATATTTCAAGAAGAAAGATGGGAATTAACAAAGCAACTCTGATCGTACATTGTATACGGAGAGAGCATACGGCGATATCATGAACAAAAAAAACACACGTTCTCCCGAAGGAAGCCCAAGATTCATATGTCACACGTACTGCTGTAATCGTAGAGTACTCGTACATCATGCTACCATAAAACTTGAGATCTATTTGCCGCCTCTGTTCTAAACTCCTCGAAATCCTCATACGCTGCGCTCCATCTGCTTCCTCCAGGAGAAGTATCCGACTAATTATATGCTAAGACTGGTAGTGCCTATCATTGCAAATGGTGACTGTTCGTCGTTGCGTGGCGGGTCACTGTAGATAGTGCGCTTAACATTGCACTTTGGTTGTCGATGGTCATTGGTATCTCCACAGCATGTGGCAATACGATTGCGTCCGCGTTCGTCCGCCCCGTTACTGGTCCTAAGGACGGTATCAGCCGCGTCGTCGACAGCGGGTCGCACAACTTTTCGAGGCTGGTCATGAGTGGTGTCTAGGCTTTTCGCGTATATTTCGTCGCGAGTCCTCTTCACGCCTTGGGACATAACGGGTCCGGTGGGCACATTCTGTGAACTTCCGGGTAACACCGGGGGGATGAATTCAATGCACTCGAGAGTGATGACTTCACAGCCCACTTGGTCAAGGACAATGATCACTGGCGCTTCGGCAAAGGTACTGATGGTAGACCTATAGTCCACAAAGCGAGGAGTCCCAAGATCAGCTACTTTGCGTGTCAGCGCATCGGGTCGAAAACTTAGAATGACAACATACAGGTCAATTGCACTCGAAGATCGACACCTTTTTGATAGTGCTTTGCCTCCTTCACCGAGCAACACGGGCAACGCCAAAGAGAGTCTTGCAGATCATCACCAGCCCATACGCATCGGCGATGATATCCCTGCCCACACTTGGAGCAGGCTATGGTGCGTTTATCTCCTTCTAAATTCGATTTGCCGCAGACACAAGATAATTCGTGAGGTCGCGATTCAGCAAGAACGAGACGGGGCTTTCGTCGGGGCCTGGCGCGAGCTACAGCAGATACAGCCATGTCAGAGATATCTGCGGCCCCAGCGTCATGAACAACCTTGCCCCGAACAGCGTCTTGCATTCTCCTGAAGAGCCAATTGACGAATACACACCGTTCGTTCGTGTCAGCCAGGAAGGCATCAAAGACCAAAGGCGCCGTATAAATCTTTCGTATAGCGTGGCGGAGCCTGTCAATATCCATAGTTGGATGGGCAGATTCGAGGGGATTCACGATTTCGATCAACTCCGGGATGTAGCGCAAAGCAGCTGCACATATCTGTTGAGCCGTCTCAAATTCACTCGGGAGCAAGACGAAATTCCAGCGCTGTGGGGAGACAAGCTCAATAAAGGCATTCAAAGACGGTCCATCATCGTTCGGCAGTCGCTGGCACATGGCGCATTTGAAGCCATCCGAGACATTGCGAGCCAAGGCATCGACACATTGCGGATGATAGTCGTGGCAACAAATCTGGCACTGGACCATGACGGGGCCCGGTGAAGAGCGACAGAAGCACACTTTGCCCGAAGTTCGGGCCCAATCGTCGTCCGGAGCGAGATTGTTGTGAATCTCAGACCTGATGTATTCAATAGTGGAAGCAACCCTCCCAACAGGTACGCCGAGTACCTTGCTTGCTTCCTGAGTCCACTTGGCATGGTGACTCAGCTCAGATTGAAGCTGAGTCAATTCAGGTATATAAACCTGTTTCAAAGGCGCCTGGGCGCTCGCGGCGTTCTTGCAAAGTCTGCTAGCAGCAGAAAGTGAGATTTCGCCAGCCAAGGCGTTCCTAGCCGACGTTTGCCAGCTGATGACAGATTTGCGCAGACTTTCCAAACTACGCACAACATCGATTGAGATTGGCACATGTTGCCTTTTGTCAATCAGTTCAGTCAGATCCTTGATATTGATCTGCGGAGACGTGAGGAGTTCAGCTGCTGAATCCAACCAAAGTTTGCCGTCGAGCTTCCTGTTTTTCAACTGGACAACCAATGGATGGTCTGGAGGTATAGCACACTCGACAGATTGCTCAATCAAGGCCACGACGTCCTTGTACTCATGCCTTCCATCGTCGGCGTCACCCTCCAGACTGTCGAACCAATCGCCTTTCCTGACAATTCTTTCCAGAGCGGGAAGCTCCGGGAAGTCAAGTCCCAGCGACTGCCCGAGTATGAGGGTGTTCCTAGCCACTTGGCGGTCTGCCCAAATATTGGGATCGGATAACACAGCCGCAGCATTCTCGCGGAAGCTCTGTATAGTGAGCATCAGTTGGCGAAGCTTGGGTAATTCTGGAGCATCGAAGGCAAGAGAATTGACTTGCTCCAACAGCTCAGCCAGAAGCTTCGGATCTCTGTTGACCATATCCTCCTCCGGGTTCTCGACATCGTCTCGTGGTCGTTTGTCCCTTCGCCTTCGCACGGTATTCTTACGCCCTGTGATGGTTGCTATCTGATCCATGATTCCACCAGCCGCCTCGACAAATCCCCTCAGGGCGGGGAGAAGAGGCAGATCATGATTGATTTTCTCTCCATCGGCGACCAGCCCTCGCAAAGCTTTCAGCTGCGGTCGGGGGTTGGACATCAATCCCATGAATTTGGCATGCCACTGTTGAGGTAGGGCAGCTCTCCCCACAACCACATCTCTGATTTCCTCTAGCTGCGCGTCTGTGTATCTCATGCGAAGAACTTTGCGACCGGTGGGGCAGCTGCAAAGCTGGTCGGCATGAACGAGACAAGACACAGACTCGGTACAAGGGCAAGTCATCTGAGCGAGGTAACAGAAACATTTGCAGACAGCACACTGATATTGCTCTTCTGGACCATCCTCTTCGACAAGGACCTCCGGAAGTCCCGAGATTTGCAAACGAAGTTTTTGGCGACGTAAGAATTCTTCTTTGACCATCTCCTTGAGAGCGTCTTTCAACCTAGGAAGAGTCAGCAATCATCGTCGGTCATCACTCAAAACATACCAGGTAGCCGTCTTGATAGTATCTGAGTATAGGGTGATTGTGATCAAGAGCTCGTTGTGAGAGAACACTGGAGCTTTACTGTGTTCCCTGTAGCGCCTCACGCTCTCTTTGCCAGCTGCTAGCCAATCTGGAAGAGCGAAGTTGACAGCCTCGTTCATGTTGACCTACATGTCATCAGGTTTTGGAGTGCGCGGGTCCGCGATAGAACTTACACCATGATTGAACCCGCAGTGATACGCTTTCGGAAATGTCACGATAAATTCGTTTGGCCTTTGATCGCATGCGACAACCTTGACGCCCGCTTGATCTAATCTGCCGGGGTTCATCATGGTGATGAGTTGAAACAGAAGCCCCGGCTGCTGTTCGAACAAATCAGGCGCCTCGGCTTTCATTGCATCCTCAAACTTGTCAGCATCCCCTCCAGGAACGCCGTACCAGGTCTTCGTTTCACCCCAGTACACTGAACTATCTTTCAGTGCGTGCTTGAAGTCAGAATCCGAGACGCTCACTATAATTCACACTGTATGTGTAATGGTCCTCGTTGTGCCAGCAGAACGCAGAAAACATCATGCCTATATAAATCCAAGGGACTGTCATACCCGATATGTCGGATTTGATGTACCGCAGGAGACTGTACACAGGATGATGAATGAGCAACGATGTCGCCGCAAGGTGATAGTTTACACTAACGAATCTTTCAAGATAGGCATGTTATTGAGGTTCCAGGGATCTTTGGCATAGGGATCTTGCGGGAAAGTTTCAAGTGTCGGCCCAGCGCTAGAGAAATCGTTAGCGGAGTAATATAATTATTCGCAAGTAGCAACTCACCTTCCGTGGGTAGACGAGTGAATATCAGCTCCATATTCTACGTCGACCGTATCCAAAGAGCTTTCAATTAACCTCCAAAACTCTCGCTCAACGTCATCCTCGGATACCAAAACCTTCCCGAATCGCCTGGGCTTCACTGTCTCGTCATGGGTGTCCTCTTCGGTTGTGGTGGGATGAATTTGGTGACCTTTGCGGCGATTCCACCAGTAATGGGCGAATGATTGATCGCGAGCCTGGAAGCTGGCGATGGAATGCTCGTCCCCTTCTTCAAAACCAAAATCTTCGCCTTGCGAAAGCAGGCAAGCATTGCAGAACCATTCTTCGTTGGTCGGTACAGCTGCCAAAGGCGGGTCGAGGCAATAGATATGGAAGCCTAAAAGGGCGCGTGAGTCATACTGCACAACTCATAGAAGTTTCACATACCTCTGTCGCATCCGTCGCAAAGAAGGATCTCCTCAGCGGCGTGCCCACTTTGACATATCTCGCAAACCTGCTCCAAATGGTTTCAGCAAATCATGGATGATATCTATACGAAAGGACGACTGACCTCGCCCCTTTGATACGCTTCTTGAAAGGTTTTATTGTCAATTCTGGGAGAGGACATTGCAGCGTCTTCATCACTGAGTTCGCTCTCACTCCCATCCTCCTTCGAGAACCCTGGCACATTGAATTGCGAAGCAAACGGAGCAGGTCCTGAATTAGTCGGCTTTGGAACTCTGCTGCTCATGGAAGCCGTCCCAAAATTCATCTTGCTTTTCTTAGTGGGTGAAGGCATGGGCGGTGGAAGCGCCGCGTCCACAAAAGCATGGTCGACTGGTTTCAAAGGTAGGCAAGGAGCGATGGGACCTGAATGATCGTTGGGACGTGATTTGATGGGGGACCCCGTCGGTGAAGAAGAGGGCGTTCGGTCTGCTCCGAAGTTGGGTGGCTTGGATGGAGACACATCGACGCCTATGTGGCGCTTGACAAGTGGCGAAAGCGAAGTCTTGGCTCGCACAGCCCAATTATCGAAGGGCAGTACAATGCTCATGTATGCGGCTCGGATATGAGGTGTCCATGAAGGATTCAAACCCAGGGTATCCGCAAGAGCCGACCAGCCCTTGGCCCTATCGAGTTCCAGATGCCCGCCTGACTTATTGACTTCTCGCCTCAGTTTCCATAAATCTAAGGGTTGGCGGTCAATGAGAGGGATGTGCACTTTGGCATCGCCTTGCTGCATGTGAAACATGGACAGCTGTTCCAAAAAATTTATTTTGGCCCGAGATACAGCTTCTAGTTGATTGAGCCTCTGTAGGCGCGACTTGAACTTGAAGGTATCAGTCTCTAGACGAAACGGCATTCGCCAGCCTTCCGGTGGAATGATTTTACAGATACCGTATCTTTTACCCTCTTCCGCGATTGAATCGATATAAGCGGTTGTATCTTTGAACTCTTCGTGGGTGGGGTAGAAAGTTGGACACTCTTCTAGCCCAAAGAGACGTGACTCGGAGCGAGATCCCGGCTGCCGTGGAGCCTTTGTGCGCACATCGTCGGTAGAGAATAGGGGATTGGCTGATTTCGAGCGAAACAGCGGATTTCTCAGATGAGAGGGCGTGACCGGTGGCGTGGCGTCGTTCTGTGTTTCGGAAGGCATGAAAGACGTCCCGCTGAGCCCGATGTCCGGTAGATCCGACGTGGTCGCTGACCTGTCGATCTTGTTGAGAGCCTGAATCTTGGAGGTGCGCTGGTTTCGCCCCTGGACCTTCTCGGATAGAGGAAGCCCTGTCGAACCCGCCAACCCAGGTGGATGTGACTTGGGGAAGTGCATCGACGTTGTGAAGGTCTTCTGCCCTCGTCGGACAGTCTCGGACGTGGAAGAGTTGTTCTGCGAGTTCGTAGGTCGTGTACGAGTGGTGCGGGCTACAGGGGTCGGCGACGCCAGCGGAGAACATGGGGAAGGATTGGTGACCGACTGTGCTGCGACTATATCGGGTTGGATTGCGGCCCTCATCTGAGGCAAGTGTCGGTATCGCGGGTTCTGGTTCTGCCAAAGATATAGAAGTCAGGCGGGAGGACGGTATAGTTGGTGCGATGATAGCAGATACGTAATTACTATTGCATCAGGGTAATCAGAGGTAAATAGTGATTTTGATCCCGCTATATGCAGCATCCGCCCCGACTGCACGCAGCTGCCAGCGAGGCTGCGCTACATATCATGCAGCGCTCTTTGCACTCTTGAGGCGCTATCAGACACAGAAAGGTGACCCATATATCAAGAGATCCCAACACGATAGACTCTACAACAATTCGACAGCCCCCTCGTACTTCGCCTTCTTCTTTGTCTTTTCGATACACGGTCCTCGCCCGAGCCATCACGGAGAGATATCGAGCAGCCATCACGGAAAGATATCGAGACAACCTCCCAAACGAAGGCCACATTTGGGTTGATCATCGCTGTCATGTACAACGTCAACCACTCCGGCTACGACAGCCAGCATCACCCCACCGACGTTCCGGACACGCAACTTCCCAAAGCGCTCTCATCCTACTACCCGCCTCGCTCAAGGTCAATCACTCCCTCGTACTCCCCGTCTCCGGATGGCGAGCAATGGAGTACGCCTTACGTCAACTCTGGCTCTGACGCACAGTTAGCCGATTTGCGATACTCTGTGCCTATGCCTGAACCCAGGTTCTCTCACACGTCAAATTCGGGCTCGTCTATCGTAGAATCAACGTCGAACGACTATGATTCGCACGCAAGAAATCCTCTTGTGGATCTCATTGAGAGTGAGAAAGTCTACGTGGACCGCCTAGGTTTGACCATACGCGTGAGCTACAACAAGAAGCCCATGTGCTCTTGTGGAATGTCTGTCAACTGACATTGGCACTAACACAGCGTGCGGCTGGAGCATGGTCAAAGAAGAATTTCCCGCCCCCTAAGCTTGACGCTATGTTCAGGTGTATTGAGGCTTGTTATAGAGCAAACAAAGGTTTTGGACAGGTAGGTTTTCGTAGAACACGTCATGTCTCAGGCTGACTCAAGCGCAGAAGCTGAAAGACATCGGACACAATCCATCAAACCCCAAGGCTCTTGGCGATGTTCTTATGCGCTGGGTAAGGACGTTGCGCAACGTGGAGTAACCAATCTAATGATACTACAGATTGACGACTTGGAACCTGCGTATCTCATGTACACTTCCAATTTTCTTACTGGATTCGACACCTACCCACCCGTTAGCGCGAACGCCGCTCTGCCTGGCATCCTGGAGGAAATGTCTGCTTCATCTATACCCGTTCCACCTCTTGATAGGTGGACTTTAGACGCGCTGTTCGTTCTTCCTTATACCCGGTTGCGCTACTATCGCAAGCTCTACACTCGTCTCTTGCGGAGTACCAAAGAAGGTCGAAAGGATCATGGGTTGTTGATGGTCGCGAACGACAGGCTGGACAAGCTGGTTGAGACTGTGGAGCTGCGACTCGAGATGGACGTCAGCGACAAAGACGGGGATGCCATGTCCCCACAGGACCAGCAACAGAGGGAACTGGGCAGCGTTATCAGCTCTGCCCGGAACGACGTCTTCGAGTCGCGTATCAAGTAAGTAACTGATTACAAATCCTTCTATGCTGTATGGTTCTGACCGGCACATCAGTGCCTTATCTCTCAATGAAGAGATGAAGGACGACCAAGTCCGAAAATCTGATGAACAGGTTGCCGTCCAGTCTCTTCATCGGCCCGCAGCTGTCCGAAGCACCAGTGTCGAGTATACAGGCGAGATGCTTGCAACAGCTTTGTCGGATCTGGAGTTGAGGATTAATACTGAAAGAACTATTGATCTGTTCTCGATGCAAATAAAGGTGGGCACCTTCCTTACTTTCCGAAATGTCAGTCGCCTGACATTCCTAAGCGTTGTCGTTTACAAATGCAACCTCCGAACTTGCCTTTTGAGCGCAGCCTTCGCTCTTCACACGACGTTTCGATACATTTCACTCCCACGGCAACAGGCCGGCAGATTGAACATAAACGGGCACATATATTCATCCTCAGCGACTTGCTTCTCGTGGCGGAATGGATGGATGCGGCCGTCAAGGCTGCCAAGATGCAGCAAATTGCGAAGGAGCAGCCCGAAAGAGTGGGCAAAGGGGGACCCATGCCGGAGATGTGGCTGATTTACCCCCCATTGGCTGGGAAGCACTTGATGGTGGCCGAAGGCAATCAAGGTGAGCATATCCTGTGGCTTGTAACCAGAACCCCTCTAAAGTAGCTATCGATGACAGCCAATGTGTTGACTGTAATGGTTATGCGCAAAGAGACTTTTGTCATACACACGGAGTCGGAAATTGCCAAGGATCGAATTATGAAGGATCTGATTGATTGTACAGATTATGCTTTGAGTCATTCTAGTAAGCCCTCCCAGAACTTACGATCTGTCATCATGTTGACATTTTGGTAGCGTCAGGCATCAATCGCGAGCAAGCGATGGCTAGCACTGTATCAACCATTCCAAACGCTGTCGGCCATACTTCATTTCCCTCCCCTTTTCAGAGCGTTGCGTCTTCGTCGACCAATCCCTGCCCCGATAGGGTACCCCTGGATGTGTCTATCTCTGCAAACCAACTGCCCAGTGTTAATATTCGCTCCGAAAAGGAAATTGAATGGCCCAGAGAACACCTATACCATCCCCATTCCCATTCAACCGGGCAGGGCCTCACTACAATGGTGGCTCTACCTCCGCGTGGCACCAGCCTGCCCGTCCCAGATCAAGGGCTCCCAGAACTACTTCGACAGAGTTATAATCAGGTCAGAAGACCTCTGGTGCCATCGAGACCCCATATACAAACGACCGCATCGCCACAACAGCCTGGCCCCATGCCTCTATCGGGCAACCGCGATTCGGGCCTCTCTCCTTCGAGCCGTGCGGCTGCTCCTCAACTTTCAGATCGAAGGGCACCTGCATCCCATTCAGCCATTCCAGGTCTAGTCGCTACTAGCGCCCATCTCGATCAGAGTAACGCGCTATTGCTTCAACAGCATGCTGTACGGCACCCTTCTGGGCCGAAGCGCCTTGTGGAACCCCCATCTGCAGTGTTCCAAAACAATTTTCCTGGCCGCGATTCCTCTGCCTGGACTGAGTCTTCCGCAGATGATGATACCCCACCCCCTTCGCCGGAGGAAGAAGAACCAAGCACGTTGGCGGGACCTGCTACCGTGTCCGCTCAGATGAAGTGTAAGGTGTTCATCAAGCAGTCGCACCAGCAATGGAAATCTCTTGGCCCGGGTAAACTCAGGCTGTATTTCCAGGCGAAAGGCAATGTCAAGCAGCTGGTTGTGGAATCTGATTCCGCATCGAAGCAGATGCTCGTCTCCACCATAGTATTGACGGACGGGGTAGAAAGGGTGGCCAAGACAGGTGTGGCAGTGGAAATCTCAAACAGAGGGAAAAGGACTGGGGTAGTCTACATGATACAGCTTAGGAACGAGGCTTCTGCGGTTGGTCTGTTTGAGAGTCTACTGGTAGGCAGTGATCGTGCGGTCGTACGTTGATCACCTTCGCGCGATTACATACTTGATCGTGACTCAGTCAACCTGGACTGTCGGGGCACGTAGTTGGCTTCTGCATATAGACAGCATCTGTTGGTGATTTCACCGTTGTGCATGTAATATACGTTGGCCATTACTGCGCTCAGTCTATGGCAAAATGAATAAGTTGACAAGGCCGTCAAGCATTGATAAAAGTCGCGGACGTCTGCAAGGAGGTAGACTGGTGCACTATTATAAATTTGCATAGCAAATAACTACTGAAACCCGTTCTTCTGACTAGCCAGTCATACGTCGCCATATCGAGAATCGGAAGCCATACTAGCTACATATACAAGTGTGGCGTCAGTATATGGCGATCAAGTCTGTGGCCGAAAAGTACAAGACCCACTAGGAATTTCCGCTTTCTAGGCGATGACAGGATACCTCCGCCGCTACCGTAAGCCTCCTCGTTGCGGGGGGCCTCGCGTTGGCGGCGACAGAAGAGGTAAGGGTGGTGAAAACAGCAGTGAAGGCGTCCATTGTAGTGGTGGTTGTGGTGTTGGGTGTTGGATTGGAAGGTGTGGGGTGGTGTAGAATTCACATCTGGGAGGTCTGCTTATATAGTGCCAGACAGTACTCGTACTCTACGTTACCATCTGCCAATCGACGAGGTGAGCCTGCTTCGAATGGGTCGCTGCCGAAGAACAATAAGAGTGCCGCGCAGGGCTGCCGAAGAGGAACAATAAGAATGCCGCACGGGGTTGCCGGAGAACAATAGGAATGTCGTGCAGGGCTGCCGAAGTCCTGATCTTGACGATGGCAATGGCTTATGCGTCTGTTTCACACCGAAGATCCTGAAGATCCTGAAGAACAATGGGAACAGATACGACTTTTTGAGAAGGTCCAAAGCTTGGTCGGCAATGGTCCTGCCGGAGGCACGTCTTACATATCCTCCTTAGCTTCTTATCACGCCGGGCCACAGATCCTTATACGTGCGAAGACTGGACGACGTTGACAGCATGTATACACTGAAAAAAACTTGCTAAACAGTGTGGTGGACATCTCGTCGAAGAATTGAACAACATATCTACGCTCTACGCAATACTCCTGCCGGAACGGCTCTGCCGTCTGTAGATCAGACTGTAATATGGAAAACAGAACAGTCTCTGATTGCCCTCTGGCCCCCTGGGTGATGCGACCTCAATGGGTCACTGCACCATATCAGAAGTCAGAGCCCCCCGAAAGAAAGCGGGGAGCGGGCAAGCTCATTGGCGGAATGGCTGATGCCGAAGAACAATAAGAAAGCCGATTCTGCCGGCCGAGCGCCGACACCTATACTGCGCCATATGTACACGCGTAATCACGACCTGAATACCGAGCTATGTATTTGCGTTCATTTCGTCCCTTCAAATCAGGAATTCGGCAGCCCTGCACGACATTCCTGTTGTTCTCCGGCAACCCCGTGCGGCATTCTTATTGTTCCTCTTCGGCAGCCCTGCGCGGCACTCTTATTGTTCTTCGGCAGCGACCCATTCGAAGCAGGCTCACCTCGTCGATTGGCAGATGGTAACGTAGAGTACGAGTACTGTCTGGCACTATATAAGCAGACCTCCCAGATGTGAATTCTACACCACCCCACACCTTCCAATCCAACACCCAACACCACAACCACCACTACAATGGACGCCTTCACTGCTGTTTTCACCACCCTTACCTCTTCTGTCGCCGCCAACGTCGAGGCCCCCCGCAACGAGGAGGCTTACGGTAGCGGCGGAGGTATCACCTACTCTTGTGTCATCGCCTAGAAAGCGGAAATTCCTAGTGGGTCTTGTACTTTTCGGCCACAGACTTGATCGCCATATACTGACGCCACACTTGTATACGTAGCTAGTATGGCTTCCGATTCTCGATATGGCGACTAGCGACGCACTGTAGCTGCTGGAGAACGGGCACATCAGGAAACTTTCTCTACAAAGACCAGCTCTTCATCATGCATATTTCTACGTCCTTACTCGGTCATTATATTATGACGGATACAGTCGTTACTTTCTTCTCAAGTCCGCTCGCTTCCTCTGATTCCAATCATGACGGGACTCCCGACCCGCACCAAAATACCTGACATCGTCGACCAGGTGAAAGCGTCAGTCACACTTGTCCTTGTTGTTTTCAATGCACGCCGGCGAGTAGGACATGTCACCGCGGCGCATCTGTGGCATTCGGCGACTTGTAACTTATATCACCACATAGGCCTTTTGTCTCACAAAACGCTGCTTCAAACTGTACAACTGCTTAGCCTCTGCTGTAAGGAGGTGGATAGGTGAGGCGCGACCTAAGGGCGGTTACGCGGTGGATCTAGCTAGGGGCGCTAGATGTCGACCTTGAATAGGCTGGATGGATGAAGGAGGGATATAGGTGAGGAGGTTACTACGAGAATACATCGATAGGGAAAAGGATAAGGAGACGCGGCACGATGTATATATGGGAACCTCATCTCGCAATCCGGCCTACGCATCCCCGAGACCATAGCGGCAACCCTAGCACCGAACCCTGCGTTCCATAGTACACGTCACAACATCTGTACCAATCCCTCACATCTGCACACGGCCTGTATATCATTGCAGCGGGCATGAGTAGTAACATCGACACCGTACCCAAAACCTCCAATGTCTTGAGCTCAATCATATGCCATACCGGTCTGTCCGCTTCCCAATTTCTATCACACCATCCACTGTGAACTTTCCAGCCTTTGACCCGAATCGAGAGTACGGAAAGTTCGTTCCTCTTCTCTCAAGACGATCAAAACATAACCTTACACGCCGAAGACACATCGATCGCCTCGACGTCGGGGGTGCCGTGGACGATGCGCCACCAGCAACGCTCCGCGAGCCAATGTATCGCCCGCTAGGAAGATCAAGGCGTGGTTCCTCCTTTTGTACTGTTCTACGATATACCGTAACCTTAATCATCTGAATGTACACGTATCATGCAGTAGTCCACATAATACATGACATCCCTCATTCTGCCATTCATGAAAAATCCGACTGCTCAGAGCTCTTTTTCGCTCATGAAACAACGAGGTCTCTCGATCTGCTTGCATCATTTTTCCCATCTCAGCTCTCACATCGCGACTGCCAAGCGGGTCCCCTTCTCGTTCTGGGTATACATCTATCATCGCCTATTGGATTATGTATCACCTGGAACAGAACCGATATCTAATCTATAAAACAACTACATATTTTTATTCCAAATCAACCAATAAGAAGCCCGAAATGAACAAGTCTATTACTTCTTCACCTTCCAAACTAAAAGCCCATCCAAAAGTGCTGTACCTAAAGCCCAGTCAGCCGCCGTCAGCCACTCTATATAATCTCAAGAGTGTTATTCCTTTGCATATTTTTCTTTCCAATCTTTCGTTGCAAACCTTGAAGGCCGAATACACGCTCAAGATTCTCAAGCTGCCACCCCTCTCTTTCTTCCGCCAGTTGACAGTATACATCATCTCCGTCATATCCGTCCACATCTTATTCCCCTTCGTTGGATTATGAATAGATGGAGGTCGACCATAGGCATTCATCATTGAGAGAAGTTAATTAGGATTCGGGCCGGTCTCTTTCTCGTGGCAATATCGAACATCAATCCCAGAGTAAGAGTTGATGAGTAGTTACAGTTGACCGGCGCAACCTGGATTTATCGGACAAGAAGTCGCTGCTGGCGGCGGCGAGGCGCGTGGCCGTCGCCGCCCGCCCGTCGTCCGTGCCGCGCGAATTTACTTCCGTCTGCGCAAATGATTTGGCAGCGACGGAAGCAAGGCATTCTACCCTGCATTCTACTGATCTTTCACTTTCATCTTGTTCTTTATCCTGCGCGCCACTACTTGAATCAGTCGCACACGACACATCTCTGACAATATGTTATTCAGGCAACTTCTCGTCAGTACTCATACTCGCCACTCTTCGCTGTCCACGCTGACTCTCAGGATAGCCCCAAAAGTCTCTTCGTTCTCTGCCTGCCTCCATCTCCACCTTCTCTCGCACTTCGACCCTTCCTAAGCTTGCGTTTGTGCAGGCTACCCGTGGTTTCGCTTCGGCCCCCGATCCCTATGACCTTGTCGTCATCGGAGGTGGTCCAGGCGGTTACGTCGCGGCCATCAAGGCTTCCCAGCTGGGTCTCAAGGTAATTCATTCCCCATGTGGATACATCCTCTCACTGAGCATGTCTGACCTTGACAATAGACTGCTTGTATTGAAAAACGAGGAGCTCTTGGTGGAACTTGTTTGAATGTCGGCTGCATCCCGTCCAAAGCCATGTACGCGATCTTCAATATACTGTTACACCTGCTTACCCGACCTGACAGGCTCAACAACTCTCATATCTATCACCAGACTCAGCATGATCTGAAGAAGCGGGGCATCGACGTTACCGATGTCAAACTCAATCTGACCCAGATGCTTGCTGCCAAGGATGCTTCCGTCAAAGCTCTTACCGGAGGAATCGAGACATATCTTTTCAAAAAGAACGGCATCGACTACATCAAGGGTGAAGGATCTTTCGAATCTGCTGGCGTCATCAATGTCAAGCTTTTGGAAGGTGGCGAAACTCAAGTCAATGCGAAAAATGTCATTATCGCCACTGGCAGTGAAGTGACTCCCTTCCCGGGACTGGAGATCGACGAAGAACGAATAGTCAGTTCTACAGGCGCTTTGGATTTGAAAAAGGTCCCTAAGAAGGTAAATCCATTTTCCATCGACAACGATGGTCAACTAAGACTTCATAGATGGTGGTCATCGGAGGCGGTGTCATTGGCCTCGAACTCGGCTCTGTCTGGTCCCGTTTGGGTGCTGAAGTCACGGTCGTAGAGTACATGGGGGCCATCGGTGCCGGTATGGACGGAGAAGTTGGGTGAGTAATACCTACGCCATTGCAGGGAATATGCTTAGCTGATTGCTCCTGCAGCAAGCAATTCCAGAAAATCCTCCAAAAGCAAGGATTCAAGTTCAAGTTGAACACTAAAGTGGTATCGGGTTCTCGCGAGGGCGACATTGTCAAGCTTCATGTGGATGCTGCCAAAGGCGGCAAAGAGGAAACCATTGAAGCTGATGTCGTTCTTGTCGCCATTGGTCGCCGACCCGTCACCAAGGGTCTCAATCTCGAAGCCATTGGTGTGGAAACCGACAACAAGGGACGAATCATCATTGACGATGAATTCAACACAAGTGCCAAAGGTGTGAAATGTATTGGCGACGTCACGTTCGGCCCTATGCTTGCTCACAAGGCCGAAGAAGAAGGTAAGAACGTGAGCCGCATGACGTTGACTGACAATCAAAGGCATTGCTGCTGTTGAGATCATCAAAAGCGGGCACGGACATGTCAACTACGATGCCATCCCTTCTGTGGTCTACACTCACCCTGAAGTCGCCTGGGTGGGCAAAAACGAGGAGGAACTCAAGGCTGCTGGCGTACAATACAAGATCGGAAAATTCCCGTTCTCTGCTAACTCCAGGGCCAAAACGAACCAGGACTCTGAGTAAGTCATGCGATCAAAAGTACCCTGGGCAGCGCTGACCATCCGTCTTGTAGCGGGTTCGTCAAGTTTGTGAGTTCATACGACCAAAACCCGTTCAAACGCTGATATGTTACAGATCGTTGAGAAAGAGACCGACCAAGTTTTGGGCGTGCACATCATCGGCCCTAACGCTGGTGAAATGATAGCTTCCGCGACATTGGCTGTTGAATACAAAGCATCTGCCGAGGACATCGCCCGAACCTGTCATGCCCACCCAACTCTCTCTGAAGGTGAGTCATGTCATGATTGTGGAATTGGCGTGCTGACTTTGTTGTTAGCTTTCAAGGAGGCCGCGCTGGGCTCGTACGACAAGACCATCAATTTCTGAGAAAGGCAATGGATTGGTTCTGAAGACTAGAGAGCGATAAATCGGGAGACCAGGTATATATGATGAATATTGCATGTGTTTGCCCATTCCGTCGCTGCCCTTCATCGTTCTCTTCCCAGTAGATTCAGTACAGCCGTCGCCTTGTCTACAACATCCACTTTCTTGGAATTCTCAGCCGATGCTCGCATGCGCAACACAAGCTGATAGGACTGCAAGGCAACGACTACGGCATCTCGAGGCGTATGTGGCCTGGTAGAGGACTCTATCAAATGCTGAAATGTTGTGATGGCGGAGACTTGTAAATTCACGTCAGGGGATTCTGTCTATGAAACGGTGAGTATATTGGGTACGGAGATTGGTTGAACGTACGACTATTGTTGAGAGGCACTGAAGGACGGCAGCACGGTCGAGTATCTCGGTCCTGGTTGTCGCATCGCCTAGAGCTAAATTGGACAGCACACGGAGACTCTAAGAGTATCGTCAATACACATGGCGACACTGCCATCATTGATTGGACTGACAGCTGATGTGGTAGCTTGGCCATCGAAAGCTGGCTTGCCTGTCATACATGCCTCCAAAAGGTCAAGTAGTGTCTGCAAGCCGCCGACTCCGCCCAGATCATTGGCGAGCCGGCTTACAGTAGAAGGGCACTCTTCAGCCAGGATGTTCTGCATGATCTCGAGACCTTGTACTCTGATCGAGTCTGGCGACTTTTCGGAACAAAGATCCAAAAGCCAATCATGCCCGAAGTGTGATATGACATCCCTTTTGGCTATGAGGTCAGAGTGAAACATGAGGTTTTTGATGGCCCAAAGCGCGTTGAGTGCCAGAGGTTGATGTTCGGATTTTGTGAGCCCCACAAGCAGTCGGAGGGTCCCATCTTGCACTAATACCTGTGTGCGGTCAGAAACGAAGATTATGAAAACATGCCTACATACCGAACGAAACGGTGAAAAGTCCGTTACCATATTGCACAGTACTGCAGTGGCAGACACTTCCACGATCCAAGCAGCCTCCCCCATGAGGTTCTTTCTCTGACTCTTCTCCATGATGAGCTCTCGCCTCAACACTGCGATTATGTCTGTTCCTAATTCTTCGTCCAGTATATCTGTTCGTAGCAAAGCCACAGTTCTGCTCAGCGCGCGAATCAATTGACACGCAGCTGCTCTGACACCGTAGCTATGACTCCGCAGCCAATATTTAAGCTGGGGCAACATATATTGCCTCTCTTGTGGACGTTCGCATGGCCGGTATTCGGAAATCATTACGCGCGCAGGGTCATAAGCGGTGGAAAGAGCACATAGCGCGAGTAGGGATGATTCTAGCGAGCGAAAGTAGAGGTTCCGTGGCATATCCGATAGCTTGGATGGGAATTCACAGAGGCGCTGTAGAATGAGGGGGGGAATATTGGCCTCGAAAGCAGATGCTTGCGCTAAAGGGTCGTCTGCTACCAGCATGGCTATCCAACAGTCAACATCAACTAAACCTGGCGCACCGAGACACGCACCGAGAAGGAAGTTTAACTTGATTCTCTCTTCCAGATCGTCTGAAAGTAGCAATTTTCCAATGTCCGCCACAAGATGTTGAGTCACTGCATGGGCTTCTGGCGATCCTACATTCCCATCCGGTCCCGACCTGATGAGTGATATGAGGCTACAATCCAGGATACTCAGCAACGTCTCGTAGTAATAACACCTGGGAACTGACCAAGACAAAGCTGCCAAGCGCAAGCTTCTCCGGCTAGAATGTACCAGGGCAATCAAATGCTGTATGAAAAGATTACTCGTCGATTCCATCACATGATTGCGATCTGTGTGCAGGGCTGACGCGAAGCCGGGATGACCGCGAATGAGGGTTGCAAGCTTAGTTTCCCCTTGTACCAAAGCAGCCAACAGTTCCAGAGACGCTTCTTTCACCTTCAAGTCCATGGATTGAGAGGACCCGTATTTCCGATGTCTCTCAATAGTAGATATTACATGTCCTACCACGAGTGACCTGAATGGGTAATCGTCTGGTGCCGAAGGGGTGGTACCAAGCGCCGGGAAAGAGCTGTCGCAGAGGGACGTCGTCCAAGACAATATACGTTGACGATGCGACGGGAAGGCCGAAAGTCGAGTCAGTATATGGTAAACAGGCAGCGAGACCTGTGGATCGTGGTGACGCAGGAGCGATAGAAGGATGTGCGCGTGGGCCGACTGGTTCGTAGGGTCAGAAACGGCCCTTTACCATGCTGAGGACCCACCTCTAGAACATTCTGTAGACAGCTGCTGATAATATCACTATATATGTGGTCGTCTACGGATTGGAGGGCGTCATCCGTTTCCAGACCAGTGCTAACGATCTCGCCTTCTGGGCCGGCCCCCCATAGATCGCCCCACAGAACGTCTGCTACGGAAACGATTGTGTTCCGCAGTGATCTGGATATATGCGGAAGTGCTTCTCGAAAGGTATGCTGGTGACTTGGCTGGGCGATGATCTCGCGCGTCAGTAGCAGCATGCGAGCTGGGACATTGAGGAGCGCCAGAGGAATGGTTGTGGATGGGGCTGATGTATTATCTCAGCCCAAAGCACGTGGGAGAAATGGGCATAGATACCATTCGCAACAGAAGCAACCACGGCGACAGCTTCTTTGAGGAGTGCAGGTTCGCTGGTGGGGTGTAAGACGGCTAGAAGACGATCGAGCTGGCGGGAGTCTTGGGCGAGCGCGATCTTGTTCTGGGTGCTGCCGATGATGTGGTTCTTGAGATCGCGGAGCGACGATGCGTCGTGGGCGGCCATTGATACGAGCAGGGCAGTAGAGCGTAGAGAGCGTCCTTGTAAGATGTATGATCATGATGCGTTATTGCGTTGTACGGGCCAGCAGGGTCACGTGACTGTGCCCTTTGTTCTGATTTTTCGCCAGCGGCAGGTCGTGTAAGTGTACTGTATTCATGCCCTAGATGCTGCCCCTCCGCGCCCTCCGCCGCCTCCCCCTCCCACCCCGCAGCATACAGCGGTGCTACCGCCCCGTCTTCCGTCCGTCCTCCACTGCCGCCCAGCTCCTGCAGGACCCCTCGCCCACCTACCACCACCACGACGCTGCTCCCCCACCGCCACCTCCCCATTTGCCCCTCAACCTTCCCTCTCCTCTTCCAAATGACATTGTGTCGCCGCCCGGCTCTGCGCACTCTGCCCTGTACCCGTCTACAAGTGTATTGGACTCCATATCCATGATATCGATTTGCCTCAGACGCCCCGAGCATGTTCCGAGAGCGTACCAGATATTCACACAGCTCTTGCGAGATCCTGTGACTGGCCAGTCCAGGGCGCCTGAAGCAAAAGTATGGTCAATGGTCATCGAGGGAGTGGCTAGTCTTGCCGGTCAGCAGGGCTCGTCAGCAGGTGCAGAAAGGTGGAGGAAGCGGGCGGAGAAGCTGGTAGAGCAGTGGGGAGTCTCATTTGGGTCTAAAGGCAAGGTGCCTGTACTGGAACACCAAGGCATCAAGGTCTATCAAGGGTGGTTCAATGGTCTTCTCGGGTATGTGGCGGCTTTCGAGACTCGAGCGACTTGTTCTGTGATGTTGATGAAATCACAGCTCTCAGTCCCCAATCGACACCATGGTGCCATACCTTCGAAGCCCCGCACTCTCTGCTTTTTCGTTGCTGGATGGCTTGGAATCTTCAGTACTGCCACTTGCATGTCAAGCGCTGATCGAGACGGCCGATCGCGCTGGACTTCCAGCGTTGAAGGAAGAGGTCCTGATCATACAGGGAGAAGAGAAACAGCGCAGAGAGGCAGTGGCATCAGAGGTGATTGCCGATGTCGCTCCTGTTCTAGAAGTAAGTCTACTGAGTGCCGTCTTCTGTCTGCACTAACCTACTTACAAGGGGTCTGGAAAGTCCACTGCACCGCAACGTCAGCAGTCCGAAAGGCGCGAAGCTCGCTTCGCTATCGCCAATCTTCGACAAGCTCTATCAGCAATAGAATCTACATCTATTCCTGTCAATCGCCAACGGGAGCTTGAAGCAGCATCGTACCAGGCTGCGAGATCTGAGCTGGAAGAAAACGCCAAGCGTTTTCGATCCGGTGGCGATGACTCGACTCTTCAGCGATCGAAATTGCAGTCCTGGATGTATACTTGGCTGGGACAGCTCACGGCAGAGCTTGAATCACGCATCACTGCAATGCAAGCCCAAGTCGCTTCTCTACCCCCATCACAGATCGAATCCGCGACGCTAAAATATTCGGCCACCGCTCGCATGAAGCCACAGGTCCTTCTTATGTACCTCTCGTTACTCCCTGCCGACAAATTGGCCTTGATAACTATTCTCGAAATCATGAGGATGTCAGGGTCAGGTGGTATAGTCGATGGTATGAAGGTCTTGCGAGGCATGGTGGCCGTCGGTAAGGCAGTCGAGACTGAATTCAGAGCTGAGACAATAAAGAATGTGGCGGGTGTCGACTCTCACCATTGGTTGAAGTCAATTGATCCACAGACCCAGAAACCTAGTCGTCAATTGATCGGGTCTGTGTGGAAGAAGATAGGGGAGCAAGTCAAACAGCCGAAGATCAGTGAACAGGCCGAAGGGGGAAGTTTGCAAGAAGTTTGGACGCCTTCCTGGTCCAGGATGGTCCAGCTAGGGGTCGGGTCAGAGCTTGTTGATGCTCTTCTCAAGGTAGCGAAAGTTGAAAGAGAAGCAAAAGATAGACATACTGGTACCATACTGTAAGTTGCTTCTTTGTCCTTTACAGTTCACTGACTGCATTGTTTGGTTTGTCAGGAAGGAAGAACAGTCTGCTTTCACCCATTCATACGAATATGTGCGGGGAAAGAAACTTGGTGTGATCAAACTTAATCCTGAGGTCGCTGCCCGATTGGCCCGGGATGACATTGGTGTCGTGATCCACCCGAAACATCTGCCCATGCTCGTCGAGCCTCGACGGTGGACATCTCACAATGAAGGAGGCTATCTTCTACATTCGGGTGAGTCGAGTAGCCAAGATTGGGACCCCTTCTAAAGCATGTCTCAGTGCCAGTGATGCGCTACAAAGAGTCCCTAGAGCAACAAAAGTGGTTGCAAGCGGCGTCGGAGGAAGGGCATCTTGAGCCTATATTCCACGGCCTGGATGTCCTTTCCTCAACCTCTTGGAGGATCAATCGGCAGGTCTTTGATGTGGTACTCGCATCCTGGAATCAAGGGGAGGCTATTGCGGATATTCCCGCGTCTGAGGACCGGGTCAACTACGATTTCCCGGAACCACTCGATCCTTCTAATCAGGATCCTCAGGTCCGCACAAAATACGTGGAAAAAATGAAAATGGTTCTTGCGCAACAGCGCAAGGATCACGCAGAAAGGTGTAAATTCAATTACAACATCGAAATAGCTCGATCATATCTCAAAGACGAGTTCTTTTTGCCCCATAATATGGATTTCAGAGGTCGCGCCTATCCTATACCGCCCCACCTGAGTCCCGTAGGGGACGATTTATGCCGTGGTCTTCTCACTTTTGGTACCAAAAAGCCATTGGGGACCACAGGTCTGAGATGGTTACAAATACATCTCGCCAATGTATACGGCTACGACAAAGCCAGCTTTGAGGAACGAGCCCAATTTGCTCAGGCCCATCAGGCGGATATCTTTGATAGCGCCGACAATCCCCTTGGTGTAAGTCATACGGTGCAGTTTCAGGGCGGATGCTTATCTAGTCTAGGGCAATCGCTGGTGGCTCAATGCTGAGGACCCATGGCAATGTTTAGCAACCTGCTTTGAGCTGACATCTGCTCTTCGTTCCCCTCATCCAGAGGCTTTCGAATCATCTTTGCCTGTTCATCAAGATGGGACTTGTAACGGCATGCAGCACTACGCCGCCCTCGGCGGCGACGTTCAGGGAGCCAAAGCTGTGAATTTAGAAGCAGGTGATCGACCGGCAGATATCTACACAGGTGTAGTCGACATCGTCAACAGAGTTATTGAAGAAGACAAAAAATCTGGACATGCTGTCGCTTGCTTGATCGACGAAGCGTTGGGAAGAAAAGTTGTCAAGCAAACTGTTATGACGACAGTGTACGGTGTCACTTTTGTCGGAGCGCGAGACCAGATTGCCAAGCAGCTACAAGCCAGAGGCGATGTCTCGCAAGACGACATTTTCGCTGTCTCTAGCTATATCGCAAAAACGGTGAGCACTGCACGTCATCTTTAGCATTGCCTATTAATGATCATCAGGTATTGAATTGTATAGGTGATTTGTTTTCAGGTGCCAAATCAATCATGGACTGGCTAGCGACCGCAGCCCGTTTGATCTCCCGTTCCATTCCCTATGAACGGGCTAGTGATGCTGCATCGCAGCTAACGACGACGTCTCGCTCTGGCAAAGTCGTCTCTCGGGCGTCCAAAGAGTTCATGAGCGCAGTCATCTGGACTACACCCCTCGGCCTTCCTGTGGTTCAACCCTACCGGAAAGCACAGAAGAAACAGATCATGACGGCTCTTCAGTCTGTTTATATATCGGATCCCAACGCTCCAGCGGAGGTCAGTCCTCAAAAGCAAGCCACTGCATTCCCCCCCAACTTCATTCATTCTTTGGACGCCACCCACATGCTTCTCACTGCTTTGAAATGCAAGGTACGTTTTTGTTGCCTCAAGCGCAAGGTCTCCACTCACTGAAACGTAAAAACAGCAAAACAATATTGCCTTTGCCAGTGTACACGACTCATATTGGACGCATGCCGCCACTGTCGAGCCGATGTCAGACCTCATCAGAGGGACATTTGTCGAGCTACATTCCCAGGATCTGGTGGGCAAATTAAGACAAGAATTTCTCAGCCGATACGGCGACTACTGCATTCCGGTCCAATCCGCGCAGAACATTTCAACGTCTTCGACCAAGCGTAGAGTCGCTGCAGCCAAGCGCCAGCGGGCAATGTCCGAGATGCTTGCCCCCTCGGAGATGTCGGACGCCACAGATTCTTGCTTGTCTGCCGAGTCTGCTTTTCGCAATGACATCGCAGAAGCGGAAGTTGATCTGATCACTTCCAGTAATGAGGTCACGGAGGCCACGGCCGCGGAATCTATGGGATTATCCACCGGAAAGCTGGATGAAATCGCTGGCCTGGCGGTCTCTGGCCAAGAGATTCCCACAATGAAGATGGGCGGCCAAGCATGGGTCAGATTCAAGGATGTCTTACCTCCATGTCCTCCCAGAGGTATCTTCCAAGTACAGAAGGTCAAAGAATCTGCCTATTTCTTTTCATGAGATGGACACATCATACAATTCGTGTTGTACATTATACTCGTACTCCTCTACTTCTGTTTGCATCGATATTTCAGCATTCACAATTCATATAGAAAAATCATGCAGATTCTTTTGCCCTCCAGCGCCAGTATATACGGAGCGTGTCTCGTGGCACTGAGCTGCACTTCGGAAATTAACGTTTTCGCAAGAACGATGAACTATTGATCCTAACAGCACATCTACACATGAAGCCTTCGCACGTAAGCAGCTCTGCGAGCAAGAAAAGATGAAGATTTTGATGACGATAATTCGCTGACATAGTATGCATGTGGGCAAAAGAACTTGGGCCGCGGAATTAATTCTGAGTTTTCGCAACCTCTTCAACCAATTGCGGCACCGCCTCGAAGAGATCGGCCACTAAGCCAGCGTCGGCAACTTGAAAGATGGGAGCATCTGAGTCCTTGTTGATGGCGACTATCATTTTGGATTCCTTCATACCAGCAAGATGCTGAATGGCTCCCGAAATTCCAACAGCAACGTAGAGTTCTGGAGCAACGACCTGCGTGCCGGTGAATCAGTCTCAAAGTTCAGGA